GTCCGACGACGACCGCGACTCCCTTGCCCTCGCCAACTCCAGCACCTGGACTTGCATGTTGGCCATCAATTGAAAGAGGGCATTCAAGTCCGGCGCGGCGGCAACGGGAGCTGGGGTGGCTGCGGGATTGCTCGCAGGAGAGGTTGGTACCACTTGTGGGGGGACCGTTCCCATGTTGTTGGCCGGCGTGGCCTGCGTTTGAGGTTGCTGGTTGGCAAACACCCGCAATTCGTTTGCGGTGGTCTCCGTTCCGGAGTCCGTCGTTCGCAACCACAAAAACCTTCCCTCCCCATCTACCTGCTGGCTTTGTCCATCCTCGGACAGCACAGGCGAGATCCCTGGCGGGATTCCTTGGGGGGTCCCATCGGGGCGAAAACACTGGGTGAAGGAAGTGTTCATCGCGTAGGGGTTTCTAGTCGGGGTGAAGTTTGTAGATCCGTTATTCTATTAGGCTTGCCTGCAAGCCTGAGATAGTATCACACGGGACTAGAAGGTAAGGGTAAGGTAATGAATGTAATAACGGATGTAGTACAACTAGTACTACATTACAGTAACACATAGGGGGTGTTCTAGATATACTCCGTACGGGAACTCCCCTTGGAGGTCCCTGTAAAACTACCCGACGCGGGTGTGCGATACGCGTACCGCGGATGCTATAACAGGACCCTACTTCCCCCGGCGTCTACCACTACGACGAGAACGGCAATGCGTACACGGTCTGTAAGGCCCGGGAGCGACCCCCGACGGGGATCCCCCTGGACAGGCTGACGGGACGCAGGAATGAGGCAAGGTATGGGTAGACATCTAGATGTAATAACGGATGTAGAGCTATTACAAGGGTACTAGTTCTACATCAACATAACAATACCGAAAAGTACCCCCGGCGGGAGTCGCATACGGGAGTCGCGTACGGCGCGTCCGACGCGTCACGTGACCGCTATAACAGGATCCCCCTCCTAGATGCGGACTCCGAACGCATCAAGCGTCGGCGTACTCTTGTCGACCGGGCTGGGGTAGATGGGGGTAGCGCTTGTGGAACGCCGCAACGACTTTGTCGTCGTGGTCAAACTCAGCGGGGCTGACCCACTTGTTTGACTCGTCCCCGTACCCTTCGAACCGTACCAGGTATTGGGTCTTCTTCCCGGACCTTCCGGATCGTAACGCCTTTGAGTGTACGATCTCGGACACAACATACCCCAAGTCGCCGTTGTCGAGGACTTCGGGGGTAGGTGGCTCAACCACCTCTCTTCCTTCCAGCTCGTTGGCCCGATAGGGGATAAGCAACGACACGTGGAACACGGGGTGCACCCGGCGTAACTGCGCGGGGAGTTCCAGCCTCCTCGCCATCTTGCTCTGGCCGATGACTTCCGTGATTCGGAAGGGCCCCAGCGTCTTCATCGAGAGCTTCTGGCTGGGGCGCACCGATGTCAAGTTCTTGGTAGATAACATTACCAAGTCCCCTACGTTGTAACCCTCGTCAGGGACGGCGGTACGCTTCCGATTTGCGTACTTCGCCATGTCTTTCCGCGCCTGTTCCAGCGCCTCCTTCACCGACTTATAGATCCCGTCGAGTCGGTCTCGGTACTCCCCCGCCGACTCCACCGCCTCTTCCCTAGTGCCGGGCACTGGCAGGGAGAAGGTATGCTCCCTTCCCTCGGACGCCATAAATGGCGACATCCCGATGGCAGAGTGCTTCGCGTTGTTGTACGCAAACTCCGCCATGGAGAGTAACTCCGCCCAATCGTCCTGGAGGAAGTTGACGTATGACCGCAAGTACTGCTCCAAAGTGGAGTTACTTCGCTCGGTCTGTCCGTCCGTCTCCGGGTGAAACGCCGTGGAGTAACTGTTCTCCACGTTTGCCATGCGGCACAAATCTTTCCAGAATCGCGAGGTGAACAACGTACCTCGATCCGAAATGATCTGCTTCGGGAACCCATGCAAACACACCCATCGGTCAAGGAATAACCGCGCCAAGAATGTGGCGTCGTTATCCTTTCGACAAGCGACGAAGTGCGCTCGCTTGCTGAACCGATCGACGATCACCAGGATCGAGTTGGACCCCATAGACTCGGGCAGGTCCGTGATGTGATCCCAAGTGATCGATTCGTATGGTCCCGCCGGTACCGGTAGCGGCGCTAGCTCGCCGACAGGCTTCATCCGGGGCCGCCGATTGCGCTGGCATATGCTGCAGCTAGCGACGTACTCCCCGATCCACTTCGCCATCCCAGGCCAGTAGAAGTCCCTACTGGTCAGCTCCACGGTCTTGTCCCGCCCCCAATGGCCGGCGGACTTCCCGTCATGTAGACGCTTCATCAGCTCTACCTTGATGTTCCCTGCGTTGGGGACATACACCAACCCGTTGTACAGGAGAACCCCAGTGGGGCTCAAGCTGTATCGCTCGTTCGCCAAGGTTCCCGCCTTGAGCTGCGCTACGAGCTCTTTCGCCACCGGGTCGTCCTGCGCCGCCGGTATCAGCGCTTTCACCATCCAATCGCCCAGTGCGGGGATGGTGCCATTCAACCGCAAAGGCGGTCGCTCAACCGGACTACACCCCTCAGAGGGTGCGTCTTCGACAGGCCGGAGCAGAGTCTCCGCTCGCTTCGGTTCTGTCTCCTCCATCAACTCTTCCAGCCGACTCAACGCGTCGGCCTTCCCGTTCTCCGTCCCCGGTTTGTACTCCAGGGTGTAGGAGATCTGGTTCAACAGCTGCGACCATCGCGCCTGCCGTTGAGACAATACCTTGTCCCTCTTGAAGTACTCCAAGTTCTTGTGATCCGTGAGGATCCGAACGGGGTACTTGTTGTCGAGATAATGTCGCCATATCCGACTGCAATAAACAATGGCCAGCAGCTCCCTGTCGTGCACATCGTAGTTCCTCTCGGCGGGCGTCAGACTCTTCGACATGAACGCCACCAGGTGGAGCTTCCCATCGTCCCCTACCTGGGACATCACCGCGCCGATCGCTCCAGAGGAAGCGTCGGTCTCGAGCACCACTTGGCGCTCCTCGTTGTAATGCGCCAATATAGGCGCTTGGGTGAAGGACTCCTTCAATTCCCGGAATGCAGCGTCAGCGGCTGCCGTCCAGGAGTACTTCACCCCTTTCTTCGTCAGGGCCGTCATTCCCTGAATCTTCTTGGAGTAGTTCTGGATAAACCTCCGATAGTAATTTGCAAATCCTAAAAAGGACTGCAGTCCCCGAATGTTCTTCGGGGGGGCCCAGTCCAGAACGGACTTGACCTTGGAGGGGTTCATACTGACCCCCGTCGGGGCAATATCGTACCCCAAGAATTCGGTAGCCACCGTATCGAACTCACACTTCTCTGCTTTCGCATACAGGCCATTTGCCTGCAGCCTCTTCATAACCTCCTTGACCTGACCATCATGGGTCTCCTGGTCGGAGGAGTAAATAAGTATGTCGTCGAGGTAAACGACGACGCACACATCCAAAAGGTCTTGGAAGACCTCGTTCATCCACCGCTGAAAGGTAGCGGGGGCGTTGGTCAGGCCGAACGGCATGACCAAACATTCGAACAGACCGAAACGTGTAGTAAACGCGGTCTTCCAAATGTCTTCTTCTTTTACGCGTAGCAGGTTGTACGCGCCTCGGAAGTCCATCTTCGTGTAGACCTTCGCGCCCTTCAACCTGTCTAGCGTCTCTGAGATGAGGGGTAGGGGCGTCCTATCCTTCACCGTAATGTCGTTGAGGCGACGGTAGTCGATGCACATACGCATCTCGCCGCCTTTCTTCGGTACAAACAGTACCGGGCTCGAGCAGGGCGACTTCGACGGCCTGATGAACCCCTTCTCCAGATTCTCCTTCAACCACTTCTTTAGCTCCTCACTCTCCCGCTGGGAGTGGTTATAGAGCTTCTGATACGTCGGCGACGTACCGGGCTTGAGTTCGATCGCATGGTCAATCGATCGCTTCGGGGGCAGTGTATCTGCCTTCGTCTTGGAGAACGCTCCAAGATGTTCATGATACTTCTCCGGTACCATGTCCCTCAGCTTCTCCATATACTCAGGAGGATCCAGATCGTCCTGGAACGAGTCCGTGGGTTTGACGTCCCAATCCCACAGGTCCGGGCGCCTCGCCCGCTCGTCGTCCTCCCGGGTCATCTGCATCTGCGCGACGACCAAATCCTCCGTGATCGACCCCTTCATCTTCTTGAACGGATCGATCCCTCGTGTCTCCACTTCTACTTCGTCCGGAGCATACACCGTCTCGGGCCTCTTGAGACATCCCGTGCTGATGCAGACATCCCCAAACGTCACCGCGTTGGAGTCCCATTGGATATGCGGATTGTGTCTCCGCAGCCAAGGGATACCTAGTACGACCGGGTACCCACTCAAATCGGTGAGGTGGAACTTGGTCAGCTCCAGGTGCACTCCCGTACGTACCAGCGTACGAGCCTTCTGGGTGATCCTTCCTCCCTGGATCTCCCGACCATCGATCACCGTTACTACCCGCGGTGTCTCGAGGTCCGTTACGTCGAATCCATGTAGCGACGCGAATGTCCGATCCATGAACATCCCGGTCGCTCCCGAATCCAACAACATGAGCGCTTGGACCGGCACTCCTTCCGGGTAGAACACTCCTACCAACGTCAGATGGCTATCTGGACCGTTGGGTACTCCGCTTGCACCCAACTGCAAGGGGATCCGGCTACCTCCCTGTGCTCCCCCATTCGGGGTCCTTTGATGATCCGTTATTCTGTAAGGCCCGGGAGCGACCCCCGACGGGGATCCCCCTGGACAGGCTGACGGGACGCAGGAATGAGGCAAGGTATGGGTAGACATCTAGATGTAATAACGGATGTAGAGCTATTACAAGGGTACTAGTTCTACATCAACATAACAATACCGAAAAGTACCCCCGGCGGGAGTCGCATACGGGAGTCGCGTACGGCGCGTCCGACGCGTCACGTGACCGCTATAACACGGTCGCAAGAGATCACCGCGTTGTTTGGGCGCCCGAACACAATGTCGAATTGTATCCAGAGATGTGCGCGTTCGACGAGCCACCTCCTCCCGGGATGCTACGAGGCATATTCCCGCCTCGCTCGCCCATCTTCGAGGCGAATAGGCTTAACAACCAGCCTTGTCTCGAGTGGAATTGGAAAGCGATCAATGAGACAGGCCTCGGATTACAATGGAACTGGAAGCTCGGCATGCATCGTCTCCCGCCCGGGTACACTCCGCAGGACCTCACGCGGGAATTATTCATGTCCCCCGACATCCCGTTCAAATATCCTTTGGTCGAAAGGTGTAACGACGGCTTTACTCAGTTCCGAGTGCACGTGAGTTTTAACAGCGGGAATTGCACCGAAGTCATATTGATCTGATCTATTCCGTTGTTGATTCCGTTGTCGGTAGGACATCATCATGATGGCTCATGATGACGCCAGGACCGAGATCCTTGCGACCGGCGGTATGGTCACGCTCGCCGCCCGCAATGAAGATCGCATGTACGAGATCTACGCGTTCGGCCAAGGACTGTTTCACTGCATGTCGATGCTACGCTTGTGCAAGGAGCACACTCCTCGAAGTTGGTTCCCGCTTTGTGCCGGTTTGTACCGGATCAACATCATATACAAACGATGGGAGAAACTTTGGCGGATGACCAGAGAACAGTCGGCGAAAAAACTTCCCGCCTTCTCGGCGGAGACTCTGGCGACGTTCCGAGAAGAATCGACTCGAGCGAACAAGATGTGTCGATGTCTACACAACGGTCTCATGGGCGAGTGCAGCTAGACCGGTGAGTATACGCTACGTATGTCTCCCAAATTTGTTTCCCGCCGATCAGAACCGTATTAATCTTCTGATATTCAGGTCCATCATAAAGCTATAAAGCTATATTCATTTATACTATCATAATCAACATATTTCTCCTCGCGCTATTCTACGCCTCTACGCCATGCTCCATATAATACAAGACAGATAGATATTTAGGATGATCAAATATATTTGTGCCGATGTTTGAGGGGCAATGACATATACGAATCACCATTCGAAGCCACCGCGCAATGACAATGCATATGATGACTTACCCGAGGAGATGAACTCCTAAGAAGCCATTGTTCCCGCCTCACGTCAGATCATTGGTATTCTATTCCCGCCCGCATAACCCAGCGTCAACAATGTTCCCGCCACCGATTGGCATGCAGCTGTCAGCGTCTAGCTCAAGCTCACAAACGGGTCACCTTATTGCTCTGCTTCAAATACTTCGATGGCCAGATTTTGATTTGTCAGAACCGGGCAGTGGTGTGCGCGAAGGAAGGATTATCCTCATAAGGGTTGGCGTTTCAGATTGGCCAAGAGTTTCACACTTTACCGTTTGCAGTGAGGAGTCAATCGTGCGTCGAATACGATCCCGTCACACCGCAACTCACTCCTTCGACAACGGCCGCAACTACGCCGACAGCGACCCCGTTGGTCTCGCGAGCCTGCACCCCCTTTCTCTCTCCCGCTGGGACGCCTTCTCCGGCGCAGGTGTTCAGATCGACACCTCTTCCACAAGTTTCCGGTTTGCAAGGGCAGTACTTCTTCCGGGGGTCTCCCGTCATGACGTCCACGCAACCGCCTCACCTATCGTGGAGTTCTATACAACAACCTCACTCCTGGACATCAACAAGAGCTACGTCGTATTCACCATATCCGCAGACGCCACGGATGTCGATGGCAACTCCACGTAGTACGGTCGGACCTTCCCATTTGCGACAGTTCTACATGCAGCAACATCTCAACGTTCCTTCTCATGTATGGTGCAATGGCGCAACGGCATACGTCTGAGAATTCTTTTTACACTGAAGGCTTCACATCAATTTAGTGTTCGATTCTGGAGTGCGTACCTTTCGGTCTCAATGTTTTTGGCGGGAATGCGCTATTTTTGGGCGGGAACTGTTTAAACAATTGTATCACACGTTCGACATGGTGTCGTTGACGCCAGGTCGCATCGACAACAACATACAATAACAGACGTGCGATCACAGAGGACATTCGCTACACAAAATCACTGCAGATCGGCTGCCCCGGGCACAAGAATAATCAACCTATTTAATTCTGTTTGTGAGAAGTTGGGTGGACTATCGCCCCATTCCCGCTTCTTGGCTTTTTCCGAACACCCTTGTAACACTAATTGCGTCAAAAGGGCCCTCATATTTGTTTGTTGCTGTTCAGAATAGTTTTCTAGTCGGCGCAAACGAAGTTTACCCTTGACATACGCTGCGCCCAGCGTCTCGATCTGAGATAACAATGCGCGTAGGTAACCTGTAAAAAGTCAGAACATCGCAATGGAAGCTTCGAGACCAAAGCACGAACCTCTTGTTTCGATGTCAATCGTACGCCTTCCCACCGGAAGTTGGCGTCGATGCCTTCCCACCAAAGGGAGTGTCGAAGGCAGACTAAAGGCATGTTGGCCCATGGCACCTGCGTCACCTTGGCACTGGGAGGTAGCATGGCGTTAAGCTGCTCCTTGACCTCTTCAGTGAGTCGGGTACGCTGTTGAGCATTGCTCATGCCAGCATGATGACGCTCAAGGGAAGTCGAAGATGGAATTCCCGCCGTGCTAGCAGCTGTTAGTTGTTGGTCGTCTGTTTCCGACAGGTCAAACGCACTGTTAACTTGGATCCTAAGATGATACATAGTCGGACAGGGAGCTTACTTCGTCGCGCACGGGCTTCCTGGATGGCAGCTTGGATTCCGCTGAGAACGCCATAGGTTCCCGCCATGTCTCCTCCGCCCAGTCCCCATCGTTTCCATAGCACCGCTCCTAGATATGGACTTTGGACGATGTATTGCGGCACAAATGGGTGATCGGCATCGACCGGCATAAGCAACAGACAGCTGGCAATATCGTGCATCTCATGTAGTCGATTGAGCTAAGACCAGGAAAGACGAGATGATTCCCGCAACCGAAACATATCAGCATGGAGTCGAACTCGGTTGCGCCAGGAATAGCAAGTCACTAACTTTAGAAACAATGTCTTGCTGTACGTCCGCAGCTCGCCTAGCTGCGAACCGTCTGGCATCAGTGGTGCGAGGGGGGGCTGTGGTCGAGGTCGTCTTGCGTCCTGCCCGTCGCGATTCCAGATCTTGTCGGACTTTTTCGATGTAATCCTCTGTCCAGTAACCCTGCTGTTTCCTTTTTTTGGCCTCTAGAATGGCATTGACGAAAGACTCCCGTGGTGGAGTGGGAATGTTTGTATCCAAGTCATGTCCCGCCAGTGAAGAAGCAGTCGACGTAGCTGAACGTTCTGCAGGGCCATGACGCAGAGCTGATGTAAACATGTGCATGGGAATGAAAATACGAAACCACGCTGAACTGACTAAGGTCTTCCCAAGTAACGTGTACCATTGCTTGCCAAGCAGTTGACTTCCGATTCTTTTTTTCCTTCTCAGTTATGTTTAGGACAGAATGGAAAAGCGTTTGAGGCTTTACATTGAGCCTCGTAGCATGTTCGGCACATTGATTACGCAACGACGACAGTATATCCTGAACGGCAAGACTGAAATTCAATCTCGACATGAATTGTGGGCGGGCTGTACGGAGGTCGAGACGTTCACCCAAGTCCGGGATTGCATCTTCTTCCAATAAATCTTGAGCGAGATCGAGCGGGAAGTCCTCATTGTCGTTTGTGTGGTCCATGTTGTTAGGGAGGCTTTGATGGGTTGTTGATGAATGGCTATATTTGTAGGGGATCGAGATATTTGAGCGTGGGGTATCAACTGAGAGATAGTATGGATTTGAGAAGGTGAGCTGATGAAGCGTTGTCTGAATGGAGTTGATGAGGTGAAGTACGGGAGTGCAAAACAGTACGCAGCTAAGCAGTTATCAGGCTGACTGTTGTTGACTTTTTGAACTTGTCAATACGGCGGGAAGCGGGAAGTGCCTGCTGGATAGCGGGAACGATTCCCACATCACGTGAGAAACAAGGGCGAAAGAAGAGTCTTCTGTCTCCAGGACGAACAAAGAGCCGATGTCTGTTTCGCAATTGTTAGCTGGTTGCTTAGCCCTGATCACCGTTACAGACAACAAAGGAGAAAGAGGTATATCAAGCTCATATGAATACGGGCGAACAAGGACAGTCATTGTGCTAGTTACATGTGTGCATATAATATCATTGACGTTCTTATCTTCTTTTCACCTGGCAAATTCCTCATCGCACATACATCGCCCTTGCCCGCTCATCGTTAGATTCGCATCGCCGCAGAAATCTCACTACCGACTTAACTCACAGACATATAAGCATGAAAAACGTATCAAAGAAGTCCGGTGGGAACGCAGCTACCCCGAAGAAGACCAAGGCTGAAGTGAAGGCAGGACAGAGGTGGCGGGCACAACAGATCAACGAACGTAAAAGGTTGAAGAAGGAGGCCGACCTCGCCAAGGCAGCAGAGACAGACGGACAGCGGGAACGAGAGGTAAGTTGTGGCTATTGGGCTATGGTATTTTCAGATGGCGTGGAACGTTGTTTGCTGACCCTTGCTGTTCCAACAGGGACATGCCGCGACCGGTGGTGTGGCTCCGGATAACAATCAGGGACCGGCCAGGTCTCGCAAGGCAACATCACCGTTGAATCCGCTCTCTGTAAGCCCTCGTTCTCATGTGTTACCAAGCGTGAAGTGTCAACGTGTTCTAAATTGCACTTGTGCTGGTGGGAACAGGATGATGGTACGAACGAAAACGAGCTGGAACAGCAACAACAGCAGCAACAACAACAGCAACAGCAACAACAACACCAGGAGCAGCCGGAGCAGCAGCAGCAACCTGCGGGAAATGGTATTGAGGTTGGTGTGGAAGGGGAGGTGAATGCAAACAGCGGGAAGAACGAAGAGGCGAACTCGGACGCGCCCACATCGAAAAAGAAGGCCGTCGACCCAGCCGATGTTGAAACGGAGGCCGTGAGAGAGCAAGCCGAGACGGAGAAAGCCGAGAGGAAGAAAGGCGAGAGAGAGAAAGCCGAGAAGGAGGAAGCGGAGAAGGAGAAGGCGGAGAAGGAGGAAGCTGAGAAGGAGAAAGCGGAGGAGGAGAAGGCGGAAGAGGAGAAAGCGGAGAAGGAGAAAGCAGAGAAGGAGAAAGCAGAGAAGGAGGAGGGGGAAGAGCAGTCAGAGAAGGCCAAGACGGTGAGACTCAAGATCATATCAGCAGGCGGGAATGAGTAGTTGTTGATGATTTGGTTTGTGGTAATAGCGATTTGACCTTTTCCAAGGGATTTTTCCCAAAGCAGCGTGGCCGGTACCAACTATCCGGTTGAGAGGTCCACGTCAAATCCGAGCTTTACCTAAGCTCAAGCCTATCGACAAGGCTGCTCTCGAAGCCAATTTCGCAAAGTTCCAAAAATTTGCGGGGGTCTCGGGTCCTGCTGGGGATGGGCGGGAATCGATGATTGGATCGATTCGAGCAGCGGCGGAAAGCGTCTGGACACGAGGACGGAAACGGCGAGGAGGGAGTCAAGGCTTGGACCCGGTTGGTGATCATGAACAAAGGTCGAGCTCGGTAATGGCGGACGATGCAGGCGAGGGTCAACGCAAAAGAGCGAAGCCGAATCCCGAGCAGGACACCCCAATGGGAGAGGCGCAAGATTTCATGGGACAAGTGGTGTATGGGCGAAAGCGAACGCTGACCCAGCCTATCTACCGGCCTGGAAGTCGATGGAGAGAACCATTCCCTACCGCGCTGCGCGCGCTCGCGTGCTGCCTACATGTCTAGTCAGACCCCATCATGTACTACATAGCTCTCTCCACTGTAGATATCACATCTTCTGCAGTTCTCATTCCTGTCCTGTCCTCCTCTTTGTGGCGACACTCAGTGTGATTCTAGAACTGCAGAGGTGAGTGCGAAGACGACGACGTACGACGACGGCTAGTTCAAGAGAAAATTTTTTTTCGCCACACCCCCCGCACGACGATCGACATACGTACGCACCGACGAAATCGAATACGACGACGAAACTATACCACAGCTTCCCCATACCACGAGCGAATGCTTAGGACTAGATACTCGCCCAGACTATCGACCTAACCGAACTCCCCGGCTACAACGTCGTCGATCTTACCAAACTCCTCCCCGCCACCAAACAACCGAAAACTCACGAACACAAACGACCGAAAGAGGGAAAGAAGATGGCGTCAGTCGGCAACGTCAAGACACCATCATTCGGCGGTGACGGGTTCTCCGGATGGCTCAAGGACTTCCGAATGAGCATGCTTATGCTCGACCTCGACGAAAATGACAAGAAGCAAGCTAAGTTCTTTGCCGTCTGCCTGATCGAAGGCTCGGTAGCCAGCCAGTGGTACGAAGACCTCGGAGAAGAGACGAAGAAGAGTTGGGCAGCCATCCTCCCTGCCTTACGCCAAAGATTCGGGGACACAGTCGACGAGAAGCACTCCGCATTCAGGCAGATGGTGTCCCTCCGTCTGCCCGACAAGGATGTCGGTAAACTCGACAGCGAAGGGATCCCGAAGCATGTAGCGTGGTCGAGGAAGGTTGCCGTGCTGGCCAACAAGGCCGGTCAGGATCCCAACAACAACAACGCTTACCTGATCTACAACAACGTGGGAGAAGCGCTACAAAATGTGCTATCCAACTCGAACAACGCAAACACCGTCGGAGCCATCACCAGCAAAATCGAGACCCTTTCCCCCGCCGAAGTCGAAAACATCGTGAACGTGGTGCGAAGAGACGAGCAAGCGGCCGCGTTGACAGCCAGGATGCAGCAACTGGAGAGGCAGTTCGGAAGGCAGGCGTTAGGGATCTCGAACAACAACCAGTACGACAAGCAGCCCCAAAGCTACGAAAACCCCGACTCGGAAAACGTGAATATGGGTCCCTTCCCAGCGACCGCGTCCGGAATCGCCGAGTACAAGAAGGCCATCAACGCTTGGTACGGGAAGTACGGCGACTTGGCTACATCCAGTCTCTCGAAGCCGTTCCCCCTCTCGCCCGGGACGGTACCTGCGGGAAGTAACGAATGCTTCAACTGCGGGATGAACACACATCTACGAGTCAACTGCCCGTCGAAGACACCTCTCCCGCTGAACGAGCAGCGATACAGGGGCATGGTGATGCAGCAGAAGAGGAAGCCCTCGTACCCCGCCTCGGGATCCAACCTGCAGACTCCGCTGAGGGCTATGTCCTGGGTAGGGGAAACTGACGAGCGATTCCGACACCTTACCGCCCTGCCTTTGTCGCCTGCCCTTTCGCCGGAGAGCCGATTCTCCCATCTCCCGGATCTAGGTTCGGGAAACGACATGGACCTCGACCTCTAGGTGAGGGTCGAGGTCCGAGACCCTCACCCACGGGAAGGATGGAAGGGAATTGGAGGCGTTGGGGGTCGCCGGCAGGAGGAGAGGGGAAGGTGGAGAGGCAGGACGCAAGCGGAGAGAAGGAAAACGAAGAGCATATATCATGGACGGAGAACTTAAGACCTGAAAGACTTGGCGGTCCCAGGCCATCGCGAGATAACGAAACAACAAAGAGCGCGATGCTTGTTAGCCAGGGGGGTGTAGAAACCCCCCAACCCATTCACGGGGTGAGTCCTTTGCCGAGGATCCACTCCGAAACATCAGGTAACTGCGGGATTCTACCCACAGTACCACTACGCGAGATTGGTCCGGAACCCAGATCGAGGGACGGTCCATTCAACATCACGGTGAAAATGAAAGACATAGACGGCATCGAGGCCACTACCGACAGCGGAGCCTGTATCAACGCAATGGACTTCGACCTATGGAAGCGGCACGAGGCAACCATCGGGCCACTCGAAAGCGCCGACTACAACATCACGGTTGCCGACGGGAGGAGAGTCACGCCCAGCGGGGCGGTAACAATCGACATCACGTTACCGAACGACAAGGGCGACTACTCGGCCGAGGTGAGATTCCAAGTCATCTCAACGACGGATGACTGGGAGCTGCTCCTTGGGAAGCCCTGGCTCAAGCAGGTGAAAGCGGTGATCGACTACAGCAGCGACACCCTAACCCTGCGGGCCGACGACCTCGAACGCAAGTGGAAGAACTCAGCTCCAGCATATGAAACGAGAGACGACGGCGTCATCCGACGACTGGGAAGCGGCGAAAGGGCAGAATCGACGGAGTTCTCGGAGCAACCGGAGGTCTTACCAAGTACCAGGCAGGAGTCGAAGGAGCAATATATCCTGAAAACAGTCACCGTCGGCGATGATCTCTCACCGGTGGAGAAGGAAAGCGTCATGGCGCTGCTGGTAGAGTTTCAAGATATTTTCGCCATGGACATGGCCGACATCGAACCTTGCCCTCACACGATCCATACGCTCAACATCGATCCCACCTACCGCTTCAGCCACAAGGCGTTCGGACGCCCGTTGACCCAACCCGAGCTCGAAGCGGCCGGCACGCAAGTAGAGCAACTGCTGAAGGCGGGAATCGTGGAGTCGACGAGACCGGAAGACGTCAAGTGCTGTTCGCCTACGGTAATGGCAATCAAGAGACCCAAACCGGGGAAGATGGACATAGACGCACTGAAGGCCCTAGCCGAGAAAGCCATCGCAGCCGAAGCGGCCCACCAGAACGGTTCGGACATCAAAGGCACCAAGGAGTCCTGGGACTCAATGGTGGCGGACTTCGAGAGGAAGAGGGACGGAGGAGCGGTGAAGTATCGTTTGTGCCATAACTTCTCCCAGCTAAACAGAGCTACACAGGTACCCCCGTACCCCCCGGGCGATCTCGATAGCAAGGTACTGAAGCACTGCGGAAAGCGCTGGGTGTGTCAGTTCGACGCGCTTGGAGCTTTCTACTGGATCAGAGTGGACGAAGCCGCCAAGCCGTACCTGTGCTTTCACCTACCGGGCATGGGGTACTTCAGGTACACGAGGTTACCGATGGGACCTACCGGGAGTCCGGGAACCTATCAACGAGCCGTCAGAGCGACGCATGGCAACATCCTGGACCCGGGGCCGGTATCGGATTGGATGGACGACCTATTTACCAGTGGTAATTCGTTCCCGGAGGTGCTACAAGTAGTCCGAGTACTCTTCGAGAATTGCCGCCGGGACCGAATGATGCTTTCGCCATCGAAGTGCCACGTTTTCGTGTCGGAAGCCTGTCTGGGAGGTACCATGGTCTCGGCAAGAGGGGCAAGCCCTAGCCCGGAGAAGGTTGCGGCTATCCTGCTTTGGCCGACGCCTCGTACAGCTAAGGAGGTCCTTTCGTTTGTTAACACCGCAGCCGTCTTTCGTGCCGTGGTACCAAGCTTCGCTCGATGGGCGAAACCTCTGTACGATTTGACGCAGAACATAGAAACAGACGGGACGCGGAAACGAGGAGCTTACCGGAAGGCCCTGGAAGATAAGAATATCGAGTCAAGTTGGAAAGGAGAACAGAGGTCGGCATTCCTCAACTTGAAGACGGCGCTAACAGAATTCCCGGTAGTGCGAGGCCCCCGATACGATGGATCCCCCTTCTACTTAGCTACAGACGCGAGCATAGACGGACTCGGGGCCTAGGTATCCGAAGATAGGTTTGCTTGCGAATGTTGGGATAACTTGGTTAATAATACCGAAACCAGGAATGATCATTAGGTATACTTCAGGGTGTCCGAAGAACCAGAAGATATGTTGGTATAGCACTGGGTCACCACCTCCGGCTGCGTCGAAGAATGATGTGTTGAAGTTACGGTCAGTTAGTAGCATTGTTAGACCACCTGCTAGTACAGGAACGGCTAGAATAATAATAACTGATTGGAATAGCATAGCCCATACGAATAGTGGCATTTTGTGTAGAGTCATTCCAGGAGCTCGCATGTTAAGGATAGTTGTAAGGATGTTCATTGAACCCAGCATTGAGCTAATACCTGAAAGGTGAAGAGCAAAGATAGCTAGGTCAACTGATCCACCTGAGTGAGCTTGTACACCTGATAGAGGAGGGTAAACTGTCCATCCTGTACCTGCCCCTTGTTCTACGAAAGCGCTAGCTAGTAGTAGAGTAATTGAAGGGATAAGTAACCAGAATGAGATGTTGTTTAGACGAGGGAAGGCCATATCTGGAGCCCCAATCATTACGGGAACCATGTAGTTACCGAATCCACCCATAGCTGGCATAACTGCAAAGAATACCATTACCAGTCCGTGGGCTGTAAGGCATATATATGATTTCATGCAATTTTATTGCACGTAAATAGCTTTCGCTATTTGTTAGACTATATCTTGGCATTGTCATGCTATAAGTTTCTTGTGTGATTTTTCACATAGTCGTTTGACGTAAGCGTCAGCTTACGTTTCTAATTTACTACTTTATTCAAATAGAAAGTAGTAGTCCTAGAATTAATTTATTTACGTTACCCTGTTAGCCCGCCTGTGGCGGGGGGTTTAAATTATCGAGTGTAGAATCGGGCTAGGTGTGTCCATGTGTATGTTGTGCGAGTACTGTTGTGGTTTGCTTTGATAGCATGGATACGAGCAATACCTTCTTTAGTTAGGTGTGAGTTATCTAGAGAAAGGTTGTACGCTTCTTCAAAGTTCAGGTAGTTTAGGTATTTGCTACTGAATAGAGGAAATCGAGTAAAGTAGTTAATGATGTGAGGTACACCTGATCGTCCAGTGTTACGCACAGTCAGAACATTGTTTACTGCTAGCCAAAGGTCGCCGGAAGGGGACTTCTTCACGATAGCTTACGCCTCTCGCGGGACAACTGATAGGGAACGCCGATATCATTCATCCGAATTGGAGCTACTGGCGGTCAAATGGAGTCTCGACAAGTTATCGAAGTATATCCACGGCCAAAAGGTGATCTTATCCACGGACTGCCAAGCGATCCGAGATATGCTAGCCAATGACGACATGAAAGGAGCGAGGGCGGCCTGGAAAGAAGCCATAACCGGCGCCAGGATTATCGAGCTTCGGCACACACCCGGGAGGCTGAACGTTATCGCGGACGCCCTTTCGAGAAAGCCGCTACCAAACGAAGGCGGAGAGGAAACGTCCATGGAATGGGAACAAGCGAAAGGAGTCAAAAACACCCTATACGACCACGAATCGGTGAGGCGACTAGCGGTAGACGAAGGAAGGGTACTAGTATCTCGCTTCGAGGGAGACACCCTGGAGGACGTGGCACGCTGCGTCACCCTTCTCGACGTGGATCAGATCCCAGAAGACGAAAGACAGGACGTCCAAAAGAAGGCCACGGCGTTCTTTAGGGATGGAAGCCGACTGCTCATGAAGGTTGGAGGGATCGGAAACGTCGAGGTACTCCCCACCGTAGAAGGAGCAGAGGCGGCGAAAGCGGAACACGCAAAGTCGCACCTCGGCAGGGACTTGACAGTCGCGGCGCTGCGACGGAAGTTCTGGTGGGTAGGGCTGCGAAAGGACGTAACTGAAGCGATAGAGCAATGCGAACGATGCGTGCAGTTCGGAACAAGGCTACAGCGGCTGCTGCTAAGGCCGATTATTCGTTATTCGCCGTTCGAAATGGTCGCGATGGACTGGCTCTTCATGCCACCGGGGACAAACGGACACAACCTAATCCTCATCATCATCGACTGTTTTACTCGATACATCTACGCGAAGTCGTTCAAGGGAACCCCCACGTCGGAGCGAGCCATCAAGGTCCTAGAAGAGTACGCGGATATATTCGTACAACCAAGGACGATTCTAGCCGACAACCAATTCGACACCAAAGACCTACAAGAGTGGTGCAGAACTTGGGAGACGATCATGGAGTTCTGCGCACCGTACGAGCACGTAGGGCTTGCCGAGAACGCGAACCACCTCGTACTAGAGAGGCTTCAGAGGTTGTGTAACCTCGATATCCAGCACATGCCACGCCTCACGCAGCCGACGGTACCGAAAAAATGGGTGGGCGAACTATCCCGAAGTGTATCGATTCTCAACAACCGCGCCTTAGCCTACTTAGGCGGGTACAGCCCGAAAGAACTTCTCTTCGGGAACTTCCCGACAGCTCGGGAGCCGGAACAGATCGACCCTACCCTGAGGTTGATGCTGCTACAGAATGCACGACAAGACGCGTCGGAAGCGTTCTACGCCGAACAACACGCTCGAAAGAAGAAGTCCAGCCACTCGACTTACATCAATTGGTTGCCTTCCGTAGACGACTTAGTGCTCATCTACAATCCCGTGGACGACCGCACTTACAACACGGGCGCGAAGCTCAAACCCAAGTGGCAAGGGCCCTTTCGAGTAACGGAGACGAGACGATACGCCGTACGGGTGGAGACGTTGGACGGACAGCCGAAAGACGGCTGGATCGGGGGATCGAGGTTGAAGAGATGGAAGATCGGAAGAGGACGAGGCGAAGATGAGGAGCGCGGTGAAGGGGCGAACGAGGTCGATGGGTGAGAATCGACGAGATAGTATCACGGACTCAAGTCATTTTTTTTAGTGTTTCACCTTGTCGGGGGGTGGGTATGCGCGCGCTCGCGTGCTGCCTACATGTCTAGTCAGACCCCATCATGTACTACATAGCTCTCTCCACTGTAGATATCACATCTTCTGCAGTTCTCATTCCTGTCCTGTCCTCCTCTTTGGCGCGGCACAAAAACGTGGAAGGTTTCGGTCACGCACTCATGCAAGCGATGCATGCGGTCGAAGACTCGATTGCCACACCTCAACAATGGGAGGATCGCGTTGTTCCACACCTGAAGGATATTCTTCAAGAAGGATGGGAAGGAGCGGAATGGGAGAAGATACGGGACATCGCGATGAACCGTAGTATCTCCAAATTTTCCCGCCTCTGCGAATTCTTCGAAGTGTGTTGGGACTCAGGTGCCTATGCGGAAGGATTCGGCATCTGTGATAATCCCGCAATAATTCAGGCCTATGGGATCGTGGTGCAAGCCATTGAAGCGCGGGAGGACCGGTGGATAGGGATGTCCAAGCACGAACTGTACGAGAAGCTGCACTTCGTGTTCCAAGGTGAAAAGCTCGGTTGCCGGAATGACGTTCTCGACGACAAGCAGGAGGAGGTGCTAGACGAAATCCTTGAGATCGAGGATAAGGTCGCCGACATCGTCTTTGACCTATTCGGGGAGGTCAGCCCCGCACTGGTGGAGCGTGGTCGATTGGGCATCGATGGACGCCCACAAGAATGCGACACCACGGAAAAGAAGGCTCTATGGGACACCAGCCGGGGGCTGATCACGCAGGCGCGTCGCAAGCGGGATCTGCTAGCCTGCGCAATTCGTGCTGATGGGTGGATCGAAGGGGTGTTTATGGGGCGGGAATGGATGAAAGGCGCTTCTCCCGCGCTGGTATCTTTGATGGGAGGGGTGCTGCAGGGATTTGCAAACCGGCCGGACTACAAATCGACAAGCTCGTTGACCGGCGAGTTACATTATCTGCGGCGGCTATTGGGCGAAGGCAGGTTCTACGAGAGCGAATGGATCCCCATCCTCGACATGTTCCGCAGGACCGATAGCGTGATGACGCAATCCACTCTCAAAGCGCTTTCGAATGCTGTGCGGCTGCCGGAAGCACGACAGCGATGGGCTGATATCAGTAGCCGAGCGCGAGAGCTATGGCGGGAATCCGGGAAGTCGTTCAGGATGCCGATAGCCATCGACGCAAACTTGGCCAACGTCAAAGCTGCCCAAGCACTGCGAGGGGTCGTGAACTTGGGTAACAGGCCGCTCATCGCCGCTGGCCGACGTGCTTTGAGAGCTCAGGTCGAAGACAAGGTTGGCACGTTTCCACACACGGAGACCTGGGCGAGCTATTTTGCGGATGTTCACCAACTCAAACTTGGTAACATGAGCGGGATGACGTTTTGTGCTCGTGCAACTGCGCGGGAATCGGTTTTCGCTAAGGTGATGGGTCTGCTTGAACGCTCGCTCTACGAGAAAGAGAAGACCGATGAGCTCGACAAATCAAAGCATAGTCTTCACCGGTTTTTGGTTGAGTTCCACTACCGAGAGCTCGATGCGGACGGCCGTGTGGAGTCGGCACAAGTTGACGCCACCATCATCGAGGAGAGGTTCATGTGGTCCAAGCCCGCAACAAGGATGGAAGTTGACTGGCAAAACGAGGATGCGCGGGCAGACGCGTTGGCGGAAGAACAGGCTCTGTGGGATGAGTAAGTGTACTAATGAAACGTGGTTGTTACAAGTCAAAGGCCTGATCACACGGTTATATATCCAGCGACACGTTTGGCGCAGGAATCGATGCAAGCCAGAGCCAACCCAAGGAAGAGGAACCTGAGTTGGACGGCATGTTCGACTTTGGTACCGGGAACGGAGAGGAGGGTGATCGGGAAGGTGATCTAGATATGGATATCACCATACACCAAGGTACCGAGCCCGCAAGGCAGAGTGATAAGCCTGCTACCGACGTGGTCGACGAGGTTGGTAAAGCAACAACGGAAGTCACTACGGGAGCCAACAAGGATACGGTGCGGGAAGGTGCGCAAAAGGCGGGAACCGGAGAATCGTTAGTGTCGAAATGCCTGGATCTCGATGGAAATACTTCTGACATAATGAATTGCTCTCGCTTGACAGCTTCTTCCATAAGGCTCTGGGTCGAAGGATGGTCTACATCGATTGCACGAAGCACGTGTACCCGTCGTTGAAGAAGGAGAACGCTACCAATATCACCTGGAAGCAAGACGAGGATGGTGATTGGCTTCCCGCAAGTATCATTACGGCGAGTGAAAGTCGGACCGACCAGCAAGCCCGCGACGCGAGAGCCAAGGAGTGGAACAATTTCGTTGATACCGTGAAGACGAAAGCTGTGGTTCTTGCGGAACGAACGGGAACGACATCGGTGACCATCTGTGCTCGACCTATGGTAGAAGACGACAAGGGAACGGTGGTGTTATTCACCTCGCCGGGCATGGTGGAACCCAAGGACGAGTCGTGGGAACCAATGCTAAAAGCTTTCTGGGAGAACACGTACAGAGGCGCGGCGGACTTGTGCGATCGTATTGAAGAACGGGACGCAAAGTTTGTTGCGGCTAAGCCTGAGAAGGAAAAGGGCGGGAAGAGAGGTAAAGCCGGCGGGAAGTAGGAACTCGGTGTTGGGTCCCAAGTAATTGTATAGTTTGCATCTCAAGCGGTCTTCATTCTCGAGCTATGTACTTTTAGCAAGGTGTCTGTACTATCTTCCAGTATAAATATAATGGTGAACTCTCCCAAGCCAAAATGTCTTTGCGAGAAAGGAATTTGGTGTTTGACGAATGCATCAAGTCCATGTCTTGGCTGGAGCTAAGTATCGACGTGGTGTGACACTGCAGAATGGAGGGGCATTTGTATATCTGTGTTCCAGCAAAAGGAATAGATAATTGTACATAGATACATAGAGAAGGGACTGTCTGGAAAGAGACTGAAGGGAAGAATAGCAAGTGCGGAGAGTTTTGGGGGAGGGGCAACTCTTGAGAGGAAGCGGGAAGTATTATTTTGCAGGCGAGAATGCAAAGGGCCATGGACGGGAACTCATTTAGGCGATGCGAGAATGACGTAACGGCGCGCGAAAAATTTGGCTTTGCGCGCGAAGTCTCGCGCGACGATCGCAAAAGGCGAATCTAGCATAGAATTAAGCCGCGCTGTCGTAGAGTTGTTAGCCTAGGCCAGCGCGTCACGGTGCCAGGGATAGGTGGTGATGCCGGCAGAAAATGCTTCCGGCTCAATCGCTTCCGACAGGCCAACGCACAGCAGCAGCATGCACATCATCAAAGCATCAACATGCTATCAAGTTTGCAAGGTTATTGACCTCGTCCTTCGCAGCACGTACTTATAGAGACTGGACGCTAGCAGATATCTTGACATAGGACTTCCCCCAAAAGCAAATTACCGAAGCACATAAGCAATGTCCGCTGTGAGCACATGCACAGGACAATGCCGAGCGGGATGCACGGAATTGATGACATACATTAGCAGGTACAAGATGATGAGTTGGTGCCCTCCACCGTGAGCTCCTTATTGCATTCGCTGCGGCGAGGAGAAATCGCTAATGTGCTTGTCAATTTAAAAGACTGAGGGCTACAAGGTCGGCCAGAGCAAGACCGTAGCTGAGCTCGCTGATCTCGACAAGGTTAGTTGCACAGGGCCTTCGCGGAGAATCGGTATGGTAGCTGATCCTCGACAAGGGTCTTATGCCCATCGGATTCTGTAGGAGGACGAGTCTCTTCAACGATGGAAGGCATCTTTGGGCCTTGCTGGAGCTCAAGGAGGACCCGCTGAAGGCAAGGCGAGTAGTCAAACGGCTCGTCATGCGTGATCCGTAGCGTGGCCCGAACGCTAATCCGAGGTTTATCGAATCCGTCAAAACAGGTCGTACCTCAAACTCTCTTCTTGGAGTCTCCTACTCTGAAGAAACCATTGGTTCTGGACCTAACTCAGGGAGCCACGGCTCTCGCTACCAGATTCAAGAAGAACCCTTTGGTAATCAAGGAGGTGAGCCGGGCTGCTTGAATCTTGGTCCCTGTATTTTACTCATCGAAGCTCGCCAACACTTCCTTAGGGTGTCGACTACAGCGTCGGTATTACCTTCAGGTTTGTCGTCTGGTGTGCCCAATGCTGGATCAAGGATTCGAAAGCTGACCCTTACCAACTGGTTGCATAGCGTCGAGGGCCAGATCGTGTCTGGTCTCAAGTACCTCCAAGTGGTCAAGCGTGCCGGTCTCTCTCGTAAGTCCGGTAGTGGTTGAACGACTGACTGAACAATGAAGAACTAACGGCTTTGATTATGTGCATTGTACGGCTAGTCGACAAGATGGAGGTCAGTTCAGCAGACGATGAACAACGAGACCACCTGCTCATATCCCCTTTCCGCTTTCAGGCCATGATCGGTTCTTACGGTCCGGCCAGAGATCCGTACCAGAAAATCGTGAGCCAGCTTACCCCTCTTGACATCACGGCTCAACTCATTCAGGCCTGCTTCATTCAACGACAGTTCGCTGCCGAAGAATCTCCCTCTGGTATGCTCGCTCGTTCCGGTAGCTACGACGTCCGAAGCAGGATCATCGACGACGACAACAAGACCTGGTTGGACTTTGAATGGAGTGAGTCGCCTCTGATGAAGTTGCGGGCCCGAACCACTTGCTTATGACATTCGTCTTGTCTTCGTCTCGCAGGCTTCAAGATCGCCAAAGAATGGGCCGCTTAGGCTACAGCAGACGAGAATTCTCCGGCCAACGTATTTCTTTTATTCATCTCAACCCGTACGACAATCTGCACACGAACCTCTTTATGAACCGGTTTTATCTACACCGCTTTTATTCTATGATTTCACGTTCCATCCTACTGGCACCTCGAATCCTGGGTCACCAGTATTCCCTCAATGTGCCGATAACCAGCGTGTGCAGGTCCATCTATAGATCAAGCAGTCTCTTCCTTTCGTCGACCGTGAAGGATTCGGCGGATCGCGCGAAAGATGCGGCCTCTGAGCACGACTACCATCCAGAGCGCGCCGACAATCTGAAAGGCTCCCGAGATTGTTTGCAAGTAAAGCCAGCCCTGGGAGACGGACCTGATCGCACGAGAAGAACCTGCCAAAGCGGGTCCGAAAGCTTCCCCTAGAGATTTCGAAGCTGTGATCAGCAAGCGTCTCGACCCAGTAGCTAAAAGAGGATTCTTACCGAATCCTGTGGGCATGGTCACAACCCCAACGATGGATCCCAAACGAGGATGAGATGATCCGAAACACCGAGCTGCGATGACAGGCGGAAGCGTGCTATAGGTGAAGCGTCAGCTTCAGATAAGCTTTGTATGGACCGCGAGCGCGGACAGATCTGCGATGCCTACAGGTTGGTGCCCGAAAGCTGGATGTCACATAATCCCGGATCAGCTTATAGATCAGACGACAAGGAATCCGAGGAAAAACTTACGAGACCGTACGCGACAGCGAAGCAGACGATTCCAGCAAATGAGGTGGAATAGTGCCAAGCGACCATCTGGATCAGACCCGCTCCCATCATCCCGATGGCGAACGTCTCTGATGGGCCGTATAGATCACACGTCAATCCCAACAAGATCTACGGAAGGATATCAGTGTTTTATTGGATGCAATTTAATATCGAGAACTCACTCTGCCAATACCCATGGCGAACAGCATAGATACGAGGGGTATGCCGTCCTTGAAATCGTCGTTTCCCTTGACGGCGAATTGCCTTGTATAGCTCGTGATGTAAGTGTAAGGAGTCTGCCGAAATTTGAGTCAGCCCAAAGTGGTTGGAACAAAGCGAACTCAAGGAGAAGCCTACGAGGAAGCCCCTGATAGTTCACAGCATATTCTCAGTGATTATTTGCAGCGAGCTGGCACAAATACTCACAATGTACCAATAAGTACTGCCAAAAAGAGCGACCAGAAAGTGATCCTGTCCGAAAGGTGTCGAAATCGTGGGACTATGGAGTAATGCCACCGTTCTGGAGGGATAGTCGCAGTGACCGCGGAGAGCCTTGTCCTTACAGGATGGAGATCATGAGCTTCCTCCACGCGGTTGTCTCCCTGGTCATCCAAGCTGTCGTCTGCCTGTCCAGGCGGAACACGTTCGCTGGCATCCCGTATTTCTTGAGAAGTGTAGAAGTCCTTGACCAACCTCCAACCGAGAATCCAGCTGACTCCTTGGATCGCCGAACAGTATAACATGGTCCTTTTGTAGGTGGTTGTGTCAAGCATATGACGGGTAAGCAGCGCAAGAGCTCCTCCGCCGATCCCGGCACTCCCACCAACGAATCCGTTGGCGGCACCAGACGATCGTGGAAAGTATTGCTGTGGACGCCTCGCTAAGTCAATAAATACCAAGAAGACTACTGGCATAAGTGCTGGAGGACTGACCGAAGGATAAGTGAAAACAATCGGGATGACAAAAGCTTGACCAATCCCAAAGAGGATACCCTGCGCGCCCCGAACCTCAGCGGCTTTCCAATACTGTATGACAGGAATCGGAACCCACCCTAGCGAGGAACGTTTGCCAGAATACCTGAGCGAATGCAGCTGAAAGTGTTCCAATGAAGCAAAGTAAGAGTCCGAGTCCCAAAGTCATCTGGACATCGTCGTCTGTTGAGCTTTGGTTTCGAATCTTAGCAATCGGACTGACATACTTTTTGACCGCTGTAACAAGGTAATCATCATCGTCAACAATAAGTTTCTCCATGAAGTTTACGGAAAGCTCACATTTTATCTCCTACGATTCCACCCACGAAGCTACCTAGGCAAGCGATCTTGATGATTCGTGGCGGTGAGCAAGATACCAACAAGAGGAGTCTCACGTTCACACCACGCTCACCAAACAGCACATGCCATTGACGAGGGTGATTACCGACGGTTCTTCGTTCGGGTATTCTTCTCGTTCGTAGTATTCCTGGAACGCTCCATATGCCATTGGCCAGCTTGTTTTAACGGAAAGTGGATGAGGTCAGCCGAGCTCATGCGAACGCGCCCAATCCGAATCGGACGTACCCAAAGTTGCCGCCTGTTTCATGTTCCGAAAGCATCCGCCTCAGCCGCAAACGTTAAAAACCCGTGCGAGTCGATAACTTACCGGCGACGATCATGCAACCGAGCAAGACAAAATATCTTCTCTTAGCTACAACGGCGACAGAGCTATCAATGATCATGGCCGCTCGTGCGTCTCTTTCAGGGTGGCTGACAACTCACATCGCTCACTCCCAGCTTGAAGACCTAACAGCCCGGCTCCGCTCGATGCGGTGCCCCCTGCCGTGGTTGGCGTTGCCAGATACGACTCTTGAATAGATTCGGTGCCCATTCTGTCTCAAATTGATATCTACCGGAATCCCCCCCAGTCTGCCAGTGTGGACTATCATTCACTCATCCCGGCGAAGAGATATCTTGTCTTCCTCTCTATATATATCAGGGAATTCATCTCCTCTTTTTTTTCGCTTGAAAACACCTGATCCCATACCGGAGACCCTGCTCGCACCCCAAATTCCCAGATTCCGTCCGATCCGTTCTGTGCGGACCATCTGAACCCCCAATATGAAGGTCATCATTGGAGACCCGGATCGCAGTCGACTAGACCCATAGTCTTTTGTTCGGTGGCTGGTGGGTTTAGAACAAAGAACGCAAAGGTGCTGGTATACCGGGGAGGTGGATCTGTTCTCGCGCCTCGCGTCTGGGCGCTCGAATCGGCCAAGCGACGATCCGGCAGCATCCAGATGCTAGATGACACCAGAAAAAGGGCTTCCAAGAAAAACGGTACAGTGGCCAGTGGCTCAGGTGGGAGTCAAGTTAATGCTTGATGGACCTGTCAAGGTCTTGAATCATATGATGAACTGAAGGTCCGCTCGACCGGGACAGTCGTATTAAATGGTATGCGATAGATGAGACCTAACGACAATTTCTGTTCATGAGTTGGGAGATACCCGGAGAGCGCTCTGTCTGGCTACCTCTTCCGCAACGGTTCTCTTTCGTTTGTTACTTCGAATTGTGACTTTGCGATGCTACGGAAACTAGGGGGATTGAGGGATGTAAAGGGCAGGGCGACATATCTATCGGTGTTGACCCGAGCCGGCACCGGTTCCAGCTAATGGAATGTAATGGAAAGAAGGTATGAGCGACTCATCCAGTTTCGTTAGAGGACACGAGCGGTGAGCTTACCCTGAGTGGGGTTGCCTCGCGAGGGGTTCATGGCCGAACCGCCGGTACCAATGTGCTTGATCTGCTGGAGCCTTCCACGAGCCAAGATGATGTTGACAATATCCCTACCGAAGACGAGAATCGTCGAATGCGTAAGCAAAAGAATCCCTTCCATCGCATTCGCGTCCCAGGCGTTCGCAACTCACTCCTCCTGGTGCTTCTTGGCCTTCCTGCCCTTGGCACCACTGACCTCCTTCTGGTTCTCGTCAATCTGCTCTCCACCCTCGGGTCGCTTGGTCTCGTCGTGAGCCCAAGCAACCTCGGTACCGTCGGCGTTGTAAAGCTCGAAATCAGAGGCCAACTCGCCGGAAGAGGGCTTGTTCCAAGTTCCGGTGGAACCGCTCTCGTTTACGAACTGGAGCGTGTCGGAAGAAAGGGTTTGGATCAGAAAGGGATGAAGCAGTTGAGATATGAAAGGGGAATCGAGCTTACAGGCTGGAAAGAGTCGATGAAGAGGGTGACGGCGATCGACTTCTCACCCTTGTACCACTTGTTGTACTGCAGGAACGAAGGATGACCTGGTTGAGCACGAGAATGATACGATCGTCATATCACGACGGGTTATTACTCACGAGGTCAACGTCGGCGATGAAGACGCAGTATTCCTTGGTGCTGCCAGAGACGGGCTTGAGGACGACGGCGTTGGATTCTTTACCCATTGTGAAATAGTTTGTTTGATTTGTTTGGTTAGAGTGTGGGCGGTTGTGGTGTGTGTGTTTGTTGTGAGAACGTGAGTGAGGTCGGACGACAAGGTTTCAAAGGTGATCGTTGTGTTCGTGATCCTATATAGTGATGGGTCAGGGGCTCAGGGGGGTGACGTGCCAGCGATTGGGTATGGGTATGGCCTAGCACTCTCTCTGCGCTCTACGTCATCACGTCACGCGTGCGCTTGTCCCAAGCGTATGACACGCGGTCAGGCGTGAACAGGAGGGACAAGGTTCATGACGTGTACATTACGTACAGACTCGGTTCCGCAGTGCGCTTTTGCTTGTCACCTCTTCTCGGCGATCAGCGATCGATCGCACTCTCGCTCACCTCCGAAATCAGACGCAAGTTTCGGATGAGATGCGATGACTTCGGGTTGACAGGACCCTTGAACCTTGACTCGGCCAGATCACATCTCGACCCTTGGCTTTGCCATAGCGAACATGTCGACGAGCGTCGCGGCACCGGCGGAAAAGGCCATCTTGGCACCAAGCTCGAACGTGCAATATGCAGGTTTCGCGGCCGGCATCGCATCGGTGAGCGATGATGTGCACGGGCCAGATCGACTTGCCAAGGAGGCTAACCCGCTGACTTGTCCTAATCGCTGTCCCTTACAAAAGGGCTGGACTAAAGTCAGTTGCCCAGCATCTTGGATTGGATCCTTAAGATACTGACAGTTTGTAATTCACGCACATCGCTACAGCTGATCGTCGGGCATCGTGAGCATCCGAGATTTTCGGCTCGACCGGAACACCAACCTGACCTAATCTTGAATCTCGTCTGATTAGCATTCGATACGATAAAAACTCGTGTACAATGCGCCCCTCCTCAAGCCTACCGGGGCGCTCTCGACTGTTTCATCCAGACCGTAACGAAAGAAGGACCACGGAAGCTCTACGCAGGGGCACTCGCGCCCGCTCTGGGGTGGTCGATCACGGATTCGATCCTGATGGGGAGCTTGCATAACTATCGGAGATGGTTGAAGAATGCCGGGTTTGGAGAGAGTGATCCGAAGAAGATGAAGGGGGTTTTGGAAGTGGGGGACGATGGAAAGCGGTTGAGTTTGATGGGGCATGCGATAGCGGGTGAGTTCCGCGATTTGAACGCTCGTGCTTCAAGTCTTGTTTCAAATGTTGATCAACTGGATGGTATATCTCGCAGGGATGTTTGCCGGATTTTCGAAGTGAGCAATACGTTATTATACCCTAGACCTTGTCGACCATGCTGATCACGACCCGTAGGACATAGTGCCGCCTTCGCTCACCCTATTGAGACGATCAAATCTAAACTACAACTCCAGTTCAGCCTGGACGCCCTGAAGAAACCCTCGACCGCATCAATATCGACACCAGCCCCAGTATTGACACCGAATTCGACGTCGACTGGTCAAGTTCGTAGTTATACTATAAGCAGTGCAAGTGGGCTGCATCGGGTACCGAAAGAGCTGTTTCGAGAACGGTATACGGGACCGATCAACGTCGTCCAGCAGACCGTCAAGGTCCAGGGGCTGAAAGGAATGTGGAAAGGATTCGGAGCGACGCTATGGTTCAGAAGCAGTTTCGCTGTGAGGATCCCGAAGGTTAGAGGTCTATCTGTTATAAAATCGAAGCTGATTTCGTCTGGTTTCTCGGTTTCATAGTGGATGTTCGGAGGTAAGGGACTGTTTGGAACACAAGATTGAGGCGACAGAGCGCTGAAGGAAACTTGGAAGATTAGGATTCGAGTTCTTCAACCGGCAGTTCGCGAAGCTAGAGAACACACCTTATGCCATGTCGCAGGGGACTAGCAACTTTATTGCCGGTGGGATGGCCAGTAACGGTAAGCCGTCGACACTTGTCGCATTACCAGACAGAAGTGTGACCAGCGCTCGCTCCTGCGTCTTCGATAGCCTACTGGGCCGCAGCGCTACCCGCCGACAACGTCAAGAACAGAATCATGTCCGACGGCCTCTCTCAGCCAAAGTACAAGGGAATCTGGCACGTCGTACAGACCATCTTGCATGAAAAGGATTGTTCATCGAGGTCAAGGATGGGGAACTTGTTGGTAGGCGGGACCAACTTTTACCGGGTGAGCCTTGTCGTAAATGCCCATGTTTTTTTCCCTTCAAAATGGTCGTTGATCTTGTTGCTGTTGCCGATTACTAGGGCGTATTTCCCGTGGCCTTGAGGGCTTTCCCGACGAACGCTGCTGCATTGACCGTATGGGAAGCTGTGATGAGGTCTTTTAACAAATGAGTTGGGACAAGGTGGTCATGAGTCACGTGATGCGTTCTCGGGGGCTGCCGCTTCGATTCCGCGAGGTGTAAACAAACAAAAGTAGATCATAAACAAACGTACAAACGATGAATCTAACTACTACAAGCTATAAGCTACCAATTACCAATCTCTTGTACATGCTGATGGCTGATCAACAAGATAGCACATAGACGCTTCTTGCACATTTCGCCGTCGAACTAGCCCGCGCTGCACTAGCTACGGTCTGCAACAGCTGGAGATCCGTGAATCACGATGGCGTTCTTCGGATCGGCCGATTCCGACTCATTGGTCAAGCAATTGAGAAGTCAACTCGCTCAGAAAGACTTTGAGATCCAGACCCTGATCAACGAGCAGACGAAGAAAGATGAGCTCTGGAGCGAAACAAAACGAGCTAAAGATGACGCCTTGTACAAGGCAAGCTCTCGCTCCCGCACCATTTCCTCAATCGTAATACTGATCGTCTCGTTCTGGTGTACTTTTTCACAGGCTCAGACTGAGCAGGAAAGAGCAATGAAGGCCGAAAGAACCCTTGCCAAATCCACAGCTGTATGCTTGATAGTCCCTCCTTCTCGATATTCTTGTCACCACGCTAACCAATGCTTCACAGGACCTGCAAAACGCCAACATGCGGTTAGCGAACCTGGAGTCGACCCTGAACGATGCAAATGTTCGGCACAAGAAGGACCAAAAGGATATCGATCGTTTACAATACGGCAAGTTCGGAACGTGTGATGTATGCTTGAGCCCCGATCTCACCGGGCACGATATACAGAACTCGACACTCGAGCGGATTCCGCTGCGGCCACCAATCGCGTACAGAACACGGTCAACGGCCTGCAAGACGAGATCAAGAGCCTGAAGAACCAGCTTCAGAGAACCCAATCGGAGAAGGAAACACTCGAAAATCAGGCCAGGCTCAGCGGCGGGAGTGGAATCTTTGGAGCGGGTGGTTTCGGCAGCGGCCACGGCGGGAATGGGAAAGAAAAGGCGACGATACTTGCTCTCGAAAACGAAATGCAGGCTTTGAGGAGGGAGAACTTGAGGTTGATGGAACAGGACCGAAATGTGAGTTGGCAGTTGAGCTCATGTCTGAATAATTGAGTTGACAGGATCTGTGAGTATACAGAACGCTTCAAGCTCTACGCCTGTTCGACCTCGCACCCAAACCTCGTTTCATCCTTCCCCCACACCTCGATCCAAACGTGCTCTTTCGTTCAGTGGAGGCGCATCCCACCCGAAAATTCAAGCTCTGGAAGCCGAAATCGAGCACCTCAGGTCGCAGGCCATGCCGGGTCTCGATATGAAAGAGGTCGAGAAGCTCCGGACTGACGTGGAAACAGCCAAAAGGCACGCCCTGAAGATGGAAAACGAAAAGATGGCCGCCGAACGATCTATTCAACGCGAGATGGAGGATATCAAGAGCAGACTCTCGGATGCCAACGACGAATTGCAGTACCTACGTGCGCTTGACGGACAATCTGTCCAGCAAGAGCTGCAAAATGCGAAGAAGGACGCACAGAAAGAGCGATTGGCTCTCGAGCAGGAGCTGGAGAGCCGATCCAACGATCTTGAGAAGCGCAAGATGGACGTGTTACGGCTCGAGGCCCGGCTGTCAGAAGTGCAAGACGAGGTCGGTCAACTCCGGTCAGAGGCATCAGTAGCTGTACAGCCCGACGAGGATGAAGTACGCGGCCTGCGTGAAACTATCGCCAATCTCAAGCAAGAGTTGGAGAAACGCACGACGGCATACCATGAGGCGAAGAAGCAAATCCAATGTCTCGAGGACAAGCTCAAGGCCGCCTCGAAGCCTGTCAGCGATAATACGCCCACTAACGCACAAGCTGCAAAACTACAGAGAGCACACCAGAGAGAGATCGAGGATCTTCAGCAAGCTAAGGATACACTCAGGCGTCATCTGGCTGACAGCGAAGAATTGGTAGCCGAAAGGGACGCCGAGATCTTCGAGCTGAAGCGGCACATGCCGCTGCCATCCAGCAGCGCAGACGCTTCTTTCAACGACTTGTCCGCAGTGGATACGGAAGAGCTCAAACAACAGCTTACAGCAAAAGCTGAGCAGCTCGAGGAGGCGCACCAAGCAAAGGCTTTGCTAGAAGATCGACTGCAGCGCGTTGAAACGGAATTGAAGCAAGCTCTTGCAACCGCGTCTAGCAAGGACGTTGAACTTGATAATCTTCGAGAACAGCTGGAATCTACGTTGTCCGAAACCGAGCAAAAACGACATGTGCGTTGAGACCAGATTCTTTGGAAGTTTAGCGCTGACCGGTTGCGTCTTTCGTCAGGCCCTGACCGAACAACTCGAAGCCGAGGAGCAAAAATGCGGGGTCTACGAAAAGCAACTTGAAAAGCAAGAAATATTGCTAAGGAACTTGACCGACAAGCTGGCCGGCCTACAGGAGGAACAGCAACTTACCTCAGCGAATATAGACAAGGCGGCTAACAATCAGCAGCAGATCGATACACTTAGAGGTCGAATAGTCGAGTTGGAAGAGCAGGCCAAGAGCATGGACGCCCTACAAGACAAGATCACGCAGAGCGAAAGATGTCTCGACGAGCTTCGCGTCGAGAAAGCGGCGCTTGAAGGCGAGCTCGCAGGTGCCAGACGAGCGCTTTCAGATATCCGGGCTGAACTGGAAGAGACATCCGCATCCGCAAGGCGACTTCAAGCGGAGCAGCAAACTCTCATTGCGGGTCATCGGCGGGAGGTGGAATCAAGATCGGCTGCTCAGAAGGCTCACATGGCGTGAGTCTGATCGTCGAATTTCCTTGCAATTTTCTGGCGTTGCTGACAGGACCCTTCTAACAGTGAACTGCAAAGCCAGCTGGATGTTATGCGAGACCAAGTAGAGGAATCTGACGCCGAGTTGTTCCAGCTACAAGAGGAACTGGCCAAGGCGACTTCTTCGCAAGTGGAGACGGGAGCTCACAAAGAAGCGTCATCTCAATCCGACCGTCTACAGGTAGAACTCGACCATGCCATCCAGCAGACAGTAAAGCTCGATGCGCAGGTGCGCTCTCTGAGGAGCACTTTGGAGTCGCTCAACGACGATCTCGAAGAGAACCAGCGGCTACTGCAATTTGCCGATGTGGAGCATGGCATCCTCTCGCAAGCCGTCTCTGCAGCGAACACGGCCGAGCAGATCTCGACCGCTCAGATGAACCGCTTGAGAAAGGAGCTGGAAGAGGCAGAAAGCGCGTTGAGCGAGGAGCGGGAGGCCACGTCGACCGAACGTCAGGAGAGCCAGGAGATGATCACGCGCTTGAAGGACGATTTTGCAGCTCTTCAATTGGAGCACGAGGACCTCGTTGATAGCAAGACACAACTCGAGACGGCTTTGGAGACCGCAACATCGGAGATTCAGCGAAAGGAGAACGATCTGCAATTGGCCCGACACCAACTCAACAGCATAACCGCCAATTCCACCGACGGAGCTGTGATCGAACTTCGCAGACATGTGCAAGAGCTAGAGGCAAGAGTCGCTCGACGCAATCAGCTTGTTGCCGTCGAGCAAGCCAAAACGAAGAAGGTCGAGATGAACCTGGAGATGGCCACGCAGGACATCGAGGAACTCGAAGCAGAGATAAATAGGCTGCGTGAGGAGGTGTCTGCCAAGGAGGCTGTGACCAACGAGAAGGACGCAGAGACCGCCGAGTCGCGCGAGGAGTCCCTCAAACAGCTTGACAAGCTTGAGCAAGAGCTGGTTCAAAGTAGGAGGGTGGAGGAGACCCTCCGCTTGGAGGTGCAGGCACGCAGCGATGATCTTGCCAAGGTAGTTGAGCAGCTTGCCCGCTCAGATAATGACAGGCAGACAGAGGGATTACGAGCGACCGAGCTTCGAGAAGGTTTGGAACGCGATTATCTTGCCAAGGTGGACTCGGTGACCCGCGAAATGCAGCATCAGTGCGAACGATTTGAGATGGAGCTACAGTCGACTTGGTCGGACCTGCAAGATGCGACCGGGACCATCAACTCGATGACTGTGCAACTAATATTATGGTCACGGGAAATCCACTCGCTCGAGTCCTCTCGTGACGGAGCTCTACGAGGCGCAGAGGTTGAGGCCAGCCGTAACGTTGATCTAAGGTCCAGACTAGAAACTGCTCTGGCACAAGTCGAGGCAGTGTCTAGCCAGCTTAGCGTCAAGGAAGATAATCTTCGACAGGCCCTGCAGCATGCAGAGGTCGAAGCGAGCCGAAACACTGGCCTGAGGTCCCAAATGGAAGAAGCTATGGCGCAAGCCCAGGCTGCATCTGACCAGGTCAGGGTCAAGGAGACTGAGCTGCAGAAAGCTTTGAACGGATTGACACGCGATATGGAAGACAGCCATGCCGAAGCAAGTCAGCAAATAGGCTTGTTGCGGGAGCGAGTCAAAGAGCTCGAGGAACAGTTGCGATCTACTTCCACATCTCTCGAACAGCAAGCCGACACAGCTTCGTCGGCTCAGGAAGAACTCGTCTCTGTCAAGGCCGAACTGACCAGGTTGGAAGATATTAATGCGACCCATACATCGGAGAGGCTACAAGAGACTGAGACGCATACCAGAGAAGTTGCTTCTGTCCGTAAAGACTGCGAACGACTTTCCCACTCGCTTGCGCTAGCAACTAGCGATCTCGAAAAGGTCGATGACTCGTATCAAGCGACCAAGAAAGCTTTGGAATCCCTCAATCGAGAGTTGGACGCCTCGGCTAGGCAAGTCGAAGCGATAACGATCGAGCGCGATAATGCACTGGAATTGTCAGCGACTCTGCAGAAGGAAATTGCTCAACTTTCGACGCGATGTTCCGATGCCAATGCGAAAGAGGAGTCCGCCACGGTCAGAATGGCGGCTCTCGAGAACCAGTTGTCACAGGAAATGGAGCAAATAGATCAACTGAGAGCCGCACAAGCCCAAGCCGAAACTCGACTGCAACAGTTGCTCAAACAGGTCGACATCCAACAGTCAGCCAATGAGCAACTGAACCGAAGTCTTGCGGAACACAGTCGGGATCGCTTCCAAATCGCAGCCGAGAGGGACGAGTTGATCAAGGATCGTCAGTCGAATGACGACCAGCTTGCCGAGGAGCAGTCGGTGGCACAACAGCTGCGCAAAGACCTGGAAAGCGCTACCAATGAAACAACGCGACTGCAGGCGGAGCTTCAAGCCAAGTGAGTCGGTGACAGGTATTTGAAAAGCGATTTTTTGGCTGAATGAACGGCTTCTGCCACGTATAGATCGGAAGAAGCGTCTGTGATAAATGCACGTTATCAGAAAGCCCATGGGCTGGCTTCTGCCCTGACTTCAGATGCAAGCCGGCTGGAGAGCAAACTGCAAGAAGCCTCCAAGAAGCTCGCTGCAACGGAAGTTGCCATCGCCAAATTGACGGATGAGAACGCGTCGCTGGCAAGCGCCTCGCAGACCCAGTTGGATGACGTAAACCGTGAGTTGCAGAGCTCCTCACTGCCCCTTAGCAAGCTACCGCTAAACAAAGTATGCCCGTCAGGTCTCGAACAATCGCTCGAAGGCATGCAGACCGAGTTGGAGGAACAAATGGCTCAAGTCCGCAACGCCAATAAGGCCAAAGCCCAACTACAACGCAAGGTTGACAAGCTGGAACGAAAACTGAAATCAATGTCAGACGTGCCTGCCGCCGCCGAAGTGCCTATTCCTGCCGCAGTGCTCGCCCCTCAACCGATAGTGCACAACCAAGAGGCAATACGAAGTTCGCCTGGTGCGCTTGCAGGCCAGAAACGCGTTCGAGACGACGATCTGGCAGTCAAGAAAGTCTCTGCCGGACCTGAGGCCGTCATTGCTCCCAGCCCATTCGAAATGGCTCGCACGCCTGTGAAACGGATCGAAGCCGGCACAAACAGGCTGGCTTTCACCCCCACGCGGCATAATCTCAACCCAAACCTCGGTGCTATCCCTCGTTCACCATACGCGAGGCTCGCCGCTGGCGACGAAAATTCCTTTCCCGCCATGGCAATGATGCGAGGCAGAATTGGATCGGTACTAAACCAGCACACACCCGGACCGTAATTCCTTGAAAATCCAACACCCAGCATCTTTCCGCGTCTATAATACGAACGTTGTATGCATATCATGACTTCTCGTCTCATCGTTTGCTTGTATCGTTATAGTTACATCGTGTCTCTCGTGTGCTTTTGCCGCATCCTGATGCTCTATTAGTCGGCGTAAATGTCGACATCGGTACCAGGCAACCAAGAAGCGGGAATGACACCCTGTAAGGAATCGTCATCAAAGGCTGATCGCCCGACGTAGACCTTGAAGTCGCCGGCTGGGACGGTCCATCTCGATGCGACGACGTCCCAGACTGCCATGTCGTAGTAAGACAGGTGAAATTGCGCTTTTTGCGCCTCCCACTTGTCAAGAGTGACCCTGTGACATGGCGTGAGTTTCAGCGATTCGTGCCTTCGAGTCAAGATAGAATCGAAACATACCTCGTGAACCCCTTGAGCACTTTGGGTGGCTGGTCGACGCCTTCCGGGAAACCTGTTGTGCTCCAGGATAATAAGTCACAAGTTCATGAAGTGGTCCGCAAGTCCTTCAATTCTCACCGAGGTAAAGCTGAGGCACTTCGCATCCGTAAACTCCCCCGACGTTTTGAATATCAACAGTCACTTCGTATCGAGGCTCGTGTAAACTCTACAAGTAAGGATCAAAGGGACGGTCAGCTGAGCTCTTGACGCTACCATCAAAGCCGAGTGACGTACGCGTGACAAGGAAGATCCGACTTGGTTAGTGGCGTTCGCAGCGGTATACGCTTCGCCCGAGTTCCATCGTCGCTCGTTGTTCTGATCAGACAATTGTCGGGTCTGGAAGTTGGTGTAATTGAAACTGGTGTACGAGAGACCGTAACCGAAACCATATCTGGGGGTCAGATTGTTTTGCTGATAATATCTATAATCAAGGTAGATTCCTGTTGAACATGGATAAGCGTTTATCCACAGCTGTGCAGCGATGCTATACACACCTTCATTGTAGTCCACTTGGGGTTGAGGATCCAGGTCAGTGTTGATGAATTCGATCTGAACGGGCCATTCTTCGAGGCCTTTGGGGATGGTGTATGGCAAGCGTCCGCTGGGGTTGTAATATCCGTACAGGACATCGACGATGCTGTTGCCAGCCTCTTGGCCTATAGAGAGACGGATTGAGTCGTTTGAACTGATAGTGAGACCGACACGTAACTTACCAGGGAAGCCCGCCATAATGACGGCAGTGACATTGGGATGGTCGATCCAGGCTTCCATATCGATTGCACCTGGAGAGTGGATCACGACGACAACGTTGTCCGTGTTGCTGTAAAAGAAGCACGTCCGTTTCAGCAGAGATACTTCGAGACCAGACTTCGCATTCAAGCCTTACTTGGCAACGGCGAGGACAAGCTCGTCACCCCCCTTCCAGGCGGTAATGTTGTTTCGATCACCAACATTCCCATCGACGGTGATATACTCCTCGCCGGCGTCGCTCGCGATGAACACCAGCGCCACGTCCTTGTTGACGGCGGCGGCGGCGGCTCCTTCCAAGTTGTAATCCTCGAGCCACCAAGAGAACTGAGTTCGATCCGCCAAAGCCTGCTTCTGAAGCGCTTCGAGCGGAGTAATCAAGTAGGTGAAATCGGCCGTCCCGCTGCCCCAGCCGATGGTAACCGTTCCATCGAACCCGCCTCGATCGGGAAGACCGTTCGGTCCCTTGGTAGCAGGTCCGGAGTCGGAACCGAAGACGGCCATCGTCCTGGGTTTCCGAAGGGGTAACGTGTTGTTGACGTTCTTGAGCAAGACGCTCGACGCTGCTCCGATCTCCCTGATCAAAGCGCCGTGGTCCTCCCTAACGTCGACGTACTCATTGAGCTCGTCATCATTCCTGTCAAACGCGTCAAAGTTGACGTCTGGGAAAGATTCGGCGTCTTGGCCGAGCAGATACCATCCGCCTAGGATTCGAGTGGCCATGTCATCAAGCCTCTCGATGGGGACAGAACCATTGTTCACGGCCTCGGTCAAGTTGGCGCCAAAGTAACTGTCGTTGGACAAAAAGGTGACATCTCCCGGCCTGGACGTCGCAGCGCCACAAGAAATCTTATACCGTTAGACAACAAGATGCCGGATCGCCTGCGTCGATATGATCCGACTCACATGGTCATGTCAAGCCCATTCAGAGCCGAGTCGACACCGCTATGGGTAGCAGCCCAATCGGACAGGATGTATCCCTGGAAGCCGAGTTCGTGCTTCAACCAGCCGTTTTGGGCCAGAGCATTCTGGAATCCCCAAACGAAAGTCAGGTCAATCAGCCTCCGTGTTGTTACCGCCTATTGGTCTTTCAGTGTGGCGCCCTACCTGGCAAGCATAACTGCTGTTGATGAGGTCTGAGAACGATTTGGTCAGTCACTGCGCTAGTCAGGCCTTACTGTTGCGTAATTGCTTACTATAACTGCACATGAAGCTCGCCACATCCGCCTGCACCGCCTTCAAGAACGGCGGCAAGTAATGCATATGCGTCGTGTAATCGTCCACGTTGCTCGAGCTCGTCGTTCGGTTCCGCTCCTGTTCGTTGAAGATGTAATGTTTCGCACAGGCTTGAACGCCAGACGATTGGAGACCCTTGATGGTAGAGTAGGCGACTTCTCCGGCTAGGTAAGGATCGGCTCCGGCCATCTCCCAGTTTCGACCTGCATTGGGCGTACGTTCGCCGTTCATTCCTGTGTGTCGAATCGAGTGGACCCGAGGCGAAGGAAAGACAAGGCGATGAGCCGCTAGGAGCTATAACAAGTGGAAGACTGACGACTTACCTGGTCCCAAAGCGACGTTGACTCCCTTGCCGACGAACTCTTTCCCCATCGCCTCTCCCCTCGCGTACATAAGATCCCTATCGAATGTACTCGCGATATTGATTCCCGAGGGGAAGACCGAGACCCCATCGGCAAACCTCACCCCGGCCGGACTGTCCTCCAGACACAGTCCCTTCCAGTTCGTCCCGTTGATAGCAGCGATGTTCCCCACGCAAGCCCTACCACCTTCTCCTTTCGCTTGCCATCCTAACCCGGTCGTCAAGGTGACTTTGTCTTCGACAGTGAGATTGTTGGCCCGGATGAACTCGCGCGCTTTGGCAATGGCTTCAGACCATTCCGATCCGGTACCTCTGGTCGAGCTCCAGGGGAATGGCGGGGAGTACGAGTTGTTCACGCCGACAGAGTAGGGACCTAGGTCGGTAGCGTTCGGATTCCATAGCGGGTTCGTGTGGTTGGAGAATAGAGGGACGTAGGGCTCAGTCGAGTTGTCTTGCTCTGGAGACGGGCTCGGGCTTGGGTTGGCTCCGGGAGCATTGGGATCGGACTGATCTTGGGCTCGGGTTCGGCTCGAGAGGGCGAGCCCCACAACGAGCAGACTGGTCAGGCAAACCATCTTGATACTATCGAGAGCTTTGCTTCTTCTGAAAGTGCGTACGTGTGTGATTTGACGACCCGGTGACGAGTCTTTCTCCTGGTTATATACTTTTCGCTGTCGGTGTTCGTGTGCCATCGAGGAGGAAAGTCTTGGAAGTCGGAGGCGCTAGTCGCTAGTCCCGGAGGAATGACAGACGTGGTCGAATCGAGAGGCAACACCGACGAGAGGGATCAGGGATGGGGCTGTGTATCAAACCAAGAACAGAAAGATGTGAGCCAAGTTTCGCATGCACATGACGGTTGCTATAGAGGGACGTGGTGTCTCGAGAAGTCACCCCCCAAGAACCATCCCATCAATCGCTGATGATCACGATCGCTGATGATGATGACGAATCCATGATCAAAGGAGGCCCGTCAACGTTCTAGCGCGGAACTATTTGCACCCGAATAAACGTCCGACAAGGGGGGTGGCGCATCTTGGATGGTGGGGGCGCCGCTCGTACGAACCATTGTGTAGTCCGATCTTGGGTTAGAGAGTAGGTAGGAAGCTGAAGATGTGGTACAACATGCCTCAACGTCATCGTGACAGGTCTGAACTGAAGTTGACAAAATGGACGGAAGCTGATGCTTCCAAATCTGCCCATTCCTGTCAACCCAGATCGTCGCCCTGATTGTGACTGTTATCGTTGTCGCTGTCGATGATCAATACGGATACGCAATATTTTAGCTTGTTGAAAGCGCCAAACCAGGCTTGTCCGCGAGGTCATGCCTTCTTTTCGAGATCATTCTTCTCCGCCAACTCTGTCCGTGGTGGTATCGTTTAGCTGCAGTTGACGGGAAATAAGAATGCTTTTTGACCGTTCGTACTTGCTCGTGTATACGAGTACATGCGAATAAGAGGATACATGGCTCGATCTCGGTTCTGCGTTAGTACTTTGCTACAACCTCTTCGTAATATCATGTCGGCCTCCGATAGATCCTCCTCCTCTCCCTCAGATCATCCTCGTCTTCCTCATCTTCCGCCGAACACCAGAACCGCACAAATTCCTTCCAACCCCTGATCAGCTTCCAGCTCCACCAGCTCGGGTTCTTTATCCTGTCCCAATAAGAACCCCAGATGACCTCTTGTTCGGTCTTGTAATGAACCTCATTCGGGTCCATGGATGCATTGGGAGGAAGGTACCGTCCGCTATAAGTCCGGATCAAGATTCCTCCACTAGGCGTCCGACGAGGAAGTCCCAAGCCGGACGAGGAGGTCTCGAAATTAGGCGACTCCATCGGAGGTGTCTGTATCCCTCCACGCCCACCTCCACCAGTAGAGAACGACCGAAAGAGCCCGTTCGACACCGAGGAGGACTTGGCCGCATGTTCCCTCGCCCAGCTCTCTGCGCGTTTTCGAGCCGCGTCCGCAGAAAGTTTCTCTATCTCGGGATCTCGTGGGGTCAAGGTCGAATTTCTTCGCTGGTTAAAGGACAAAGAAGACGATCGTGATGGAGGGTTCGAGCTGTTCAAGCCTGGGGTGCCTACACCTCCTCCTGGAGCTGCTCCCGCACCAGGGAAAGAGAAGTAATCCGTGCTACCCGACGCCCCACCTAAGCGATCGTCAATACCAGGGGTATTGCCCTCATTCACCCCGGACAATGCCGCCGATAGCGAGTTTCCCGAAAACAACCAAGAGTGTTGCGGTGGCGATGCACATAGCGAGATGCTCGCTGACGACGTGAGCGAAGTGGATTCTAATCCTGTCAAGCTCGGGCTTCTATGAGATGTCGGGCGAAAAGGACGAGGGTCGTCCAAGGTGGTCATGGCCCCCAACCGGCTATGTCCCGAAGCGGACCGGTTACCTCTGGTTGCAAAGACGTCGTCCGACTCCTCAACAGCCCCGTCAGAAGTTCCCCCGACGCTGGTCGTTGAACCAATCCGAGAAGGGACCCGACTTCCTCCCGCTACACCACTCGCACCGCGGAGACCCGACTTGACACGCACACGAGGGGAGAACCTGACTTTGCTATCGCTCGACAAGAGACGAGGTTTCGGGTACAGCGAGGTTGAACCGGAAGGGCGATGTTGTGGACCGGCAGGTAGCGTACGACTGGGTGATGGGGATGTAGATGAAGGCGAAGGCGATTCGTGAATGGGAGACGAGACCAATTGAGGTGGCGATTCTTCTTCGTTGTCTCCGTTCCCGCCGTCTTCATCCCCTAATTCAACGTGACCATGCCCGGCCTGCTCCTCCTCCCCGTCCTGATCTGACCGCTCCCCGTCATCCGTCCCAGAACTGTTCTCGCCGACCTCCAGTTCCGGCGAGAAGGTCCTCGGTACCGTTTCTGACCTTTCGGCCATGTTCCATAACAGCGGCAACCCAGGGTTATCCGCCGGATTAGGTTCTTCAGCGGTCGCAGCGACGTCCCCTAGTTGGGCTGATTCGTCTTCGCTATCCTCTCCATCGTGAAGGTTCATATTCTCCTGCTCGAGAGGATTCTGAAGAAGCTCGTCCTGTTCGTATCCATCGTCTTCGTCATCATCGGAGATGCTGGGCGCGATCGAGACGTCGTCCTCGTCCGTCCGGCGTCGACCAGCAGCGGCCACAGGACGAAGGCTCTTGTGGCTAGATCTGCGGTCCTCTTCGTCAGTCGTGATCGTCGACGGTGCCCAAGCTTTCTTAGCGCGATCGAGCTTGGAGTCTGTACGACGTCGGATTTGCGAAAGACGGCCATGTCCCAATCAGCGTCCACGAGCTCGGAATCATTCATCTAAGAAGATATTCTTGCAAGACGTACGTAGGTCGTCAAGATAGACTTCTTCCTCGCTCTTGAGGTCTTTGCCCCAAATAATCGGCTTGTCCAACCTCGACCCGCCCCCACCGGCGTCCTCCGGCCTCTTCAATTCGGGCCAGTTCAGGTCATCATCGTCTCGATCGTCTCCCTCGATGTTCGCGCTCGGCAGATGGCGATCCCGACCCGATGACCTCGGAGAGCTCCCAGGGGTCATCGCTACATCCGTAGCCGATACAGAAGAGATGATAGGAAGGGTTGGCTGGACAGACGTTGTATGGCTGAAGAGAGGTCCGATAATGTTGTTACCCAAGAACTGATCGGGACGCGGTCGAGATCTTACGGACGCGGTCGAAGATCCGGAAGCAAATTTCAGGGCACCAGAGGGAGGGGGACTTCGTATCCGCGCGTCGGAAGCAAATATTACGTGATTTTGCGTATTTCAACCTGTATCTGATGCAGTCAAACTTGTTAGTAACAACCTCTTCAAAATCCGTTTTGTTTGGAGGTTCCGGTACACTAGTCGGTTAGTGTAATATCCTCCCAAATTCAGGTGTTTTGAAGCCAGTTTAAAGGTCAAATTTTGACTTGGAAATTCGCATCAAATATGCTGCAGAAGCCGCGCGCAGATCCGGAAGCAAATCTGCTTCCTTGTGCTCCTGCGCCTGCTCTCCCACCGCGCCCGTAAGATCTCGACCGCGTCCCGATCAGTTCTTTTGTTACCCTGCCAGAGAGGTAGAGGGTTAACGTTCGGAGCGCTTTCTTTCACGTGACAAACCTTCGCGGACGACCTCAGCGAGATCAGCTGCCCAGAACAAGGTTGGACGACCTCTCGATCCCTAAACAACACATGTCAATCTTGACGGCTACTCCAACCCATCAACCGTGAATTAGACATAGAAACAGAAACAGAATTGGGAAAGCTTCAAAATGACGGTCCGAATAAGACTCGCTCGACACGGTCAAAAGAACACGCCGTTCTACCACATCGTGAGCACTTGCAAAGGACGACCATGTCGCGAAATGATTGATTTGTTGATCTATACTCGCTCTTGTTCAGGTCGCCATCAACGGTCGAAGACGGCGGGATGCTCTCCCTATCGAGAAACTAGGGGAATACGACCCCATCCCTCGGATTCCAAGCACCTCGATCACCACATCAACTCCATCCGCCTCGTCGTCATCTTCGTCCTCGACCTCTTCCTCCCGCTTAGAGCCCCGCTCGGCCCCCAGCTTCAATCCCTCCTTAGAATCAATGACGATGAAAGCGCTCTTTGCCAACGGCCCAGTACCGGGAGTTCAGCCGGAGAAAAAGATCGTTTGGAACACGGAGCGAATCAAGTGGTGGTTAGCGAACGGAGCGCAACCTTCAGAGACTGTTGTGAAATTGTTGGAAAAGGTGGGTCGTCCGACAGTCTCTTCCCACCGATACCTCATCCCCCTCCAAACCACGGTCAACCGCAATCATCGCGGTTGTGGCTCAGATGTCCGAAAGTCTACAATTACTAAACTCGAACCCCGGCTCTTCTTCCTTGCGATGAGAACAGGGAGGAGTCCTGACTGGCAACCATAAATGGAAGATCCCCTACAAACGACCCAGTACCAAGCCGGCGGAAAAGACCGCCTAAGCCAGAGCATAGATCAACCGCTGGAGAAGCTGCTTGTACCAATACCATACTTCCATCTTTACCCCTTTGTAGACTATCTACGCACCTGGATACGATCGACCCATACGTGCATACATCGATCTCCCCAAGCGATTCACAAATTGGGTTTGGTGATCATCGACGATCGGCTTGCTCAGATCAAGCTTGAAATCACTCCCAACGATGAGCGATCAAATATGAAAACGTTACATGTCGCGCGATCTCTTCACAATTTCAGTCTTGTGATCCGGACCAAGGCACAGCAAAAAGCGATCGTTATAGTCATCATGGAGAAGAGAGCTCGAGGATACCGCAATGGACACGTCCAGCTGTAAGACGTGAGCTAACGGAACGTCCTGCTACATGGGCGGGATGGTATAGAGAGACAAGAAAACCCGAGTTTGAGACCGAGAAAGAAGAAGTCGAGGCGTAGGAGAATCCGCCATGGTCGTAACGTGAAGACGTGAAAAAAGTCCCAGAAGAGAAAGGACTTGCAGATATCGAGCCAGTTTACTGATCGTAGGTCCCTCCGGTGTGTTGAGCGGCTGAAGGGGAGATGAAGAATAGTCAGGTTTCGATCAAAGCTGTTGACCGGTGACGGCCGAGCTCGCCATACTCACCGAGCCTGGCTTCGAGAGCCTTCAGACTGTCCTCCTTGGCCACTATCGATGACAACCATAACGTCTCAGTTTCCACACACGACATTCATGGTGCATCCGCAAGAACTCACTCAGTTCCTGCTTGCGCTGCAAAATCTCCCTCTGCACCCTGAGTTCGATTTCTTTGAGCTTTTCTTCTTCCCTCCTCAGTTGGTCCTCTTTCAGCAAGGCCGACTGCTGAGCCATGTCGGCCGGGGCGACGCTCGAGCTCCTGTGTCGAGCGAGGATCGTAACATGAGTCGATGGTCCGGACATGGTCTAGGCTCTGCAACGCCATGCACGACTTACGGTTCGCTCCCGACGGCTCGAGAGAGCTTTTCAGTACGGTAGTTCTCATACCTGATAACGATACCCATATGCACATCAGTTTCTTGGTGATACCGCTGCAACAGCCTAGAGAGCATGCTACTCACAGGAAATCGTGAGTAATCTCCTTGAGATCGGTCAAGTGGGTCATCAACAACGCCTGCCTCAACCTGGCGAAATCGCTGTGGTCCGGGTTCTCAACCTCGACGATACCCCAGGGGTAACGACGGCCGCGGACATTCTCGCCGTTGATCATGAACTTTTCCTCTGATCCGACGATGGCGAACGGAAGTAGGGCCTAGCGGAAACAGGGCAGAGTGACGACGGTCAGCAGGGGTTGAAGAGGTCTGGCAGACTACGTTGAATTTCGACTCACTCGCAACTCGCTGTTGTCAAGTATGGTATCCTCGTCATCCTCTTCGACGTCATAAGGGAAGTTGTAAACAGGAATACTGTAGTACTCGATATCCTCCATGATCTGACAACCACAAGCCCTCTAGATGAGCTAACAGACTTGACCTCTCAGATGCCTTCTCGCCGACTCACCCTCTTTTTGAACTCTCGCAACTCTTTCGGGGTCAACGTGTCGGATTTCCCAATAACCGGGATGACGTTAACCCTGGGTGCGAGCCTCTTCATAAGCTCAATGTCCATCTCCCTCAACCTAATTCACCGAGACAACATTAGCATTTGCATTCGCCTACACGACACCACCGTTGAGCCAAGCTGGGCTGTATAAAGACTCACGCATGTCCGGTAGGAGGGATAAAGTACAACAAGGCGTGCACACGTTGATCCTTGAATCGAGGGTTCCTTCGGATCCGGGATTCTTCGGCGAGGATATGGTCGTATTGCAATTCGAGGTAAGACAGGATTTCTTGAAAGCTGCGGGAATCGACGAGATAAGCAAAGTGATATGATTTAGGTATACTGATACTTTCGATCAGCGATACAACGCAAGGAGAAGGGGGCTTACCAGTATTCGTTGTCAATGTTGTCCCCGAATCCTTTGGTGTCGATCAAGGTCATGGCGATCCTGACTCCATCCTCTTCGAGCTCTGTGAATAGAAGACATATCCTGTTTGAGCTTCACAATGCTTCCAACGATACTTCTCAACAGAAAGGACTGGAAATGGGGATGATACCGACCGACTTGAATGGGCTTGATCTGGATGCCCGTCTCGATATGAGCCTCTTCCGGGGTCTGATCGATGGTGTGCGGCAAGACCTCGGATTCGCAGAGGGTGTTGACGAAAGTCGTACGCCCGGTTCCCGAAGCGCCTGTATCATTGTATAGCCAGGAAATTTCAGGTAGGCAAAGGACGGGTCAGCACGAGGTCGTTGCTGTAGATCGTACTCGGGATGGAATGTCGCGCGAACACTCCGAATGATGAGGCTCTCGCCGACTCACCGACGACCATGAGCGTCAATTGGACACCCTTCTTCGCCTGCTTTCTTCCCCTCCCACGGGAAGCCATGGGCGAGCCTGAAGCTGTACGACCATGTTCGAGGAATCCGCTCATAGTCTCAGATGTGTGATTTTGATGCGTAGCTTTTTGGTTTTTGGGTTGCGGTTGATGAAGCTCGAAATCTAGTCCCGTTGGAGGTTGCACGGTAAGGAGCTTTGGGAGAAAGTATCCTGCGTCTTCCCGAGTCGTTCGTTCAGCGATGCTACTGTATATGCAACCTGTGATAAAGGTGTCACCTGTACTGATCGAATGATGACGATGGTCAGTCCCACAATAACAACAGCGCTGGTTATGGTTATGGATATGACCCAGGTGAGAGCATCTCGCGTGCGACATGCAAGTGTGCACCGCGGATTCCTCTTCACCACTCACGAATTGGATGTAACTTACGACCTAGCCCTCGACCCTATGCTTGCCTCCAATAGAACAGGTCGTAATGCTCAACATGCAACATGCTAATGTTTCTCCCACCTGCAAGGCTTGCGTCGTCCCATACTCGATAGATAGATCTCGCAGACCCGTCATCAATATGGTCAGCATCTTGCGTGTACTCAAGAACATCCGACAGGGAGGGATTAAGCAATGGTGGAGGAACATGCAGTACGTATACGGGGTCTATCAATACGAGACCAGGACTAGCTACGGCTCGAGGCTGATCATCGGGACTATACCTGCTGCACCTATTCTCCGGTCTACCCCTGGAACTCATCGTCTTACTTTGAACTCGTCGCCATTCTATCGGTCCACCCTGGATTCACATGGACAGGTACATCGGAGATGCCAAACACGGTCGACTAGTAGGAACCGACTCCCTAGGTAACAAGTACTTCGAAAACTACAACCCTTACGAGGAAGTCCCTGGTGCGTCCGAAACATTGAAGCTTGATGTTGAGCCGATCTCAGGGTACAGCGATCTGACGCTCATTCTCGCCAACTCCACGCATCTTCTAAATGGATCGAAACGTGATGCGTTCGCGATCATATAGGTCGTCAACGATGGGTCGATTACAGCCAGGTTAGTCCGAAGCTCCTTGTCTCGCTTTTCCATTTGCTTCGAGTTCGTGAATCTGATTGCTTGGTCTCCATTTCGACTTGGGCAGGATGACTTTAACGCCAGTCGTAAGCTTCCTAGCCTTCAATATCCCTCCTCCACTTCGCTCTTTCCCTTGCCTCTCAAGTTAACGCCAGCTAATTCGTCTGGAACCGATTGGACATCGAATCTGGCTTGATGTTACGTAGAGGCCGTTCCGTAAGCATCATGCCTCCGCCCCTGTCGCTCTTCCTCCCGGATCACAGAGGGAAACAAGGCCTGGAGACCATGGTACTAACACCTCTCTTCAATCGTTTCTACGTTACATATCTATAGTGAATGGCACGCCTGGTTACACCACATCCGAACGGAAGCCCCTACCGATGAGGCTATGAAAAAGTACACTCCCAACTGGAAAGCCGTAAGTCCCTGCTCTTCAACCATATTCTATCCCTCCTATGGCCTAGTGCTTTGAAGCCGTCGTATCTGAATCGGCGGCTGACTGTGATGTATCTTGCTCCCGCCTACATGCATCTTAGCCCTACTGCGAGAACATCACCGGAACCCGGGGTCGATCGATCACCTACTCGACTACGGCACCTAAAATCAGGGCTTGGGAACCTGTCGTGAAGAAGCGGGAGGGGAGCGTCTCTGCTTGATCACCTCGCGAGGGACGGATCAGAATCGGCAAGGAGAGGGATAGCCGACGCGGGTTTGACGTGCGAGATCAGGAATGGGAGAAGGAGATGTATCAGTGTGTCATTCTGTCGTGATTCGACGTGAATTAAGCGGTTCAGCTCTGGGCGTCAGAAACGCTTGCCTAGAAGAACGGCACTTGGTCCGAATACAAGGCAAGAACAGCACGGTTGCCATGATCGAAATTCCCGATGACTTTGGGTGAAACGGTGTCGGATCCTCTAGCTACTAATGCCGCCTTCCGTGTCGACCAAACAAGAGCTCGCCGAACCCGATCCCTAACACCACTGATACGCAGAACCATACGTTGAAGGTCATTACTACCAGCCTGAGCGCAGTACCCAACAGCCGCGCGAATGACGATCTTGCGATCAGCCTCTCGACCTTGTGCACCGAACAACAATGAGCGAAGCGGGAAGATAGGGACTTACATCAGCAGATAATGAATGGTGCTTATCAACATCTCCAATCCGGCCCTGGGGATATCGTTCTGCCAGACGAACGGGACGGCCCAACGGTCCCGGTCACCCGCCTTGGACCTCGTGTCGAACATCTTTTCGAGCCCGGAAAGTGGAGTGACGGGCTTTCGTCGGTGCAGGTCTGAAAGATGGCCGACAGCGGTACCGGCGCTTGGAGTGAGATTAGGGGGGTAATCGAGTGGGCGTAGTGATAAGGTAGAGGGGGTATCGTCTACAGGTTGAATTTTCTCTTCTGATCGAGATCGCAAATGGACGGGGTTGAGCTCCGACGAGGTCGAGGAAGAGGTATCTTGATTTGGCAGGCCGAGGTGAGAAGGGGGAGATCGGGTTCGCTTCAACGTGCTGATGAATGCGGCGAAGATGAAACCCATCCAGATCAGTCCAAGACTTTCAAAGGATGCTCAAGACGTTCGAGCTCACGTTTCTTTCCAAGCCCACTCGCTACCCCTTTGCACGGCCAACAACAACCTAGACACCGTACCGAGCAAGAACAAACCGATGCTCGTCCCGATGACCGCTCCTACGCTACTAGGAACCCAAGAGGCGAACCAGACGGCGTCTGTTGACGGGATTGTAGCGTGAAAGTACATCTTCCTGTGATCGTGCAAGGGGAGGTGGTTCAGGTTGAGAAAGGGTTGAGAAAGAGGAAGCTCTTCAAAGGCAAAATCGAGCTCACATTCCCATGTGCATGGTGGAACCGGTAGAGGTACCGTCCATCCCGCTCATGTCGTGGCCAGCGTGTGATGTCATGGTAACGGTCGGATATTGCTAGTATCGAGTATAATTGTATAACCAATATCGTAGTGTTGCAGAATGTTGGCGGCGTGAATGATACTTAAAAGTTCGTCCGATCGTATGTATATCAAGTATATCGCTGCATCGTTTAGCATGCGCATCTAAGTGAATCCCAAAATACCCCACCTGGTCCCTACGAAAGGATGGGTGCCGATGCCTTTGACTGCGTATCGGTTTGGCAAGATCCACCTCTTGCACCTCTGACCAATAACAATAGCCTCCGTCGAGGGTTTCGACGAATCGAATAAACAGCTCAAATCCAAGCTCAAGTCTACGACGCAGGTTACAGTATATATATATAGAGGTTCACCTCCACGTCTTGCCCCTTGCCATCACGTCGTCAGACGTTGCAATTCAAAATGGCAGACTCACCGTTCGCTGTACCGACACAGTTCCAAGTCTACGAGTGAGCTTTCCCAGCCCTCTCACCTTTGTCTCGCGTCGTGCTGAAACAAGCCTCCGCCCTTTCGGACTTTCCCTTAGCTCATATGCCATCGACCCGCAGTGGCAGAGGTATTACACATGGGCTTGGCTCGGAGTCACCTCCGTATTCATAGCCAGCTCGATCCCCTATATCTACCGCTCGGCTCAGAGTGGAAGGTGGTCGAAAGGCTGGGTCATCCGGGAGTCGACGTCCGGGCGAGGGCGATACGAGTTTGCTTCGGATCCGAAATCTCAAGGTGGCGAAAAGCGCGCAGATGCGCGAGATGTGCCACCTGCTGAATTCGCTCATCAACGATCTCAAGAAAGTCGTCACAGTGCCAGCCCGCTCGAAGGCGCTCTGATCGTCAGGGGTCTACGATACACAAAGCCGTTGTTGCAGACGGTCTTTTCGGTGCATATCCCGATCGCCAAGTTCGGACGGAACAGTCACCGCGGAAGAACAGACGAAGCGTCCTATGAGAATGATGAGCGTATTGAGCGAAAGAAGTACCTCGCGCTCACGATTGGACAACTCTGCCTGCTCGCCGGGTACATCGTTTTGGTTTTGGTCTGCATCTTCAAGGACGCCGAACTGAAAAGCAATGCTAATCGACCAGGTGGGTTTGTCTAGGTGATAGCAATGCCTTGATGTCCTATCACCGGACAGATCTAACACCCTTCATCGTCCCCGGTAATGCAGGTTTCGTCGCGCTGTCGATGCTCACCCCGCTCTTCCTCCTTGCAACTAAAAACAACCCCCTCTCCCTCCTCCTTGGGTCATCATACCTCTCGCTCAACTGGGCACACAGGTGGGTGGGTAGGCTTATCTGGCTAAGCGCAACGGTGCACGGATTCCAGTGGATCGTCTTCTATACCCGGGCGGAAGGGGGATCCGAGACTTTGAAGGGCGACAAGGTGTTGAGAGGGATTGCTTCTTGGATTCTGTTGTCCGTGTTGGCGGGAACGAGTATCAGGCCGGTAAGGAGGAGATGGTACCAGCTCTTCTGGTATACACAGTAAGTCTTTCACCGAAGCGCAAACGGGATTGAAGCGAGCTGAGAAGTGGATATCATAGTATACTAGCGTTCGTCGGATTGTTTGCGGCGGTGTCCTATCACACGCCATATAGCCGACCTTGGATTTGGGCGCCCATCGCCTTGTATGCTTTCGAGTGAGTCACACTTGTTTGGCTTGCTAAACGCTCCATAAGCATGCTGACTTCGGGGTATAGCATATCGCTTCGGATCTGCAAGTACAAGTTCAAAGACGGCTTCCTGGTAGCTCTGAGCGATGATCTGACCATGGTGCATATCCCGGTCCTGATTCTAATTACCCGGTTGACGCTGACGTTGGCTCATCACAGATCCATATTCCGGATTGCGACGACGGATGGCTACCTGCGCAACATATCAAAATCCGTATTCTATCGAAAGGGGTCATTACCGAAAGCCATCCATTGACCATCACAAACTCAGGTTCTCCTTCGAGCACCGGAAGGGGGATCACGCTTTATGCCAAAGTCGCAGGTGGCTGGACTGGACGAATCAACAAGCTCGCGAAGCATTCGGTGGAAACGGATGATGAGAAGAATCAGGGGGAGCAGACCGGCTTGCCGACTGGCACGGACGATTTCGATTGTATTCCTGTTCAGATCCTCATCGACGGACCTTATGGCGGTTTGAAGCTGGACCTGGCAGGATATCAGAATGTCCTCCTCGTCGCTGGAGGTAGCGGGATTACATTCGCCTTGGGTTGTATCGAGGAGAGCTTGAGACAGGTCCAAGAAGGTGGGCACGAAGGGAGACTCGAGTGGATACATGCCGTCTGGGTCGTCCGAGACCTCCGTGAGTGCAACCCTGGGCATTTGAAGCCCAAGCATCACACTAACGTCATTCACGAATCGGCTTTGCCATAGAAATCGTTCATGCTCTAGCTCCCGTATTGGTAGACCTGCATGAGCGTGGATGCGAGTCCGGCAGACTGAAGCTGGAAGTCTCGATCTACCTGACCGGTCCCAGATCCTCGATTTCCGGTCTGTCGAGCAGCCTTTCGACATTCGCTTCTCTTGCGACGGGTCGTCCATGCATCCGTCAGCTCGTCCTGGATACAACGGAGAGCCCGCCTCCTTCTTCAACAGCATCTGGAGACGAGTTGGCGCGTATCAGGACTCGGAGTCGAGGTGGCCTAGCGGTGATCGCATGCGGACCGGAGAGTCTCGTCCAGGAAACTCGGAATACGGTTGCAAGCATGAGTCTAAGCGACAAAGTCAAAGCGGGTGGAATGGAGTTTCATGGAGAATGCTATACCATCTAGAACACACTTGTCGATAGATCATAGGCGTATGGCCTCCCAGATAGCGATTAGTTGACATGTGTAGACCTAGCGCGATGTGCCAGTGCAACTGGGCCTCCACTACTCGAAATCTCCGTTCCGCAGCATCTCCCGAGCGGCATAAGCCGCCTCGAATGCCATCTTCACTTCCTCATCCTCCTCTTCATCCTCTTCCTGTTCTTCATACTCTACTGTCGAAGAGAGGGCATTTCCTTGCTGAGACTGGGGAAGCAGCTCTTTGACTGACTTGGGTTCCATCTTTTTGTAGGACTGGCTTTCCGAGTTGGATGTTCCGGTCAAGTTTTTGCCCTCCGAAGGAGGTTTAGCGGTTCCATTAGGAACACGCTCGACGATTTGAAGTCCAGCCAGCGTGGCATTCAACTGATCCTCGAACCGTGAAGGGTGTTCCCGCGTCTCTGCTACTAAGCCCATTTTGACCAGTCCATTTAGGGGTAACTCTGGCTTGACCTTTGCACCTTCGACCGAGGGTACCAGCATAGCTGGAACAGCTGATCGTACAGCACTGGGCCCACCCGCAGGGAAAGAGCCTTGCATGTAGATGTGGCCGTCTTGCAGTAACACTTCCCCGCGGTCCTCCATTTCCTCCAGTAATTCCACCTCTAGCTCGATCCGACGTCCCTCCAGCTGTGGATCCCCCCTAGCCTTGCTTTTATATCTTCCGTAGTCTCCGGGGCCGACTTCGTCGCGAGTCCAGATAGCTTCGTCTCGAAGCCGCCGCCCGAACCATCGGCTTCGGATGAGGCAATCTTTACAGCAAAAGCCGTCATCTTTATTTCCCTCCTCTTGCTGTATCAGATCGCGGTTCCGTGATGTCCGTGATGAGGATACGACCCCGGTCGTGCGGAAGGTATAGTGACTCTGAGCAGTGTAGGGTCGTTTCGAAGATGAGCAGCAGAGAGGATACGAGCACAATGATGATAAGTGACGTTCGTGCTCGACCTGTTCATAGTCGTAAGGAGTAAAATAAAGACTCTACAACCGAGCGAATCAGTGCAAGTACCGCGTGTGTATTCTCATCCTGATATGGCTCACTGAGCGCTTGAGCACGGCTCTATCGACTGCGTCCGACTCCATTAACAAGTCCATCCAGACTTCGAGCTCCTTCTCTATGGCGAGCCTGTATTCCTTGCTCTCACGGAGGAACTGCATTTCGCCTCGTAGGTGATCGATCGAAGTTCCCGCCGGATCGCTGGCCTGAGTGCGATCCCGGACGAACAGGGAATGTGGCTGTGATGGCAACATGATGTATGACACCAAGTAGCTGGTACCTAATGAAGATGGGTGTCGAGTTCTGGTGTCTTTGGGTTAGCTTGAGATGATTGCAAGAGCTGCAACATATGTCACAACCTGTTCGGGTAAGCGGGACAGGATAAGTTACTGAATTACTACTGAGTACCACTAATCAAAAGCCAGGGTATTATTACTAATCATACGCCTGAACATGTGATTCTAAAAATTATGGATCTGGCTTTCTGCTAAAAAAAGCCGCTCGAAACAGTTCAATCGAAATGCTACGTTGCTACAATACGGTCGTGATCTAGGGTATCCATCGTTGTATTTCCCGCTGGTATCGAAATGTCCGTTTCCGTCATCTATTCATTGAATGTCGTTACGTAGCAATCGATCTGCCGACCGCCGCAGATCTCTGACCTGATCTCCGCTGCCCGCAGTCGACTCCATCAATCTGGTTGCTTGTTGCACAAGGTCTTCTCCGATTTCTTCTCCGTGTCGATTCATCTCTCTTGTTTGTTGTGCGACGTACTCCGCATGTGCGACGAAAGCAATATTGACACTAGTGGCCATCTGCATCCGGACGAGGTGTGCGGCTTTCATGCCAAACGTTGACCTCTGCAATCCATCGAGGTATGCGTCTTCCAGGCTGGAGACATAATCGTTGTACTCGTCGCAGCAGAAATGCGCACAGACGTTGTCGATGTATGCTCTCAGCTTTGCGCAAATGAGATCGGTATCGATCCGCAGGTGAGCCTTTTCGCCACGAGGAACGGGCAGGGGATCGACCTCGTATCCGTGCTTGTCATCGCGGGCGTCACGGGCCGCTTCATCGAAGACAGACCCCGAATGATTGCTCCACGAAGATGCTCCAAAGGTGTCCCAATTCATGCCGAACGTTTGGTTCGTCTCCCGGAGAATCGCTTGAAACGCGGCAAAGTCGTTCTTCAGCGCCAACAAGAACGTCTTCATCATGTCTTCACGATCCGCTGTAAAGGCCCGATGAGCTTTCTGTACGACGACTGTCTCTATGCACGTTTGAGTTGCCTCGCAGTCCGAATCCCCTCCGCCCAGACACCAGAAGTATGCCTCAGATGAGATGCTGAGTGCCACCTCGGTGGCATGCTTGTTAGCTCGGCCTAGAGCGTCGAAGAGACAGGTTTGGATCCCCCCCATGGCGGCCGAGAAAGACATCGGATGGTCATTAAGACTGCGAGCAGCCATGGGCGGATATCTCCGGTCTGGGGCGTCGTATATTACAGACTCCATCTTGGGCGGCGACGGCCTTGATGCGGCAGACAGGCCAGTCAGATCGGTGGCGCTTGTTTTGACAGTAGCCGTGTCAAGCGAGGCCTGTGTAGGACTCGACGTCGAACCCGAAAGCCCGGCCATGATCTCAGCTTCACACTCTGCCGTGCTGGCAAGACCTTTCTCGATATCCTCTCTTGGTCCAGCTCGAATGAGTGTTGTTTCCTCGCTCGCGTCAGCAACCGCTTCTACCCTTTCCGAACATCGGTCATCTAGTTTTTGTTCTTGCACATCTCGATCTGATTGTCTTGCTCGTCCTGCTGCCCTTGCAAATTCCTCTGCTCGCTGTTGCATACTATCCACCTGACCCACCGAAGGTTTGATGGCCTGCCTCAACTCTCGTTGTCCCGAAGTCTCCGTGCGACCTGCTGTCATCTCGACGACTCGATCCGACCCAGCATCCGCCATTTGATCCATTCCCCCTAAAACTTGCCCCAACGCATCATCGAAGCGGGTCGCCGCAGCGCTCATCCGGAAAACCATCTCGCTTGCCACCGAATGTCTAGACAGCTGGTCCCTCGACCTAATGACACGCCGGGCATACGGTGTGTAACTAAAATCATCCCAAGTGCTGATATATTGTCGCGTTCTGTTCGAGCTGTACCTCGACGCACGTAACCCGAACGGATCGTCGCGCGGAGCTCGGCGATCTCGAGTGAAAGCCGGATGCTGAGATGGCCTAGCAAGAGCAGCGTCTTGAAGTCCCGGATGGAACCCTACGCGTACGGTATCTTGCTGCTGGGCAGGAGGCGGTTCAACTAACCCTAATCGCGCTAAGAGCGCCGTCCTGACAGCTGCAGGAATTTCGTCTGAAGGTCCCCATGCGATAGGCCCGAACACGGTTGGGAACTCCTCGTCCATTCGGGTGATCAGATCAGTCCGTTCTTGCGGAGTTAGCGAGTCGATCACCTGAGGAATCGCCCATACGGGACCTGCAAATTCTTGCCGCACGTAATCGCTGAAGCTAAGTCGAGGAGGCGAAGGAGCGACAGTAGGTCCAGATTGCTCTTGACCCGCCACAGGATAGGACTCGGTTGGATCTTCTTCTAGAATGGCTAGTATTCGTTCGACATGTGCACCTAGCCTGGGCTGGGGCGGGGGAGCAACGCTAGCAGGTTGTGTACTCCGCCCGACAATTCCCGCCCGGTCGAGCAGAGCCGCTGCTTGTTGTTGCGCCGTTAGACCAATCGCTGGCGGAGCCCGCGCAAGCCGGTCGGTTCTAGCTGTGCCTCGCGGTCCACGTACTGGGGAAGAGAGTCCGTCACTGCCGGCATCACTGGAGCCATCATCACTCCACGCAACGGGTAGAGCAGGTGCCCTGATCATCTGTTCTCTTTCTTGTGAGCGTCTCTGCCAATGCGTACTTCTCCTCAGTGTTCTGGTCCTTCTCTCCCTAGCGATATTCCCAGCGTTCAAGGTCCTCTGATGAGCGTCGTGTTCGGCTTGTAGGTCGGACCCGACACCTTCCGAGTCATGTGAAGCTGTATCCTCCTGTCCCGCTTCGTGCTGCTCGTCAACTTCCCATCCCTCATGATCCATGCTTTCAGGAGACTCTGCGCGTACGGGATCCGGTTCTTGTATATGGCCGCCGTCCGTTGTGCGATGCACGAAAAAAGGAGGCCCATCGAGTGGCGGTCTGTCTTGCCAGCTTTCCCTGAGGCTTTCCCTGAGGCTTTCTACTTGTTCCGGATACTCTAAAGCCATTGTCTCCAGATAGCATTGCTATTGACCATCCGTCCAAAGATCCATCAGCCCTAGAAACGACCCGATTCACCTGTGAACATCGCTAAGACTCACCTCGATCAGCTCGTCCATGATATCCTCTTGATCTAACATCCAGCTTCTACCTCGTATCTTCTGCCGTAATGCGACGAGCACCTTTTGATGATCTTCTGCCGTTTTCTCTCCGAGTTCCTCTTCCGAGATCCATTCAACACTGTCGAGGCGGAAGGAGATGGTTTATACGTTTCAGCATACCAGAAAGCTTTCGTCTGATGATCAAGCTGATGATCCGAATTACATCATATCAAGGAGTCTAGTTTCTTCGTTGAATAGCCGAACACTCTCGAGAGTAGCTGCATCTCGCTCTGCACGAGGCATAATCCTGTCGCGGTCAAAGAGCCGAAGGATGGGGTATGAGGCAAGATATGGTAAACAAACCGGTCTCGGGCTCGGACTTTTTGCTTTCAATCAACACATACCTCGGACCCATCGTTGCAGAAGAGACCGTAGCTGTATCTTGGCTTCTGCAGCCAGGGTATCAGCGACTGACGCGGATTGAACAAAGCTGTTTGTAGTGGGGAATGTCATCATTTGCAAAGAAGTTGTGAAAGTGAACCGAGCGGTCCTCACTTTTCGATCCGAGAGGGTAGCTATCGGAAGCTAATCGAGTGCCGTAAGCATCTCCCGGAAGCAATATCCTGCAGCAAGTTACTCCGGAGATTGTCTCGTCTTGGTCATATCGCTGTTTGTTTTGTATCACTCGTTTCTGCAAGAAGATACGAAATCTTGCCAATCAAAATCACGGACATCGTACACATCCTGAACACAGCATAGATCGATATATAGGATACTCGACTACCTCTGCCTGTAATCGCGCTCCGCAAAGGATGTCGGACGACCCACGCTCGAGAAGCCGGAGCAACAACGTTCTTATTCAACATCAAGCTTATCCTGATGGTATCCCCGGAAAACTCCCTCGTAGACGCACTTCACCCACGCGTAACACAGAAAGTGGAGCATCAAGGTTGTTGAACAGGCACGAGTTGCCTGGGTTGCCGGACGGCTCGAGAATGACGATAGCCGCTGAGCAGATGGCCAGGTTGGACATCTCCAGACACGAAGCTACACCGTCCCCCTCGCCTTCCTATACTCGCCGAGCAGGTTCGCGAGAGACACCGTCGGTGACGTCTCAATCGGAGGGGGAAGAGGATGAAGCTGGAGAGACTTCCGGCTTCGGCTCCGGACTCATTCGGAAAAAGGCCGCATCGACGTCAGTCCTGAAAGCGCAACACCACCCAGGGAGGGAATCGTCCATCGATACACTCGAAGATGAAACGGATGGAACCGTGAGTCAGACGGTCCTCGAGAAGGCCTGGGGACCTGCTCCGACGAAGCGACGGACGAGGAGTTGGCTATCCCTCGATCCAGATAGGACGCCGGGGTATGAAGCGCCTGATCAGCTGCATCAGGCTGGTAATCAGGATCAAGGAGAAGGAGTCGAGCTGGATGCTCGAGGTGAAGAGGCTGAGGATAGCGAGGAGGGAGAAGAGAAGCGCAGCATAGCGGATGATCTTCCGCCCGAGATCATCCTCCAGGTGAGTTCGGACGGTCAGCTCTTACGTCGCTTCGCTCATCTCGGAATCACCTTCATGTCAGATCTTGGGGCACCTGACTGATTACAACGACATCAACAACGTTCTTTATATCTCTCGGATATGGTGTCAATGTACCATCCCTCTCATCTGGACCCGTCCCAACATTCACGACGAACGGTCCTTACGCGGGCTCATCCGGATCCTCCGCCTCTCTACCGGTCGAGGCAAAGACATCCTCTACAAATCCACCAATACGACGTTTCCTTACCACCTCTTGATCAAGCGATTATACTTCTGCACCTTGGGGACTCGGTTGCAGGATGAACATGTCATCGAGTTTGCTCAATGTGAAGCCCTGGAGAAGATCGCGATGAAGGGCAACAAGTACGTCTCCCCGCGGGCGCTCACGCAGCTCGTCAAGGGCAAAGACAAGCTCGTGGTCGTAGATATCGGAGAGACGAGGGTGGACGATCAGGTATTGATAACCTTGGGCCGGGATTGCCCGGAACTTGTCGGATTGAGCATACCGGACTGTCACCATTTCACCCCGCTCGGATTGATAACGTTTGCCAATTCGGAGAAGAAGAAGCTCAGGCGGATCAAGTTGTCCAGGTCTATCGGGGTGGATTCGGAGAGCATATCCGCTTTGGTCAAGGCTTGTCCCTCTCTGCTCGAGATCGAGCTATCTGGCTCACAGGACGTAACCGATTCGGCGTTAATTGACATCTGGTTACACGCCGGTCGGTTGAGAGAGATCGATCTCAAGGGATCTGACAAGTTGACAGCCAAGGGGTTCCCCGTCCTCTCCGAACTGAAGACGATCGATGATCAGTCTTTCCCTCCCGAACATTCGGATCACTTGTCCTCTCCAAGAGAATCGGATTCAAAGACCGTACCTCCAGAGGCGGATTATTCGGTATTTTCCAGTATCCCTCGAGCGATTCCGGCTTCGCTAAACTTGAGCACGCTTCGGGTGGTGGATATGGAGTCTTGCAGCGGCCTGACCGATGCCGCTATCGACGCGCTCACTTGGAACGCTCGGTGGATAAGAGCTATTACGCTTGCGAAGTGTTCTCAGTTGACAGACGCGTCGTTGTTGAGTCTGTGTCGATTGGGGAAACATCTCCACCATGTGCATCTAGGTTATGTTCCCAAGTGAGTCCTCGAAATGGTCTCCATATGCAAGGCGAAAGAGTATCCTGAACGAGGGAGTCTCTCATAGAATAACCGATTGGGGAGTCTGCAAGCTAGCTCGAGGATGTAACCGATTACGGTATATCGACTTGGCGGGCGACTCGCTCTTGAGCGACTTGTCTGTGTTTGAACTGGCGGCGAATTGTCCCAAACTCAAGAGGGTTGGGCTGGTCAGGGTGAGAACCAGAGTGAAGATTCTTGACTTGTAGCTGGTTCACGTTCGCTGATCACAAAGGCGAGTCGTTCGATGATAGGTGGCGCAACTGACGGACGCGGCCATCTCCGCGCTTGTCGACAGGAGTGAGGAAGCCGCGGCAAATCTAGAGCGGTTACATCTATCGTATTGTAGGTGTCCTTTACATGCTTTTGCTGATGGGTGGGTGTCTGACCCATTTAGCTGCCAGGCGACAACATCTCGGTCAAGGCCATTACACATTTGTTGAAAGGCGCAAGGAACATCACACATTTGAGCCTGACGGATGTCAGCGCGTTCAAGCAGCCCGAGTTCCAACGATTGGCACAGCCCGTACCGGAGGTAAGTCGTTCTTGCACAAATATGCCTTTTCAATCTTTCCTGACGTTTTCAGGGCAACAGGCATACACCTCGGGTCAACGAGCAGCTTTCTGCGTGTTTACGCGTGACGGCGTGATCAAGCTGAGGAAATGGCTGACAGCCAAAGAAGATCAGCGCTCACCGTTCACGTGGCGCGACTCTACTGTAGAGAGGACGACCTCGGAGTCGCTGTCACACTATCACTCCAGACAACGCGCAGCGGCTATGGCCTGGCTAGGCTCTCCTCCCACTGAGCGGGAACCTCGAGCCCCATTGGCCGAGATGATGGCCGCGACTTCTAGCTCCTCAGACTTTGGTGTCACGCTAGGCGCAAATCCGGTCACATTGAACGAAGAGCCTGTCGCTTCGAGAAACACAGTCCCGTTTCATCGCAATCGATTGCAATCGATTGACCGGCCGACTCCGCTTTACGCTCGGACGCCTCAAGGTAGAATTCCCAGCTTGAATACTACTTCTCTGCAAAGCACAGCGTCGACAGCAAATCGTACAACTTCATCGGAGAGATTTACCTTGCAACCTGGCGGTACAAGTGCCAATTCGTCGTCGGCCGTCTCGCGCGGGTCACGAAGCTCGGCACAGACAACCCGCTCAACACATCTGGACAACATGCTAGAGGATATACAACATCGACGAAACGGAACCGTTCGCCAAGCCCAACCCTCGGCGTCTTCGCAAACGCCGCCTTGAACAATTTGAGCGTACCCTACGACCCTATACGAAATGCTCTCTCTCTCTCTCTCTCTCTCTCTCTCTCTCTCTCTCTCTCTCTCTCTCTCTCTCTCTCTCTCTCTCTCTCTCTCTCTCTCTCTCTCTCTCTCTCTCTCTCTCTCTCTCTCTCTCTCTCTCTCTCTCTCTCTCTCTCTTCGACAACATGATGTGTATCTCAAGACGACAAGCGCGGACTGTATCTGTAACCCCTGACGTGAAAAAGAGGACTCGACCGATTTCTGCCACAACAATTCCGCCAACTTCAGCCTTCTTCCTCTTGTATTCAGGCTCGATGAGCACCTCAGGTCTTCTGTAATTTCCTTCACCACCTGCCTGCCGATGGGCTCCAGACCGTTACTGGCTGGAAGTTTCCTCGACCGGCCCCAGTTGTAATTGGTAGCGTCGACTTGAGTAGAGCCGTCCGCGCAAGAGAAGGCGATTGATTCCAGAGGTGGGTAAAAGAGCGGGTACTTGTAAATCAATATAATTTTTGACATATAGATCTGGAACCCGCATGAGCTGTATCTACGATCGTTGCACTCAACAAGCTATCTCCTGTCCGAATATACCCCACTTCTCCCTTCTCATTTGCTCCAACCTTTCCGTCTCATCCAACTTCCCATCCTCGCTCCCTTCCACCCATCCGAAACGCATCGTTACTTCCTGGAAGACCTCTACGACTTTTTCCTTCCCGAAACCTAGTTTTACAAAGAGACCGATCGAGGCTTCGTTGGAGAGGCCTATTCGAGAGATGAAGTTACGGGGAGGGATATTCAGGTGTGACTGTGCGTAATTCAGGCTGGAATGTATAGGGAATGTCAATCTGACCGGTGGCACAGTCGAGCGAACGGGATAAGGGTGGCTTACAGAAGGGACAAGATCTCCTTTGATAGGCCTTTCCCACGGAATTCGGGTTCTGGGTAGAAGACACCGCCAGGAAAGCACGATATGAGTAAATCTGGAGACCGGTATCATCTGACGTCCAAGATGAAACGCTTACCAGCAATCATAATCTCGCATTCCACATCTTCTTCCGGACCGTCAGGGAGGAAGAGGTTTGTATCCCCGATCATCTGAAGAGAGTTAACGGATTCTGCTGTTATCGATGGGACGCTAGCATCGGTGGGTTTTGAGAGGACGATAAAAGTCAATTCTGGGGGAGAAATTTGTCAAGCACATGAGCTCGCAGACAATGGTGATCGGAGGTGGAAGATTGAACGTACTGTCGTCATCCACGTGCCATTTTTCTGGAGGAGACCGTGTACGGACTCGCTAAGCGACTTGACGAAATATTGATATTGTATCTTATCTCTTAGGTGCTCACCTTGCATTTCGTACTCTTCTTGAAGGGAAAGAGGTTCCGAAGCCGTAGCCTCTAGCAGTTCTGGGCTCTTCATCCATTCGTGATACCGCTAACAAACACCAATGTCGCGGGATAATCAGCATTATCAGCATCCTCAAATCCAACCTCTGATACAATACCCTCTCACCTCGACATGTTCTCGTCTGCCCTGCCACACAGTTGGCCAAAAGTCATTATCACGTATAGTTTCGGACATGCGCGACGACTGACCGGTAGGGTACCAGGACGACGTGTTCGCCCACAATCGCTGTATTTTCGTTGAGACGCATGATGAGGTGAGTATCAGTCGATTACTATGCAACAGTCTAGCAGTCCCGCCGTCTATTTGCCGAGGGTGATCCGATTCGATAAGAGTCTCGTTCGAAGTAGGCCATCGCCGTCATAACTTACAGCTTGACCGACCACAAACATAACAAACCTCGAGTGGATGACAATTAGAAGCGCACAACGTGCTACTAGCTACTAGCTACTCGAGAGGGGCATGCTGATAGCTGATAGAGGTTGCAGAGTCATCGACAGCCTTGAACGTCGTTGGGAATTAGCATCGCTGCTCCACGTCAAGACAAGCATTCTTCGTCAAGATGGGAAACTCTCAGTCACAAACAGGTGGGAACGCCAGCGGTGGAGATGCGGCGGGCCCGACGCAGCTCGATTACTATGACCTCCTCGGGGTGGACGAAGAGGCAGGCGACGACGAGATCAAGGTGAGGAGGCACCGACGGGACTCGATTTAGCAGCAGAGCAAAGGATATTGACCTAATTATTGAACGTTGAATTGGTTGGATGAAAGAAAGCTTTCCGAAAAGCCGCCGTAAGTTTGCGCTGCAGCCTGGCTATTTATGTTCGATCCGGCCAATAGAAAGCTTACGAACCTGTTCTTCGATGATCTGCGCAATCCATAGCTCAAACATCATCCTGACAAGAACCCGGACAACATAGAAGAGGCAACAAAGCTCTTTGCGGACATACAACAGGCGTACGAAGTGAGTGACGGACTGGACGGATATATGTTTTCGGATCTCCGCTGTAACTGATAAAGGTTTCCCGGCTTGAAAGGTCCTAAGCGATCCTCAGGTATGCACCTCATCCACTTCTCAGCGGCTCTCCAACACAAAGATCTCAGCCCCAAAGCTCATGAACTTGCTACACCCCGCAGGAGCGAGCATGGTACGACCGCCATCGAAACCAGCCCGTCGCGCTTTCAGACGACGGTCTCTTTCAGCACGTCTCGAAGGGAGAAAAGGCACCACCGGTCTCGAAACGTAGACCAGGCGAACCGGGGGTCTCGTTGGAACAGCTGATGAGGTTTTTCGACCCGAAGTTGGCTAGGAAGTTGGATGACACCAATGATGTAAGAGCCGGCTTAAATTTCGGAGTTCACCGCAATGCTTGTGGCCGAATTGCTGATGAGCTTTCACTTTGGCTGACTGGGATAGGGCTTCTTCTCCATTTATCGATCCCTTTTCGAATTGCTTTCTTCGGACGAACAACTTCACGATCCGAGCAACACCGATGGTATGCACCCCGGGCCTGCATACCCGACGTTTGGGGATTCTACCACTCCCTATGCGCCTCCACCGGGTTCCACGAAGGCGGAAAAAGAGGCAGGTGTATGGGCTAGGGATTTCTATACGGTCTGGAGTCAGTTCGTCACCAACAAGGGGTTCGACTGGAAGTCGGCTTGGGATATGGACCCGTCGTATGACCGGAAGGCGAGGCGGTAAGCGCTAGCTGACAATGTCGCGCTGCAAATAAAGATTCGCTTACGCCTACATCTGTTCAGGATGGTGGAAAAAGATAACAAGCGGCTGCGAGACGATGTACGCAAAGAATACAACAATGCGGTGCGAGAGTTGGCAATCTTCATCCAAAATCGTGATCCTCGGTATCACGCCTACCAGCGTCAACGCGAAAGATCGAAAAAAGAAGCTCAGCGTGGCCCTGCCGGTCTGCGACCGCGAGGATCAGGTAAACCTCAACCTACCGCTCGAGCGCAACCGGTAGCGGCCAAGCGCAACGTTCACGCCGAGATGGCCGCTCAGCACGCTCCCGAATACGCCCCACAATCGTGGCAACAGGTGGAGTCCGTCATCGACTTGGATGAAAACGATTTCGCCACCTCGGCCAAGCCGAAGAAACCTAGTAATTGGAACGAGACGGGCATGGTCGATGAAGATGGGAGCGGGTCCGAAGAGGAAGAAGGGCAATACGAGTGTTTCGCCTGTAACAAGGTGTTTGCGAGCGAGAAGACGTGGGAGAATCACGAGCGGTCAAAGAAGCACAAACAGGCCGTCTGGAGGTGCGTTTCGATCCTCCATCCGCCATTCGATATGGGTAGTGCTGCTTCTGACCAAAGTATGGCCTCTCAACGATTGTCAGGTTGCAAAAGGAGATGATGGAAGAGGACGAGGAGCTTTTCAACTCTGGTGACGAAGAGAAGGAGGAAGCCGATGACGATTCGCTAGCAGACGATTTCGACGATGCGCTCGACCTGCAGGATGTGCTCGAAGCCGATCTGGAGGAGGATCAGAGCGAGGCGAATGCGGGCACCGAGGCCGAAGCCGATGCAGATGCAAATGCAGCTCCACAGGAAGATGAAGTCGGGGAAGTTCAGACCCAACAATCTATTCGTACGGACCACAAGGAAGATCACGTCGACGTCAAAGAAGTGCAACCTGTGATCCCCTCGACGGCGGCAACCTCGAATACCGGCTTGTCAGACGGCGACAACGACGATGAGGATGAAGAGGCGGACGAGTTGGCGAAGAAGCCTGGGGGAAAGGCGCCTGCTGCTCCTCAGATGTCGAAAAAGGACAAGCGTCGGGCAAAGGAACGTCGGAAAAAGGAAGAACAGGAGGCGGCGGCCAAGAATGGAACGGGGGCTGTGAGTCATCGAGCAACCGCATTCGTTATCGAAGCTACTAAATCACAATCTTGCATATTCATAGCACGCTTGCAACGTCTGTGGAGAAGAGTTTCCCTCAAAGACGAAGTTATTCGAGCACGTCCGAGATGAAGGACATGCTCTGGCGGAAAGCGGTCGGGGCAGCAAAGGTGCGACGGGAAAAAAGGGCGGCGGCAAGAAGCGCAAGTGATCCTTGTGGCGTGGATCTATGTGATGCAGGAGGGTGTATTGTGATGTGGATGAGGATCATGCCGTTACATGGGCGCCCGCCGAGGCGACGAAATTATAATCATACAACCGTGTACCAATGGAAAGAAATACAGCGAGAAAGAAGGCTAGGCCTAACCAACGGTGGTGGCGTTCGAGCCGGTCGGTTGCCAGTACCTCCCGCCACCACCACCGCCACCTCCTCGACCGCCCCCATCGCTCCTTCCCCGACCTGATCCGCCACCCCGAGCACCACCTCGACCTCGACCACGAGAGGCGGGTCCGGTCCCTGATGTCGCAAACGTCCCAGACTTTCGCGCGGACCATCCTGGTAGAGCTCCGTCATCCTTGTCCTTGTCGTCCTGCAAAAGAACCGCACAGAGAATTATAGAATCAGTCGCTGTATCACTATGCAACCCAGTCGCCGATCTCAAAGCTCGAAACTCACCGTCTTTCCTCGTCTCCCACCCCGCACTTTGGTCTTTTTCTTGACCGGCTCCCCGTCCTCGCCCACCTCTCCAGCCCCACCCTCCCCTTCCCCATCCTCACCAGCCTCTTCCGCCTCCCTCTCTTTCCGCTTCACCCTCTGTTCCCCTACTCTCTGATTCCGCTCTTCAATCTTCTTCTTCCTCTCCCCCGTCGACCCTCCGCCTCCAGCGGTCAGCTCTACATTGATCCTCTTTCCGTCCAGTTCAGTGTGATGCAGTTTCAGGGCCGCCTGGAGGGAGGAGGAAGTGGGGAACTCGATGAACGCGATCCCCCGGGACTTGGGCGGGCCAGGAGGTTTAGTCGTGAGGAGACGGACGGAGGGGGAATGGCCGGTTTCTCGAGCGAAATAGGCGGCTAGTTCGGAAGAGGTCGTCTTGAAAGATAGGTGGCCTACCGAATTTGACGGGAGGTCGGCGAGTCAGTACTTCAGATGAATCTATATTCGAGGATGACATGGAGAAAGTAAACTCACCGACAAAGAGGATGAATCGTTGCTTGATATCCTTCTTGGTCTTCTTCTTCTCTTTGCCCTCTTCTCCATCGACCTCCATGGCTTGCCCCTTGCCCTCGTCGTCCGCGTCGACCGCCTTGTTCTTGCCCTTCTCCACCTTGGTGACAGGTTTTACGTCTTCCTCTCGTTTCCGCTTCTGACCTGCAGATGTTTCTCCGGCCGGCTTGCCATTCGCCAATTCTGCCTCCCTAGCCAGCTTTTCACGTAATTTCTTCTCTTTACTCAGTTTACTCTTTGATTTCTTCTTTCCATCCGGTTCAGTCGTGGAATTTAAATCTGCGACCGTCTTCTGAGAATCTCTTCCGTCGATGTTCAAGGTCGCAAGGGATACATCTCCTGCATCCTTGTTGTCATCGCCGTCCTCGTCGTCCAAGAGGTCTTGTTCGGGAACGTCCTCGGGAACGGGCGCCTCCTTCTTCCCTCCCTTGCCTCCCTTGGTCCTAAAGGACTGGGCTTTTTGCTGCTTTTTCGTCAACGTCGTGGACATCCTGGCTGACTTGTCGGTGGTAACCTGGTCTTGAAGCTTGAAGCTAATCGAAGGTGCTGTGATCTTGGAATTGTAATTGAACGTTCATATGTGATCGGTGGTGTAGATGCTCATCCCTTCCGAAATTTAGGGGTCAACGGTGTTCTACAAGTCTCGGCTCAAATTGACCAAGAGTGGGCGGGGGCACCTCACGTTCGGTAGTGGACAGACGACTCGAGATTGTTATCGATGACAAGCAGCCAGCAGGTTCACCTTGCCCTCCCATTTCTTCTAAGCAGACACTGTACATACACATACATAGCTGCATACACAAGATGGTATTAGCAGACCTCGGGAAACAGCTCAACAACGCTCTCGGGCAATTATCACGCGCTTCGGTCGTCGACGACAAGGTCGGTACACTCCTTCGATTCGAATAGGGGTATCACCTGGACGCTAGCTGATCCTGCTCGACACGCTACCCAAATCCTGGTCTGCTGTGTTTCTGCTGTGATGTTCTGGGAGGATAGGTCATCGAAGCACTGTTGAAGGAACTATGTTCGGCGCTGTTGCAATCCGACGTCAACGTCAAGCTCGTAGGCTCGTTACGGACCAAAGTTCGAGCAAAGGTTAGTCGCAGGCCATCTTCCTGTACTTACGCAACATGCTCTCGTTTCGATCGAGCTGACGAGCTCATCTTTGCGATCTCTGCTGTATGCGTCCTGCTCTCTGCTGTATGCGTCCTGCTCGCTATCTGAATCCCGCAGATCAAGAAATCGCTAGAAGAAGCCGAAACAAACGGCACCGTCCGAGAATCCAACAAGAAACAGATCGTTCAGAAGGCCGTCTTCGATGAGCTCGTAGCGTTGGTGGATCCGGGTCAGGAACCTTACAAACCGATCAAGGGCAAATCGAACGTCTTGATGGCGGTGGGAATCCAGGGAGCGGGGAAGACGACGACGTGTACCAAGGTGCGTTTGCTTTACGGGTCTGGCGTCTTTCTGCGTGGTCGTTTGTGAAAGTTGAGAGTGGGACTCGGTGAAGCTGATTTGACTGACTTTGTGGGAAACCTCGCAGCTCGCCGTGCATTATCAACGGAAAGGGTTCAGAACATGTCTGGTCTGTGCGGATACCTTCCGAGCCGGAGCCTTCGATCAGCTCAAACAGCAAGTCTACCCTCCACGTTTTCTCGCTGCGACGGCAACACCCGGCTGACACAACCTCTGCTTCCATTGTCACGATTCCAATTTGGGTGTGATTAGGAACGCGACCAAGGCCAAGATCCCATTCTACGGTAGTTATACAGAGACGGATCCGGTGGCGATCGCAGCTATGGGTGTGCAAAAGTTCAAGAAAGGTCAGTCTCGTCTCGTCACATCGGTGGCAATGTGCTCCAGTGTTGACGGGATGGCGGACCAATGCGATAGAGCGGTTCGATATCATCATCGTGGATACTTCTGGACGGCATAAACAGGAGAGCGAGTTGTTTGCCGAGATGGTCAATATCGGGGAGGCCGTCAAACCCGTAAGCTCTATCTCGTCTCTCGACCTATAAGTTACCTCAGCACGGTGACTGGAAGTGACGCTGAGCTTCATCCAATGTCATACGCTGCAGGACATGACTATCATGGTGCTCGACGCCTCGATCGGTCAAGCGGCAGAGGGGCAGAGCAGAGCGTTCAAGGAGAGTTCGGATTTCGGGGCGATCATCGTTACCAAGCTGGACGGGCACGCCAAGGGAGGTGGAGCGATCTCTGCGTGAGTGTGCGCAATTCGCAGTCGAGATGAAGGCGGACGAACTCTTTTGGGGGGTGAGGATCCTGACCGTCATGGGTGGTTTCGTTTGCAGCGTCGCAGCGACCAAGACGCCAATCATCTTTTTGGGTGTCGGAGAACATTTCAACGATCTGGAGCGTTTCGTGCCTTCGCCCTTCATCTCGAAATTGCTCGGTATGGGGGATATGCAAGGTCTTTTCGAACACATGTGAGTCCAGGCGGTCCTAATCTTGGGGACCGACACGAGCGCCTTGACTGATCTTGCTATCGCCTTGGGACTCCAAGGCAAGACGTAGCGATGGCCAATCCAGACAAGCAGAAAGCTATGGCAAAGAAGCTGGAGGAGGGCAAGTTTGCACTGCGGGATTGGAGAGAACAGTTGACGACCTTGATGAGCATGTGAGTGCGGTTTGGATCGGATATTTTCCAATCACACTAAAACGGTCGAGAATGACGGCTAATGGGAACATATAATAGGGGATCAATGTCGAAAATCATGTCCTCGATTCCAGGCTTGTCGGGCGCCATGGAGGGCATGTCAGATGAGGACACGGGGGCCAAACTGAAACGCATGATCTACATTATGGACTCGATGCGAACGGACGAGCTGGATTCAGATGGATTGATATTCGTGGGTTTCTGTTCTCGTTAATGCACAGGATTGTATGGTTCCGGCTAACAGGTTTTACATCGTTGTTGTTTGTTCATAGATGCGGCTCGACAAGGACGGTCTGCCATATGCGCTCAACAAGCGAGCCGCTCGAGTAGCAAGAGGGAGCGGGACGAGCGTCAAAGAGGTGGAAGAGTTATTGGCACAGGCAAGAGCAATGCGAGGGCTAGCCAAAATGGCTGGAGGCATGGCAAATGCTAGCAAGCAGGATTCATGGTACGCTTGAGACGTCATTCTCCATGGTTCTCGGTGCGGTCTCACTTACAAATCAACTTGCGGGGCTACAGGGCCAAGGCAGCTCAACAGATGCAAGCCGGTGGTCAGCGTCCCAACATGCAGCAAGTCCAAGCGATGCAAAAGGCTATGCCTCCAGAGCTCCTGCGACAGATGCGATCGGCAGGATCGCCCCAGGCCGCTCAGAAGGTCATGCAGGAGTACATCGCCAAGAACGGCGAGGGGGGCATCGACATGCAGTCCATGATGAACGCAATGATGCCAGGAATGGGAGGTATGATGGGAGGAGGAATGCCGGGAATGCCAGGTGGGTTAGCACGTTGAACAACCATTTACTTGCGTAAACTTACAACTTCTCCTGGTAGACATGGGAAGTTTGATGAACATGATGGGAGGCGGGGGTGGTGGCGGCATGCCTAACCTGGGCGCCCTGCGAGGCATGATGGGCATGTGATCGACCCAAGATCTTCAGATCGGCACGAGACATCACGCTCTCCCCCTCCACATATTCGCTTTCGATCGATTTCATCGCGAGACATTACACAGCTTTAATACAACTCCAGTCGACTCCTTTTGTGAACGACGTGTACAACAGAACAGGCAAGATCATGAGAACGTATCGAACCATATCCGAGAGTGCCGGATACCTGGTCAAGTGAAGACCCAGTCTCCAGTCTTTTCGGCCCAGACTTCCAATCGAGCGGCATCCACCTCTTGGAAAGCTTTGCGAATGGGGATATGATTGTGTTCGCCCGCTCCAGGGGCATCGACGTCGACGGCCCGGCTGGAAGAATGCAAGACTCCAAGTCCAGCGCCTCCGACAGCTGTCAGGTAAGGTTGGAACCCGTCGTCCAAGAGCGATTGAATCAGGTCCTGCAATTGGGCTTCAGGCATTTCTGTTGAGGAAATGCCGGATCATAAGCAGACGAACGTGCTTCGAGCTAGATAGATCCGGCTTACCATCAGGGATGAGTGTGACGGCGCATCCACCGCCTCCAGCTCCCGTCAATTTGGTCGAAAGGTTGTGGGGCGAAGCACCGGTCCTTGCACGGATCAACTCGAGTGCGGGGTGCGAAACTCCCAAGTGAGAGAGGTGGTCGTGATTCTCATCGATCAAGGACTGGTGAAAGGGATAATGAGAACTCGACGAGCAAATTTGTTTGGTATGTACGCCTTAGACTCACCGACAAGCCAGAGATCAGTTGTTTTCGAGGGAGATCGGCGGATGTAAGGAGTCCAGTTGCCCGGTCCGCGATATCCTGGATGGCGGTCATGACCCTCTTGCCGTCAGCCGGGTCCGCTTGCATCTTGCTAGCCACGCCAGCTACGAGCTCCTTCGTCGATCGCGGCACTTTGGTGTCGGTAAGCAAGAATCGAATTGACTTGAATCTGCGAGAGGCGTTTTCTTAAGGTCAGTCAAGTAAGGAAGGAAGTAAGCTGCTTCTCCGCTACTCACCCTCGCAATCCGGTCATTCCCCCAGGCTTCCCGTTCATCGCTCTCGAAAAGCTCAGGGCTCCTCCTTTGACGGCAACGGCATTGTCGATCCCACTAGGATTGCCGTGAATGACCTTCTCCGCCAAGAACGCCCAGCCGTTGATCAGGTCCGCTTGTGACGCAGGAATCCCACGATGACCGGAGTACGGCGCATCAGCCTCGGGTCCATCTGATGTAGGCTGAACCTCGAGCCTGTCGAAAAGTCGCAGGAAAGCCGCCGAGATGCACGAGGCATAGGAAGCTGAGGATCCAAGACCTGCTCCAATGGGCAATGCGGATCGAGCGCAGTAGCTGGCTCCTCGTCTGCGTAGAGCGTCATCAGACTACTGTCAGCGTCAATCGAGTGGGTTTCGCGAAGCCTGACTGACCTTTCCTGCTTGTTTCCGATGGTCATGTAGACGTAAATGATCGCCAACGCAGCCGCATGAGCGGTCGACCCCAACCCGTCATCGGTCAAGAATTTTTCTACCGCAGCGAAACTAGCAGGATCCAGCTCGGCCGGAGCCTTGCCCTCCTTGTCAGTCGGTTGAGCGGTGAATGATCCCCAAGGGAGGACGTCGATGTCCCACTCGCGAACGAGCCCGATGTCAGGCAGGTCGAGCGAGAGCTTGTGGTCGGGTCGACGGGAAAGATGGGCAAAGCACCGGAGGTTGATTGAGGCGGCGATGGCGGTCTGTGGAAAGGTCAGAAAAACCCGGCGTTTGACAAGGTACGATGGCATTCGAGGAGAAGCGCAACGATACACGCGGTATGGGATATAGCATCAAAAGAGTAAGCCTATGATACACTGGACACGATTTTTGGCCCGCAAGTCGGTCGCTCGGTGCCTCTGATTGCTCTTCTCGACGTATGTTTTATGTACGAGCTACTTTTTTTTCGCTTTGAGGATGTCTTTATAGCTTGTGAGACATGAAGAGCAAAGGAGATGGGTTGAGGAAAGAGAAACCGGATCAACGCACAACTCCGTGAACAACCGCGTGTTCGCCAAACAATATGACTTTTCCTGGGGCCGAGACGAGGATGTCCTGATCCGCCGTTGTCGCTGAAGATGAAGATGCCGAGTTCGAGTCGTTGGTGGAAACCGCGCCGGTCGTCTGCCCCTCTTTACCCTCAGGTCCAGAGAATCCGAGCTTAGTCTTGACGTTATCGACCAGAGCCCCAACGCCCGACTTCTGTTCATCCTCGGCCAGTTGATGTCCCTTGCCCTGCATGCCGCTCCTAGCAAATCGTCCAGCCCGCTCCACGATCCACCTCTCGGGATCAGCCACATAGATGTCCCTGGTAGGTTCCGCCGTGGTGGGAGTGGCGGGCTCCGAGTCGATATCGAACCGTTGATAGATGGCTCCCGACTCGAGCAAGGAATGTTCGAGATCGTCTATCAGATCTCGAGGGTCTTCAATGCCGACACAAAGCCGGATGAGGTTTTCGGGAAGGCCCCGTTCAGCCCGTTTTTCCGCCGAGATGGATGCGTGGCTAGAGTATCACGTCGATCCAGGGTCAGTCCATAAACGGTCGCAAGTCTTTGGAATGGCGGTATTGGGAATTGGGTGAGATCAGAGACTAGACTCACGACATGACACAAGGCATACTGATCAGACTGTTGACACATCCGAAACTGACGCTGATCCCCCACAACCTCGTCCCTCCTACGATCCTCTCGCTCGCGCCCACATCGCCCGTCGTGAAACTGAGCACGGCACCCGCCCCATCAGCTTGACCATAATGAACATCCCTGTCGGGGTGCGTGGCGAGTCCGGGAAAGTTGACGTGGAACCCCAAAGTATTGAGGTAGAGGGCGACGAGATGGGCAGTGGCGCATTGACGGTCCATTCGGATAGACAAGGTCTTCAAGCCTCGAAGGAGGAGGAAACAATCCTGAGGCGCCAATCCGGTTCCGGTTGAATTGATCAGGAAAGCCACACGTTTGGCGACCTCGTCGCGCTCGACAGCGATGATCCCGGCCATGACATCGTGATGCCCAGAGAGGTACTTGGTACCCGAATCATAGACGATATCCGCACCGAGGTTGAGCGGTCGTTGAAGGTAGGGGGACATCATGGTGTTGTCGACCACGACGAGGGCTTCCGGGGAAGCCGCGTGGACCAAGCTGGAGATCATCCTCAGGTCGGCGATCTTGAGGAGAGGGTTGGTAGGGGATTCGACGAGGACCATCTTGCACCTCTTCCCCACGTCTTGGAGGACCGCCTCGAGGTCGTCCCGAACGTCCAAGTCTAGGTGCCTGACCTCGGCACCCCCTTGGGTCTTGAGGAAAGTGAGGAGACGGTCGGTGCCTCCGTAAATGTCGGTACCGGCCAGTACGACGTCGCCAGGTTGGATCAGGCGGAGGATGATGTCCAACGCCGTCATTCCCGTGCTGACGGCGAACGCACGGCTGCAGGTGTAAAGTCGGGCGAGTTGCGTCTCTACAACGATGTAACCAAGGAGTCGAGTGTGAGTGATTTGAGGCTTTTATAAGAACGATAGTCGAACCTAATCAGCAGAGGAGCGGAAGACATACCCAAAGCCGTCCTCGTAGGGTTCCCACTTCGGGTATAATCATACTCCCCGTTCAAGCCCTTGAAAGTCGCCGTCTGGTAGATAGGTACCGAAGAAGCCCCATACTGATCTTTACTCTCGGTCGTCGCGCTGTCCAGGTCAGAGCAGGTGTATTAGTCTTCCATGGCTCGTGATGAGAACCGGATTGCGGATTTCGGGTGGAACGAGAGGGACATCTGGGCACTCACCAGATGGTCCCGAACCTCCAGTTCTTGCGACGATCTTCGACTGACGAAGGTTTAGACGGGAGCGATGCGATCGAGGTGCCCAATGGAGATGCTACACCTGGAGTGGGTGGGGTCGAGTAGTCGTTGTCGTTCATGATCCCTCTTGGAGCGTGGCTAATAGCTCCTTGGCGGCGAGGTGATGGTGATAAGAGGCGAGATTCCGCGTGAGCTGTTGAACCGCTTGTGAGGTATTTCGATGATGCTTTTTGGCACAAGGTTATGTCTCTGGCGGAGACTTGTCTTGGTTTCTGTCTTTGAGCGCAGTAGTGGTTGTGTTGTATGACAGAGCTGTTGATGGAATATGGATGAATGTGTGTCTGACTCGACATCAGCCTCAACTCGACACAATCACGCCATCCCAATTGCGGGGTAACGTCCAAAGTCACGTGATGCCCCATGTGCGCGTACATGAGGTGCGGTCACAACTTGTGTCCAAGTGACGTGGGCATGAGTAGCCATATTACAACCCAGTTGCGTGAATTGGCCGTTGGCAGGAAAACAGAACCATCAGTGATGATAGTTGCTCGCTCCGCTTCCGTCGACTTGCGAACTCTTCCCAGTAACCGCTTTGTAATAGTTCGGCCCTTTGACCAAAGAGCCGTGTTAGCACCACGCCAGAGGAAGGGGGAAGTGATCGATAGTTGATCTCACTTTTTGCATTTTTTTATGGTGATGACTATATGCGATGACACGTCATCGGTCACTTGGGTACTAGCCAATACCTGTCGATTGATAACGTGAGCATCTCTCATCCCATTCTTGAGACCCACCAAAGTTGGAGAGAATCTTCGAACATTCGTCATTCAGGGACTTGCAATGGATCGAGATTCAGCGACGTCATGAACAGGTTAGCCTTGCCATCAAATAAAGAGCCAACAATACCGGCCTCGTCGTCGGCAATCTCTACCACGATGGACGCCGGATCCACCGAGATCGAGCTGCCCGGATCGACACCAACGACGGCGGACAAGCCGACCTCGCTGCTGAGCAGTATCATGGCAGACAAGTGAGCATCCTCTTCCAGCTCGCTTCTTCGTCAAACCAATCGCCTCGTGTCTGACAAACAACCCCCAACGTTTCCTAAGCTAAGCCCATACTTTTCCGCCGGAGCCGGTCTTATGGGCATCGGCGTGGTGCTCGGCGGTCTTCGAAAAGGAGTCAACCTGGCCGGTAATTTCGCTCAGCGGAGGTTACTCGTCACTCTAGAGATTCCGAGTAAAGATCGTGCATATCCTTGGTTCTTGGAATGGATGGCTGCGCAGGCCAAGGCGGCGAAAGCGTTGGAACTGGAGGCCGGCGAGTCGAGCTCGGCATCGACATCGATATCGAGACCGTCGACGACCTCGAAGATCAGACAGATTTTGTCCGGAAACATCCCCGTCCAATCTCACCAGCTCGCCGTCGAGACGACCTACAAACAACACTCCAACGGATCCACCGAAGCTCTCTTCACCCTGGTCCCCGGCCCTGGGACACACTACTTTCGTTACAAGTCCGCTTGGATCCAATTGAAACGAGAACGGGATTCCAAGTTGATGGACCTTCATAGTGGGATACCATGGGAGACAGTCACCTTGACTACCCTCTCACGGGATAGGAACCTCTTCCCTTTGTTACTGAAGGAAGCTAGAGAGCTGGCGGACAGGGAAAAGGAGGGCAAGACGGTGGTGTATACGGCTTGGGGCACGGAATGGAGACCATTCGGAAAACCGAGGAGGAAGAGGGAGACGGGTAGTGTGGTATTAGCAGAGGGAATCGGGGAGAGGGTGGAGAGCGATCTCAGGAGGTTCTTGGGGAGGGGCAAGTGGTATGCTGATCGAGGTGGGTCGAGACTTGACACCAAGTTACGCCTTGGCATAGTTTCAACGTAGCAAACTCGTTTTCCCTCCCGCACAACAGGTATTCCTTACCGCCGAGGATACCTTCTCCACGGTCCACCCGGTTCTGGAAAGACCTCGTTCATTCAAGCCCTGGCCGGGAACCTGAGCTACAACATCTGTCTGCTAAACCTGTCCGAAAGGGGCCTGACGGATGACAAGCTGAATCACCTCTTGGGGATCACGCCGGAGCGGAGTATCGTGCTTTTGGAGGATATCGATGCCGCGTTCAACCGGAGGGTGCAGACTAGCGAGGATGGGTGAGTTCTCGATCGCTGGGAGCGCTTGGCGGTCTTTGATGCTAATTCAATTCTGCTCGCCTACAGGTTCAAATCGTCCGTGACCTTCTCGGGCCTGCTGAACGCCCTGGATGGAGTTGCGTCGGCGGAAGAACGGATCATCTTTATGACGACCAACCATTTCGACCGGCTCGACCCGGCTCTCGTCAGACCCGGTCGGGTGGATTTGAAAGAATTGTTGGACGATGCTGTGCCTGAACAGGCCAAGAGGCTGTTCAAGAGGTTTTACGGAAAAGACCAGGACGGGGCAGATGAGGCGGAGATTGCGAGGTTGGCTAGCAAGTTGGCAGGGATGGTTGGTGATGAGATGGGACGCGGGAGGAGGGTCAGTATGGCCGCGCTTCAAGGGCACTTCATCAGGCATGCTCCGGGTGAGAGCTTGGATACCTTGAATGACTTGTTCGGTGAGCGATGATGCGTGCATGGAAGAAAAGAGAGAGCGTGTTGTATTCGGACATGCCAGTCTTCGTTATGATTCCTGGCCGATATTAGATGCATGGCGGGATCGCAGGCGGCGGTCCGAGGATCTTTGTCTTTCGTAGTGTCAGTGCGATAAGTTTCGGGTTTGATACGTAACGCCGCTCGGGCTTGCACAGGATAGCTGGTCCCTTTGACCCAAGACAACCTGGCCCACTCGCACGACCTAACGCCGGTATCCATCAAGAGGGTACGATACCGTCCGGCAGGTAGCTGTCCAGAGGGAACCCATATTCGATAGTCTCGGTCCTATCCAAAGGTTTGACGAGATCGTGCCTATGGGGTCACCTTGGCGATGCACACGTCATCGAACATTCGTCACGGCTGCTTCTTGAAGCCAGCTCAGAACGAAGTCTTGGACCTTGTGATCGATTGGCCTCCGCTAGGTCCAGTCGCCATCACTAACATCCGCGACGCCGTCTACAATACTAGCGGGGCGGGTGCAGGAAGCTGAATCATGCCATATCTTGTGGCTCCCTCTGCTGCCCAGCTCCGTAATGATATTGTTCGCAATTTCTGGAGATGCAGTGTGGGGTTTCAAGTGTATTACGGTGCATCACTGTCAGGAAACGGTCCCATCAATCTTCCCTGGTCGTCCCCTCTCCGGCCTGAACCCGAGACAGACGAAAAACCCCTCCGAGCTCTCCGACCGTGAACTCTCCGGTTTGACGTAATGCACCCGGTCAAAGATGGGTTCAAGTTCGGTCTTCTTGAAGAGCGAAAAGTCCGGGTGCGCAAAGTGTTTCAAGCTAGGCGGTAGAGGCATGGTGATGGATGTCCAGTCAGTTCTGGTAGACCAGGTAATGGTAAGCGTGGCATGGAGATTGCAACCCACACGAGGTTTCCTCCTTTCCGAGATGACGGGGGGAGCGGCCGTTCAGGCGTCGGTCTGTCAAAGAGACAGCATCGACGAATCTCAGCCATACAACCCCCTGATACCAATGATGGAGAGGCGAAATGTGACTTACTCTCCTCCTGCAGTAGGCCTTCGAAGATAATGCACCGCAAACATCAAGGCCGAACGACACAGCTCCAAGCTGTTCTCGACATCTCGTATCCGTACACCCGTCATGTTGGCCATCATGTCAGAAAGAACAGCGTCCACCTCGACGTTCCTTGCACTCGATCGTCTAGGTAAAGTTTTGACGAGCTGTTGATAAATTTCTGGTGACAGAAAATCGCCTTGGATGAACGATACCTGCTCGTAGCCTTCTCCTAGGTCTCGGACGGGCAAGAGATCTACACCGATGACCCGGCCCCTCTTGCCGACCTTGTCTGCGGCGACCTGTGCCCATCCCCCCGGAGCGCAGCCGAGATCGACGATAGTGCCTCCAGCAGGCAAGATATGAGGATACCGTTCTGCCAATTGAAGCAGCTTGTATGAAGCTCTCGATCGGTATCGACCGGAACTTGACCGCGAGTTGACGAACGGATCCGACTGTTGTCTGGCGAGCCAGCGATTCGAAGAGCCGCTCTTTTTCAGTAAGAAAAGGCTCGGGCGCATATCGACGTGTTGAAGCGTGGCTCTGGAGGCTTGTATGGGGGTCCTGTAGTAGAGGTCGGCATTGTCATTATCATATGCAACATATGGAAGATACGTGATATCATAAACAGTTCCGAGGATGATGCCCGAGTTGATGATGTCACGTGATAAAGATCCGTCGGAAGTAAATTCGGAGGCATCCGCCCAAAGTCCTACCTATGAAACAAGATCATTCGCTCATACGAAGCAGACTTTGATATCCCAGAGATTTCCAAAGAGGATGCTCAAGGATGACAATTATTGTGCTTGATCTGGCCACATGATGTAATCGGACATTCGCCATCCGCGGGAATACAGACGAACAGACACGGGTGTTTCTTGCTTTACCAAAACCGGCGGTATTAATCAGTCGATTGATGTCGATACGCGGTTACCATCGTGGGACGATAGAGCTTAGCTTCGATTTCAAAGCGTTACATGAAGAATTCAGTGATTTAAAGGTGTAGCTCCGACTATGCAGCGTAAGGCTTGATCACAGGCTCGGAATTGGTTCTCGGAACATTGCTGAGGAGGGTGATGGTGTCTTTGAAAATCTGACGTTGAAGACCCGCGGTCTGTTTGAATAGGTCAGGGTTTCTACAGAGCGAGGAATGTCAATCAACCCAAGGCAGACGTCAATGATTATAAAAATCATCAAGCGACTTACTCGATCCCATCGGTTAGGTAGGAGCACCAGCGCGATTCGAAACGAGAGCGATCCGGTACTCCGCCGTGCTGTATCGTATCGGCAATAAAGTGGAAGGCGACAGGGCTGACGGTTAATGTGAAATGATCCTCGATTCTCAGCAAGCTGCAGAGCTCTTGCGCCGACGCCACGGTAGCTCCCGGCAAGGCGCTGGTAGGGTTAATGATCTCGGGCTGGATCACATCGTCCGTGATTGTGTAGACTGAGAGGGTCGGAACCAATGCCGAACCACCTCGACGATTGTGGGCCGCGAGGTAGTTGGAGCCGATGGTTTGCTGGATTACTGAAGGTCCACAACCGCCCTGCAAAAGCATTTGAGGGAGGCAGACCAGAGGGCCCTCGGCGGTACCTGTATGTGAGGGATGTATGACTTTAGTGACATGTCGCCTCGATATTCAGGCGGAAGACCTACCGAAAAAGTCCCCAGCGATACTGCCGAACCCAGACACAAGGGGCCTCAAAGATGGCCAGAATGCCAAAGCCCACTGGATGTTCAGGTTCTATGCCAGGGAGGCGGCCGCCGATTATATGAGCATGAGATCTTGGTGGCAAACGTTGCGCTTGAACCTACCCCCTGAGAGTGCCCGATAACGTAGACCTTTCCGTTTGCCGACTTGCCCGCCAGGTCCTGAATGTTATAAGCCACGTACTCTGCGTTGACTTGAGCGTCGTCGAGTGACCGGCCAGGTATAGTGACGTAGCAAACATCATATCCGTCGCTGGAATGAGGAGCTCGGATTCAGTTTCGTCCACAAGTCAAACAGAAATCCCCCCAACTTACCCGTATGACGGTAGCAGCTGGACATAGGGGCCTGTCTGCCAGGTCTCTTCGCCCCTGATGTTCGACAAGATGTGTTCGTACATCAGAGCCTCGCATGCACCTGGGCTGTCGTACGCAAATATCTGGACTGTAGCACTTACGTGGACGTGGTCCCGTGGACAAGGAATACTATGTCTCTCCCCGTGATGCCGGTAGGGCACGTTACAGTCGAAGTGTAAGCCCCGCAATCGAAACTATAGGGCGCATCACCAGCGGTACTAGGGCACGCCCGCTTGATCAAGCTGTTCTCGCGAGATTCGAGAGGCTGATTGGTTGCCTTGTGGTCAGCTCGAGTCCGGACCCGGTTAATCTGCAAGCAATGCTTACAGCGGCGATAGTTGCACATGCGAGCAGGAGGAGGCTCAGGGTCCGAGAAAACATCTCTCGACACGGTTCGAAATCGAGTGCGGCCTAAATATCGACTTAGGTTTGGGTATACATTCGATGGTCGCGAAACAGTCAAACCAATGCTGCAGGGTTGTATATATATATATTTCTACAAGTGAGAACGCAAGCGAGAGCCGGGCGAGTTCTGCATTCGGCATCAATTCGATGCGACGTCGCACTAAAACGCCAGACTTTAGCGCGCAAAGCCCCGTGTTTCGCTTGTAATTCGATTGAGCACTGACGGATCCCCGGTTACTTTTGTTTAGCCGCTAGCTTCGAATTGGTGCGCACTGAACCGGGGACCGAATGATGTTATCGACATCGACTTGATCTCTATCGCTCTACATTTACACATCCTGCGACTTCGGTCCGGAGTGGATCCAGAGAGCTCACAACGTAATCAGGTCTCCATGACATTCCGGACACCAAAACACCGCGTCATCACTGATCTGGGACGCGAACGTCGGACCTAAATGAGCCAGATGATCGTCCTCCTCTGCGATTACATCCGACGAAGCGATACTCCGGCCACCAAGGGACGAAGGGGGCCCGCTCATGCGGGCTTTGAGCATGGCCAGGGAGACCTGCCTCTTGTGGCGCATACTCGGTGGAAGTGAGGCATCTATCGACGCCGATGGTGGAGCGACCTGGAGCGGGACCGGAACCGCAATCGTCGCAGATCGTTGACCGTCCGATCTTGGCGTTGCGTTTCCAGCAGTTGCAGACATTTCTCCAACAGCTCCGTTGCGACTCGCCAATTGCGACCGTAGTGAAGCTAACTCCTGCTCCAGATCTCCAATCTGCTTGGACATGTCGTGGACCCTGCTCGTCTGCTGATGAGCCTCTTCTTCGGCTCGACGTATAGCCGAGTCTCGTTCAGAGAGATCTATCGCGTGCTGAGACTGCATCGCAGCGATGGCATCGTCCTTCGCCGATCCAGCTGCGATGGTCTGCTCGGCGGTGCGTAATTTTTCCTTCAATTCCTTGACGGACGGTCCTATCGTATCCATATCGTTTTCTGATAGTTCCAGGACGCTCGTCAAGGATTGCAGCAGTGTTCTCGATCCGGCGGCTTCCGTCTTGCTCGCGTCGAGATCATTAGATAGGTTTCGGTGCTTCTCTTGAGCTTCCGCTTTTTCCTGCGCGAGCGCATCGCGTTCAGTCATCAGAATGTCTTTTTCGACGTTCATTTCTGCATGTTGTTCATTGATAGACTGTATCCGTCCCTGGAAGATTCAAGCAGCTGATCAGCGAAACTTTATAGTGAACCTTTTGCACACTGCGCAACTGACCTCGAGCCCCGCAATCTTCTTCTTCTGCTCGGTGATCGTCTCGCCCAGACCCTCGCGATCCTCCGCCAACTGACCAATCCTCCCCCTAACTTCTTCCAGCTGTTCGAGGAGACCCTTATTGTCCTCTTGTAGCGCCTGCTTCTGCCCGATCGCCTGCTCAGCTCGTTTGGACTCCTTGGACAATTGCGACCGCGACTGTTCTAATTCCTTGACCGCAGCCGCATGGGACTCTCTGAGAGTGCTCAGTTCGCTCGTTGTCGTCTGAACATTGCCACTCGCGTCAGACAATCTCGATTCTACTTTAGCGAGCTCGGTTTCCGCTGCAGAGGCTCGTTCTGAAGCATCTTTGTATCGTTCCTGCAACTCGTTGTACTTTTGGCGAGCGTCTTCGATCTCCTTGACGTTGTCCTCATGCTCTTCTTTGAGCTTGGCGAGCTCCGACTCGGTATCACTTTTCTTCTGCTCCAATTCGCCTTGAGCCTGCAAAACGGGACGTCTCGATTAGTATTTCCGCAACGCACTGACCTTCCACCCTGACGTTGAGCTCTGACCTGTTTCAACTTCCGTAATTCTCCCTCTAGCATACCTCCTCGCTCCCTCTCACCCTCCAACTTCCCTTCGAGCGCCTTGCGCTTCTCACTCTCCTGTTGCTCCGAACTTCTAATCTCTCCTTGCAGCCTTTCCACCTCGCTCTCCAGCTCTTCCACTCGTTTCCTCAAATCTCTATTCTCGCCCTCTGCCCGCTCTAGTACCGTGTTGCTGTTTTCGAGCTCGCCTCGCACCGAATCGAGATTTCGAGCCTTGCCCTGCTCCTCCTCCAATGCCTCCTTAGTCGATGCCAGATCCCTCTCGAGTTGAGAGATATGACCCTGGGCCTCCTTTAACAGGTTGGAATCCGTTTGAAGCTGAGATTTTTGGGTTTCTAGGTCGGTGATAGAGGTTTGGAGGGATGAGACATGTTCCTGCAAGTCAGATATCCGATGTTGCAGCTCGGTATTCTCGCTTTCGAGCTCTTTGACCCGGAGATCTGAACTTGAGACAGGGGAGATCGTAGCGTCTTCGGTCTGCGGTACCGATGATGCAGCAGGTACGTCATCATACGGCTCGTCCGGCTGTGCTGTAGGAGCGAGATGCTGTTCCCTGACGACAGCCTTCAATGGCTCCAAAGATTTTACGTCTTTGGCAGTCGTGGCTTCATTGGGCGCTGCAGCGTCCTTCGCTTCGTTTGATGCCGCTGCTGCATCGTGCGGTTTCCCACCTTGCACCTCGGCCACGACCTTTTCCTTGCTCGCAGCGTTGTTGATCTTGGGGGCATCCTCGATCTTCTGCACGCCGTCCTCCACCTCCTCCACCTGTCCTGATTCTTCCTTATTCTCCGCTTTGTGCTCCGTCTCCTTGGTAGCCTCCTCGGCTTTTACCCTTTCTTCCTCCTGGGCAGCTTGCTGCTTTTCTTGAGCCTTTTTCTTCTTCTTTTGGGATTTGGAAAGGGGTTGTTCGAGCTCGGGCTCAGCCTCAGGCTTGACAGGAGCCTCAGCCACCTCTTCTCCTGATTTCACCTCTGTCTCAGCAGGAATCGCCCCGACTCCCTCGTCCTGCGAGGATACCTCGCTAGGCTTAGGCAGCTCCTCGGTTGGTTTCGTTTCGCTAGCCTCTGGTACAGCTGCTGCCGTCGATTCTCCGGGTAATACATCCTCTTGTTTGACCTCTGGTGATTTCGAATCTGGTTCTGGAAGTGCCCCTGTGGCGACCGGCTCGGGGCGTCTTTCGTCGAGACTAGGCCGGGCTGAACCCGAATCGACAGAATTGGCTGCGGGACTAGCTTTGCCCTCGGCTGAGCATCCAGGTCATCCGGTTCAAGTCAGCTTTAGAATTCCTGAAGCCAGAGGTATTGCAATACAAACCTTCCGCCTTCTTCTTCCGCTTGGCTGCCAGCTGAGAGGGAGCATCGATGTCAGACCACGCTGTTACCAGAGAGGTTGCGAAGTTGACATACCAGCTTCTTTGCTCTGGCCGCTTGTGCCTTTCTCTCCGCTTCCTTGTCAGGATCAGACGACATGGTTTCCTCTTTTACGGGGCGGACTGTGTCGAATTGGACATCTGTTCTAAGTACCTTGCCGAGAAGACTAATAGGGTAGGGGGTATACACAAGGTAGATACGAAGGAGTGCATGAGAGTGATATCGATCGTCATCTACACCTACAGCGTGGGTTGTATGCGCGTCGCTGCCGAGGCCGAGGGCAAGGTTGACCTCTGACTACTCCCAAGTTACTTACACCTACCCTCTCGACTGAACGACTTGACATCTTACTTTGTACTTTGACCCTCTCGAAGCATCCGAGTACCCTCTGATATTGCCGAGATCAAGAAGCAAAAAAAAAACGACCCATAAGATAGCGACAATGGTGAATATCCCTGAAGCGCCTTCATGTCTTCAAATGCTCGACCCGAACTGACGAATCATTCACTTCTGTTATGCTACAGCCTCCTCCTACCAAATTGGACAAACACCACGTGTCTTTCTGCTTTGACAAGAACCGGGTCATGTTCTCGGTACCTAGTACCACGTAAGCCGCGCCGCCTGCCTTGAACTCCTGTTAGTCTCGTAAACAAGCTTATCGACCCTCGATTACTGCTCGGGATTACAGCACGCTAGCCCAGCTCAAAGAGACCTTCCTCAGCGCCCTGCCTCATCTCGTTGCCGGGCCTTCCGAAGAGACTTCCCTACCCGGTCTAGACGCCGAAGACTTGGCCGCCATGGGTCTCCCGCCCCCTTCCTCTGCCCCAGCCGCGGCTTCTTCCTATTTGTCCCGTATCGAATCCACCTCGGACTTTGTGCTCTGGCAAGCTCGTCGCGGAGTGGATATGGCCGCTGGACCACAAGCAGGGACAGACGGATCGGACATTCTCGGGTGGTCTTCTCTCGAAGGGGATGTCAATCACCCGGATTTTTCGGCGAGGACTGATCAGCAAGGGTCGAGAGAGAAGAGCTTGAAGAGGATGATCAAGGATATGAGCCAACCGGTTTGGGGGAGATGGGTAGAGGTGTTTGTTAGGTGAGTCGGAAAATTTCTGTTGGACATCTTTTCTCCCTGTCGCATGGAACTGCAGGCTGATTGCTACCCGTGTGAACGCAATCTATAGTTTCAAGCAAGATGGTGAGCATGCGAGCTTGACGGCTATGTAAACGGAAACGTTGCTGATATAGACTATCTATCTGCCTCTCTTCTCAGATGGAGAGTTCTCGGAACCGACTGTCGACCTTCCGAAACTCGACGAGGACGAGGCATGATCACGACTCGGCCATTTTTGTGACTTGACTATGAACGACCTTGACGACCAGAGAGAAGACCCAACAATCCGCTCGCTCACCTGCCTGCAATCCACGCTTTCCCAACACTCATGGTCTTGTATTCGCCCAGTTTGTAAGCTGAAAGAGCTGTCCACCTGGCTCAAACTATGCAACAGATAGACAAACTACATGTATCAATACAACAACCAAGAGCATAACGGAATACAATACAATGCAGGTTACAAACACGTGCAGCCTGATCGCAGGAGAGGAACCCGATTTCCTACTGTGAAACCTCCCTAGTCCGGCCTAGGGTAAGAATGGAAACTACTGCTGACGTATTGAGACAGTCCATAAAACTGGAAGAATACAACCTTGTTTGTTGTGAGAGGATGCATCGAGAAAGAGGAGAGAGATGTGATAGAAAGATCCATCCTTGATAGATGCCGTCAGGTCCGGAGTGTATAGCGTGATGGGGTCCGAAATAGCGGGACCGATTTGGAAGATCGCTTCTTGTCTTGCTCCGGATCCTGTCGTACTTGTACTTTTTCGTCTGTTGCCTTCTATATGCCGATCGGTCTCAATGGTATCATTGGATCAAGCACTTGCAACCCCCTCCGTGCTCATCACCCCCGGCCGCCCTCCTCCCAGTCTGCCCCGTGGTCCCCTGCGTCGCTGTCGTGTTCCCCGCCCCTGCTCCGATTGCAGAAGTAGATTCAGCCCTCGCTCCGGGCGGGACGTGCGGACTCCCGCCGGTCCCTGAACCAGGAGCGGCCGTAGTCGGGATGTTGCTCGAGTTCTGCCTGGAAGACAATCCCGAGGGTCGAGGGATGGTAGGTAGTGAGAAGGGGAGGATGGATTTCTTGGGCGGTTCTAACAAAAGTGGAACGGTGAGTGTTAGTTCCCGTGCTTCGTCAGACGTGATGCTAGGGGTAGAAGGCGTACCTTCAGGAGCAGGTGCGAACGTCCGGATGGACAAATGCACAATGGTAGAGTTCGGTGCCGGTTTCAGGTTGAGCGCTGCACGATACGCAGGAGCAAGAACACCTCCGTCAGCCCCCCGTCCCGATCTCGCCGCTCGTTATATCTGACGCTGACCAGAGAGTACTTCGGGATCCGTCAACATCCTGCCCATGAATAACAGCCTGAAATAATTGGGCGCTGGGGGTCTGCCTGGCTCAGGGTTCCAATCTATCGTTACCCCCACATGCCAAACCGAGACAATGACGAAAAAATAAAGAACAAGGACGATCTGAATCAGCACAAGAGACTTGCAGAGTGCAAGAAAGCTGAGACCGTGCAGTCGGACTTACCTGCCGGCCATTCTCCCCAAACCAGATCCTTCAGATGCCCGATCGTCGTCGTCGGTGGAAAAGCGAATGTGTGGGATTGACCGGACATGAGGAGGATCCGAATATTGAGCTGTGTCGATCCCGAACGATGAGGACGAGGAAATGCAGTAGGTTCCGAAGTAGTTGCGGGAAAGACAAGAAGAAGGGAAAGAGAGACCGAATCGTATGGTCCGCGAGGGATGACGAGGTTGAAAGCATACGAAGACGCAAGTACATCATATCTCGATCAGCAAACTCACGCTCGCTCAATCGAATGAGAGCCAAAAAGGCGGGGTAAAGATGACGGCTAACCTTTGGTCCCTCCATCACGGGTTCCAAAGCCCGATGCTTGATCTCCCCCTTCTCCCGTTCCAACGAGCTCCTCGGGCTATCTACATGTATGATGGGATGTTTGACGTCGATCGGTTCTAGGTCCAGAGCATCATTATTGTTATATTTGTTGGTGTTGATGTTGGTGGTATCGTTGTTGGGGATGAGTTCCGCGATCTGGAGGTTGAAGGGAGGCTCGGAGGCCGTGTGAGGATCGGCGGATACCGACGTGCTAGTAGTCGGAATCGCAGGAGCCAAGTCGGATGATGGATTCGACATTGTGATGATGGGCAGGTCTGATCCGGACTCGAGTTGCGATTGCGATTGCGGCGGGTAACGATCCATGCTCGCAACTAGACGTTGATGACTTTCCCTTCCTTCGCCTTGATCGTATTGCGAAGACCTGGATTCGCCGTAACCCTGATCCGTGGTATTCAAGATCGTCCCAGCACCCGAGTGAACATGCTGTCCGTTGTCGTCGATGGTGTTGATGGTGGCTACGTCGACGGCTCGCTCGGCAGACATTGCCGATCGTCAGCAGTGGACGTGTTTAGCAAGAAGAGCTCGCTCGACCTCTAGGTGCGGAAAGAGGCAGGGACCGGGGATGCGACGACCAGGTGGTATGAGGAAGTGGGACGGCTGAAGAGAGGTTGAATCCGGGAGATGAGAAGAGGGGGTTTGGTGTGTACGTGTGTACAAGGAAGTGGATAGGAGTGAGAAAGAGAGAGAGATCTGCAGCGAATGATTCCGCGACTCCCGGCAGGCGGAGACTGATATAGTGCGACGACGACGACGACGACGACGACGACGACAGCGGCGAAATCATCTCATAGACACACTCTCTGCTCCTCGTCCTTGGCTCAGCACCATGAATGTGGAGGGACCTCGATCACCGATCTCATGTTCATCTCCCCTGCGACCTTCGCCCCGGTCTTCTCATCGCCCAATTCACTCACGTACGCGATCGGCCGGGCAACCTTCCGGCGCGGGGGAAGCTGAGCGAGCAGGAGAGTGTCTGTCTCTGTGCTCCGGGGCCTGCTTGGCACGAGGTCGCTAGCCGAGCAGGCAGCAATCCCCGCAGTACAGTATGCGTATAACATGAAACCATGCTCCCTCTTTGTCTTCACGGTCAATCGTCGTCGATTTTAATATCTTGAAACATGCGCGAACCCAGCGAGAGGCAATGCAAAACAAGGCCGATATCGTGACCCGTTATCGAGTCTTCCGCTTCATAATCGCATAGCATACTGACACAAACGACAGCGCCTCTGATTCATTTCTCTTCAACCCTCCTGCTAAGCTTCCTATTATTAACGGCTACGCAGAGCGCTCGTATTCGTATTCTCTCCTATGACTTCCGCGACAGGGTAGTGTGGGGCGACTTTCAGGGCTTTGTCTAGAAGGAGAGCAGACAGAAACAAGCGATCTGGGTTGAGCAAGCACATTTTTGCTAGACTTTGGAAATCACTTAAGCAGTCCACAGGCAACGTACGTTTCACCCTCGTCGAATAAAGAAATTCGGCGACGACCTCTCCCTCTCGCATCATCCCGCCAGTCCCACCCATCATGACCTGCCCTGCAAAAGCCGGATTCACCCCGGGGCCCTGTACCGTCGCTCCCCCACCCGCAGCCAGGGCATCCCTCCAGTGTCTCGAAGCCCGGTCGGCGAAAACCTTTCTCGCCATGTCCAGGTCGGCCAGAATAGGGACAAAGGGGTCCGTGTCGTCTTCGTCCTCCGAATTGAGCGAAGGCGTCGGCGAGGGGGATGAGCGAGTGTTGCGGTAAGTGACAGCGAGAGAGGTTCCGGCGGGCAAAGGCTTTCGGCTCGATCGTCGTAGTGCTGCAGGTGGAGAATCGGGGTTCTCACCCGAGAGATCTTCGTCCTTGGGTACAGCGTCCTCTCCGTTTACCCCAGTCCCTGCATGCCCTTCGATTGTCACCGTCTTTGGCCTTCCGTCTTCTCCTATCACGGTCCCGTTGCCTTCAGCTTGATCTTGACCTTGACCTCCAATCTGACCCTGAGCATTCTGATCCGACTCGCGCTCTTTTCGCTTCCTCTCCTCCTCTTCAGCCATGGTGATACTCTCCTCAATCGCAGCCGCGACCATGCTCGTAGCCGTCGACCGTCTCTTTGTCGCTCGGCCCTCCCTGTTGCTTTCCCTCGTCGAAGCTTGATGCGGTTGCGAAGCGTCCTTCCCGTAGCTGTTTCCTTTGCCTGACTGCATGACGTTCAGGTGAGGGATCATATGGGATCCTACCATTCCCGGGCCGGGCAGCATGGTCTGGATCGGTTCTGGCTCGTCAATGAATAGCAACCGTGCTATAAAAAACACAACAGTCAACATAGTCAGAAAGTATGTTTCGTATCGGACTGAAATCTAGCGAGCTGAGATTTAATAGGTCTAGGAAGACTCACGATCCGTCGCTTTCGCATTCACGTCCCATACAGAATGGATGCTGCCATAGCCAAATTTGGGGATCGCGTTGTTCCGCTCAAGGTAGCCTGCCACTGTCTCGTGGTCAAAGGCGGTAAAGTCGAGCTTCAACGGCGGCATACATTCATTCGATGTGAGCTTGGGGGAAATTCCAGTCTTAGGATTCGCTAGACAACTCACCTGAGGATGGATATCTTCCGGGTTGACTCCCGCTCCTGGCCCGATCATCATCCCATGTCCAAAACCGTCACTGCCAATATGACCAGGAGCCATCATCCCTTGACCGCGTCTAGCACTATCAGCGTCGACCTGACCGCTGTCTTTTCTCCGCTTGACGCCTCGTCGAGCATTCGAGGTGGAAGGTTGTGATTGAGGAGCCGGGAACTCGTCGGGTACCATCTCTGGGTTTTGATAGGCGTGCCATGCTGGATCTACGTCGGCGAGTCTGCGTGGGTCGTTCATGGTTCCGAGACAGGTAGTTGAGTTGTGTTGTTCGAGGATAAGACCAGTATCAGAAGCTATATCGATGATACCCCCTGGCGTTGCTTGCTATGCAGCTATAGCTAGCTATCGAGTAGCGAGTGGAAGTATAAGATGCAAAGTGCTAAAGACGCAAGGATGCGGTTACGAGCTCGGTCAAGCAAGATCGACCCTGTCGGAAGCAAAGTACGAGATCGTTGATCTGCTCCCGAGGATCAACCGATGCGGATGTTCACCTCATCATTGGCCTCGAGAATGGACACGATGGGTAATCTCAATGTCATCTTATGCATCTTAGTGAGTGATCTCAACCCTCTTGCCTGGTTGCCACTCTTTGGCCGCGTTATCCAGGTTCTGCAGATACTGGAGCTCGATTGTAAGACCCTTTGCTCGCTCCAGATCGACCGAACTCGAGCTGAAGACTTCGAGGATGTTTTGGACAACCTGTTCCGATTTGACTGTCGATCGCAAGCTGTGACATCAGCATATTACAGTCGCTTTTTAAACCGAGGTGACGCTTACCTCTGTTCGACTCGCGCACGGCATCGCATTCCTCTTGTGTCGAAGCTTCTTCAAGCTCTTCACGAGCTTCCATCACCTCCATCAACAGCTCGGGATCCGTCAGCGAATCCGATTCGGCGATGTCGTAGCCATACTGGTCAAGCTGTTCGGGAAGAACGGAAATCCTGTCAATCCTCAGTTGGCGAGACGTCATGTTGGAATATGCTTACCAGGTACTTTGCTCTGCTCAAGGGATTCAGCAGTGTTGTGTACGCCTTGTTGAAATGTGAAGACTGATCGATCGCGAGAGCGTGCTCCTTCTGCGGACGAGACCAGGCGGAAACCACTCAGCTACGGTCTCTAACGGGGACAAGGTAGATCTACCCACTTCGCCCGCTCCACTGAAACTGTCTGGGTGTATCCGCTGTTGCTTTTTGAGGAAGGTCATCCGAATGCCTCGAGAATCGATATCGAACCCGCCTCCTGGCAATTCCTCCAAGATTTCCTTAGCTGGCTTTGACATCGATGCCTCAGGGACCAAGTCGAACAAGGCGTGGTGTAGAATGTCGGACGGTAATGGGCAAGGCGTTCGGCATGCCGTACACGGTGTCACTTGCAGTGCGAGGGCTTCTCCACAATTAGGGCAACTCTTGCGTGGAGCGGATGGTCGAGCAGTACTGTAAGCTCGGGTTCCAGCAGGAGGTCTAGGTTGTAACCGGCCTGCAGCAGTAGCTTCCCGGATCGTCCGCTCGGCCTGCAGTGAATGAACTTAGCGAGACGGCCCGTCCTTACAGCCTTGGCTCAACGGATACACTTACCTGAAGTACCATCGGCCTATCGATCATCTCCTCCCGTCCATCTTCACTCTTTAGCCCCTCTGCACCGCGTTTGGACGACGACATGATGTCCAGGATCTGTTGTGCACGAGCGATGTCTAGATAAACCGAGGTCACGTAAGCCAAAAGCGTATCAGGCACAAGGTCGGCAATGCTTACCCTTTGCCGAAGGTGCGTAGGCGTTCAGAATAGTCTCGACTTGACTCGGATGGATCGCTTGCTGGAACATCAAATATCAGCTTCGAGTCCGCCTAGATTCTGACGCAAGCTCGTAAACGAACCTTTGCCGTGAAACCTAGTCTTCGACCCTCCTCGGATTCTTCCCGCAATATACACATGTCCTTGTAGTCCACGCAGACCTGGCAAAGTTGCGAGAGAAAGCATGGTCCGGTCAGTGTCTGCCACAATTGGCACGTAAAATCGGCTCTCAGAGCTTACCATGTCGATTGCAGAGAGTCCGTATGCTTTGGCTGCTATCACCACTGACGAACGGGCATGCAGCAGCTCCATTCGAGATCGTGTCCGGATGATTCCAGACGAGGCACAGACTGGCAGTAGGTCTTGGGGTCAGCGTGGTCGCGAGAGAAATCATCAAAGTATACTCACAGTCTTCAGCTGCAAACTTTCATTGAGACGAACCAAAGCTAATTTAGTCATCGAGCTAAGTGTGCGGTGTGATATGCCGACTGACTAATAGTCCAACCAGCTCCAGATTTTGTCCACGCCATGCAGCAATCTCTCCTAACCGCATCAACGCTCCTGGTGATTCGATCGAGGCTATCAATGGGATCTTTCCTGCAGATCCATCACCTTAGTGAAGCTCGCTTGTATATCACGCCAAACTTTTCACTTACTGCCTCGGTTCGAGGAAAGATTGCCGAGCGCATCTAGCATGCCTGCAGATTCGACCTATCACGATGCGATCAGTCGGTCAGCTTGATACAATAGACCCGATTTACCAACTCTCTCACCTTGGGCATCAACATCATCGGCAAAGTTCGTCCCCCGGGTTCCTTCGCGTGGCCCCAGATTTCTGCCAGATCAAGAGGGCCTCCTCCTGAATAATTACCAGGATCCTCGTAGAAGCTTTCGCTCGTTACAGCGCCAGCTTCAGATCCAGTCCATGGGTTATTAGGCCGCACGGCCACTGATGTCCCATTCAGCGGTCGATTAGGAAGATTTTGAGGGAGGTCCTGCAAGAACTTGGACAGCCGTTCGCGAGCGGAGTCTTTCGCCGTTTCGTGTACCGAGTCTTCTAGGTCGTAAACGATCGTGGAGGAATCAGAGCCGAGTGATTTCTGGAGAAACTTGTCCGAAGAAGCCGGGACTACATGTGCAAGTCATCTTATCTCAGTTCTCGATGTAGGGAGGTGGACTAGCCGGTACCGACCATATAAGAGGGATCCCACAGGGATCTGAGGGCTCGAAGTGTTCAGGTTCGCGATACGCGTACTGCCGGCCAGCCGCTGTTGCCCGAGTAGCTTCGAGCCAGTATGACGAATTATAGGTGTAATCATGATGTCCTTCCTTCACAAGGTGGTTCCGTGTTTTTGAAGACAACGCAAGGTGTTCGTTCCTAAGGTGTTATAGGTGCAGATGGAACGGGTGAAGGCCTCTTGGCCCTCGGTGCATCCTGGGGATGACGAAGCATGGGGGGGCGGCCTCGCGCTCTCTCGATCGCGCGCGTCGATCAGATTTACCGAGGTTGTCTGAAAGAGCCCAACACAAAGTGGCAAGATCGCATGATCTCTACAACAGCACAAAGACCCCCTTCAATCTGGCTGAGTAGGTCAAATGAGCATCTTGTTGCGTCCCCGCCTTTCTCCATTGTGATCTTAGCTGCTGGAAGACATATTGAGACTTTTACCTTGCCTGCCATATCTTGATGGCTATCACTTATGCGCGGGGTGGAGCGCAACAAAATATCTTTTTCGACTTCTAAGCACAAACTTGGAGTCTTTGAAGGAGGTATTCATGCTTGTTGTCAAGCCTTTGGCCCTCCCCGGACAGTCCCCAGCCTCATACGAGCTGACCAGAAGATGAAGACGACCCCGACGACGAAGACGAGCGACAGCGCGAAACAAAAAAACATGCAGGTTGCGGCTGTCACGGGTTGAGCTGGAGACTTTGGCCCCGGCAATCGAGGAATTCTCGATGTAACCATTTTCTCTTTACGACAGACGTCCTTTCGCAGATGTTTTTACTCGAGGGAATACTATCGGGATCAGCAGCATTACAATCTCACAAGCATAAACAACCCCTACAAGGACAAATAAAACAGACTTCGCAAACGCGCCAGCGCTTACGGTCTTCGGACCCGCCACGCCCCGACTTCAGACTGCCAACCCAAAGCGCCGAGCAACGCACAACTCACAACTGCCGCGGGATACGACAGCGATCTAGACCTTGTCGGTTCGATCGTAATGCGAGAACTCGCCCATCTTCTTGTCGTCTTCGTACTCGTTGATTGCGACTTCGGTGGGAGGACGAACAACGTTGGTATCGCCAAAGACCGCGGCGATCTCTTCCAACGTTTTGCCTGGCGAGCGAACGGTGATTGATCAGTCTCTCGGCAATCGGTAGAGGCGCGAGACGAAGTGACGAGACTCACCCTTTGTCTCGGGGAAGAGGAAGTAGGCCAATACGGCATCTAGGAGGTCAGAGTCCGAGACGGGTAAGCAACGGGCGGACCATCAGGACCCCTTCAACGAGGCGAGCACTTACTGCTCAAGTTGGTGGCCACGAAAAGTAGGAACTATGTTTAAGCACATGTCAATATGATGCAGGCGCGAAGGGATTCGAACGCAACGTACGAATTTCCATCCAAGGTTTTCCAATCCAATGGGCGTGAACTGAGAGATGATCACATTGTTCAACCTTGAGATTGGGTTAAAGGCGATCTATCAGTTAGTTGTGCAAGAACTCAAGGGTTTATTATGCTATTGCATCTTCCAAACGGCTTACCAATTGGCCGCAGTGCTCGCAGAGGTACCCATGGCACGCAAATTCATAGGGAAAATCTCGGACTGATAGATCCAGCTGACCGGTCCATAAGACATCGAGAACGCTCCCGAGAAGAGGAAGATGCTGGCGATACCCGCAATTCCGAGACCGCTATTGCCCTTACCCGCAGTGAACTGGCTGGCGATACCGGCTTGCCAGGCGAGGAACCCGGCCATGAAGATGGGTCCGATGATGAGTGGCTTACGACGTCCGATACGATCGACGAGGAAGGTGATGAAGACGAAGGTGACCACGAGCGACCAGACAGATTGAATCGAATTAATAAGCAGAGGCTGCAACAAGAGTGAATATTGTGAGTCCCGGTCCTTTGCAAGAGAAGGGTCAGGACTGGTAAGTTCGTTCTACGCACCTTGTTTCCAGTGTAACCAAGGTTGGAATAGATTGTCGGCGCTACATGATTGGGACGCATAACGATTTAGCAAGTCGCGCGCATGATATTCTGTAGGCCAACAACGATTGAACATACCAAAGTATGCGTTGACGTTGACTATGATCGAGTCATATGGAAAGACGTTGGAGGATCAGGCGAAGGCATACAACGAAACGCAAGATTCAGGAAGTCAGCACACGTGACATAAAACCGTTGATCTGCGCGTCAACTCACCACCGGTCCATTGACACATGGCCTGAACAAGACAACCACAAAGGGTTCGATGCAAGTTGGGCCTAGTCCTGACCAAGTCCAGAGGCGACGTGCTGACGTTCTCGCGCTCCCAACTAATTTGAGCTTGAATCTCGCTGAACTCGGCATCGATGACCTCCATGTCAGCCCGTCGTTCTCCTCCGTGTAACCGGACAAGCGCGCTTCGAGCCTCATCTTCCCGTCCGACCGAAGCCAACCATCGAGGCGAGTAAGGGAGGAAGAACATTCCCCCAAAGAGGACGACGGCCGGTACGATTTGAATGGCAAGAGGGATCCTCCACTGAGCATCGGAAGTCGTCAGAGACTCGCAGCCGAATCCTGGCGGATTTCAGATCGTTGTCTTCTCAGCTTCCACATCACAAGAGGCAGGAGCATAACACTCACCGACAAGCGAGGCAACCAAGAAACCAAAGCCGATCATCTGCTGGGTCCACCCCGACAACAGACCTCGAGCGTGAGGAGGCGAAATTTCGGCCTAGGTGATAATATAACGTCAGTCTGGTATAATCACATCCACAACTTGCCATGTCGGAGCTTACTTGATAAAGCGGCACAATCATGGACAACACCCTACCCAAAAAAGTCAGGCCAAGCTATTTTTCGAGAGGACACTCAAGCACTGACCCGATGGCTAATCCAGCGATGAATCGACCAGCAATCAGCATGCCAACATTAATCGCTCCGGTCTGAATGGCACAACCTGTTATAACGAAACAATTTTATTATGTTAGCTCTGGTCCTAGAAAGGCCTACGATATGATGGAGACGTACCAACGGTCGCAATGAGCGAACCGAGCTGAATGGTACGCTTTCGACCGATCTTATTGGCAGTGAAACCGGCCAGCAGGGCACCTGAACATCCAGACATATAATGATGAGCGATCAAAGGCGGATTAAGCGATGAAACAGGTCCACGGACCGAAGAACGCTCCACCGGCGAATACACTGAACCAAACAGAGCAACGAGGTCAGTGCAAGCTTTTTCGACCAGCACACGACGCTTGTATTGACCTGACGATGGCCCCCGTAATGTTGGGATCTACCCGTTCCTTCCCATCTACCAAGGGTGAGTTTTTCGCATGGAAGTATTCGTGGAAGCGATTGTAGGACGGCGAGATGACCGATCCGATAATACCACTACAAACGTTTCGTTAGCGATGCGCACCTTGCGCGTTTCGTCTGGACTTGGCACCGACCTGTCATAACCGAACAGGAAACTACCAAACGCCGCAAACACGGCGGCTAGATAATTGATAAAGGCGACCTTGTTATGGTGCAAGACCTTGTCGTGAGCGGCGTTGTCCATCGGCATCTTGTCGTCTCGAGTTTACAGTCGCAGATGTGAATGTCACGACCGACCCATCGCTCTTCGAACCCTCCTGTGCAAGACCAGCCTCTCGTCCTATTAGTATGCGGGGTCAGCCCACTGTCGGTGTTGAGGAGGGCATCAGGTGATCGACTTGCGGGGCGCCGCGGTAGATCTTCAAGACGAGATTCGCACTAGCTTTACCCCTGCCCAACATGCCCAGACGTCTTTGCTCGAAGATCAGGTCCCGAAACACACGCTCGACGACCTCGGGACGTTGCTTATACTCCCGTTTCAGCTCGGGACCAACTAAATGTCCCGCGGCTTTTGCTGACTTGCTGACTTTGAGGCACAACCGGGACGACAAGCGCGGCGTAGAGATCTACCGCAGGCCAACCGTATTTGCAAACTCGCTATATCTGCTCATCGCCGATGTGAACGATGTGAATTGTGCTGCCATGCGACCATGCGCAACCATTCATCGGCGATGTTAGATGGGAGATGAGTCCCGTGGTGCCAGCGTGTTTGAGCAGTTGGGGCATGCGATCCGGCATGCGATCCTTCATCGCATGCAAATTGCTCTGCTTCACATACTGTAGCGGGGTGAGACGGACGGCACAGCAGGTCGTGCCGATCGAAGATATCTCTGGACACCGCTGCGAAGGACGAAATCAAAAAAAGCTCACAACCCCATAACCGGGATTGCGTCCTGCCCGATAGGGTGGAGACCGCACGGGAAATGCTAAAGTTAGGGTTTGTTGAGATCTCGCGCCATATACGTGGGGAAGAGCAGCGCGATGGTCTGACCGATGTTATTCAATGTTGATACACGTTCTATACACATGTTTTGTCGATGCAGTTGATAACCTATCTGGAAACCCTCTATTGTAGCGAGTAAGCGCCGTTCGAGTCGACGTTGATGACGACGCTCCTCTTCTCGTCGAGCGAGACTCGTCCAGCCCTGATAATGGCCGTAGTGACGATCGTGTTCTTGATAGTCGGGAGACCGTAATTGTCAAAGTCTTCAGGCTTGGCTTCGCCCTTGTTGACCTTGATGCAGGCTTCGACCCAGGTGCTGAGACTGACGTATCCGTATCCCCTCTGACCGTCAAAGGAACCGTCGGCGGCGGGCGAATACTTCATGTAGAAGCTGAGGATTGAATGATAACGTCCGGGATCAGCCACGAGGTCTAGGAAGAACTGCCAAAGCTTTCGGAAAGCTTACGGGTTGTAAGCGGTTCGGCCACCCTCGTCGGTCCCGATCTCGTAGCCTCGTCGAGCCTGGTTGACGACAACTTCTCCCTATGTAGATTCAGGCCGCTGGTCAGCTCTGTCCGCCTGCAACCATGATAGAGCGGAAAGAGTCGAGGCTCACCTTGGAGCACACCATGTTCCAGTACTGTTCCGAATGCACGCCCGACTTTTGCGGAGCGGTCCAACTGGCCGTGTAGACCGCGGTTCCCTTCCTGCCCGGCTGCTTCAAGCTCTCCCACTCGGTCAACAGGGTAATGGTATCCTCGGTCTGAGGGGCACAGTTGTAAGGTTCCTGCGTGGCAATCCCGGTCGACGCCGAGGCGGTGACCTTGACGGGCTTGTAGAGTCCCTCGACCAACCAGGCGTGGACATCGATCTGCCAAACCGACCGACGATCAGCCTTCATGGTATCTCGATAAGCGGTCGATGCTCTCAATCAATTCAGACTCACGTGGTGAGAGTTTAAGTAGTAACTGATATCCGAGTCCACACCGGCCCATGCGCTGAAAGTCTGCAGCTGACTCTTGGGTTGAGACATGTAACTGTTGAAGAAGGAGAAGTCGCCGATATCCTTGGACCTCATCTTGGCGTCCGAGTAGACGGGGTCGAATCGCTTGTGGCTGCCGAAGATTCGGTCTCGTGAGATCCAGACGTGCGCTCTCGTAGCCCAAACTGCGAGACTCACTGTTCGACCCAGCAGACCAGTCCTCGCTCAGCGGCCAGCTTGCTCAACTCCTGATGATGCTCCAACAGCTGAGTGGCGGGCTTGGTGACCATGACGTGGTGATCCCTTTCGAGGGCGTACTTGGCGATCGGGTAGTGAGTCGAGTCGGGGGTAAAGACTGCAAGATGCAAACATCGAAATTTGGAGAAAGAGGTCGGAGAGCGAGCGGCGAGTGGAGAAATCGGTTGGTATGTCGGCGACGAATAGCGTTAGCGAGCCGATCCAGAGATCCACGACCAAGACATGACTGACTGATGACGATAGATCCCTTGGGGAGCTTCTCGATAGCCCCCTTGTAAGCCTCGGCATCCCGCTTATCGCCCTCGGGATAGGCCGTGAACCTGCGATTCGTCACATTCCTCGCCTTGTCAGCCCGCTCGTTCTCATGTCCCTTTGTCTGTCTTGGACTCCTGCCGAAGCGAAAGCGACAGCAGGGGCAGCATCAGTACTCACGAAGTGTCCATGCCATAGACGTCCCCGATGTTCTTTTGCAGGTGTTCCCTGATCTGAGGGAATTTACCACCGGAAGTACCGACCATGTTGAGCTTGCCGACGATCCCCCTTCGACGAAGGTCGAAGCAGACGAGTCCGACGACTCCGATCTATATGCGTTGTTAGAGGTAGAGAAGGTCTGGGTCAGAATCGTCTCGGGATTTGCGGCAGGAGAGCAAGTAACAGAGATGGAGCCGATGCGCACCTTCTTGTCGGACTGAGAACCACCCGAGCCGGTCCATCCGGTAGTGTACTGAATGAAACGAAACACGATCCACATATCCTCTCAGCATCGACATTCCGGTACTGTCCAGGTGCATGCTTCGTAAACAGGTTGTACTGACCTCTCCAGTACCACCTGTTTGTTACAATGGGTCGATTATGTACCAGATCAATCGATGTGCTTCCAAAGGATAGGCGACTGTTTGGGAAGGACTCACACATCAAGACTTCAATGGGCTGTTGCTGGGACATGATTTCGTGCGTTTCGTTCGTTCGGTCTTTGAAGTGGTGGATAAGGCGTATGTTCTGACTGCTAGCTTGCTAGATATCGCTAGATGGAACTGCAAACAGGATGATGTATGAAGATAGACTCGACCTCGACGTGGGTCAGTTGTACTGCCAGGTGTGTCCCAAATCCCAAGGTTGTGTTATAAACGATCAAACCAATCTCGTCAACTCGCTCGGACCGGTCCGGTTCATCCGGGTGACATGGCGCCCAGCTACCCCGGCCCGGGTGGACGGTCTTTGGTCCGGGTAGAAGAGCAACCATCCAGCATATACGCGTCGCTTTACGACGTCACGTTCGCCGAGGAAACGATCGAGGGAGGAGGGAGCGCTGCGATTTCGCTATTCAATTGCTACCCTACTGCCTGTACGTCAAAAGCTACACTTACAGCTTACAGGCTGAGTGTAGTTGGTTTCGCATTTCGAACCACTTCACGATTGCCCGACTGCGTCGGTGCTCCGCTTTGCGTTTCATGGTGAGCCGATAGCACTCGCTTCGACTCGGACATTTACAATTGGACCACGCCCATCGTACGCCATGCTCAACTTGGCTTTTATAACGATTCCCTTCAAGACGTCGACGTGAATTGCATCAGAGCGAGCTTGGGAGTAGGGAAACTCGTGAGACATATAGTCTGGGTATCGAGAGTGTTTCGACTTGTGTTTGGGACAATAAGTTCACCTGATACAAAGAGGACTATCATCTTGACCTCTTCTTACGCGTCCACCATTTACAACCTGACTCCCTCCTCGGATAATCCAATTCCGGATGTCACAGGCTCCTCGGTCTCTTTCATATTATATCGCCGCCTCTTCCAGTCGATAAAATTCCTTGTCTATGCGATGCGTTTCTCTTGTTGAGCTGAAGCGATAATGAGGCCGCGAGGGCGACCTGATGCGACTGACGAATGCACCCGGGAGCAAAAATCCGGATCCGAGCCTATCAGCTGGTGCATCAGACGTGGGATCTGATCTCGGCTGATGTCATGCTTCTGTCTTTTCGAGCTTCATAGTTTCATACAGACTCCCTCACAATCACCCAGTTCTCCCACAAAATCATAGATAGATACATCAGAGCATCCCGATGTCACGTCACGGCCCTCCCCTCAGCATGCCCACCTCTGCTTCGGGCATCTCGCTCGATCCTCAATCGTTGGAGAGGGTCATCGCGGGGACACGGCGGAAGGACGGCTCGTAAGTCCCAGCTCTCACCTGCTATCTCGAGGCCGAATGCGTAGTACACTCTGTTGGTATCCTTGTCGATTCTGGTGCTGAAGCTGGTCTGGTCTTGTTATTCTGCGTTCCCTCGTAGCATTCGGAAAGAACTCAAAGTCCGTCCGGGGTTCACCCCCGAGGAAGACAAGGCCCGCTACAAGTCTACCGGTGCTCGGGAGACGAGTCGACTCAAGGGCTACGTCCCTGGAGCTACCTCACAATCATCGGCGACGTTTGGGAAACAGGAAGCTCCGGGACCTGGGGATTTCCCAGCACTAGGTGCGATGACGGCGGCTCAGAAGAAGAACGCAAAGAGGCGGGACAAGAAGAAGATGGAAAAGGAGGCTGAGGATGCGAAAGGCTGGGATTCCGAGGAGGAGGATCAGGTCGGGGCGAGCCAGGGAGGTGCTAGTACTGGAGCAACACAGGAGGGTAAATCCGGGGCGAGCGAAACGCCAGCGGAAGATCCCAACGCCGATCCGAAACAGGCTCTCCGGCACTTGATCCAGCAGAGCGTCTCTGCCAACCCTGTCGCTCCTCCACCACGGCCCATACAATCTACTTCGACTACACCTTCCTCTTCTTCCTCGAAAGCGAACTGGAGACCGGCGGCTACACCACCATCCGCGGTCAAGGAGAAGAAGGATCCTCGTCCGGGCGGCTTGTTCGCAGCCGCCTTGAAGGGATCGACATCCAGGGAGGGGTTGGCTGGGAGTGACGAGTCGGACTCGACACTATCCAGAGGGATGGACAGGTTGGAAGTCGGCTCGAGGGACGACAAGCAAGAGTCATCGTCCGGCGAGGTGAAAGGTGGAGCGGCTTCGTCATCCACCCCTACCTCCGCCATCGCTCCTGCGCCGTCTCAACCTCAAACTCGAAAACAAAACCCTGCCAAACCTACTCCACCCGGCTCTCGCCCCGGTGATACATCCGACGCCGCCTCCAATTCGAAGCCGGGCAACAAGAAACCATCGCCCGCAAATAAATCCTCATCGACAGGCTCGCCGGCCCGGCAACGCTCTGAAGTCAGGGTGAGACCGGGAGGAGGGCTGGGAGGGTTGATGAAACAGATTGCTGAGCAGAATGGGGCCAAGTGAGGTGATGAAGTTTACTATGAGGGGAAGGAGGAGGGTCAATCAGGACCTGATCTGGGGGAGATCTGGAGAACCAGTTGACCAATCGACGAAGAGGAAAGGAAGGAAGGACTGTCGAGCAGTTTATATTGCCAGGTCATAGCGATGTTGTACGCAGGTTTCGCCTTTCTGTGTCATCAGTATATCACCGGAGCGCTTGCTCGCTTGGCAAGATCATTCGATACATCAAATACGTAATGAGACGCTTTTTTAGACGGAAGACGTGGGCAATACGTATAATCTATAATCGACCAATCGAGCTCCAAAGCGACTGCTACTCTCGGCAGTTTTGATGAAGATTGCAACGTCAAGCTGTACGAACATCTCAGCCAATGCGACCAGTAATGCTGGTAACACCCAACGACCTCTCACAAGACCGCAAAGCTCATCTCCTCCACATCTGCGAAGGGCCAAGACCATTGAGCGAGGCCACTGTCTGCGATCCTTGGGTGATGTGTTTCTTAATTCGGCATATCATCGTCCTCACTCCATTACTCACGACTATGAGGAACAGGGGGTCGCCGTAAGTAGACAGTTCTGGTAGACCGGGAGATGATTTCACATCGACGATCCGGTATACGAGCTTGTCCAGCCGATCAATCAACTGGTACAACCTGACCATATGCAAAACGAAGTCGACGTTCCATCTCACTGGATGGACTCTTTATGCATCTTGCCTTGAGGCGGATATCCTCTTCGCCCCTGCAACTCGGGCCGGGAACACATCTTCTGGCGTGACCAAATCTCATCGTCGTTGCCTGTCCTTCCGAAAGTCATCTCGCTATACGGACCCATGGCGGTCGCTGCGGCGCTGATGACCAACACCGACTACTCTAGCTACTCTTCACAAGACTACTCTTTGCAAAAGCTGCAAATCACCATGAATCTGCTCGTTCTGTCTTCCAGTCAAACAACTGCCGACCACACATCTTCCTCGCGCACATCCTCCAAGCACACATCTTCCATCAAGCGGAAACGAGTACGGACTCCATCCTGATGTTAAGTCAAGAGCACGCCACGGCACAGCTTGATATCATCCAGACTTTCCTCTCCAATACCCTGTCCATCATGGAGTCGAAGGGCTGCTATTCGAAATGTGAGGGGTCGCGATTCTCTTGGCTGAACGGGGCTGGCGGCGGATTCTTTCCTTTGATCCAGTTCAGCTCGATTCTTCCTATCGACATCCTGTACAGTGGGATTCAAACGCCCAGAGTTACCCTTCGCGTATTTACATTCTTGTCAAGCTTGGTACAGTTTGCTATTTGACAGATGATACAACTGTCACTGCTTCTCCCCGCTGTCACGCGCTTACCGGTGAGATGTGTGTTTCAGATGTTCAGGTGTCACCGAGCAACCAGCGTGATCTGGCTTGTACGCGCACTCAAGACTGTAGCAGGGCAAGGGCAGTTATCGCTGAAGAACCCCATTTGAGACTCGACTGTCTCTAAGGGCCCGACACACTGGTACCGATGCGATTTGGGCAATCAACCACGACGTGGGTCATCCCGCTTGCTGGAAAGACCCGAGCTTCTAGTCAAGTTCGCCTTGTACTCCGACCCTAATGACAACAGCTAAGGCGCATCTAGAAGGTCGTATCTAGAAGGTAAGGCTGACGTTCGCTCTTTATGAAATATAGCTCATTTTGCTTCACCCGCTCGATGCCTGGTCCAGACCTTTACCAAAGTGGTCAGGAGCCTAGCGCAGACGGCACAAGCGGAGATTTGACGAGCAGCCGCGGAGCCGTGAATAACTATGAAACAGAATTCCATGACAAGAAGCAGTAACATGCAGGCGGAGGATTGTTTGCAAAGGGAAGCCCGGGGAATGCAACTTCATTGCAATCTTATGAAACGCCAAAACGACCGAGATGGCGATGGCGAGATGAGGATGAGACGCGCGACCTGTCTGAGCTCGCTGGGAATCCGGAAATGCATCACGATGAACGACCCGGCATCGAAGTCTGGTATTGCGATGACCTATACAAGTCATCATGTCATGTCGTTCATGATCAAAGAGCAAGATAAAGACTGCAGACTGTCTCGTTCGGAATGATCAGCCTTCGAACCTTGCGGAAGATGGTCGTCGTTTCGGAGTTTACCTAACGGAAGAGTCTGCCCGCGTGCGCGCTTACGAGTTTTGCGCTTCTAGTGGGGTGACGATCCTGTCGCCGCGCACGGTCAAATCATGAAACTTGTGTATCCGCGGTTCGACCCACTCGCAACTTTTTCGCTTCCGACCGTCGCTCGGGAGCCCACGCCACACACACCTCCCAGCAATTCCTTCCCCCTGCCTGCCCGCGTTGAAGTCGTTCGACCTTGAGGTCACCGACATCGACACTCCTTAATCATCTTGGACTCTTCTCGTTGTTCACCTTCGGCACCCTCGTCAAACCACCGGTCAACCAACAAAAAAGACACTCAGCAAAATGTCTCACAGGAAGGTCAGTCGAGGAGACGGGTCGACCGAGGCGGACGATACACGGGCCAGGGGGACTGACATGCAAATTTTCTCCAACTCGAACAGTTCGAAGAGCCTCGATCCGGTTCGCTTGGGTGAATATCATTTCGGATACCTTCTTCTTGGTCGGTGGCGAGGGTGTTCGTCGGGTCGTCGGGCTGGTTGAATCGAGACGAGCTGGAATATAGTGGAAGAGAAGGCAGACCCAGAAAGGGGTGGAAGAGGGACTAGCGATGCGGGAAGCAACACTTAGACGATGGCTGGAACGGGGATCATGTTGGGCCAACTCGATCTTGCCGACCGGGACGAACGACTACGACTTTCACCCTCGCCGCCATGACGTCCTGGCCAAACGCTTTCGGACAATAAAGACTAACCCCTTCGCTCCGCTTTATCTTCCAGGTTCTTGCCCCGAAAGCGTGCTGCCCGTCACAGGGGTAAGGTCAAGTCGTTCCCCAAGGACGACCCCAGCAAGCCCGTCCACTTGACTGCCCTCATGGGTTACAAGGCCGGTATGACCCACGTCGTCCGTGACTTGGACCGACCCGGTTCCAGTGAGTTGCGGGTTGTGAGATGGTTGCGTAAAGAATTCGGCGGAGCTGATCTAGTCTTCCCCGTCCTGCAGAGATGCACAAGCGAGAGGTCGTCGAGGCTACCACCGTCATTGAGACCCCTCCCATGGTCGTCGTTGGTGTTGTCGGATACGTCGAGACCCCCCGAGGTCTGAGGTCATTGACCACCGTCTGGGCCGAGCACTTGTCGGACGAGTTGAAGAGGAGGTTCTACAAGAACTGGTACAGGTCGAAGAAGAAGGCCTTCACCAAGTACGCCAAGAAGCACTCGGAGAACAACGGTGCCTCGATCGCCCGAGAGCTCGAGAGGATCAGGAAGTACTGCACCGTCGTCCGTGTCCTCGCCCACACCCAGATCAGGAAGACTGGTTTGGTCCAGAAGAAGGCCCACTTGATGGAGATTCAGGTCAACGGAGGAAGCGTCGCCGACAAGGTCGAGTTCGCCAAGTCTCACTTTGAGAAGACCGTCGACGTCAAGAGCGTGTTTGAGCAGAACCAGGTCATCGATGTTATCGGTGTTACTTCGGGTCACGGAACTGAGGGTGTCACCCACCGATGGGGTGTTACCCGATTGCCCAGGTGAGTCCGGCCTCGAGGTCGTCGTGGTCATTGCCGTCGCTGACTAGCTGCATCTCTGTCTGCGTTCAACCTTTACAGGAAGACCCACCGAGGTCTTCGAAAGGTCGCCTGTATCGGAGCTTGGCACCCGTCGAACGTCATGTACTCGGTTCCCCGAGCCGGTCAGAACGGTTACCACCACCGAACCGAGAAGAACAAGAAGATCTACAGGATCGGAAACGGTTCGGACGCCAAGTCGGGTGCCACCGACTACGACGTTACCGACAAGACCATCAACCCTCTGGGAGGATGGCCCCACTAGTGCGTCGAGGAAGCTCCCTCTCGATAAGCGCGATGAATTTTGTGCTGATTCGCCAATTTTTGTTCGACTCCGTAGCGGTATCGTCAACGAGGACTTCGTCATGGTCAAGGGAGGTGTTCCCGGTACCCTCAAGAGGCCCCTCGTTCTCCGTGTGTCCCTCCAGGTTCACACCTCGAGGACTCACTTGGAGAAGGTTGCTTTGAAGTTCATCGACACTTCGTCGAACGTGAGTCGCCTCGTAGCCTTTCTATGTCGTCATGGACAACGTCTGACCATGCTGCGTTGTTTGCTTGTGTAGTACGGACACGGTAGGATGCAGACCAAGGAGGAGAAGCACGCCTTCTACGGTCAGATGAAGATCAAGGCTTGAGTGGTTTAGCCAACTTGACGACTTGTTTTTCCGTGAATCGCGCTCGCGACTTGTATTATGCCGTAGCGCTTGATTCATCATACGCCCAGCCTAGTCTTTTGATTCTTACCGTCCTTTCGCAACGCTCTGAACCAACCTGGATTTGCTGATCTGCTTGCCGGTGTACAACTAGTGGTTGTCGTTCAATCATCCTAGAGGGACTCACGAATCACGTGACCGAGATGATGTGACTCTCGGCGATTCCCGACGAGGGCGATCAAAGGTTGAGAGAAGCTGATTGTGCACTTTTGGGTACATTCGCCCGTCCTGCGACACCACTCTGAGGGGAATGTACTCGATATGTCAACTTGTATATAACGAAATAACGAACCATCACGACATCACGATCAGCATTGTGGAACCACGACAGTGGGGATCACGACAAGCTTCTCGCATACAGACGGGGTTCTATTCGGGAGGAAGACCAAGTCCAAGGAGGTCATCGAGAAGCAAAGCGAAGCGGAGAGACAGGTGATTCACGATGGTCCGTCTCAAAAGTACGTAAGCTCCTTTCGATATCGCCGATAGTTCTGTTTTCTCCTTATTAATCACACATGTTGACCTCTTACCTCTCAGCTCTTGATGGAGTCGAGTTCGTCCTGGATCAGACGGTAGCGTTTCAATCCGAGCTGATCAAGGATATGATCAACGGTCAGTCCGACTCGGAGAGGACGCAATTCGGACGTGAAGCTTCGAGTGCAAATGCTGACTCGACATCACGTCTTGTTGGGGAAACCGAACAGATTGCCCGGACGAGAACCAAGATATGCCTATCCCTTTGCCCAATGTTCGCTCGGAGATCCTTACCAAAGTCAGTGGAGCACCTCGCAAGAGCCCGATAGAAATAGTGACACTGGGTCTAGTCAGCTGATCTTGACTAGCTTGGCTTTCGGTATGCAGGTCATCGAATTCTGCGAATATCACCGTCCCGACCGACAACCCCTCATGAAACCAAAACCTCCTCCTGCTCCTGATCAAACCACCACCGCTAAGTGGCTCGACCAGAATACCGCGCCCAACGTTTGCGCTACCGCCGTCAAGTTGCTTGGCCCTCTAGCTACAGTACCTGTGAATTATGGTACTCTTGCTTGTGTTCCCTGCGCTTTAACAGACGCTCTGGGAGTCCCTCAAGATACCCCAGGGGGATCCGGGTCTGGCGCTGGTGCGGGTCTTTTGAGCGTCCCGGGCGGGAGTAGGAACTCGGTATCCCTCGGACCGGAAGATAGCGCCAGTCAGATTGGACAGACTCAGCCAACCGCTGAAGCATCAGGAAGTGGGAGTGGAAACAGGCAAGGAGATATTGTCAAGGTCAACGACGAGGTTGTCGAAAGGAGCCGAACCGACTCCTTGGCACCGGAGATGTCCACCTCGGTTGTTCTGGGACCGGAAGATAGCGCTAGCCGAGTCAGGGTCGGCGATGCGTCCGGAAGTGGGAATCAGGATCATGTCGGGGTCATGGAGGTGGATGTTGAGAAGAACATGGGGAAGGATCAAGGCGATGCGTCACTCGCGGTTGAGGGCGGACATGTCGATCTGGACGTAGACATGAACAAGGACAAGAAGACCGGGAGCCTCAGCGGTGGTGCCGGGAGCGGCGAAGGAGCTGGAGATGGCGTCACGGAGGAGAATCCGTCGGAGACGGTCTTCCAAACCAGTTTGGAAGCTCAAGGGAGTCTCAAGGGGGATAGCGATGGTATGAAGGCGGATACGAACAAAGGTCCGGAGAAAGAAGCTGTGAGAGAGAACAATGGTGGGAAAGCAGATATCGATGCGAATATGGAACCTCGACCCGCCGGATCCACCTCGACGGAGACGATCGATGATGCTCCAGCAGGAGCTCAAGCTGCTGGAAAGCCCGAACCGGCTCAGCCGGACCAAGGAGAAGAGAAGGTCGAGATGGTACGAATGAACGAGGCGGAGGAAGCGCTCGCGGATAAAGAATGGGACAAGAATTTCATCGATGTGAGCCCCCCGATTCCATTCTCTCGATAATGCCTTGTAGAGAGGGACGAAGCTGACAGTATGGGGACGGATATGGACAGGTCGGACAAGATATGCTCTTCTCCCTCATTCTTACGGCCAATTTTCTTTATATTCCTGCTCTTTTGTGAGTGACGCTCCCCTGCCTTCCCTCATTGTCATCAGAAAAAGCGTTCCTGCCTTACATGCGAGATCGACTTACAGGGAATTGGGACTGAGTACGGTCGGAGCTGCGATCAAGGGCAAACCGCCGGGCGAGGTCAGGCAGATGTACGGAATGCCTGACGAGTGAGTTTGCACAGGCTTGATTATGTCCAAGACGCCATACAAGGGTCGAGCTCCGACGAAAGCAAACTGATCGTATCGAACATCTGTGGAACAGCTTCGACCCGTATCGCCCGCTTCCCCGATCTTCCTTCAAGAGTGCGACCAAAGTCAAATCCAGACCGAAGAAAAAGGCTAGAACCAAGGCACCGAACGCTGACGACGAGGAAGAAGACGATATGGACGTTGATGACGAAAGTGAAGAAGAAACTCCTCCTCCTGTGGTCTTGCCTCCTCAGAGAGGTACGAGATCTAGACCGGTCAGGGCGAGCAGGAAGGCGGTCGATTATACGTTTGCCGGGGACGAAATCGAATGAGGTTGGGGATAAGATCGTATATTGCGGGCGGGTCACATTAGGCGATGGAGTAGTGATCACTTAGGAAGGAGATGCGCTGTGAGGGAAGGGAAAGGGAGATGAAGGGCATGTCTATGTTGGCGATACGAGTCGAGTCGGTCGGACGTGGTTTTACGAATATCTGTTACGTGCGACTGTGATTTACGATAATACTTATATATCCATGTCTTTTGACTTCGATCTGCTGTATTGAACATGTTCGGTGTCCGTACGGCGTCTTATGTTCGAGCTGGATGATCAGGCTGGAGGGGTGATACCGTAATGTAGTCCCTGACCTTGGTCTGGACTACAAGATACGATCGTGCAGGACATCCGTGCACGTGAACAGTATTCCAGGACGATCCCCCCTCCTCTCGTTCGTTCACTTGTCGCTTCGCGTCGCTTCCGAGACACCGAGAGTGGCATATCGGTTCCATTTTCTGCTGGAACTGGTAGAGTTCGCTCTGATATAAGGGATGGGGAAAGGAAGGCGAATGATTGGGTTGGAAAGGCTGTAATCGAAAACAAATCAGGAGGCATCCGGTGTCCTAGATGAGACACCAAACCATTCAAGAAAAGCATGCTTACCCCTATTCATTCCTGTATGTTCATGAACATGAGCCCCAATAACACGGAACAACACCAAACACACCAGTACCAACAATACCACTGAAGATGTGTTAAGAAACGTTGATGAGACTCCCGTGGTCAACAACAAAAGTGTGATTCGAGGGGGAAACTGCCTCAAGTGCTCCATCTCTTGAGGCGAGTCACCTTTTTCTGGCTTTCGAGCATGATCCCGTCCTGAGCATCAATGAAACGACTTAGGCAGGAAATGTACCAGACCTCCCAATTGTGGTACCTGTATCATTTGGGGGCTTCTTTGTGTGTCAGTTGTCCTGCGAGAGGTAGTAGAGCGCTCGCGTGTTGGCCCTTGTGCTTATAGCCCTGACATCCAAGTTTCCCGCCAAGTTTACCTACGCCAGGGTCGTTCTTGACTCCGCCCAAATCGCCTCTATCAGTAAAAGGGGAGAATTCAGGACAGGCTAAAACCAAAAGAAGACCGCCTACCAAGCAAATGATGTGACAATCACAGAAGGATGATCCAGTCATGTTTATCCAAGGGAGCTTTTAAGGGCTTTCAGGATGACGGGATGCAGTCCTGGAACTGACTTGACAGCTGCACTCGTTTGCTACATCGTCTCCTGATGGAACATGGCCACAGTCACTTTATTGTTGACGCTTCTAGTCTTTCTCGATTTGCCAAGTCGGCCAAGCCGTAAGCCAGCGATCAAACGCGTTGATGATACAGGAGGGAACCATCGGAGCGAGAGCAAGCGCCCTCTTTCAGCTCCTCATTTCCTACCTCGCGTTGGGAATTTTCAGGATCATCTGGACCTTGTTCACGCATAAGTTGAGATTGGATATAGACTAACTCACCGGAGAGTCGTGAATGGAGTATAGATTCGAGGCAGATTTCACATCCTCTTGAAGTGGAAGAAAGCCGTTCAATGACCCAAGACATCGAAGCTGTAGCAGACAGGAGCTCATTGGATTCACGTGCTTGGCCAGATTGATAGAACTTGCAATCAGATTGAGAGTGATTTCATGGTGGATGTATCGCCTGCCATCATCAACCTCGACAACCGGGATTAGAGAATCCGGGGAAGGACACAGACTGGCAGGCCCATCAAAGTGCATGTCCTGCCCGCAAATTCGATCGGTGACCGTGTTGTCATCTTTGATCTGGTTCCTGATGCCGTCCTCAAGTTGTTTGAGCGAGCAATGAGACAGGATGTAATGAATGCCGATGGCGCCAGCCTCTGACGCGTGACCTCTTGCCAAATCCGTCGACATTCAATTACTGCAATGTCGATTCACGCCCAACCCATTTGCAAATCAAGCAGTTGACCCATACTGGCACGCACGGTGACCCAACATGATTGGGCAGGATTGTGATCACGACCCCTTCTAAGGCTTCGGGACATCGGCCGGAGTCTTTCTCGGTACCCACCGGATGAGCAAGCAAGTGGCGTCTTTTCGCGCGTTCTCTGCGTTTCAGGTTGCAAGCCGCCGCGTGGTTTCACGCGTCGGAAAAGGCCGGCGATGAGTGCCCGAAAGGATTGATTGGGCCATCGGCGATGATCCCTGATGAGCGAAAATGATTGATGAGGGTTCGATGTTATGGTCGCTGACGTGGACAACGCAGGCGAGAATCAGGATCAAGTTTTCGAGGATCGAGTCGAGCTGTTGCATCCGACCCGCGAATGCCAAGTCGAGTTGAACGAGGTTCCACTCGTTTTCATTCCAATTCGAGACAGAAGCGTCTCATACGCTCATACAGGAACAAGCACAAACACGGCACAGCGTATCCGGGAGTCGCACTTGGTCTCGGATCACTTTTCGTTCTTTCTCGGTTGGAAGCTCGCGAAGCTTGGGGGAAGATTTTGGTGATCAGCCGACCTCGCAAACACGAGGCAGCGGCGAAGCTCGTCGTTCATATTCGGTGTCGACGATCTTCACACGAAGGACCTGGCTCCAGTGACATGTATCGATCTCATCTCACGGGGACGGTCTATCACTGTATCACGATCGATACCAGCTCCTCGACCTCCAGCACGGACACCATGTCCAACGCGCTCAGTCGACCTCTGAGTCCCATCATCGAATCCCCGCCGACGACCCCACAAAAACAACCACCTCCCCATCAAGTCGCTACGGATACCACGAGCAACACGACCTCCTCGAATCCAGGTTCAGGATTCCACTCTCTCAGCCCTCAACCATCTTCGCTGAGGAATCCGAAATCGGTCACCTGGGGCGATCTAGTCGCTTACCGTACGATTGACCCGAGAGCAGGTGACGAAGCGGGTAACATGGAAGTGGATGGCTCCGGATACCGGTCGCCTGATACCGAGGTAAGCTTTCTTTGTCGATTTGTCGATCTCATGCTCTGTATCCCAATTCCACTGCCCTGATCGAGGAGCTGATGTCGCGTTCACTCGTTGACTTTTGCGGTGATACACTTATAGGACGAAGCAGAAGTGACTCACCGATCGCAACCAAAGAGGTTCTCCGACCAGTCCTACCTATCCACGGGAACGACTTCTTCCCTCTTTTCCAACTCGTCTCAACTGCCTACCATGTACAGCACGACCAACACTGCACCCAGCCCCAACACCCGTGAAACCGTCAGCCCTAGGCTTACAAAGCCCATTACAATGAATGAAGGGGAAGATCTCCCACCACTCTCCGCCGAGCGAATACGAGCAGAAGCCTCGCAAGTTGCCGCTACCGATGCAATGGGCAAGGGGAAGAAGTTTAGACGAAGGAGTACGGGAAGCGGGTCAGGGCTGGGCATTGGGTTCTTGAGAAAGTATATGGGGAGGTTGCGAGCTGGATCTGGATCTGGAACGGGGTTGAAGATGAATGATTCGGCGAAGGGAGATGTCGAGCATGGCGGCGGAGAGGAAAAGTACAGGGAGGTGAAGACGATCTACACTGATAGCCATAGGTCCGCAAAGCCAGGGCTAGGAGCAGGAAACGGCGAAACGAAGGCAGGCGGATCGACCATGATCTCTTCCCCCGAGCAGCACTCTCGACATCAGCCAGCCGATATCGACAACGACCGCATCCTTACACGGACCGAGACGATACACGAGGAAGCTACATCTTCACCCAGATCCATCGTTCAGCCTGCTACACCGCCTTCATCTCTCTCTTCCGATCCTACCCGATCACCTACCCCAGCCCTTACATCGACATCGATTCCAACCAGGACCCCCAGCCCTAGGTTGGTCCATCAGCGGAGCTCTTCCATCTTCCTGGCCCCTACCTCCACCGAGATCGATTCCAATGCCAACACTCAGCCGATAATCACTACGCATACTACTGCTGGAATCACTACTGTTCGGCCGAACGGATTGTCGGGGACGTTTGTGGAAGGGGGAAAGGTCGTCCCCCCGATCTTAGAGACACAGGCAAGGATCTCGGGCACGTTCGGGCCTATCAAGTTTGATCCGCCGGCATTGGGAGCAGTATTGATGCAGCCTAGCCTGGATGTAGACGTTGCAGATGCTGAAGAGATAGAGAAATCGGTCCAAGCCCCGGAGAAGGGGGATGTCGCACACGCTACCCCGCAAGTCAACGATACGCTTGCGTTCGTGCCGGAAGGAAAGATCAACGAGAAGTCTCAGACCGAGACCATCAGAACTTTGGACCAACACCAACATCAACATCCTTTCCCCAGCCTCATTCCAGCAACGACCTTCAGAGACCACCTCGGTCCGGCCCTCCCGATCAGTAACGAAAAGCCTATCATCAATGGAATCTTGACCACTCGCACGAGGGGGACTTATGTCCCGAGGAGCAATGCCGGTGCCGATCCTAGTACTGATGATGGTACTAGTACGGGTACCGGTACCGGGAATGGGAATGGGGTCAGAGCAAAGGAAGAAAAGTCACCGAATTCTCAGGCCAAGGAACTCGGATGGGCCCGAGTACCCCGGGGTAGATCGTCACTCGGTGGACCAGGAATGATGGGAAGGAGGACGCTGTCCATGCCGAACGTGCCTACGATCCAAGAGTCCGAGGCCCATCCTGGGTCTGAGCAGGTCGAGGAGTCGAGTGGACTTGGTGCGGAACAAGTCCAAGGGGACGTATGGAAGAAGAGGGACAGGCATGAGGTTGTTAGGATGATCAAGGCCGAGTTGACATACGAGGCGGAAGATCCGATCGACCCGGGACGGAAGGAAGAAGACGAGCAGCAAGTTTCCCCGGTATTAAAGGCTCCTCTGGGGACTACTGTGGCAGAGCAGGAGCAGGCTGAAGTGCCTCCCCGCCCGCAGACGGCTTGGGACGAGTGGAGGCGTCCGGACAAAATGGACAAGCAGGTGGAGCATCAGCCCAAGAGCAACGTCGGAGAAGGCTCGAGAAGGAGGACGATGAGCATGGACAAGGATCTGCCGAGGTTGCCTATCGAGAGTATTCGGCAGGGCCTGGCTGGAGCGGAAGCTGACGTTACTTCAAAGGGAGGATGGAATCCCACGACTGGCTGGAGCAAAGACACGAGTAAAGGAGGACCTTTCTGGGATCATCGACGAAGGGCTACTGGGACTCAATCGGTCAATGGCGATCGCGCTGGTACCCCTCAGAACCGATTTGCCTTTCCCTCGGGCCGGCCTGCCGCTAGAGCGCATTCGCCTTTGCTTTCTCGCCAGGCCGACTACCCGCCCATCCAGCAAACCCTTATGCCGACGATCCGACCGGGAACACCTATGCCAGTCCCTGAATCTTCGATGCCATTGCTTTTAGCATCCGCGCTACTATCTCAACAAGCCTCGCAGATCCTCATTGAGCTGAGCTCTATTCCGAACGCTGCGCCTGGCTCTACCGGCGGGGATGGGGATGATCAAGTCGATCATCTGGACGCATTCAAGAAGAGAATGAGGAATCTAGCGACAGAGGGTAACGAAGTGGGCAAGGGACTCATGGACTGCGTCATCGGCAGTCACGCTGGTTCTACCGACCAGGATATCGCTGGAGACGCTTTGAAACGCGCGCGATTCGATCTGAGCGGGATCAACCAAGAATCATTGGAGAGGAGATCGAGAAGGATTTCCCTTCCCACGAGTACGCACAGCACCATCCCCGTTCCTTCGGTGTACGAAGCGGGTCGACCGATGACCCCTCAATACGAGTACGGTCGGTACGACGAAGGCGGGCGGGAGGATATTTGGCAGATGCAAGCGATGCTCGATCAGGCGCAAGAGACGATCCGGGGGTTGCAGGCCAATCTGAACATGCTACGACCAGATCTCGGTGACGATGGGCACTTCGGAAGAGAGCAACAACGAAGGGAGCGAAGGAGGACGTTCTGGGGTGGAAGATGGAGGCGTTGAGTTTGGGAAGATGGATCGAAGTCGAGCGTTTTTCTTTTCCGTCAAGAAACTATAATCATGATCATAATTCTCAAGTCAATCTGTGTCGAGCCCACTCAAATCATGATATTGAAAAATCAAGCTACATACCGGGAAAGGATGCAATCCCAACTGTCTGTGTCCCCTACACAATCAAGGTGCTTTTCATAGCTACGCGAGTCCCATATGATTTTGCCGAAACGAGGCCGATTTGCATGCGCCCTGCTGATTCTGCGGCTCATTCGCTGCCTTGCATTGGATCATTCTTGTAAGTATTCGCAAGGCAAACCCACTGGACTCGTGAGTTGCAGAAGACTAGGTTCTACGGAACCGCAAGAACGAAATCGCATTGATCGATATATAGAAACAAACGTCATAACAGGTCATCAAAGACGAAACACGGGCGCTATTATAAAAACCGATACATGGCCCAAGTTGATGCGCTCAAACATAGCCTCCTTCCCATTCCTCTCGCTCAACCATGCCTAGTACCGAGGAGCACCGGTCGAAGTGCCGTGGGTACCGTGAGTTCCGTGAGAACCGGTAGCACCGTGAACGGCGTCCGAGACCTGGCTGGTGATGGGCTTGCCGGTGTGAGCGGGATGCGACTTGCTGGAGTTGACGATCGAGAAGATAGGGCTCTTCCAGTCGTTGCTCTTGCCAATCGACTCGTCGATGGTGGCGGCTCGCTTAGTGTAAGACTGCTCGGTCCTCTTCGAGTCGACGTCCTTGACGATCGAGTCGTGGGGGTCTGTCGAATCATGGTGACGAATTAGCATGATGCGAGCAAATGGAAGCCTCAGTCGCTCCAAAACTCACCAGTGACAAGCTTGAAGGTACCAGTCTTCTCGTCGGCCTTCTCCTTGTTGTGCTTGGCGGTATCCTTCTTTCGGCTGTACAAGTTCTTGAGCTCGTCTCGTCGAGTGGTCTCGTCGGACCTCTTGGCCTCGTTCATTCGGTTTCGGACCTCGGTGACCTGGTCGTCAACGTGCTCGAGAGCGGTTCGGAGAGCACCGTGGATACCGGCCTCGACGGCCTTTCGGATGGTCGAGGTGGCGATGGCCTTGACGAACTTGTACAGCAAGTCGTGGTGCGAGTCTCGGATGGCGAACTTCAAGGTGTCAATGTCGACGTCGATGTCCTTGACCGAGAAGGTGCTGTCACGCTTGTTGTTGGTCTCGAGGGTAACTGTAGAGGCGAGAGAGGACTGTCAGTCAAGGCTTCACTGGCAATGTTCAACACGCGCTCCGACTCACCCTTGACGGAGATACCCTTTCCTCCGATCAAGACATCAGCGACACCCGAGTCCTTGATCTTGGGCCAACCAGACTTCCTTCGGAACTGGAAGATGACGTCTCGGAGATCGGCCTGGATCTGGCTAAAGCCGAGGGTGATGATGTGGTGCTGCTGGTCGGGGATCGACTCGTAAGGCGAGAACTTGAAGTGGTTGTTCGAGGCAATCTCGACAACGTTGGGGGCCAAGTTGGCTCCCTGCAAGACGAGGTTCTCGATGACAAGGTCGATCTTGTCGTCAGAGTACTCGGCCCTGGGGATGGGAATGTATCCAATGTTCCTGATGATCGAGGGGAGGATGACCCTTCGGATGTCGTTCAGGAGCTTGGGCTTGTAAGCCAAGTTACCCTCGGCGTCGAACAACAAGTCCTTGGTCAACCTCTTCCAGTCCTCTCCGAATCGCTGGTTCAAGGGGTCATCGCCCATGGCCATGAAGAAGTTGGAAATCTCGTCGCCGAGGTTCTTGAAGTGGGGCTTGTACTTGTGGTCAAAGTACTCCTTTCCATCATCTCGAAGCCTCTCGCCCTCTCGGGTCGAGTCGTCATCGAGGATGTAACCGGGCTCGAGCAAGGTCTTGTGAATGTACTCGTTGGCTCGGTGGTACCAGTTTCGGAGACCCTCGTCCTCTCGAGCGTCGGTGTACATCTGGTCGATGGCATCCCACAGAGGTTGCATGGATCGACCATTGGCGAACCTCTCGAGGAGAGCCCTAAACTCGAGCGAGGCCTGGTTGTACTGAGGGTCGTCGGCGACCTTGGCGGCAGAGTCGACGCCGTGGCTCTGGACGTGCTTGGCGTGGCCCTTGTAGTTTTCGGCCTTGTCGAGGAAGAAGCTCATGGCCTCCTGGTAGTCCTTGTGCTCCTGGCAATCGACGACGACCTTCTTCAATCGGTAGATGAACTGCTCCCTTCGCTCCTCTGGGAAGGCGTCCTCGATAATGTTTCGAGTCTCGTCGATTCCGCGGGAAGCCTTCTCTCGGTGCTTGTCGGGGATGGCATTGAGAGCCTTGTCCTTGGCCTGCTGAGCGTTCTGCGGGGTGTCGTGCTCGCCCGACCTGGCGTTGGCCTCCTGTCGTCCCTGCTCCTTCTTCTCGTGAGCCTCGTGCTTGGCCTCATCCTTCTTGGCTCGGGCAGTGTCGATGGGGTGACCCGAAGTTCGGATGTCCTCCATGTGCGACTTGGCCTGCTCCTTCAGGCCGCCGGTGCCACCGGTTCGGTTCTCGGCCTCGCCACGAGCCTGCTCCTTCTTCTCATAAGCCTCGTTCTTGGCCTGGTCCTTCTTCTCACGAGCCTCTTGAGCGGCCTCGCCGGCTGATCGCTCCTTGCCATCGGTACCGACGACCTTGGCATCACGAGGGTCGTCCTTGGGGTTAGCCCTGAATTCGGAACCGTTGGGTCCCTTGATCTGGAGCTCAGGGGTCTCGTTCTTGCCGACCCTTCGACCGTCGGGTCCGATCCACTCGCCAGAAGGAGCGGGCTTGTCGATCTGGTCGAGCTGTGACTGATCGGGCCTGGCCTTGTCGGCGGCCTTGGAAGCGGTGGTGGCAAAGATGTCACGGGCGACGAAACCAAAGTCGTGCAAGAGTTTTCGGGCCTCGGAATTGGTGGCGAAGAGGGTGATCAGGGTTCGGAGGTGGGCAGCGGCCTGGTTGGCGTCGGCCTTGTACTCCGACTTGGAAGCGGGCATGAGCTCCGACTTGGACTTGGCACCTCGGGTAGGGTCTCCCTTGCGGGTCGACCAGACGAAATTCTGGAAGAGCTCTCCGTGGTTCTTCTCGTTGATCATCATTCGAGCGCTGCAGGTACGAGGACGAGTCAGGATCAGATGGCTGTCGACGAAGACTAACAAATCGCGCCAGACACTCACGTCTCCAAGATGTCACGGACGTCCTCGACCAAAAGCTTTCCATCTGGCGACAGCTTGGACAGGTCAACAGGCGACATTCGGATGGCGTATTCTAGAGCCTCGTTGATCTGGTTGTTGTCGGGCATTCGTCCATCTCGCATGGCCTGGATGACACCGTAGAGCTTGAGCTTTCGGGCGACATCAGCCTCCTGCTCCTTGGGGCTGTTGGCAGAGGTGACACCGAGCGACGAGGGGTTGTTGCTACGAAAGACGAGGCATGTCAAGTAAGCAACCAAGAGTTAGAGCAGTCGGGGCAGACAGTGCTCACGAGATCTCGCTCTTGGTCTGGGGTACGTGAGACATGATGGATGAGTTGGTGGTTGGTGATCGGGGTGAAAAAAGGGGGAGACTATTTGTCTATTGTTTGTTTACGTGTCACTGGCTCCTTTATTAAGATTAAGAGGGAGGACAAGGAGTTGTGTTTGTATTCGTGTGTGTTTGTTTGGTTGGGGGAGAAGGGAGATCGGAAAGATGATGTGGATGGTGACGGGGGATTTGTTGATCGATCGGGGGTCTGGACTATATACCTACTCAGCTACCGACCACCAAAGACGACGACGACCCGCCCCTTTTCGCGCTCTGAATAGAGATCCGGGTCATGCCATCACGTCACTACGTCATCGATTCCGCAAAGAGTTCGATCACGAACCGCAGGCGCAGGGCAGCAGGCACCGCGAGCGAGCGAAGAGCTGATGATGACGACGTGACGTCACCGGATAGCGCACGCGCGCACGGCACACAGCGCACAGCAGCAGAGACCGAGGGGGCACTGCGATTCCGACAACAATTGATTGCGCGCGACTCATCATACTTCCGCTTCCATCCATCCTGGGCCGAAGCGGGAAGATGGCTGGGAGAGCTCGGTGATGATGCGCCGTGACAACCCAGGCGGGCGGGAGCATATCGTCTCTTCGCAGCCTCGTAGTCTGAATATGTCTCCGGAGATCCAAGTTTCATGTTTGTCGAATGACAGATTGAATTCTGACCACTACAGTCAGGACGATCCAGCTTGAATGGCGCACGTCGCCCGACTCGATCCTCTGTTTTGAAATCAAGCTCCGTGATACCGACTTCAGCAGGTTCAGATCGCCTTGGACAAAGATGTAAAGATCATGCTGGACTACCACCGACACCAGCGGATGAGCCAGACAGGATGAAGGATCGTGACAAGCCTCGTGACACAACCCTGACAGTTCTGCCCAAAATCGACACACAAAGCAGTTGGCATAAGAAAGCGTATTCCATATTGATGTCACAGGCGTGTTACAATCCGTCCCCTTCTCGACTGGGCTTGGAGAGGCCTAGAACCGTCAATCGTTGACAGACAAAGACCTCGATCTCACGTAGCCAGGCGGACCTGTTCCATCTTGTCCACCGCCCCTTTCACCTCCTGATCACTCAGCCCCGCCTTTTTGCCTTCGGAACCTGCCACCCCATTCCCAGCTGCAGCCTCCCCATCGCCCGAACTCCCGCCGTTCTCACCCTGACCCTGCTCGTCCTCGCCATCGTTCTCTTGCCGGCCATCTTCGTTGTCATCATCATCCTCATCCTCGCCATCGTCGGCTCCTTCTCGGTAACCTTGCTCGTCGCCCGCCACAGACTCTGCTCGGCCATCTCGGTCCCGATCGGCCAGGTATCGCTGGATATCCCAATCCTCATCCTCGCCCTCCTATGGTTCAAGTATACGTAGTCGTAGTAAAACCGTCAGCCTCGAAGATTCCATCAATTTGACATATCGGCGCCTGAAGCCGAAACCCACCTCTTCATCCTGGACCCCACCAAACTCGAACATGTGTCGTCCACTCATTCCGTTGATGCGTCCCGCAGCTCGTTGGGTGGCCTTGGCCTTCTGAGCGGCATCGGCCTCGGCAGCCTTCTTGTCGGCGCGCTGCTTCAACCAGATTGCAAAGGTCTCGGGCGTCACCGGGGTGAACGGTCCCTTCAGCTTGTGTCGCTGCGAGAGAGGTTGGTGAATTGTCAAAATCAAGGTTCGCTCTCTGTTTCGAAGGGCGTGCGGAACTCACCTCGGTCTCGACGAAATCTTCCAGCGAGATGACGTCCTTCTTGGCCAGCTCGTCCAATGCCTTCTTCTCCGATTTCAGGACGAAACCGGGTGGTAGAGCGTGACGGTACTTGCAGTCCACACCGTTAGGCTATAGTTATTGCGACATCCCGTCGTACGATTCAGTATGGCCAGGTCTAGATCCGCCCGACGTGATGTATCTGTACTCACGCAATCCCAGCTATGTCGGAAAGGCGAATGAGCGTGGTGAGCCAAAACTGATTCGACGCAACGGATAGCCCGACCCAAACGAAACTTACAACCAACCATACTTCTGATCCTCGATAGCTTGAATAAAGTACTTGCACACGATCTAGCCGCAAGAGCCCAAATCGAATGATTAGCATTCACCAAGAACACCAGTTGAGTCCGATGTCTAGATGTGGACTCACATCCGTCGTAGTTTTGGGGTTCCCAGTCTTGCTCGAGACGACCTTTCGCAGCTTTTCCTCGTCCCACTTGTCCATTGTATCGGTGGCCTTCTCGTCCTTCTTCTCACGAGTATCCGTGTAAACGTTGGCTTTGCTGACTTTACGTTCGACTTCCTTGTCGTGCGAGAACTTGCATCGGTTGCCTGGCGAGTCCAGAGTGCTCGTCGTTAGATACAGCTCGTTGCATCGATTACACTGCAGAACGACCTCGGAATTTGGCTCACCTTTCTCGCACACTCCGGCCTTGAAGAAGACACACATGATCGTCTTAGGATCCACACCGAACGGCACCTTGGGCTGGACGAGTGCCGTCTTGAACAGCTCGGCCTCGGCTTTCTTTTGAGCCAAGGCCATCTCCTTTTCCTTCTTCTTGGCTTCATTGGCCTTTTCTTTGGCGATCTAGTGATTTGAAATCGAATGCCCAACGACAAGTACGGGTTGTGAGCTACGCCACTGGAAAGGACGTGAGCATCGGATTGATTGGAGCTCGGACACCGACCTCTTCCTTGCTCTTTCCGCTGGTAGCCGTCTGCTTGGAAATCGTGTTCAAGTACTTTTGCGCCTTTCCTCCCTTCTTGTTCTTCATCCCAAAGGTCTAAAGAGGAGCATAGGCATACCACCAAGTCTGGCCGTCAGTAGCCTTCCCACGACTCGCGTGACGCAATGGTTCTCGGCTCGAGCTCACCTTGTCATCAGTCTTTGACTTAGGCGGCATATTGAGCTACTTTTTCCAGTTTGTTTGTAAGGTAATGTATCAAGGGGTGTCTATGGCTAGTATTGGGCTGAGTCCGCTGGATATAGGTCTAGCTATCACTCATCATTACGACCTGCACCTGGCCACCTACATCATCATCTTGGGTGCTGCTCCCCTTGAACTAGAAAACGGAAGCGCATCCGAGCGCGCTTTCAAGTGGCGAGGGAGTGGAGGGGAGGGGGTACAATGCCGTATCATGCCGTCACTTCTGTGGCGTTGGGAAGGTGGAGGTCATCCGGACCCGCTCATCTCCTGTACTCCTGCACTCCTGTAGGTCGTAGGTTGAGCTGCATGCTTGCGCACCACCATACATGCCATACATCCAAACAACTGTAACGTCTCAGCCTGACCGATAGCCGATTGGCCAACAGCGCAACGACTATAGTCAAGTCTCACGCTCGCTTTCTGTCTCGTCGCCCTTCGCCATCCCAGATCAGCGAACACCGGTCCTTTCGACACATTCGTCATCGCCCGAGATCAGCATTCGCAAAGGCCTAAAAACCACAAGATCGACTGAGGTTCACGACCGGGATTGCAAGGATGGAGGTTGCACAGAAGAGCTTTGAGATCGAGAACGATGTTCAGGTTGGTAGCTCCTGTGCTTCCGGTCATCAATAAGGGCTATCATGGCTGAATCCGATGTTGGCGGTACTTTAGACTCTATCAGCCGCGGACGAGCTCTACAAGTATGATCGAGCTGAACAGATGGATCTGCTGAACAAGGAGCCGTGGAAGAAGGAGTCAGTCAGTTGCGAACTCGTCAAGTCGGCAGAATGACTCACCCCCGTGCGCGGAATACAGCCCGGCGTATTTCAAGGAAGTCAAGATCTCGGCAGTTGCTCTCATCAAAATGGTAGAATTTCTACCCTCCCAGACATCCGTCCTTTCGCTGCTCAAACCATGAATCTTTATCGAAACTTTGCAGGTCATCCACGCCCGGTCCGGAGGTCAATACGAGATCATGGGCCTGATGATCGGCAAGATCAAGGATCGATCGTTCATCGTCATGGATTCCTTCGCCTTGCCCGTCCAGGGTACCGAAACCCGTGTCAACGCCGGAGACGCGGCGATGGAGTACATGGTCAATTTCAAGGACGGAAACGAGGAGATTGGGAAGAACGAGTTGGTGGTTGGATGGTATCACAGGTGATTGATCGAGTGAGACGCGACCAGGTCGAGAGTGAGCTGCTGATTATGATGCTCGGTATCGATAAAGTCATCCGGGGTATGGATGCTGGTTATCGGGAATCGATGTCAACACGCAGTCGACAAATCAGGCGTTCAATGATCCGTATCTGGCTGTCGTTGTGAGTAACAAGTAACCTTGATCTTGGCGGTTCTGGTGAGACCCCGTGAGCCTTGCTGACTCGGCTCGGGCTTGTTCAGATCGACCCGAACAGGACCGTTTCCGCAGGCAAAGTCGAGATCGGAGCGTTCAGGACTTACCCAGAGGTGAGGGCCACGTCTAGTGACTGTCTTCCGACTCGCTTCTAGTCGATATTGACAATACGCCTTATTCCTGTCTCGATAGGGTTACACCCCGCCCAATGCTGCCGCCAGCGACTACCAATCCATCCCTCTCGACAAGATCGAAGACTTCGGTGTCCACGCCAACTCGTATTATCAGCTCAAGGTGTCCATCTTCAAATCTAGCTTGGATACCAAGTTATTGGATCTGTTGTGGAACAAGTATTGGGTCAACACTCTGAGCCAGAGCCAGATCGTCACCGTGAGTTCTGGAGGATCTCCTCTATCGAGTATCACGCCAGAGATGAAGAAAGTACTGATCTGATGAATCTTCATAGTCCCGCGAGTACACGTTGGATCAGGTCAAGGATTTGAACGCCAAGTTGACCCGGATCGGAGGTTCGATCGGACAACCTCGAAACGACTTGTATTCTAGCGTGACCCACAAGCCGATCGAGAACAATGACAAGGCCCCGGTCAAGGGCAAGGTCAAGTCGGATGTTCAGGAAGCAGAGAGTTCCGCAGGAAGCGCGACGAGGAGCACTAAGGCGAAGGGGAAAGACGAGGAAGAACCGGTCGAAAGCGGGCCTGGAAAGGATATCAGGTGGGAAGTCAAGGAAACGCAGTTGAGCACGACGGCCAAGGACGGGTAAGTCGAGGTCGGACGCCCGGTCGCTTTCTCTGAGACGGAACTATGCAACTAGACATGCTGACATCAACTGTCCACCGGGCGTAGAGTGAGGATCACAGCGGAAGCTCAGCATGGGATAATCTCCCAAATCCTCAAGGATAGGCTGTTCAACGCTGGATCGGCCGTGACGGGGTCGAACGATCCGATCGTGCCCGAAAGGGTCGGACAGTCCGCTTCCGGTTGAGGCGGGACGTAGTGCTAGACGGATCCAGACGAGGGAGCATGAGTTGAGATCGGAATTTTGTTGTAACGCCTTACTTACGACCCACTATATCACGATAAGAGTATTTACGACGATTAGAATCTCATCCGAGCGGGTCCATCGGTGGCGCAATCGCGCTGAGTGATGGAAGTCTTACGACTGTAATCGCCACAACGCCAGTCAGGTGACTCCAGATACACTCCTCTATCTTGCTTCTCGATCAAATATTCACCGTACTGCCCCTCCTCAGGCTTGCCTGGCATGCATATATAGAACAACGGATACAGAAGCGCTTCGGCCCTCTTGAGCCTTGATTCTCGTTGTGTTCGATCACCAAGATCAACACGTTTCACTGCCCAGGACGTGGAGGGAAAACGCCTTGAGATAGGACAAGCGTCGGAACAGATCGAGGTTCCCGCCAGTTCCTTGACCAGTAGCCGGATCCTGTTTGATTCCAGAAAGTCAACCTGTTCCAGCTCGGGAGATGTAGTTTGAACCCAATCTGTCCGTTGTGCCTCCAGACATGTATTTCGCGTTGTACCGTTTCCCACCTCATAGAGCATAGATGATATGCAGTGGCGCCGCTTGCGATGGTCATGATTGACATCCATTTCAGCGGTGGCTCTTGCAACAGGCCAACAGGAGAATGCTCGATTGATACGGGGACGGGGACGGTTCATGTCAAACGTCATTTTAAGGTTCGAGGCGTTTTCCAGTGATGACGTAACCCGAAGTGCCGACGGCAGGGTTCGGCCCGCCGGCCGGACGAGAGGGAGAGCGAGAGCGAGAGGGTGACTGACTGTGGGCTTTTTGTGTTTGCCCAAAGAACTGATCGGGACGCGGTCGGAATCTTACGGGCGCGGTCGAAAGTGGGGCAGGGTGGAAATAACTGAGAAATATCACGTGAGAAATATTCCTGAGGAAGAATCACGTGAGCCAAACGGCCACCGACGCGACATCATCAACACACCTCACGCAACTATCGTGTAATAGTCTCTTAGCAATATTCCTGTCGAACAAATTCAATCATGGAGACTCTGTCGCGAGACCTTGCACGATTTCTTTCCTCAGATGATTATGATTCATCTGATGAAGAGGAGAAAGACTCTGAGATAGTCACCCATAGGCCCCCTCCTCCCGCCGAGCTATGCCCGTGGAAAACCTTAGAACGATGGGCTCGGGAAATCGACGCGACCGAAATATTGCGGAGGATTCAAAGCGTCGCTCTGCAACAAGGTTTCGCTGTCCGCAAGGAACAAGGCAAGCCCAACAACTTCTCAGTTGTTTGTACTCGCAGTGGAAAGCACAGGAACACACACGAGTACCTCAACGCGAGCGGTCGAATGCGAGGGAAAGGTGAAAACGGTTTCACCAAGAAGACGGGCTGCCTTTGGAAACTTTACGTCAGCAAAACTCCGACCGTCAACGATCTCTGGAAAATTTCCATCAGAAATCTTGAGCACAATCACGACATTGACACCTCCCCCTTTGCCTTCGCTCAGCACCGAAAATTAACGCCCAGAGAGAAAGCCTCGGCGCTGACAGCTCTGGGGAATAATGCGTCGCCGAGTGCTGTTCTGGAAACTCTCCACAGAACTGCAGCGGACGAAAACAGGCCTTGTTTTGTGTCACTGCAGGAAATTTACAATCTAAAAGCAGCCCAGAGAAAACTAGCGATGAGCGGTCGAACTCCTGCCGACGCGGTCGTGAGAGAAATGATCCGCAGGGGAATTCCCCACGCGGTCTTTCTGAACGACCTTGATGAACTGCAAGGGTTATTCTTCACCAACCCTCTCGCAATAATTCTCACGAAATATTACGGCTATGTCCTTCATATGGACGCGACCTACAAGACGAATAAATACGGCATGCCCCTACTACATATCGTAGGAAGTTCTCCGACGAATAAATCCTTTACGGTCGCTCTCTGCTTCATGACGACAGAGTCGGAGGAGGAATATTTCTGGGCGATGAATTGTTTGAAGGATTTCTGTGAGGATCTTCCCACCGAAATTGTCCTCACGGATCAATGTGCCGCCTTGAGGAATGCTATCAGTCGAGTGTTCCCTCGATGGCGACAGCAGTTATGTCGGTGGCACCTCGCTCAAAACCTCGTGAAGAATTTCAGGGCAAAAATGCCAAAGGAGATTTTCGAGGAGTTAAAGGCGTCGTACGATTTCCTGGTGTTGCGGCCCACGAAATCCTCCTATGACGAGGCCTATGAACAGCTCAGCCTCAAATATTTGGCGAAGAAAGAGACCAAGCTCTGTTGGCTGTACGTACAGGAACAGATGCAGCAAGGGGAATTTTTCTTAGCCCACGCGTTATCCCGGACGCGAAATTTCGGGGAGACAGCCACCTCGCGCATTGAATCCTTTCATCGAGCGCTGAAGAACACTGTCAAAGGTGCGCAGGCGGATCTTTTCTCCGCAGTAAATGCTGCGACCAAACACATGCGGGCGACACATCGCGTGTTGTTCAAACAACATTCAATCGATTCTATCAAAATCGAGAACGATTTCCCCCTGTCGATGGTTGAAGTGAGTTCATAATACCCTGGTCTGTAGCAGTCGGAATGTTTACTGAGCTATATTTCTGTTGGAATTTAGCTGAGGGGGCGTATTGCCCTACGAGCCCAGTGGAAAATATTCGAGGGAGCATATCGTCTATGGCAAAGCGCTGACTTTCGACGTCAACCTCTGCCTGCTTGCAAGGGAAGCATGCGAGCGACTATGGGGCTTGTTTGCCAGCATGATTTCGAGAGGACTTTATCTCCCGGAGAGATTCGACCATTGATCGACCCTGGAGAAATCCACGCGTTTTGGCACCTCAAACAACAACGTCAGTTGCAAGACGAGGCAAAAATCCTGGCGCTAAAATTCGTGATCAAGGATGTCACGGAGGGAACCTTCTATACCCACTATGTGGAAGATCCCCTGGTCGAAATTGCTGTCACAGCAATGGCCAACACATCTCTCGTGCCCGTGAATGAATATCTCGGGCAAGATGCTCAGGAAATTCTCCGAGAGATGTCTCCCGACGCTGTGATTATTCAGGAGCCTGTCCACCGCCCGCATTATAACAGACGACATGCCAAGAAGAGGAAGAGAACTCATACCGATATCCGCAGAGGACTAGCTCCAGGGGAAGAAATCGTCAGAAGTTCCGCGACATCAGGTCGCTGGCATACTGGCGCGGAGCTGGCAACTCAACGCGCGTTGGCTAAGGAAAAAGCCGAGAGGAAAAAGGCGACCGAACCCAGACACTGCAAACATTGTGGCGACACTGGTCATGACAGGAGAACTTGTGAATTGTTGAAGACTTCACAAGCTGCCGACAGAATCAAAGCTACACAAGCTCGTGTGGCCACGCCTCCCGTGAGCAATATTCCTGCGGCGACTGTCTTCAGGAATGTTCCGCGTGAAATGTTTCCGCAACCACTCTTCCACGCGTCATCTCAACCGCAACAAATGCTTGGAGTTTCACCTTACTTTGGGCAATCGGTCGCTCAGTTTCCTCAGCAATTTCCCCATCAACCGCAAGCTGGACCATCTACCGCTCCTATCGCACCTTCCTCGCAGTCTCGGGGGTATTATTACTAGAACAATGGCGTCAAAGGACCCCTCGCGTAGGCGAGTAAAGGTTCTTTACGTGCTGCGAAATTCCTATTGTTATTCTGCTCTCGTGACTATTCTATCGCTGATCCTTCTCGCTTAAATTCGACGAGCTGTTTGACATCGTTCTTGTTCTGGCGTAAGCAGGAGGGGGTTTGTTTCCGCTGTAACTCGGCTGACCAATTTGTTCTATACAGATCGTCGATCAGGAACGTTTCATGTGAACCTACGCGAAACGTATTGTTCTAAGTAACAAATCGAGCTTCTCAAACGTCTCGATTTGGCAATTGGGGGATTTCGGCCCCGAAATCATCCTGTCGACTCGCTACTCATGACATCATGAGTAGCGAAATGATACAGTCGTCATTGTTCACTCGTTCTCTTTGTTCTTGTCGACTCGACTCGATTTGCCACTCTCGCTAAGAACCTGAACGCATATATATATCCCCCCCTCCCCCCCTCGATTTTGCGATTTCCCCTACTTTCAAACTTACTCTCTTCTACTACAATACACACGCTTAGACCTACTCGTCCCCGATCTATCAAATTTACTCCCCTCGCAACTTATCTATCGAAATAATCCTCAAGAATGCCTAAGTAAGTAACATATCTCGTGCTTCTCGCTTCCGAAAGTTCATATCGCTGATGTTCACTGGGAATATTTCTTCCGCTCGCAGGAAAGCCGATCAACAAAAGACCGCCACCGACAAGGGCAAGAAGCCTGAGGCCCCCCCCGTCAACGCCGCCGCCTCGGGATCCGGCGCTCGAAAACGACCGGCCCCCTCGACCGACGCCATGTTAGTCTCGAGCCTTATTTCCTTCGCAAAATTTCTGCCGCTGACTTTCTCTCGCCGAATTTCTCTCGCAATCAGTGCCCCGCCCACTACCTCCCGGGAAATTCCTCCCGCCGACTTTCAGGTGAAGAACCTGATCGCGCTCGTCGACAACGTCCCCGCCCCCGAGATATACGTTTGGGATTCTCGATTCGGTACCGTTCAGGCGTGGTGGCGGGAAATTTCGACCGTGCAAAAGACCTGGGCCGGCAAGCGAGGGAAGAACAAGGGTGAGTTTCCCGCGCTCGAACTCGACCTTGAGTGGAAGGCGATGCGGTGCTCGACGGGGGCATATGTCGTGTGGAACGGGGATGACGCCGCGCGTGAGTTCACCCCTGATCGTTCGCAAGATATCTCTGGGAATTCTTCTGACGCTTAATTTCTCTCGCCGATAGTTCACCGCTGGCTCATTCAAGAAGAGGATCGAAAGCTCCTCCCCGTCCCCCCCCCTAACGAGTGGAAGGAGTTGACGACTCCCGGTCGAAGCGGTGACTTCGACACGACGCAAGCTTCGGCTTGGCTTGTAAGTATAATTTCTTCAGCTGCTTTTCGTCCGCTCGATTTCACTCGCTGATTTTCTTTCGTTTCAATTCTAGGGCAAGTGGAAAGGCGGCTGGCGCCTTATTTGTCCTTCTTGCAAGGAAAAATTCGGGACGGCTGACGGCGACGATCCGACTCTCCCGGAATATCTCTCGGAGCAAGTTCCCCCCGCGGAGAAGAATTTCATCGACCTCCGCCAGAACGAGTTCCCGGATCAAGCTACCGGGCTTCAGATCGACTCGAACCCCCTGATCCTCGCCTGCTCGTACGGTGGCGTCGGAATATGCCGGTCGGCGCATCCCCTCGATCCCGGTTCAGCGTTTTCTGCCTGCGGGCCTTGCAAGTCGGCGGGCACCAAATGCAATGGAGGCCTCGGCGACGAGTGGAACTTCAACATCGACGACAACACGGTCGCCGGAGTTCTCCGACTCGCAAAAATCGTTCTCCTTTTCGCGCAGGGAACGAAGTGGACGACTCGCGCGGCCCGGGACGAGCAGGGCGAAAAAGCGTTCGAAATTCTCCGAGAGGGAATTTGCCACGGACAGCAAGGCCTGGCGATCGAGGGCGAGGACCCTCCCACGCACGACGCTAGGCCAACCCCTGCGATTGTCGAGATGCTCAAGACGTTCCCGAAGAAGGAGCAGGGGAAGGGAAAGGGGAAGGCGAAAGCCGAGTAAAATTGCGATCGAAATATTTCTTTGACTTGTACTCTCGTGTTGTAATATGTTCGGCTTTGTCTTTTTAATACGATACATCTTACGCGTTTCACATTGGAATATTTCTCTCGCTCGATTGCTGCCGTCTTAAGTCTTGGGAAATATTTCTCACGCGCAAGTCTTGCTTATTTCCACCTATGCCCCACTTTCGACCGCGCCCGTAAGGAATCGACCGCGTCCCGATCAGTTCTTGTTTGCCCAAGCGACACCCTCCCCCACTTTCCAAATTTGGGTCACAAGGGTAGATCGACCTCGCAGCTCGAAGGGGGTTGCCTAAATTGCCTACTACCAGCTATCAGATGATGATGATGCTGTTGATTCAAAGTCACGTTCAGACCTCGTTGGGATAGTAGTGTGTGGATACCAACGTTCGATATACCTAGCCCGAAGGAGGAACACAGCCCTGCATTCCTCGATCGGCCATCCCCGACGATCAGATCCATATCCAATCATTCCAGAACCTTGGACTTGCCACAGGACCGCAGTTCCTGCTCTCACCTTCTGATCACGGGGCAAAGAACCAGAGAATCCTCCTTTGTTCATCGTCATCGCATCACGTCCTTTAGCTGCGGACGACCGGATTAGAGCATGCTCACGGAGAACCACTCGCTCGACCTAGAACACATACAAAGGCGAGCCTCCAGTCATCCGCCTCCCTCAGGCGATCACAGGAGAACTTGATTAACACAGACAGAGGCAGACGACAGCATGTCAGAACCTCCGCCTTTACCTCAGAGGAAGTCGGAAAGACGACTGGATATGCTCGATGGACAGGCTGTTCCGCTCGCCCCCGCGCTGCCGTTGATGAGACCCCCTCCTCTTCCGCCAAGGAAGAGCGAGGCTATCGCGATCGCACAGGCCGGGGTGTCGATACAGCTCCAGGAGGATCCTCTCGATACGAGTAGGGAGGAAGCAGGTGAAGTGAAGGAACAACACGCCTCGGAGCGAAAAGTCGGGGCGTCGGGGATCCCGCCATCGGTAGTCGTCGCGGTACAAGACGTTCCGCCGGTCGAGGTCCCAGAGGAGAGTCTGGCTCGTCACCAAGTCATCCAGGAGGGATCGTCCTTGACAAAGGGTGCTTCTGACTCCCTAAATTCCCGTCCGGCCTCCAGGTCAACGGCTGCTCCGACTCAAGAAGTCGAGATGCCATCTGAGGAGACCCGCAACATGCCGTCGGTCCCGGAGCCGAATACTCCAGCTTCGCGCCGTACGCAAGCATCTAGACCTACTACACCTCAATCATCCGCTATACCGCTCAGTGCGTCGACCCAAAACCGATCGTTACCTACTCCTGTTCCAGCACAGATCGCAGCGAAGAGAGCAGCTTCGAAAGGACCGTTCACACACGCTCCTCTGGATCCGAATCAAGACCCGCACATTCCTCTTCCTATGCCTTCACTCCCTGTCGTGCTCCTTCTCGCCATTCCCATCACCCTTGCCTACCTTCGAGTCAGCTTCGTCACCCTTCTCCTCGGTCTGCTCTTCAGCTGGTACATCTGGGCGGAATGGAAACGCAAGAAGACGAAAAGAACCGATTTTGGCCCGGAGGTCGATAGAGCCAAAACAAAGGGTCTCAACGCGAAATGGGAGCATGAGCATTACAATGAAGAGAGCGTCTTCTGGATGAATCATGCACTCCGCGCCCTTTTCCCCCTGATCAACACGGACATCTTGACCCCGTTCATCGATCTTGTTGAGGATGCGTTGTTGACTCAGGTGCCTCCGATCATTGTGAGTACCGGGGAGAGGAAACCATGAATGAAGATCGAACTGATTTTGAAATGCGGTTCTCCCACAGTCCTCGGTCAGGTTGGTCTCGCCGTCGTTAGGGGAAGAGCCGATCCAGATTGTCTCGATGAGGCCCATGTCAGACGCAGAGGTATGAAACGGCTTTCCTTCAACGGATATCACAGAAACCACTGAGGCTGACTTGTCTTTGACGCCGTGGCTAGTGGTTTGACAACCTGAGCAAAGCTCCTTCCGCCCCTGCGAATCGGAACGGCAAACTCATGGGCACCCTCGACTCGTTTCGGAAAAAGATCTTGCCCGGAGGCAGTGCTGCCACCGGTGACCTGCCAGACAACGAACAACCTCGTCCCGACGGCGGATCCGATGCCAAGGTTCGTTCGATGGAAGTCGATGAAAGGAGGAAACGCGACCGGATCCTGCGCATGATCGGTGGTCGACGGGGCCAGGGCGTTGGGGTTAGCGAGGGCAGGGATTCGGCGCAGAAGCAACAAGGCGGCGAGATGAAAGGCCATCGCGATTTCTCAGAAGGCACTCATGTTCGAGGAGAGGAAGATACCGGGGACGAGGATCAAGATGGAGGAGAATATGTCAACTTTGCGGTTGATTTCAGCTACGATGGGAGGAAGAACCGGAACGGGTGGGATCTACATTTCTTGTGTTATATGGGAATCGGTATGAAGGGATTGGGCGGTGGCGAATTACGTGAGCAGGTCAGGTTCACATGCTGTAGACGAAAGCTGAAGCGATTGATTGGTGTGCCTCTCAGCTATTTGGGTGGAGATGCTCAAGATTACAGGAACGGTAAGCAGGGAGATAGCCATGCGTGTGCAGACATTCCATATCGACTGACTCCGTGCTCACCTCTAACAGATGCATGTGCGGCTTCTGCTTGCCCCGGACGTACCTTTTGTACGGACCGCTTCCATCTCGCTTCCTCAATTACCCGACTTCGATCTTGCTATCAAACCGATCAAAGATCTGTCTCTGGACTTTTTCGGTCTGCCGTTTCTCAAACCGTTCATGGAAAAGGCCATCTTGGAAGTCGCAGATGGCTTCGTTCGACCCAATTCGTACAGGTTGGATGTCGACCGTCTCTTGCTAGGGGAAGAAGCTGCTTTGCGAACCGAGGCGATCGGAGTTCTCCACATCAGAGTGCATAGGGCCGAAGGCCTGAAGGCCGCAGATACATTCGGATCCTCCGATCCATATGCCACGGTCGCATTCTCAAAGTTGAGTAAACCCGTCTTCAGCACGAGAACGATCGTCGATAGTCTCAATCCTCGATGGGAGGAAGATGCCTACGTCCTTGTCGTGAGTCTGAGTGATTGGACGTGATGGACGGTCTGGGCAAAACTGATAGCATCGGCTCGCGGACCGGTTCTAGGTCTCTGATGCCATCGAGTCTGGGGAGCGAATCCGTATTGTGGTCTACGACGCGGACCGTTTTTCTGCAGACGATGCGATAGGTATGGTTGACATAGATCTCGCCGACCTCCTCGAAAAGGGGAATCATCGGTCTGAAAGAAAGGATATGATGGAAGAACAGACCGATCTGGTACCAACGAAAAACGGTATGCCCGCGCAAGGCCGTCTCTTCTGGAGTCATGCCTTTTACCCATTGTGGAAGATGCCCGAAGACGGCAAGGCACAACAGGCCGCTGGAGAAGAGGAATGGCAACACGAGAAACACGGCAACGACGATATCGGTACGGGCAGGGAGGGGCAGGTGCAGATGCCCGGTTTAATCTATAGTTTGATGGGTAGACTTGCGCCTGATCCATTCCCTTGGGAGGCGGAGCGACGTAAGCGTCGTATGGAGAGCATCGCTTGGCTGACGGGAGAGAGGGCCCGGGAGACTCTAGAGGCCTCTGTCAAGCCAAGCATGGACCGTCGAAGCGGTATTTTGCAGTTTGCCATCACCCAGTGCAACAACCTCGAATACCAACGCACGGGAAAGACTTTCGCATCGCAATCGAGTAAGAGGCATTCAGGTGCAGCAGGAGGTCGCCCGGGTGAGTTTTTACCGGACAGTCGGGTGTGTACCAGACTAGGCTAAACAAAATCGCTGTACGAATTCGTCAGCTCAAGAGACTGTAGTGGACTCTATGCCCTGGGAGCAGGAAAGACCGCCGAGCGCCTATGCTGAGGTCATTCTCAACGGGCGTCTTGTATATCGCACTCGAACCAAGCAAATCAACCCATCTCCGTACTGGAACGCTACTGGCGAAAGATTTATCAGAGATTGGTCCAAGGCTAGATTGGTCGTTGTGATCCGAGACGAGCGAGATCGGGAAAACGGTGAGCGTTGATTTGGGCCTGCAACCTCTACAGCATGGCAAGATATTGATCGCGCCCTCTTGCAGACCCGATTCTCGGTCTCGTTTCGATCGAACTCTCTACCGCCTTTAGCAAGGCTTGTCAGCTGACCCGAACGTATCCGCTTCTTGGGGGCCTCGGTTGGGGAACAGGTGAGTGATCGATCCGACCTTTGCCTATCTATGTGGAAGCGCCAACGCTCACCCCACACGTCACATTTCTGTCCAGTGCGGATATCGTTACTGTTCAAGGCGGTCGATGCGCAGCTACCTCACGGTATCAGCTCGTATGAAGTAGCTACTATTCGACTGAATAGCCTTTCCATGAAGCGCCCTCCTGGCTGGTCGACGAACAAGCTCTCTGTGATCGTAGAGACGGACTCGGACTCGAAAACCATCTCCTACGATACCGACGCTGCTCCCGCCAAGAGGAGACAGTCCTTGGGAAGGAAGTCGATATCATCCACCCATTCGGTGGCATCCATGAATACGGTACTGGATCAGGCTTCGGATCCCACGCTCAAGCCTGAAATCCTAGACTGGAGGCTTGAAGATCGAGGTGTCGTCAACGCTTTGCCTGTCGAATACCGACACTCGTGCTTTTTGCTCTTCCGCTTTATGCGACGAAGCGGAAGACTTAAGAAGGACATATACTTGGGCATGGCGTGCATCCGGCTTCAGGATATTCCCGATAATTCGGCCTGTCGTCGGACCGTCCCGATATACAATACAGACGATATCAATCAAGTTTGCGATCTCGCTCTAAATCGAGCAGCAGCGTTGGAGAGAAACGAAGAGGATCCGCAGAAAGACTTGCCGATGGTGAACATCGGCTTCAACCTTTTCGCTGGGATCAGCAGAGCCCATCGTAAGCTCGCCAAACGAGACAAGCGTCTTGCGCACGTCTATGAAGCGTGGCAGGCTGCGCAGGATGTCGGAGGCCGAGAAGAGTTTCGCGGAGCTCGTGGCAGGACGAAGCAAGTCGAGAATATATGGCAGGGTCGTGACCCACAGCAAGGCCATTCGGCAAGCCGCGAAATGGCTGGCGATGGTTCTGACCTAGGTAGTCATGACGAGATTTCGAGCGACGAGGACGATGAGGACGATGACACCAGCGGGCGTTCTGCGGACGGAAAAATCGCGAACCCGGGGCAATATGAGGATGCCGAAGTCGCGCCCGCGGACCTTGGGGAGATGGACGATTACGACGAGCCTACGTCTGCGTTTGGCAAATGGTTGGAACACAATCGCCTATTAGGAAGACAACACAAGGGACTGATGCAGAATAAGCTCATGCGAAACCTCAAGTTTGGCAAAGACAAGGTGCAATCCAAGGTGTTGGGCGGGCAAGCTCGAGCGACACGAAAGAAACGGCCTCACGGTGCGGATATCGACATGGAGATGGAAGGTATAAGCAAAATATAGACGACGGAGGATAGAATTGTATCACATTAGCGAGGTTTTGTGTATTGGTTTCTGCTGGCATCGATACCCTTGATTGTGATTATTCTCGGAGGGCCGCAAGTCAGGTTTTGAATCGAAGGTTCACTAGCTCACTAGGGACATGAGAGCGGAATACTCTCGGATTGAAGTTGCCGGGATCAGCGCAGTGAGAGCTGACTGTTTTCTCTAGCCATTGACTTTTGCGCTGGTGCATGGTAGATATCCTGTCTCTCACGATAGTAGACATCGCACATATGCCACGAGCTCGCTCAGCCACTTCGGGAGGTTACAGTCATCCTTTTTTGATATGGCCCCGAATCTCGTTCAAGACGCTGCTGTACGAGATACAGTATAATGTCGATCGTTCCGTAGCCGTACACACTTTCTACTCCCCGTCGTCCGGCACATCCGGCCAGAATGTCTCCTCGGCATCGAGAACAGCCTTCCAGATCGCCTCCGTTCTCCTCTTTACATCCTCCCACTTTGCATCATCTCCACCGACGGCACGAGCGACACCGTCGTTGACGGCACTTTGCAGCTCCTCCGTGAATGCCAAGAAGTCGCCGTTCGACCAGTTGGGGATGAACTCTCTGCGCATAGCACCTCCATCTTGATCTCGGTCAAATGTCCTCGAGGAAGGGTCAATTTGAGTGTCTTGGCTGTTTGCCCAACTCCAGGCTTCGTAGTAGACTTTCTCGGTCGCCCAGAGAAGAATGGCGCTCTCCAACCACGGTATGAAAGTCTCCTGCTTTCGAGCAGCAACGCTGGAGAAGAGCGCCTCGTAACGACGGAGGCCTTCCAGTTTGTGTTTATCGAGCAGTGAAGAGCCATGTGTACCGAGGTCGAGACCATAGTCCTCGGCGACCTGTTGAAAGAGCTTGACCTCCCTCTCCCCGTTTTGGACCCCGGCTTCGAGCCACCGGATCAGCCGTGTCTCGATTTCCGGATCAGCGCCTGGTGCATCGGGTATGGCCTGTCGACGGCGAACGTTGTCGAGTAGGTCGCTGATGGTCGATATGTATCCTTGTATGTACTGCTTGTCGTTGGACAACCATATGGCTGCTAGGCTTTTGGACAGCGTTCCTTGAGCAGCACGTTTGAGGAAGGGATGTTGGGTTGCGCGGAGGAACTGATCGCGATGAAGGGAGAGGAGGTGGTCTGTGATTGCGGGCGACATATTGATCGAGTCAATGATGAAACGTGTCGAGCAGCAAGCAGAATTCAGAGCTGCAGTTACGCTACGACCAAGTAGTGCAAGGTGGCAAGCTGGCAAGTGATGGTAGTGAGGATAAGTGATATGGCAGTTTGCGGATGTCGGATGTCGAGGGGAACGGCTCGGAATCGATTACGTCATCCATACATTACGTCACGCGTTTCACTTTCGGGTGAAAGGCCAAAGGGGCGGTTGCGATCGAGTGATCATCATCTTATCATCATCATTAGATCTCTACATCGCCACTCCATCTCTCATCAACCACAACGTCACAAGTAATCATTGTCTGGCGATATTATCGAAGTCTGGAAATACTACAATCATCCCTCTCACCACGATGACATTGGATCTGCCTTCGGAATCCCGCGATCAGCCGCCACCTACGGACAGCAGGGACCGATCAATCACCATCCGAGATCAAATGGAAGGAGATGGTCGGATTCACAATTCCCTCGCCTTTGCGTTACGAGGAAGTATAGCTAGTAAGCTGCGAACGCCTTGAGCTAGAGGTTCGTCATCATACTGATCATTCATCTGATCGATCCAGCTTTAACAGCCAGGGTTGCAGAACTCCATCGAGCTGTGCAAGAGCTGCAGATCAAAGTCGACAAGTCGCGCGAAAAGCCGGAATGTTCGGAGAAGGAATTCGTCGGGGACCAATTTCGTAGTCAATGTATGTGACATGTTTCCGTACCGTGCTCGGATAGAAACTGACGAAGGTGTTCTGTCATCAGTGCTTCCCGTAATACAAGAAACGATGACTTCCGTTGTCAATCAGCTCAAGGATATCAAGCAACAATTACCGGCAACGATCGGGACTCAGTTACAGACATCTCTGGTCACCGTAAAGCAAGATTTGCAGCGCTTGTCGAGCGATAACAAGCAAGGGCAGAGTCTCGGTGATGGGTTGAAGGTGAGTCTCTCCGGTTATGAGGCGTCTCACCTTCGAACCGTCGGCTTACATCATGCTTGATGTTCGTCTAAGCAGAACTTGCAACCGATGATGACCCATCTCCTAACGCTCCTCACCCCTATAAGTCAAATCCCTACGACATTCACCAATTTCCAACAGTCCGTCTACTCCTGCCTGGACAAACAATCCCAATCGATCACTAGACAAGACAAGACCGCCGGACAACTTCAACAGGATGCCAAGCGTATTATTGACGCCACAGGCCAGATCATCTCTGCCGACGATAGAAACTCGGCTCAGGTCGTACGGGCGATTGGACAGGCGTTGAACGGCCAGACTGCGGAGATCGTCCGGCAGGTCGAAAATCGGTTCTCGACTATCCTGGATGAGAAACTCGGCGAGATCGAATCAAGGCTGAAGGAACACGTTGATATCAAGTTTGCCGATCTGGAAAGGACTCTGATAGAAGCACTACAGGCGAAAGCCGTCCACGATGACACACAGCACCCTCCCGCTCCAACACACATCAACACCGCCGGAGCTCTCACTAGGGCGATCAGCCATGACGATCCCGCGGAAAATCCGATCGGACCCAGTACAACTACCACTCTGAAACGCCAGTTGTCGGTCTCTTCAATCACTGCAAGCGAGCCGGATTGCGATCAGGATCCCGTCCACAACGAATCCGAAGGTAGTGCCGGTCGATTGTTACACAAGCCGGACGTTCAGGAAAATAGCCCGGCCGAATTCAAAATCCCCTCTGAAGACGAGACATACAAATCCGGTTCACTTGATGCAGTTGGGGGAAAGGCCAAGGAGACTCCTACAGTAGGTGCTTGAACTTGCCTAAATCAGTCCTGGCACTTGCTGACTCTTGATCTGACGGATATCACAGTCTTGGAGCTCCAACAGAGACAGGAGGAAGCGTCGACGTATGACCGTCAGTCCAGAGTTGAGCGACCTGCCGCTCCCGGATGTATAGTCATCAAGATCGATCGAATCACAATTCGAGTGTTCTCGATTTACAAAGGCGATTGTAGCGGAAACCATTCGTAATACTTCGTCATGTCATCAGGAGTCGTCATGTCTATATCTTCCCCTTCTTAGCGGGTGATGGCGTCGTGGTGTCCTTGGGCGAAAAGAAAGCTCGGATACCTTCCGGCTTCTTCTTGACAACCTTTTTTTTCGGTTTTGTAGATTTTGAAGAGCTGCCATGATTCGTTTTGGCCTGAGTCATGTCCTCGTCGTAGAGATCGCGTGCGACATGCCAGTCGTTATGGGCGCTTCGGAGTTCGTCAACGATATCGTCCGGCGATTTCTGATCGCTGTTCTCCGGTTTCGCCTCCGATCGTATCGTCTTCGAACACCTGACGCAATAAAAGTGCGGGAGTCGTTGTGCCAGTGAACCTCCTTCCTCATCATCCGACTCGTCCGAAAGTTCGATGATCTCGGGAGTCGTGATCTTGGCTGGTCCAGAATCCTTCCTCTTCGCTGTGTGGCTTTCGGTTGACGGTCCGGGACCGCTGGAAGGCGATCGTTCTCGCTTCGTTCCTCTTGATGGAACACCACCGGCCTTGAAGAACCCTTCGATACCCTTCTGTCCACCTTCCAGACGGTCTAGACCAGCAAAGCTCAGCCCGAGCTGTCGCAACGTGAATAACAAGCGCGGTATCAGACGATAATCCCTAAGTCCGGTTTTCATATGAACGGCTCACGTTATTGATCCGCATCGCCGAAGATTTGCTATTGGCTTGGCGCATCATGGGCTCAGATACCTCGTCCCACAGCTTGTTCGCATATTTGGTGATATAGTCTGCAGAGAGTTGTCTTGTGAAAGGGAACGCTATCTGCCGCGAACGGACCGCCTCCCCGACTGTGATCCAGGCTCCAGTCAGTCTCTCTCCTTTCGGGGGGATGATGCGACAATCAGCCGACGTACCTTGTCTGGTACTGAGTACCATAGTCTTCGGCCACAATCCCTCTGTTTCGTCCCTCGCGTCCCGCAAACGCACGTAAAGTTCACCCGCCAAGATACCTAGCCACCTATAACCTCCTTCCCGACTCGTAACAGCCGGCTGAACATTTTTTGACGCCAACATTGACTTGGTTGCCGTCCTTTCCTTGACTACGTGGACGTATCAGTAAAGCACCGTAAGAGAACGATAAAGATGAAATATTGTCTCACCTGGGTTGTAATCGATTCCACGAAGAATGTTATAGACCCAGATACTCTCCTCGCCAAACTTGCGTTGCATCTCCTCCAAGGTCACCGACCTAAAGTCAAGATGTTGAGTTTCGGTTACCACTAAGCACAAAACCTATATTTCTAGAAACTCACAACATGTCGCCCACAGTATTGGCTTCGTATTCTTTGGCCATAGCATCTCCCAACTTCCCCCCCAAGAAACGGATCTTGGTAAACTCCATAGGGTTTAGAAAGGCCGGGATGGCTGCTGATCGCATAACAGTCTGAACCCCGGACACATGAGTATCAGCTTGATCAATTCCTTAGATTTGTCGCGGTGACTCACCTGTGCATCGGGCTTCTTCCAGGCGGAACACAGCTGTACGAGAGCCAATAGGTATAAGAACGGTCGGTCTGCGAGATGGAAGAGGAAAAGAGAAACTCACCTTGGCAATGGTCTTGTTATGGGCCACACCCTAATTTGCCATTTCCAATTCAGCATCTCGCAAACGGCCGGCTTCAGTATCTCGCAGAGGGAAACCGACTCACCGCCGAACAAGTATACCCCAACTCCCGCTTCACTTCCGCCCGGATCCGACCCATAATCTCAGCGCCAACGGACAACGCATAATCTTCCCAACCTCCAGCTAGTTCCTCTTCTACTAGCCCATCATACCCATCCCCATCTGCCTCGACATTCACATTGCCTCCATTGTCTCCACGTAAGGGAAAGATGTTGCTCAGAGGATCCCAAGTGATAGGCGGTGGCAGGGGAAGAGGGGTATCGAGGCCGAAAGGTGCGTCTTCCGGGACGGTATTCAGGTGTGGATGTCGTTTCAAGATCTCTTGGAGTACCAGACCTGTCAGGTCAAGGTAGGCCTCATCGATCGAGGCCTTTTCGACTTCTCCGGCATCTCCTACTACACGCTTGAAAACGGCCAGGATCTTGGTACTTTCTCTCCGATAGGGGTCTAGCGAGACCTTGTGATGCTTAGGATCCCCTTCTCCCCAATAGCCGGGCTCCGTGTCACCATCCCGATAGGTCGCGACATGTACAGTCTGCAGATGAGGGCAACGCTTCTTGGCTTCATTGACGTCCATGTGCCTGGTGATTCCGAAGTTCCTGGCCGGATAGTTGACGGCGATCAGACCCCACCATTGTTGTACGCAGACGGGTTGATCTTCGGGGATACCCAATCTGACCATCTCGAATTGAGCATAAGCTGCGTCGATGTCGCAGTGGGCGATAACCCGGAGCGGGTTCATTACGGTCATGGCCTGACTCGTCAATACATGTCGGTAGGTGACCACGGGACGGACGGCATCGTCCCGCCTTGGTTTCTTGCCCAAGTTGAACAGCGCCGACATGGCGCTTGTGTCCTCTAGCTTTGATCGGACGATAGGTCTACTTGGAGGGGGAAGTATCGGGGGCCAGTTCCCTTCCCCAAGCTTGATCCAAGTCTTTAGATCTCGCACACACACACTTTGGCACAGATGATCGCCGGAAGTAGAATAGCATCCGCTAGCGATCTTGGGGTGAACGACGAGTCTCCGGTCCGGATCCAGTAATTCATCATCATCCATCATCATCGTGGAGGAACCCTATCAACACTCTGATCTACCCTCTTCTCGAGACATCGTTCAAGATCACTCGAGACTAGGAAATCCCACAAGATCTGACCACGATGAACAGGACACAACTGCCAACCCTCTTCCGGGGTCTCAACCTTCGGGCTCAACGGTCCATCACCTCGAGCCCCGTCGTCAACCTCGTCAACAAGAAGTTTGAGGACGGTGAGCAATCCCATTTCGACATAGTGATCTCCTCTACTTGCATACTGATCTCGCATCGAAACGATTACAAATCTTTCGCGTAGCCGGCCTTCCTCTGCCTCCCAAAGCGCCCATGTCCTCGTACGCCTTCTTCTTCACCGAGATTTACCCGGACATCAGGGGAAGCTACCTCAATCCCGAGGGCAAGGTGGATTCGAGAGCGGTCGCCAAGGCTGCCGGAGCCAAGTGGAACGCTTTGAGCGAGGATGAGAAGAAGGTGAGTGGAGTTGGAGGTCGGATGTCGAACGCGAAGCAGGTTGAGGGGATGGGGCTACGAAGCTATGGCAAAAGCAGCAATCTCAACTGACACCCAGAATACTAATCTATACATCCTTCTCCTGTTCTCTACAGCCCTACGTGCAAAAGGGTAAATCCGCACAAGAAGCGTACAAATCCAGCTACCTGAAATACTACAACTCCCTCTCCGCACCCGACCTCGCCCGTCTCAACTCCATCCTCCCTCGCCCTCTCCTGAACCCCAACTTGCCCCGAACGGCCGCTGACGGTAGCAAGCTTCGTCACAACATCCGGAACCCGAAGAAGGAAGGGGAACCCCAGAGGCCGATCGGCGGGTTTTTCGCTTTCATGCGCGAGTTGAGGGAGGACGAGGGCTTGAAGAAGGAGGCCGAGGAGAAGGGGGTCTCCAAGGGGGATATGCAGGTTTGGTTGAGCAAGAAAGGCGGGGAGACTTGGGCTACGATGAACGACGAACAGAAGAAGGTGGGTCCGAACTCGCTTCGAGGCGTTTCTTCATCGCTGCCGTGCTAGAGCCGACTTCAACACATACTTTCTCTTTCCTAGAAATACATGGATCAAGCCGCCGCCGTTCGATCCGACTATGTAGCATGGAAGGCCAAGCAGAACTAAACTACCGATCGCCGCGCCAACCAGACTTACCGGGAACCCTCGCCTCTGACGGAACTCCCTTCTGGTCGGCGTACTAGGTCCTCTGATCTTTTTTTGATTTTTGTGATGTACATGAAACACTGTTCTTCTTGATTTCGATTTTTTGGGAGATGATTATGGATCCGAGTACGGACACTAGGAATTGAAATACGAAAGCGCGAGTGTTGCTGAGGTTGAGCTCAGTGGTTGGTTTCAGGTACTGGGCACTCTGTACAGGTTCAGCATGGCGAATTAGAGTCGAAGTGATCCAAGGGCTGTATAAATGGATTCACGAAAAGAGAAACCGAATCATTCCCGACTGCAGTACTCAGGTGAGCTTACTTCGTTTACTTTTGACATAGGCCTTTGCTGTCTTCACAGGCTTGTGCTTGGCCCCGACGTCTAAGCGCGTGTGTCAAGGTAACCGATATGTTCAGGGCCCCATGAAGCGATGTAAAAGATATCCTTGCAGACGTTGGATCTTTCGCTATAGCGGCCATCCCTTACAACTTGTGCTAGGTCAGCCGAGCTTACCTTTGACCCTCATCTTTCCTTCCGCGAGCCTGATTGAGATTCGGAAGGCGTTCGGCACACGGAACATATCTGTCTTGAGGGTAGCTGCTTGAGGGCAGATATGCGGCTCGTTATTACAAACACCACTCCAGCCTCTATCTGACCGCTCCATATGGACTGGATCGTATGAACTAAAGGATCGTCTGTGAACGGCCCTCAGCGACTCGGTGAGAGCTTCATTGTCCGATGTGAATCGTCAGCTATAGGCAAGGTCTGATATCAGAGACCGACCAGACACTCCTGCGATGTCTGGTCATGTACGGAAACTACAGTAACACGGCGTTCTGTATCATGCATCTTCCCGAACGGTTGGCGTGTGAGGTTGCGCGTTACAGCAAATCGCTGGATGTGGACGTTCAAGCGGCAATATGAAAAGAGCCCCGGTGAGCAGATCCGTGATGTATGATACAGGTTGACTTTAATCAGCTCTGATGTGTCGAGTCGCGGCATCTACGGTCGGCACAGCAACTACGTGGCACTAGCCACGAGCAATCACTCAAGGGGCGCTGCGACAAAGAGGCAGCGCAACGAAGGCAAGAGGCTTACATGGGGACTCGCTCACGAATACAGGCGATCTCATCGACATTTCCTGGTGGACCGTCAGTTTGCGAGCGCTTGTAATGTGTCATCGCAAGGGGGTCCGGTCTCGAGGATATTTCAGGTTTCAGGTTCAGTAGATACCGAGAGTTCGGATATCACGGATATGAGCATGTCCGCCGGCGTCTGCTACTTGGGTGTGCTCCGTCTGGGCGGTCTGCCTGGTCGTTGGTGTACTCGAATGTCACCTTGCACCAGACATACCTTGATGAAGATCAAGAAAAGACAAATTATAGTCTCCTGAACCAAGAGTTGTATCGATCCCTGAGAGCCTCATGAGGCGACTGAGCTTACTCAAGCCAGATACCTAGAAAGGACCCGACGATACGCTATCCCCACGAGCCTGGACAAGACGACAGCATCAATCATCAACGACAACCACGAATATAACGAAATTCGTGGCCGAAGCCACCTCCATGACCACGACCATGACTACGATTACGAGTCCAGAAGAAATGAAGCGCTACGAGACAAACGTGAAACCGACATTACCGATCCCTGTTGATGCCGAGCCATGGCCAGCTCCCAACCGCTCGACCAGCAAACGATATTATCGGACCTACCTATCCCTTGAGAACCTCGCTGTGCTGTTTTACGTATTCTCCGCGGGGTGCTTGGGTTTGGCGATCTGGTGCGGTTGGGACCTGATCCATCGAACGGGGCGATATAGGTCGGGTTGGGGGTTCGAGGTGAGTTGGACTGGGGGACTGGTCAATAGGTCGATGAAGGTCAGGCCAAGCTTATGAAAGCACCGTTGACGATTTGTACCCGTCTGCCGACTACAATTACAGTCTGCCTGGAGCAATGCTCAAATAGCAAAACTTGGCTGGCAAAGAGGAGGAGAGACAGCCGCAGCAGCAGGCGTAGGAAGCGAAGGATATTACCGCTATATCGTCGCACTCTCAATCCCCGTCTGTGCGTGGATCGCGATCGCCCATTGGATCGGGTGGCAGTTCTACCTCTATTCGGATCCAGGCGAGGATACGAAGACATGATGGATTAGAGGTGGAAGTCGACGTCAGGTCGAATCAGGTGTAGGAATCCGAATCAACACCAAAGGCTCTGGCTTAAGCTCGGGGCGACGTTCAAATCTCCGTTGACCTTGCTTCAAGAATGGCAGCGAGGAACGACTACGAGCTGAGAAGGAGGGGCCTTCCGCCGAGCTGTATCGCCATCAGTCTTGTCAGGGATTCTCGACCCAGCCGTCACCAGTCGCGCCTGCCTCGGTAGAGCGCACCCGCTGCAGAATCAGCAGCTGCACGCACTAGTCATATCGTGAAGGCGCCCTCCAGACCAAACGCAGAGCGCGCGCACACACCTGATACGCAAACCCATTGAAACAAAACATGTGTTGATGGCATACAGGCACAATACTGTCGAGGTTACCTACGATGCTCGACTATGGGCTGTAGTCATGAACGAGCACTAAGAGTGGGACAACTACGATGTCGAGACGGTGATCTCGTAACTTTAGAACGGTGAATCGATTCGAGTTCGGGTTTGTAACGCTGCGGAAGATTGATCATCTCACCCGATCGCACCGACTCGTCATCGTCACTGGCTTGCTTGCTTGGGCTTTGCTGGACTCCGTCGGGCATCGTCTCGTCGTAGTATCTCTACGCAGGGTACGCAGAGTCGGTGGCCGGGTACTGACCTCCGTAGTTCCCTCGTCGCCAAGCCCAAAACGCGGGCTGTGTGTCTCTGTTCCCGCGTTGTCTCCACCTCCACCGACCCTGCGGCGCTTTCTGCCTGCGAGATTTCAATCGACCACCTTGGGACGAGGCAAAACTATACAGACCTCGTCCACCACCTCGATCGGTCATCGCCTCTTGCTCTCTTACGCTTCTGCACATATACCCTCGTTTCATCTAGCTTGCCGGCCGAGCTTCGAGTCGCTGTCGAGATATCGCCCTGCCTCGATCACGATCAACGCGTTTCTCCCACCGACGCCCGCACAAACAACCTGCAACCTGCAACACGACCTTGAGCGAGATCAAAGGAGGAATCCCGATCAAGATCACGACACGGCAAGGGTGAAACAGACGTCACCTCCCTTTGCATTCAATCACACCGCCATCACTCGTTATCCAGGATCTTGGCCCCCGGTTGACATAGTAACACGCTGAATACCCTCGGACGTCGACATCCGAAACCTCGCTCGCCGGTCAGAGCCTCATACCCCACCCTTTTCTATCCTCCCCAACTTACCTCACTCTGTTGAGATCGTCGAACATCGTCCCGATGCCCGCCTCTCCTTTTTCTCGGATATCTTTCTTGTTCGCACTCGGTCTCGTGCTTGCCGTCTTGAATGGGGTACAGGATGTCGCAGGTGAGAACGCATCGTTGTCAAGGTCTAGATCATCGTCACTCACTCTATTGAAATTCGTCTGATGCTGTTCATATCCTGGCTGATCCATAGCATCAAGCCGAGCTCCAGGCCCTCTAAAACGAATCTTTCATCCACGGGGCGTCTCCCTTGAGGTCGTACCTCGATCAATCCCTTCTCATCCGGGACACCCGTTGAAGAACAAGAAACGCTCGGATATCCCCAGCGGGCTCTTGCTCCCCTCGGACGCACTAAGGCTTTCCCTCTCTCTTCCCAACCTGGCTTTCGGTGGTGACAAGGATGATGTCGATGTCGAGGACCGGGTCCACCTTCATCTAAGCCCGACAGAAGACCTCATTCACCCTCAAGCCAAGATCAATTACCTTTCTTCTTCCGGAGAGATCCTCTCAACGACCCCCCTGTTCGCACACGATCACGCCAACCGACTATATTCGGGCGAAGTCATTGCAGATGGGTTCTCGGATAAGAGATTCGAGGAGGATAAGATTGGCAATGGGGGATTGTGGTATCACCCTGCTAGTGGGCCTGAACGAGGCGTCCGGGGTTGGGCTAGTATACACGTCTATGAGAGCGGGTTGGAGGTCGAAGGATTGAAGTCGGGAAGGCCTATGTTTGGGGGCACGATCAACGTGGATGGACGAGTGTGGAACGTGATGACCCGAGAGAATTACCAGAGGCATAGGCAAGAGTTTGATCCGGTCGTCATGGAAGAAAGCGAGGATGGGGAAATGGTCATCTTCTTGGAGGGAGATCATCATCCTAACCCTCGGGATGCTCACGCCCACGCGCACAAGGACACTGGGGCAGAGACGACGACAGGGTGCGGGCATGATACGATCGAGTGGAATATGGACAATACCACGCATCCCGTTCGGCGACCTCGGACCCCGGCTCCCGTCTCTCCCTGGTGGAGCTCTTCCGCTGTCGACTCCCTTCCCGACCTCTTTGCCGATTACCCGGAAACTCCTCGCACGACCAAATTGAGGCGTGATGATATCCCTACGGGCGGTACGACCAACCCGAACACGAACTACATCAACTCGATCGGATCGACCTCGGGATGTCCGGGCGAACAGAGGGTCGTCTATGTCGGGTTCGCTGCGGACTGCAACTATGTTGGGACTTATGGAGGTGCTGAACAGGCCAGGACGCAGATCTTGACAAATATGAACTCGTGAGCCGCCGGTCTCGGTATGACGCATGAAAGTCTCCAGAGAAGCTGATATATTGCGCGTTCGTGTTTCATCAGTGTCTCCAATCTCTATCGACAGACCTTCAACATCTCATTGGGAATCATCGAGCTCAACGTCGTCAACGATACCTGCGCTACGTCTTCCTCGGGCGCTTTACCGTGGAATGTCGAGTGCTCAAATACGATCACGCTGAACGAAAGACTGTCCCTCTTCTCTCAGTGGAGAGGATCTTCGGGAACTCCAGATGCCGGGTTATACCATTTGGCCACGGCATGCGCGACGGATACCGAAATTGGAGTAGCCTGGTTGGGGACCATCTGTCAGACCGGCAGTAATCAGCAGAGCAGCGGTTTCGTTAGCGGGACCGGTGTTAGCGTGGCGACCAGGTCCGAGTGGAGTCTGATTTCGCACGAAATGGTGAGTCGATCTGAAACGGAATCTCCCGGACCGAGAATGGTGTTTCATGGTGTTAACACTTGGCGCCTTTGCAGGGTCATAACTTTGGTGCAATCCACGATTGTACGAGCGCGTGCTCGCTCTCGGGCTCGTGTTGTCCTTTCTCGTCGAGTTCATGTGACGCGGGTCAGCGATACATCATGAACCCGTCGACATCCACGAGCGATCCGCAGGTCATGTTCTCGCCCTGCAGTGTGGGCAACATCTGTTCCCTCATGCAGCAGAACGCGTTGGACTATAGCTGCGTGGTTCCTCCTGGAGGGAGGACAGTGTTGAGCTTGCAGAGCTGTGGCAGTGAGTTCAGATTCCAGATGTGATAGAGCGGGGTCGATAGTTGGCTGAGCACTGTGCCTTCGGTATTGTAGACGGGATTCTGGAAGACGGCGAGGATTGTGACCCTGGATCAGACGGATCTTCGCCTTGTTGCGATTCTGCTAGTCAGTATCGAGAATGTCGGGACTCTGCCGCATCGAAGCTCACGTTTGAATTCCATGACGCAGCTTGCAGATTCATTAACGGAGCCGTCTGCGATCCCGCCACCGATGCATGCTGCACTGGGCAATGCGCGTGAGTAGACCAGTGGACTCCTCAATCGAGCCTACACTGACCTTGGGACGATTTATGGCAATGCTGTAGGTATGCCTCGAACAGCACGCTCTGCCGCGCATCGGTCGATGAGAACTGCGACACTCCCGAGTACTGCACCGGGTCTTCCCGAAGTTGTCCCTCCGACAGGACCGCGGAGGATGGGACCGGGTGCGGTAATGGGTTGGCTTGCGCCAGCGGACAGTGTACTTCGAATGATCGTGAGTCTCAGTTGGCCGGGGAGACGACGGGAATTCGCAACGGCTACTAATGTTTTCTGCCTCATCTCGCAGTTCAATGCCAGACCGTCGGAGCTTCGAGGAACCTGACGCAAGCGTGTAACCAACGGGGAGATAGGAGCTGTGTCGTATCGTGTCAAGATCCTCAGTCCTCCAACCGATGTCTCATTCTTCAATCGCCACTCATCGACGGATCACCTTGTGGCTACGGAGGTGAGTTTCTGAATACTCGAGGGAGACGAGACAAGGCCGATGTTGACGCTTTGACTTCTTGCCAGGCAATTGTTATAACGGGACCTGCAGTAGTGGCAGTGTTGGGGAGCAAGTCAGCTCGTGGTATACCCAAAACAAGAACATCTCGATCCCCGTGACGGTTGTCGGCGGATTGATAGTGAGTACCCTCGATCCTGGTGGTTGTGGGTCGGAGCGCTTGTGCTGACCTGGATGGACACCCAATAGATTCTTTTGATCCTCTTTGCTATTGGGCGGTGCATCTTCCGAGGCTGTTGTGGAAGCGGTCGACGATCGCGCAAGTCCCACCATCCAGTAAACCGACCCACCTCTTCATCCTCTGTCGCACCCATGACGCAGAATCAGAGGATGTCAACAGGATATGCCCCGCCACCCGGGGGCTATCCTTATACCGGACAATACGGTCCAGCCCAATCATTTGGCAATCAGGCCCCTCCCTATTATGACAATGGGTATGGAGGCTACGGTGGACCTCAACAGCCGGCGCCAGTACAAGCCGGTAGAGAACATTATATCGATGACCGACTGTATAACGGCCCAAATTACCGCGGTCACTAAGCAAGCGGCTGAACGGCATAGCTGGAAGGACTGCCTTTGTATCAACATCTCCTATACCCGCTTTGTGCTCATGTATCGACTATCTCCAACTTGTATGTTTGAATATGAGCAAATGTTGCGCTGCGACCTGCCTGCGTCGCCCTGATTGTTGGGCGTCGAATTGAGATCGTGATCGCCGAGGATCGGCGGATTCGAGACGCATATTCGTAACGCGCAAGGCAAGGACGACGGTCTTCCCATCGATCCCATCTCTTTCGACACCCAACGGCCAAACTACGACTACAAAGCCACTTCACTACGTATAGACTATCCTGTGAAACAAGTCTGCATGCCTGACGCTATCAGTCCCAGTCGGCGCATGCTGAGCAACCTCGCAGATGCCTACATAGCACGAAACGACCTAGGCTTCGCCAATGCTCTCACCGTGTCGTATCGAGAAGGATCTGCCTGGAATGAACTGAAGAGAGAGCTCGCGAGCGTAAGTATCGATCGATGGTCTACTGGTACTCGACCGCTCATTAACCTTCTAATCCATCGAATCCAGCCCGGCTACAGGCCGCCTGCTTCAGCGGATCTGGTTGCGTTATTTTCCAGATCGTCTCAAACACTACATCCTTCGCTCGTTTCGATGGTGCTATTGTTACTAGACTACTTCAGCGTAACGGATTGGTCTGCACAGGCTACGAGACAGCAAGCCGAGCAGGAGTGGAAGATGTTCGATGCAGTCTATACTGAGGGCAACAAGGTCTGGCAAGGGAGTCCAGAGAGCGGGTGGCTAGGTCGGGCTATGCGAAAGATGGCAGAGAACTTGTTGCACCTGGCTTTCCGGGTGAGTCTCGCTGCCCCAGATTGTTTGTGTAGAGGCCTTGCTCACACTCCTCGTCCCGTATCGGAGCATAGTCAGCAACGCTGTCAAGAGATAAGCGATTTACAGCTCCGTCCATCTCTGTCGACCGGGTTCGGAGGACCTTCCAGATCGCAACTGTCTCCGAATGGTGAGTTTCGCTCGGCTGCTTCCATTTGGTCCGCACCAGAGTTCTCACTTCGTTTCTGGCCACAGTTCTTCACTGGAAGATCCTACGCCGAAGAGGGGTGACATGACATTTGCTCTGGGCAATATCTGTTGGAAAGTCTATGACCAGGTCTGTCCCGACTCCGTTACGTTGCAATCGATACTCTCTACAGCATGCTGACTTGCTATACGTATAGCTACAAACATACCGTCTGTTGGATACCATCTCCCAGATGTATTCGACTATTCGACCTTCACCTCAAGCAAGACTCGATGCACCTTGTACATCACGAGCAGAAGTCGTGGGCTATTGGTTCTGGTGTGGAAAGCTGAGACTCGCCAAGGGAGATTTGCGAGAGGTAAGTTGCCAGTCAAAAGTTCGACAGCAAGCACTGAGCTAAACTGGACGTCTTGCAGGCTCGAGATTGCCTGAAGACAGCCTTCGACATGTGTCCTGTCAGCGCCGCCAAGAATCTGAAGTACGCCGTGATGTTCATGAGCCTCATCAGTCTCGTATAGCTGATGCTGATCCGCTCCTACACAAACAAAGAGCCATCTTCATCCGGCTCTTGACGTGCCAAATCTTGCTTGGATACTTTCCAGCACCGATACTACTCAACCACTTCAACCTGCACGCTCAGTTTGGGCCTTTACTTCAAGCGATTAAGTGGGGAGATCGAGCGCAATACTACCAGCATTTCAACAAGTGGAGCGAGTGGTTTAGACAACGAGGACTATGGCTGGTACTGCGAGAAAAGGGCGAAGTTTTGGTCTGGCGGAGTCTCTTTCGCAATGCGTGGGTAGTGAAGCATCATAAGCACTCGAAACCCCGGCTGATTTTTGTTTGACCGGACTATCCATTCCTTTAGCTATCGGATACACCGTGAAAGTCACCCAGAGGATCCGACAGCACGCAGCAAATCGTGTCCTACCTCTGTCTTCCTGGCTGCGATGCGGCTGTCATTTCGGCAATGCGGAGAGACGAACGTGGACATCACGGACGTTATCAGTATCTTGGCGAGTCTGATCGACCAGGTAGGCAGCGAATGTTTCTTCTGGTCCCTGCAAAAATCTACCGATCTATGTTACAGAGGAGCTGATGATACGCCCCTGCATTTCTAGTCGTACATCAAGGGACACTTGGGATACATGCAGACGATGCTGGTAATGCGGAACGCCCCAGACATGCCCGTCGAATCGGCGTTTCCCCGTGTGAGCGGGGTCCGGCCTCGGAGAGTGACGGCGGTAGGATGAGGAGTCGGGGGCTTGATGCAGGACCTTGATGATGTAGTACGATTTAATGACCTTGACGAGAGATGCTCACGGCCCCGCGTGTACTGCGGTCTTGTCTAGACGGCGATCCCGGTGTGCTCAACCTTTTGACGGATATCCTCAACGTCCTTCTGACCCTGGCTTGATGGAGCGAATTCGTGGATTGTTCGGATGACCAGGTTGATGTGCTCCATGAAGCCATTGGTGGCTAACCTCAGAAGACGAACGCTAACCGCCGTGTATGTCCTAACGATACCAATCATGTCAACCGATATGTACCTTGACTTAGAGCGGGGTAGCAGCTCACACGACAAGGACAGAGCCTTCTACCGACATGGTACGTTCGACCAGATGAGCGTTGAGCTCTCTATCCACCAAGATTGCACGTTTAGCTATCGTAGCATGTGCTTCGTTAGCGAAGGGGATCTTGATGGTGCTGTGGTCGTTCGAGTTTCTTCGCATCAGCTGATATCTTTTCAGTAACTCGTGGACCGCTAAGACTTGCGCTGAGTGCCGTGATAGGGTCGTGTCTGTCATGACAATTCCGTGTGGATCTTCCGAGGCCGCTCGACCTAAAGCTTCGATAGACTCTCACTAGTTGTCTAGTACGTGCGTTTACCCTTTGAGAGCATACAGGATAAAAGGTGCGGTAGACAGTAGATGTTGACGAGCTAGGTAATCGCTCCTCGGAACCGAGGGCAGGATCGGGTCGAAGTCCGATCTGGCGCGCCTCTCGAGCAAGTTGTCGATCGTCATTTCAGGTCAGAATCATCATATCATACCGATCATACCTAGGTCATACCTAGGCTACTGCTGTGCACGCAAACATAGAAGAAAGATTTTTTTGGTCTAGACATTCGATATCTGTCAGTGAATCAAGGGCTTTCTGGCACCTCGGATCGAGTACCGACAAACTGTTCTCATACCGTACCCGTCGGCTATTCCCGTTCAGGACCTGCGACTTGACCTTGAACTCGGGGCTTCGAGGCAAAACCCCATCAGCTCATCCCTACAGAGGGAATTGAATCCCGGAACTCCCTCGAGTACATCTAACCTATCTGATTTGACGAGCCGGAAATCGAAACCGAAGTTGTTGGATATGCCTCCCAAATCCGCTCGAGCTAAAACTGCTGTCAAGCATGAGGACGTCGTCGAAATCGGTACATATGAGCTGCTGAGGCATGCTGCCCTTTATCTAATACTAAACCCAACTTTTACTTGTTGACAGATGACAGCAGCGAGGAAGATGTAAAGCCGAGTGCTCGTACTTCCAGCAAACGACCAAGACAAGCGGCTTCATCTGAAGAGGACAGCAAGCCGGCAAAGAAGCGAGCTTCAATTGGGACACCAAATGGGAGTAGCAGGAGGAAGCCGGCAGCAAAGGTCAAGGACGACGAGGATTTTGAGGCGAGCATGCTATCGTCCCGAAGGATTTTGAATTGACGGGCTGTCTGACGATTGATCTCGCTATAGATGAAGGACGCATCGTCCGAAGATGACGAACCTCAAGTGGTAGAAGTCTCCTCGGATGAAGCACCTACAAAACCGAAGAAGACGGCCGGTTCGTCTAGAGCGAAGGGTGTTGCTGATACTAAGATCGCGGCCATGTACGGCAAAGTGAACCTAGAGGTCTTTGAGTTAGTAAAACGTCTACCTCGCTCAAGAAGCGATTCATTAACGTCCAGCTCTCATCTACTGCTAGCTTCTCTCGAGCCGAAGCTCTTGCGAAGCACGAGAAGATAAAAGCGATGACTATGCCAAAAGAAAAACGATCGGCACTCACAGGCTGTCATGTCCTCTTCACCGGTACATTCGAGAATGACAAGGAAGCGCTAAAGACACTGGTCGATAAGCAAGGAGGGTCAGTCTTGTGGCAAACACAAACGTCTAAACGAACATTCACGATCTGATTTCTGCTAATGCCTTTTCAGAATTGTCGCACTACGACCAGACGATCAAACGTCCTTCGTTGTCGCTGGTGACGATGTTACGGAAAGCAAGCTCGAATACATGCGCAAGAAGGGTCTACGTAACATCTCAGAAAAGCAGTTGCTCCTTCTGATCCGTTACTGGGCGAACGACAAGATGTACGAGGATGTCCCGACGCCTGCGGTCAAATCAACACCCAAGAAGAGTGAAGCTAGTCCGCAAAAGAAGAAGCCAGTCGAGAAGGACACAGAGAAACCTGCTGCGAAGAAACGAGGACCTAGCAAAGACGAGCGAGCTGCCGAGATAGCGAGCCTATTCAAGTGCGTTGGCCGCTGCATGTTCAATGAACGAACCGTCATTAACCATCCCCGGTTTCAGCTTTGACGAGGCTGCTGCACGACGAAAGAAGGAGGGCGTAGAGGAACTCGACAAGCCGCCTGGTCTACCCAACTGTTTGGCCGGTCTTACCTTTGTATTCACCGGGGAGTTGAATTCGATGAGCCGAGAGGAATCTACAGAAGTGGTCAAGCGGTTAGGAGGGTGAGTATTTGGCTTTCCCGCTTATATACTATCGACTTGTTCTCTGAACACGTTCGAAATTGCTGTCAATAGAAAGGTAACCACGAGTGTGTCGGGCAATACAACATACGTCGTCGCAGGAGAGGGAGCCGGACCGAGCAAATTGAAGAAGATCGAAGAACTGGGCATACGTCAAGTTAGCGAGGCCGAGTTCTACGATCTGATCAGATATAGACCGTCTGGAGGGAAATTGACCGAGAAGCAAAAAGAAGCTCAGGAGAAAGCAGAGAAGCAGATGAAGGAAGAAGCTAAACGGATGGAGAAGGAAGAACAGGCGACGGAAAAGGCCCAGGCGCGAAAAGCCGTGGTTGCAGGCAGGGAAGGCATTGCAGCAAAGTTAGTTTTGCTTTCGAAGTTCAAGCCTGGACGGACTCGCTGAGCTCGAAATCTGGGGTGGCATAGGCGAGGTCCGGCGTTGAGCAGCCAGTTATGGACGACCAAATATGCTCCCAAGACTTTGAAGGAGATTTGTGGCAATAAAGGTTTGGTCGAGAAGCTTGGAACTTGGTTGGAAGCCTGGTTAGTACCTGCATTGATATCGAAAGGTCTTGTTACATGTCTGAGACGAGGTACCTTTCTCCACTGTGCAGGCCAGCGAATTACAAGGCTAATTGGAAGAAGCCTGGAAAAGATGGTTCGGGAAGCTTTGCAGCTGTCCTGATCAGTGGCCCTCCGGGAATCGGCAAAACGACCTCAGCGCATCTCGTCGCCAAGCTCAAGGGCTATTCTCCTATCGAGTTGAACGCATCCGATGCCCGAAGCAAGAAGCTGATCCAGGTATGTCAGCACAAGGCTACTGGCCCGGTCCCATCTGGGCTGACTTTTCCGGTCAGAACGCTACAAATGTCGACAATGCGTCGCTCGACGGGTGGTTCGCGGGGGGTGGTCTCACGGTGAGGAGCTAGTATCTTGCATTGCATCTTGGGAGCTGTTCCGCTAAACCCGCACGACGAGCAGAAAGATTCTGCTGCAGGCCTGGAAATCAACTCTCGGTCATGCTTGATCATGGACGAAGTGGATGGAATGTCAGGGGGCGATCGGGGAGGGGTCGGAGCGATGAACATCCTCATCAAGAAAACAAGAGTGATTATGTTCCTCTTGCCTGTTTGTCTTTCGCTCTACTGACTTCTAGGCATCACAGATCCCGATCATTCTTATCTGCAACGACGCTAGTACGCCGAAGATGAAACCGCTTAATGGAACCACCTGGCCAATGAAATTCCGACGGTAAGCTACCCTGTAGCATCCTCTCCAAGCTTTGTTGGTGGTGCTGACTGTCTCGCTATCTAGACCCTCGAATACTGAAATGCGGGCTCGCTTGATGACGATCGCGTTCAAGTAGGTCAAGCCTGATTTTCCATTCCGACCGATGCTGAAATTTTGGCTCTATCAGGGAGGGTTTGAAGCTGGAGGCATCCGCTCTGGATACCCTGATCGAATCTAGCCAGTCGGATCTGCGGCAAGTGCTGAATATGCTTTCAACGTGGAGATTGTCGAAACAGGCAATGTCATTTGAAGATGGCAAGAGTCTGTAAGTCTTTGTCGCTTGCTGCGTACCGCTCAAGCTAGCTGACCGCCTGACCGTCTGACCGTCTTCCGAAACAGTGGCAAAGAAAGCCAAAAATATACCATCATGACCCCCTTCAACATCGTGCCTGCCCTGATCGGTCCATATGCCTTTTCCAAGACCAGTCGCCAGACTCTAAATGACAAGCTGGATCTGTACTTCCAAGACTTTAGCTTTGTTCCTCTCTTCATCCAAGTGAGCGCGGATGCACGAAGACGGCTACCCATTGACCGGTCATGCTGATCTAAAACGGAAATAGGAAAACTATCTCAAGAACGCTCCGGCTAGAATTCCGAAAGGCGACGATCCAGAGAGTCAGATGAAACGGCTCGAATGCTTTAGCAAGGCTGCTGATGCCATCTCGGATGGGGATTTGATTGACCGAATGATACATGGGTAAAGCAGGCGGCTTTCCGGTCGTTACAGGTTTCAAGCTGATACCCTATATCATGTCGATCGCAGTCAAGAACAGCACTGGTCCCTCTTGCCTGCACATGGGTTCAGCTCTACCATTCGTCCCGCCTACTGGATTTATGGAGGAAGTTCAGCGGCCGGATACAACCCGGTTTCTTTCCCTGCGTAAGCCTCGCAAGACCATATCTCGTCAAGTGATTTTGATCCGAATCTTCTTGTCACCGTCATCAGTTTCTTGGGCCAAAACTCGAAACGTCAAAAGCTGGCCAGACTCCTTGGAGACATCCAGATCAAGATGCGCTTGAAAGTATCTGGTAGTCGCGATGAAGTACGCCAAGACTACATGCCCTTGCTGGCATCGAAAATTGTCCTTCCGCTCACCAGGAAGGACGAAGCCGCGGTACGACCCCATGTTTTCTAGAGTGTTATCGATATTACTGCACTGACATAACGTGCATTAATTATCATCAGGACGCGCCAGAAAGCATCATTCCCTATCTCGATGAATATTATCTTAACAAAGAGGATTGGGACGCCTTTGTAGAGCTTGGAGTTGGAGAAATGAAAGGTGAAACTATCTCTAGCAGGATCCCCGCAGCAACCAAAGCGGCTTTCACTCGAGCGTAAGTTTTGAGTGTGCCGGTGTCTTTTGACTAAGCCGTCACTGATCGACCCGTCGACCTTGACCCGATCGGCCCCAGGTATAACAAGGTGGATCATCCTGTTGCGTTCCACCGAGGTGAACTGCTCTTTGCCGGAAAGAAGGGAACAGCACCTAGGCCAGATTTCGATGAAGCGTTTGATGTGAGTCGGAGCGCCTCACGGAAGCAACGAATTTGTGCACGTTACTGAAAGATGGATCTGCAGGACGATGATGAGGAGCAAGAAGCGCCGGCAGGAGATGAGGACGACGCCGACGCCGAGACACCTGATCCCAACGCCGACTTGGGCAAGGACAAGTTGATCAAGATGCCAAAACCCAAGAGAGCTAGCAAGGCCACCCCTGCGGCCAGCAAGGCGCCAGTGAAGCGTAAGAAGAAGGATTGAACATGATGCAGTAGCTAGAGCGTTGAATTGTATACCCCATCACGACCCCGTCCTTGTGACACTGCTTTCTCTTATGCTATTTGACGGCAACCGCCTCGGACCATGTTGAGACGTCTTTGCTTGGTGTGGACTTCAGCACAGGCACTTAGCTCGATTCCGAGCGCACCACGATGTTATGCATTTCATGTCGGTCAAGCTAACGGTCTTTCGCGCTTAGCTACCGTGTACAACTTTCGCATTACAAAGCAAGATGCCAGACAGGTTGCACCGAAACAGAAAAAAATGTTTCCTATGCCACCTATTGGCAGGTGCGCCATTGCATCTCGGAGTGGGAGGAAGATGACGCCCTGCATCGAAACGTGGCAGGATCAGTCGCGAGCAGACATGCCTCAGGACAGTTTTGTTACGCACTACAAGGCAATTAGTGAACCAATTCAGAAACAACCCTAGCGATCCAGCAGCAGATGCGGCCTGGTAGAAGTTTCATCTCAGCGCGTGTTGGACATCAAGACTATCGCGACTTACAGAGGACGGCATGACATCTCCAATAACCACCCATGTGACCTGCATCACACATGTGATTGTTGAACTATAAGTCTCGAAAACTGACACGATACTACTCACCGGTCCGAGGCCGATACTGAAGCTCAGTACGAAGGCGATGATGGCCACAGAACTAGGTATCGCCCAGCCGTTGTTCATGGATATAGCCAGACAAAAAGCTGATATCGACATCAAACCGGCCGAAAGTACCAACAACTGTTTGGGTTTATATTTCTAGCAGCGGGATCGCCTGTCAACATTCGTGTAGCTCCCACCACCAGTCAATCATATGGGACCTACCTTGAGCAAAAGTGCTGAAGCGAACGTTACGGGGACTTTGACCGCCGCTATCATCAGAGCGATCATCTTGGAGCTGGTCGGAAACGTCGTCGACATGATCTGATGGCTGAAGTACATCACTGTGATGCAGCAGGATGTAAATCTATATTGTTTTCGTCTCGGCTCGAGCTTGACTTACCTGGACTGATTCCGCACACCTGTTGAGAAAGTTGGACCAGTAGTACGGTATACACTGCACGGATCGATGTAAGGCATATGTATTCGGATTGCTAAAGAGGTCTGATGGCTTACATGCACGACGCAGAGTTGGTTGCGCAGTATGCAAGAGTTCCCATGCGCTTAACATCTCGTTGGAAGGCTTGCTGGGGTCGGCTTCTGCAGTGAAGCTTGGATCAGCGAATGGGATAGGTCGTATCATAAGTTTTGCGGCTCACCATCGTTCAGAAGAGGGTCAGATTCTCGTGCGTCTAATTCCTTGCCGTCTTTCCTGGCCCGATGTTGAAGCCAAATACTGCTTTCCTGTATGAATGGGCTGGCCGCCAACAGCAGGAAGGAGATCACTGCGCTAACGATGGGTACGAATCTCCATAAATAGGGTCTGGACAGTGGGATCGCCAGAGATTGGGTAAGAAGGACTCCTAGTACGATAAACGACTGATTGGCTATTCCCAGGCGATTCTTGTAGGCAGGTGGGGCTGTTTCGCCCAGATATAACGGTGTGACGACTGTTGCGATACCACAACCTCCCCCCACACATAGTCTGAAATAATGAGATGGTGTATATCAGCATGATACCGCGAATCACTGCCTCGTTGGGTCGTAGCGTACCTGGCAAACAGAGCCCATTTCAAGTCAGGCGCAATAGACAAGGCTATGCTGCCTAGCAAGACCAGGCCCGAGGATATCTGCAGGGCAGCTCTCCTTCCGTATTTATTGGAGATGTAGCTAGCTCCCAAAGAGCTCAGGAGTCCCCCAAATAGAAAGGCTGACGAAATCACTCCGAATTCGTACAGCTAAAAGCAGAGTAAGGGTTTCAGACGAGATCGTGTTGTTCCAATAGACTCAGAACTTGCCGTAACATCCAGGCATGCAGGCACGACATTGTGATTTGCATGATCCTGATGGGAGCCACGGTTCTCCAATCCGCTGCACATCACTGCACCTTGGATCCCGTTCAAAGCGGTGATGTGATAGCCATGCTGAAGCGTGTGCATGGCAGACCAAGCCACTCCTGCCATGATCTGCCCGGTCAACTCCTGTGGATGAGAAGCCATGTTCACCTAGATTGATCTCCTGTCCTTCCCATGAGGTGCTATGATCGGGGGGGGGGGGGGGGGGGACCTAGATCTTGGACGCACTTTGTGTGTATCTCACAGGTCTGAAGGCAGAAGATAACAAACATTCGAGGTCGTTGTTCTGATCGGAAACTGCTCTGCCTCCCCGGACCGGAGGTAGCCGATCTGATGACGTAAGCCGGAAGCCACCAGCAGCCCATTGAACAGGCAGCAAGGTAATAATATAACATTAAACATAACAAGGAGCATTGGACAGGTTTGCATGATACGGTGCGAGACGTCTATGAGGGCCGGTTGTTGGTACAGGAGTCGATGTTGGCAAGCAAACGAGGAGGTCCGGATCGAAATAGGTTCTGCCGTTATGTTCGAAGCGATAGTAAGCGAAAGTCGTAGGCCCAAAGTCGAAAGTGGGATGGGTTCCAGATAATATAGTCGAGGTGAAGGAAGCAAGGCCTAGATGGAATCGGCCGTGCATTCGGTGCAGGGGGAGGTATGGTAGGGTATTCGGCTAGGTATATCAAGCCTTTGATGATTCTTCGGTTGTCGTGTTTCCGGCTGCAGCAGCTTGCGCGTCTTCCTCTGCCTGAGCCAGTCTATGCAGTTCGTCAATCTCTGCCGGTACGAGAATGCCGTCCAGCCAAGGATGGTCGATCAAATCTCTGGCACGCGCTCGCTCATTGATGTCGTATTTGAGCTGTCGTATAGAGAGAAACAAATCAGTCTCACCCAAGCGTTATCGCCCCTCAGAGAGGTTATGAAACTGACCATCGGCATCAAGAAGTCCGCCAGCGTCTCTGCCTCGCGAGGGTCGAGCAGGTACTTGTCAGTCAAAACTTCGCGTATACCCCAATAACGGAGTTTCTGAATATTGCGCAGGGTTCCTTTACGCGTAAAGATTTCGTTGCTGTACTTTCCACCCAGGGCGAGGGCTATAATATGAGGTTGATGTGAGATGGATGTGTCGCGATTCGCTCAGAGCACGCTACTCACGCCGAGGCATCTCGCCCAGCAGCTCGATCACCTGTGCCATGTGATCCTCGTCTTTCGAATACCGACTGCTGCTCTCTGCATACAGTCCGAAGCGTTTCCAATGAGCGACTTGGCCTCTTGAGTAACCAGCAGTATCAAAACTTACGAGGATCAAACAGGTAATCCCCGCTCAGCAGCTCAAACGTCAGACATGCCATCGACCAGCAATCCGCCCGGTCATTCCACTTGTTACCAAGGATGACTTCTGGACACCGGTACTGCCGGGTCTGGATATCGTTGGTGAAATGGTGATCGACGTAACAGGCATTACCCAGGTCGGCAATTTTCACTTCGATCTGTTCGTCCGAATGCACAAATGGTTAGGTGGAAAACTGTGCATGAGCTTTCTCATGACATACCATCTGCAGGGTATCTGGGTCATAAGGTGCAGGAGGGGGAAGCGTTGTCGGATCGTTGACCATGACAGAGGTATGAGGTTGTTGCTGCAGGGGGTTATAAGGTGGTGCAGTAGACCCAGAAGGCATGGGTTGGGAGACATCTGTCTCGCCCGACACAGCGGGAAGCGGAGCGTGTGGCGGTGCGGTCGGTGTATCGTTGACCGCAGGGGAATCAGAGCGAGTGCCGTTAACGTTTGCCGCATTTTCCGCGTCCTTTTGCGTCTCCCCAATTCGTGCTGGCGAAACATTGCTTGGGCTTGGTGTAGTGTTCTGTCCCAATTGCTGGGAGAGCAGTGAAGGGCCCATCTTCTTCGCCGGGATTGCTCGGTTTTTCTGCCCAAAGCTAGAGTCTCCCGGGCTTCCCTCTTTGAGCTTGACGTTGCCCAACCCGTTTTTGATAGAATCCGCCGACGAGCCCGTCCGACCCGCTGCCGGTCCACCATTCGTCGTTGAGCCAGAATCCGGGGTAGCTGCCGCTGACGACGTCAACATCGATTGCGCCAACAGACTCTTTCCCAGGCTGCCCGCCGCCGAGATCTTGCTCATCCCGAACCCATACTTGTCCAACATCGGACTCGACCCATAACTACTACTTGGACTAGGCAGAGGTTGGGATCCGGTGATAAAGATACCTTCCCTCCTCGGCGTCTGTGTTCCGCCACGACCCTGACTCGGTGGCACGCCGACGATCTTGGTAGGTACCGCGGCCGGACATGTCGCCAACTCCGCCGCGACCACCGCTTCGACATCCTCGATACAGATTAGGACGTTTTCCGGTTTGAGATCCGTGTGAATGATCCCGCACTCCGTATGCAGATAGTCCAACCCGAGTAAGACCTGCTTCGTGATCTGCTTGACGATATGTGCCGGGACCCCTCGATGCTGGTACCGCTTGATCAATCCCAACAGGTTCTCCCCCAACACCTCGAACACCATGCACACGTGAGACCCGTTGGGTCCGACGTGCCGAAAGTCATCAAGCAGCTGCACGGTGTGTCTTCGTCCCGGATGGTTCGGGTTGGACGTAACGAGCTTTTGGAGGAGCTGTATCTCGTCCAGTGCGGTTTCGGTGTAATGACCATCCGATTTGACGACTTTGAGCGCGACGTGCTTGTTGATCCTGCAGGTGCGAGCAGACGCCGAGACAGCGACGTGCAAGTAAGCGTAGACAATATCGGATTAGTTCAAGTCAATAACTGCAACGTTCCCAATTTCTTGTCTTGCGAGAGGCATTACGCAAACTCACGTCGTATCCCTAGCCAACCAGACGGTACTGAAGTGCCCCCACCCCAACTTCCTCACGATCACATATCTCCCATCCTTGAACGCGTCGCCTATATGCACTGGATGATAACCCCCAGGCCGATAATCCTCGAGATCCTCCTCGTCCTCGGTCAAGACGCTAGGTTGTGCTGAAGATGCCGAGGTTCCCGAGATGGTCGATGTCATGGAGGAAGGGTCAACATCGAGGTGATTGTGGTTGTTGTGATTGTGCGTGTGAGAATGAGAGGTTGAGACGGGGAGAGGCATAGGAGCGGCGGTTGGAGTTGCCGTCTGGGAGGTTTGGATAGGACGTGGAGGGATGGTACTGTTCTGCGATGTGTGCTAGAGAGACGAGATCGAACGAAAGGAGTTCCGGGGCAAAGGGATGACAGGCGGTTCAGATGTTGACCTCAGTGTCTTGGTTGAGAGCTCGACGAGGCTTTGCTCACCTTCATGGATACGGCGAGAGGAGGCATGACAAAAGGTCCGGGATGTAGGTGATGAGCCTCAGTGGTGGCGGTACGACGATCCTGTTGATCCTAAAGCACAGACAACAATGCCTGAACCTTTCCAGCACAGAGTAGCGATTTCAAGCTGAGCCCTATGTTCCTCCACTTTCGACCGGGTCGAAAGGGTCACTACGATGATTCCCTCCTACTGACACAGTCCGATTCAGTGAACAGCCGAGTAAGTTGAATGCTGCACGTATGCTAGAACCAGGTTAAAGTCGGGATGTCTGTATGGGCTCCTGTGATACGTTGAGTTCGCGTCCGTGGTGATCACCGCGATCACTGTTTCAATGTCTTGTTACGTGGTAACGTGGCTATGATGAATGATGAATGATGGATACAGGAAGTGGGGCTGATCTGCTGATCTGCTGACGTTGATGCCGAAAGGGTTCCGGACCGAGAGCAATCACTACCGGTTGTTGCGTCGAGACTGTTGCGTGAATCAGCGAGGCCAAGAGAGATGGGTAGTGTGTTTCGTTTCGGATGATACTACAGCAGTCCAGATAGGAACACCGCAGCCAAGTCCGTAATGATGATGTGCTGACTGCTAACGTGTCGGACAGCTAGCTAGCTAGCTCGAGGACGTGGTGCTGCTGTCTGATGATTGTGCGTGTGGTGCTACGAGCTCTACGAGATAACGACGACCTGACCCAGACGGGGGGATATCAGTCCACAAGCAAGGGGTGGAGAGACGCGGGAGGCGACAGCCACGACCCAACCACGCCGCACACAAACGCAAGGGGAGATAAGGGGCCGGCGGTATTGGGCACGAAACACCGACACACCGAGAACACACCCAGACTCTTGCTACTACGAACGAGCAACTACCTACACCGCCCAGAGGAGCTAACGGATTCTACCACGCGCCCGGTTCGTCACTCTCACACCACGATCTCGTGGTAATCATGTCGCATCTTCATCGTCCCGGACCAACCAGCCGACCCCTATTGCGCCTCTCGAATGCTCCGTCCATTGTCAACAACGCAACAACCAGACTTTGACCTTTCGTCATCTCGCAGCATAGATCCATCTCAGCACATGTCCACCAAGTTGCGGTGAGAAATCGTCATCCCCAGATCCCATACTGCCCGGTCTCAGGATCGCGAGGGACAAACTCTGATCGTGCGGAAGTTACGCTTCGCTTTTGCCTCCGTTCCGCGCGTCGGGAATGCTTCGACTTTGATCGGCCATAGGTTTGGGACGATCGCCATTGGTTCCCCGAGACCACTGCGAGGTCGCTTGGCCGTCAATCCTCCGGTTCACATGTCTGATCATGTCTGAACTCAAAAATCCACAATCTCGACGACGATCTGTCGTCTATAATTATTCCTCCGGGTATCTCGGCCGAAACAACAGAGATCGACACAGAGGGAGAGGTCCAGACCGAGATGTGAACCGTCGGATGCTTTTCTACCTCTCGTTTCAGGTGACCTTACCATGAAAAGCTAGCATAGTGTGGAAATATGGAAAGCGAGTGTTTCGTTCCTGTACGAACGGCTGTGACAACAGGATCCCCGTCGGCCAGGGGTATATATTACCCTCCGAAATCGCTACGATGATCTTTGGCCGCGGTACTGCTACCCCGTACAAGGTCTCTCACGTGTTTCAGGCAGACCTCGCTGTACAAGGGGTCTGAGCCTCATTCCAAGTTGGCGTCCAGGTAAACCGTCTTCTGTTGCGCCAAAGGTAGGGCTGCGGTGACAGGAATCGCGGACCTGGAAGACAAACATAACCGTCTCGTATGAAAACTGTCGGTTTCAGGCTTGACGGTCTCCCTCACTAAAATCCCATGCCGACGTTGGCCACCGCTGAATGCAGGAACACATGCTAGACCGAATGTTATAATAGAGCATTGTAGCGGGGAAGGAGCGGCTGTGGCCCATGTTGTTCCATAAAATCCATGGAGGTCGGGCCCCGTAGACCTAGAGTTCGAATAAAAACGATGCTTATTGTCAGCTCTATGATAAATACTTTCATCATGCATCTCAAACGGCACAGCGCTAGCAGTGCAGGAGTTTCCTCTGATTGGTCTGGATTGCGACGACGTATACGTCAGCGATGGCTCATCGAAATATAACGGCCGGACAGTCGTTGTTGACCACGGACATGTGAACTGCCGACTCGCCATCGCATCTATCCGGCCTGTGAATCAGGGCGACAGCATGGACATGAAGTTGCTGAGCCCCCGCTGTTTATTTTGACCCGCTAGGCTGCCTCATGCTGGCGAGCGATAGCGTAGATGAGATCTCGAGCTCGACCTGTCTTGCGCTCATAATCCCTGTCGTAACGGCCTCGTGTAGCGTACCGTCCTGTTGGAGAGGTCGAGGCGCTCACTTAAGGCGGTCTCGAACTCGGATGTCATCGCTTATATCGACAGCGCATTAGCTACCCTGCCGCCCCAGCAGGCCCAGCAAATTGTCTGAAGAGAGGAGCCTGCATACCCATCCGATACTTGACCCAGTCAATGCTTCTGGGAGATTGAAGCCAATCAGAAGTCCGTCCAATCGAGAAGTCTTTTCCCAAAATGGAGTATTGTACCTCGGCCTGTCCCCTTCTATAGGATAACGGACGTACTGGTCCTGAGCGATGTGCTGGAGGATCGCACCGACAATGGAAAAGACTCTAGCGGCTTCAAGAATATTGTTGCTGTGACGCAGACAACGGAAGGCAAGAACGTACATCATAGTGCAGAGCTAAAAGACCGAGCTATCGGCTCGATCAAACTGATCACATCAAGTCAGCCAACTAGCATAGCTAGACCTTTCTGGAGAGCCAGGGAACGCGTCACAAAAGGTGATCTCGGCATTCAGGATCAAATCACCATTTCCACATCACAATAGTTCGCGTTTCATATTTCGCAGCACGGCCAACTCCGTCTTCCTTTTGATGACGCAGTTTCCGGCTGCTTCGGTACGAGTACTGTACGTACTGTACGCTCGCGCGCGAGGGTTGATGAAACGGGTTTGGACCGTGCTGTGCTTTGCCCGAAGGAAGCAAAGGCATGTGCACGCGATCAGCGCTTCTCTGGAGTCAAAGGAGTGCTCCAAAGGACCCCCGTCAGCGGGGTAAACACAGCACATGGAAGGATGGACCGGGGAACCGAGAGTTAACCGGTTTGATCCGGGGCACGAGCTAGAGAGAAACCTTAAACCCGCTCAGACAAAAGAGAGCTGATGAATCAGAGAAAAAAAGTGATTTGTCCCCATCCTCTCAGCCCGAATCGACTATATAGCTGGATCTTCCCCACAACGGGCTTCTTGGTACAATCATCTTGCACCTCGACCATGACAAAAGACGTCATCGTCGTTGCCTCTCACTGTCGACGTCGTCCTCGGTCCAGTCGCGCTCCACCTCATTGCGATCATCGACAAAAGGACATACTTCATGATCAAAGTCCTTCGACACCTTCTCGGCGCCGATATTACCCTCTTGTCGTCTCAAACGTACATTGAAGCTGAAACCCGCTATTCAGCCCCTCCAGTCTCGCGCCAAACGAACAGAATTTCGCCGCCAGCCCGAACCAACAAAGGATGTGGTGGCCTTCCCAATTGTTAAAGAGCAACAACGCTTCACCCAGTTCTGAAGCTTCTCAGACCAGCTTCTTCAAGCTCGCTGACGATATCAAGGACAAACCGAAGCACACCGAGAAGTTGAGGCAGACCTCTCATCACTCGCTCTCAATCGAGGACGAGCAAGCTTCATTGTCCGCGGGGCTCCTCTGCAACAAGCCGTTCGTCATGCATATGCCTTCTATCAACAAGAGGAAGACCAAGAAGGCCTCCTTGAAGAAGGCTGATAGCGATCAAGACGTCCTTATTATCGGCCGGACCGCTTCGTTCGAGAAGGGCCTGTCTTTGGAGAGGCGCCCTGCTCCAATCAAAGCAGCTGCCGTTCTTCGTCGATCGCTCTCCAAGAAGGCTTCCGCTCAATCTGTCCGTCAGGGTCCGGTGTATAGGAAAAACCAAACCGCCTATCCCTCCCCCAAGGAGCGTATCTTCGTTACGGACCTTGTCAACCCTAAAGAGGAGGACTACTTTATGCTCGATCTGGACGAGGCTTGGCATCCAGATGGGTACAGCTTGAAGGATCATACCGAGTTTCTGATCGACCTTGAGGGCAAGGTAGAGAAGAAATGGGGCGGAGACGCTTTCGCCCGTCCCGTGTCGACTAGACGACCGGTCGCGAAAGCTCAACAGGGAGCAAGGGCTTCGAAGGAGATGTTCCCCGTCTCGCCGACAGACGGCGGGGAAGATGAGACTCCCGCTGCTTTCCCGACCGCTCCAGTCGATAAACCTCGAGTGATCACCACCATCTCTGTGGACATGAGCGAGATCACGAAAGACACCGGCCGACCTCTTTCCGGCGCATCCACTCCGGGAAGCGCTATGCTGTCCTTCTCCGGTAAAAATCGACGGGGATCGAAGGGGTCTGACCGAGAGTCATTCAGGCCCTTTATATCTGAGGACACTATCGACTTTTCCGATGTCTTCGTCCCCCTCGGCCCTCTGCCCCCCTTCGAGGGGCAGTATAAAGCAGGAGGGGAGGACAATTTTGCCTCGAAGAAACCTGTCCCGAGGTCGAACTCGATGTCATCTATTTCTTCCCAAACGACCAAGTCTTCCTTCTTGAGTGAACACCGGAAACGTCACAGTACCATCGACCTCGCTCACTTACCCACCCCTGTCGAGGATGATGATGGCTGGTTCAAGCTTGCCAAGAAGGATAGCGAGAGCTGGGCCGATTTCTCGCAAAGCCTGAACCGCAAGAAAGGCGCCGAGTTTTGGCAAAAGCTAGAGGGTGGAGAACGGGTGCCCCTGCCAGAGCCGACGTTTGTCGGGGTCAGTCCGCATCGTCAAAAGGGCAGGGCGTCAAGTTTCGCCACTGCTGCACTTCACGAGAGGTTCTTGCCCAGGCTCGCTGAAGCAGGAGGTGAAGGCCCTAGGTCGTTGAGCCCGATGAGCCATTCCATCGCATACTCTCCCTCCCTGGAGAGGTTGACTTCCGGGGCGCTGCCGTTTCTATATGAGACGCTGCAGGAGTCTCCTTTTGGCGGGCGAGAGAGTCCTGCCCCAGGGGCGGGAGGAATGCAGGATCGAAAGGACGGCGCTTCCGCAAGATCTCGACAGCCTACGGGGTGTCATCCGTTTGCATCTCAATCTTCGACAGCGGATTCGCCCAAGAGTTTCAACGTCACCTCACCGGTGACACACCCTTTCGGTGATCGTAGCCCCAACCGAAACCATCGCTCCAATCGATCGTGAACATTTGCTGGGTCGGCACCTTGCTTGCGTTTCGACCAATCGCTTTGGTTGCACTGTATAAAACTATTTGACTCGGCATGTACGAGTGAATTTGATATGTAGTACCGAAGCCCTGTAATAGCTAGCGTAATATGAAGGCGAATGATCCTGAAACAGTAACTCTTCAACCGGGTTCGGTGCGCGTCGCCCAGTCGTCATTCGCTTTCCAGCTGCACCGGCATCTTGGTTGACCGACCTTCGCTCAATTGCAGTTGATACTCGTCCACTTTCACTGTTAGTCCATGAGAATGGCTACTAGCTACTAGCAACTACGTATCCCAGCAGCTCCTGACACGATGGCGGAAGTACAGCAGAAACGACCTGGATCTGCTCAGGCACCTCCTGTGGCCCGGAAACCCAAGCGTAAGACGGGACCAGCAAGATGAGGAAGTTGTCCTAGAACTTGACTTTCATCGTTTTGGCTGGCAGCTGCGAATGGCATGGTCACTTCATACCTGGTCGTCTATAATACCGTCTCCCTTCTCTGTTGGGGAGTTGTCCTCTTCAAGACGGTCTCGTTTATCGTCAACCGACCTGCCATCCCTCATATCGACAACACCAAGATCCTGCCGACCACTGCTTCTGCCAAGCTCTCTTCGCTGCTCTCCCTCGGGGCCACCAAGATTCAGCACACCGTCTCCCGATCCCATGCTACTACAGCTGGTATCCCAATTCCTCCTACTGGGATTATCAGCAAACTCAAGACCTACCTCGGCGGATCTTATGTCTACGAAGATCTCGGCCCTTGGGTCGTCTTGACCCAGACCGGAGCCTTGTTGGAGGTCGCGCATGCCCTGCTTGGATGGGTCCGGAGTAGCGCTTTTACCGTCGCCATGCAGGTTGCAAGCAGGATCTTCATGGTCTGGGGGATTGTCGAGACCAGGCCAGAGGTGAGTCTCCTGTAGGTCCGGCGTGCAAGGGCCTCGACTGACCTTGTACCTGTCTCCCCAGACTCACTTCCACCCGCTGTTCACTACCATGGTCCTCGCGTGGTCGGTGACCGAGTGTGTCCGATACGCTTTTTACGCATGTGCCCTGTTCAAGGTCGAGCCCCGAATCCTCACCTGGTTGCGGTAAGCCTCTCTGGACCCGCCGCCCTGCCCATCAACAGCCAGCTGACATCGACTTCTCCCTCCGAATTCTAGATACAATACCTTCTACATCTTGTACCCCCTTGGTGCCGGATCAGAGGCGTTCCTTATGTTCTCCACCCTGCCCACCTTGAAAACGCTCGTGCCTTCCATCAAGTCCGTCCTCAGTTACAGCAGGAAGGGCAAGATGTCGGTCTGGCTCAAGGCCTTGTCTGGGAGGAAGGCAGGTCAGCCCTGGGGCGCTTACGACTTTATGATCTTGGCGTTCTTCTGCATGTGGTGGCCTGGTGAGCAGAAGCGACTTGAAGTTCTGACAAGGGACCTTACCGACCTCTTTCTCGTGACACTTAGCTCTTTACGTCCTTTACACCCACATGATCAAGCTCCGAAGGAAGGTCTACGGCAAGGGCGGAAAGCAAATCGGAAGTGCTCCCAAGCCTCGCCGATGAAAATCGATCATCTTATAATGTTGCCACGAAACGAGGATACAAAAACCGAGTCTCGAATGCGTCTATGTCTATACAGGTTAATGGAGTGTATCGTATGAGGGAAATGACCATATGGCATTTCCAGACCTTATACTGCATCGACAATCGATTTCGCCCAGACTTTGAGACCACCTCGGCCATCTTCATGAGATGGGAATCGAGTCACGTCTCTGTGTGTAAGGGTTTATCAGCCGGTCTAATCTGCCATTGCGATTGTCATTAAACTCACCTGACAACGATTGTTGCATGCGAATTGTACGCGTATGGATACCCTGCAAAAGGGAACGTGCTGAAGTCAGTACCGGACGCTTTCTCGAGAAAACCTCCCTTATCTCCGACCTTACTTACAGACGACGATCCTCTCGAGCTGTGGGAGGTATTGGTTGAAATTCCTAATCATTGTCTTCTGCGCTTCGGTCAAAAGCAACTTGGCCGCCTTGCCTCGAACCGGGAAATCGTCCCCGTTCCAGTCACCGTTGACCTGTTCTTGGAGGAAATCTCCGGCTCGTTCGACACCGTCGCTCACTATACCGTTGCGGACCAAAGGTTAGGTCGTACCTGGCATAAAACTAGCTCAAGAATCGGGAGACTTACCAGACTGAGATATCCTAACAGCAAGGTTGTTGCGACTCGAACGATATCGTCTGATTCGTTTGCTTCTATAGTAATGGTCCATTTTGAGTCATGATCGAATTAGCCAGATCGTTTTTTGAGAACACACTCACGATCTGAAGCGCTGTATCGTAAGTGTAATGAAACTATGTACAAGAGAATGGTCTATGAGTTATGTACATTATGTGAAGAAAAGGCAAGCCACTCACGCAGATATGACGAAGAATGTCGCGACGATCGGGATCAAAGGGATTGCGAGCTGAGAAGACCGCACAGAGAACACTCCAACATCGTTCATCAAGTGTAAAGCGCAAAGCGAATACGCACGTAGTTGAAGGGGAATCGAAATTCCAGAAAAGGCGGTCGACTGGGCCGTTTGCGTAGCCCCTTCTGCCCCGATCTCGTCTTGACCAGAGTATCCGTCTCGTCTTCCCCCTCCCCTTCAGCCTCAGGCGAGGGGAACGACCAAGATTTGACCACGCTGTTCTCGTCAGTCTTAATCCTGATTCCGGTCGTCTCGAAACTGTCGAACGGGTCGGTCTCGGTGATAGCCGCCGTAGGATAGGAGACCGTCAGGTCGTGACATCTGTAACTCAAAAGGTAGACGAGACAAGAATGAGCGCGATTGTGCGGTCAGCTCATCGAACCGATTTTGACTTACCCGTTCGCTATGATCTGAACCTTTGGGAATTTGCGCAAAGTTTGCATGAACGGTCGAGCTGGAAGAAAAGACACCTTTCAATCAGCTTCTCTTTCAGTTGACCTCAGCTAGGTCCCCGAAGACCATGTAGAACCTACTGGGATCGCTCATAACTTCCAACAACGAGCGAGGATCTTGTTCGCTATAATGATCCCATGAGAACAGTTCGGCGCCTGTTTGAGAGAACATGTGTCCCCCGACAAGGTGTTTTATCGTAGAGAACTTGGTGCCTGGGTTGTAGGGGCCGTATCGCTATCGGTCAAACAAACGATCTTGAAGGCGAGCGATGGCAAGGTAGAAAGGCTTACCGTATCGCGGCATGCCGAGGTTCTAGGCAGATGAAAGGTTTACTGCATCAGCGTGCCTTCCTTCTTATGTTAGGCGGCCTTCGAGGAGGACATACAGGTGTCGCGATAGTAGAGAAATGTATCGGCTCATGTCTCTCAAAGAATGAAGGTGTTCTTGAGTCAAGAAGGGTGATCAAATACCGGGCGATCACTTCGATAACGAAGGCAAAGGAAGTGGAGAGGTGGGGAATGTCAGCTGCATATCGGGATTTACCGGCGGTGTAGATTACTGACAGCCTCCGAGAGAATAGCCCATCTGAAAAGGCAAGAGGAGAATGTTTTCAGTATCTTAGGTCTTCTGAACGAGACGCTAATTGTGACACTCACTATGGTAATAGCTTTGACATCGCCTCCTTGACTTCCAATCCTTTCAATCTTCTTATCCAGCTCGTCCGCCACCCTGATTGCCAACAATTCCACTCCGTCGAAAGTCAAGGTGCCGGGAAAAGTCGAAGGGATGAATACTTGTAGGTCCAGATCGCTACCGTTCCCCTGTTTCGATTGAGATCGCTTTTCCTGATGAGCTTTAACGAGCTCGATCTCGCATTGCGCGAGGTTGCCAGGATTGCCGTGCAAGCCGTGGATGAGGACGGCGAGATGTATGTCGGGCATGCTGTCAGATGTCGATTGATGAAGTGTTGTGTAGCTAGGGTGATTGTGTGATTCTCTGGGATGGGGATGCGAGCTTGATATAGATGACGCTCAAAGACGTTGCGACAAGGAGGATGTCACAATTTATCATCCTCCTCCATCCATCGTCCTAGTTCGGCATCGCCAGCCATGACGAAGCCGGCGGCGGCGGCGGCCATCGAGGATTTGCTTCCGAGGCCGATCCCCGACGGGCTCATGACGTTTGACTACCGGCAGCTCAAGAAGATCGGACCGCAGTGTGAGACAAGGATGGCTAATAGAATTGCTGTTCGCTGCTGCTGCGAGAAGAAATTCGCATGTAATCGTGATCTACATAGACAAAGGAAGCGGGTCGTAACCTGGGTGTGTCGTTTTTTTGGTTGTTGTCGAGTTTGATGCCTGGACGTAAATCCTTTACATCTCGGGCATCTCGCCCTCGCCCTCCCCACCCATCGTCTGTACCTGTCCACCACCACCGCCTTCTTCTGGTCCTGTTTACACCGAATGCCCGACGTATTAGCTGAATGGTGGAGGATACGATAGCTCCTGTCGTATCTCGTCGGGACTTACGCTTTGCGCTCACAATGTCATCTACACGCAACAACAGTTTGGCAGACTGCGACATATCCAGAGACGTGTTAGGTGCGTTTCAATTGCATCAAAGCGCCACGATTCTCACCTCGATAGCGGTCTTAAGGGTCTGGATCTTGACGGCTGCGGACTCCAACAGGCCGTACTCCTTCATGTCCACGACCTTGCCGGTCTCTCCATCAACACCGTAGTGGTTCTCGCCGTTTGCGTGCTTGGCCTATCGACCGAGAACAAGGAGGTTTGAAGAGATCAGTGAATGCTTAGGAAAGATGTATCAGGCTCGCAAAAGCTCACCCTGAGCTCGGTCAGCACCCTGATAGCGTTTCCACCACAGTTCTGCACCAAAGTCCTCGGGATCACCTCGAGGGCATCCGCTACGGCCCTGAACGGAGCCCCCTCTACACCTTCCATAGCCTTGCCCTTCTTGGCGAGCGCTACACTGATGGCCATCTCGGTCGCTCCACCACCAGGCGCGAGGGTAGGGTTGAAGACGACGTTCCGGGCGACGGACATGGCGTCGGCCAAGTTCCGGTCGATCTCGTTCAGGATGTCCTTGGAGGGTCCTCGGAGAAGGATCGTGCATGCCTTGGGCGACTTGCATTCGGTCAAGAAGGTGAAGTATCTACGCAGCGAGTCCAACATACGGGTCTTGCATCAGTATCACAAATAGCGCAATCTAGGCTCGAGGTAGAAACCAGACTGACTCGTCTCCCAGCTTCTCGATGTGGAAAAGACCACAATCCGTGCCGACATCAGACTCCCTCAGATCCTCGACCCTGTTGACGATAGTAGCACCAACAGCCCTAGCAATCCTGTTGTTGTCCGATTTCCTGACCCTTCGAATGGCCGTGATAGGAGGATCGGCCTTGAGGAGGTAATGTTGAGCGAGATCCGAGACTCCCTTCTCGGTAAAGACGACGTCGGGCTTGAACTCGATAATCTTGTCACAGAGCGCCTTGATCTGCTCCTCTTCGATCTGGAGGTAACGGTTCCAGTCCTCCTCCTTCGACACCTCGATGTTGGTCTGAGACTCTCCCTTCTTGTACTCCATAGGGCAGTCGAGCAGGATGACACGAGGGTTCTCGATCCTCCTCCTCATCTTCGGATGAGTGACGTCCTTGTTGACCATGACACCGTTGAGGACCTTGGAATCCTCAATCTCCCCACCGGGAATCTTTTCCACTCTCGCGTATCGCTTGATATCGACTGTCTTGACTCCGGCAGATGAAGAAGATTCACCCTCTGCGGTCTCGGCGACGGTCCTCACAGCCTTCAAGGCGAGAGAACACATCAAGTCGGACCATCGGGACGAGAACTTCGTACCAATCGAGGTTTTGATCAGAGCCATCATTTCCTTCTCTGACGACGTGTCGACGGGTACCGAGATCGATTCAATGGTGGCGAGAGCAGAGTCGAGGACGCTGGAGAAGGCCTTGATAATGACGACCGGATGGATGTTGCGTTCGAGCAGAGGCAACGAGTGGGCAAGGATCTCTCCAGCTGACGAGAACATCGAGATAGCTTAAGTCAGGGGACGGAGGATGGGAGTCTGTCAAAGCCAAAGCCTCACCGAGAATAATGACACTTGTAGTCCCGTCACCGACCTCCTCGTCCTGCGTTCTCGAGAGCTCGATCATCGACTTGGCAGCAGGGTGAGCAACGTCGATCTCTCGGAGAATGGCGTGTCCGTCGTTAGTGAGCCTTTGTAAGACGAACCAAGACATGAGTTTCAATTTGTCATTTGACAGCTGGTGTGGCGTAAACGAAAAGACTGACAAGATTCCTCCCATGGGGTCCAAGATCATCTTCAACATGGCCTTGGGCCCCAAACACGTTCGGATGACATCCGCTACCGTCTATACATGCGCGAACTGTTAGTCTCCGCCAGATTTAGCTTGAAAAAGTCCAAACTGCTGACCTTGGCAGCCATGATGTTGGCAGACTGCGCTTTTCGTCCGGTCTGCCTTTCGGGACCGGTGTCTGATGATCAAGGTCGAAATTCCAGGTGTGAGCAAGGCACCTCGCCTGCGGTCGACCCTTGCGGCGACGAGACTCACTCATGACCATGACATTAGGTTGAGCCATCGTTACAGATGCTATGAGTCGTTTTTGGTTCGGGATACTGCAGTCACAGAGGTCGAGATAGGCTTTGCGACCACGGGATGTTAACGACCCAGGATGATCTAGGAAGAAGAAGTGACCAGACTGCAAGTTATGGCTCGCGATGGCTCGCGAACAGTATCAGCCCTGGGAGAGACTGACCTTGCTCTCGAAGCAGTCGAAGCTAGCGATGGTCGAAGTGCATCTTCGTCATTCGCTTTACTGCACAGTTCATCGTCATATCATTCTCGATCCGGATGGCAACGACATAGCAGTGGATCAGGATCATACTAATTAACAGGACCTCCAGCTTTTTGCCTTACACGGCGATACATCATCCTACCAGACCCTGCGTGCCTTCGTATCAACGCTGCTTCGACCTCGCGGCTGGATGGTGATCTGAATATATCCCGCTTCGCCGCAATCCAGTCTTATCGATAACGCTCCGTACGGGCAAATTCCACTTCATCTCGTCGGATTCGTCAAACCTGCAAGATGGCAGAGAATTTCACGGACGACTCTCGTGTGGCTGATTCGATCATCGAGAAGGTCGCGCAAGAACAAGCTTACCAGGATCTGCAAGACCGGCTCAAGAACGTCGAGGAAGAATGTCGGAAAGAACGGGCAGAGAAGGAAAAGGTCAAGGCTGAGAGGGATGAGCTGGGTATGTTAAGAGTATACAGATTCTCGTGAAGCGAGCTCTTTTGAATCCTTGCTGAGCATGTGGGAAATCGTGAACAGCTACAACCAATGCTCAACTGCAAGAAGCCAACTCTTCTACCCAATCCACTTTCGCTACCATCTCTACCAACGTTCGCGATTACGAAACACGTATACGGGTAGGTCACAGACCTGGGAAGAGCACTCGGCAGGTGGAGTTTGCGGCTGATGAGATCCGATCCGGCACCAGATCTTGGAGAGGGAGAAAGAAGAGCTTCGGCAAGACTTCTCCCAGCTGAAACAGAAGAGCCGGACAGACAATGGTTAGTACCTGTTTTTCCCTCTTGGGCCCGAAATACAACATCTCACAAACGACCACCCACTTCAGACCTGGTCAGAAAATACCGTGAGACATCGGAGAGCGATGGTAGACAGATCCGTCAGCTGGATGTCGAGCGTTCCGAAGCCATCTACGCCAAGAACAAGATGGAGCATCAACAAAAGATTCTCAGCTCGGCTTTGGAGACAGTCAGGAAAGAATCAGAGATGTACTCCAAGGCTTTGGTCGACAAGGAAGCGGAGTTTGCATCTTACCGGTCGAGTCATGTGAGTGTAGCTTCGAGCCGTTCAGATAGAATTGGGCTGGAGATGAACGGTCGGTTCGCTCTACAGTACATGGAATTGCAACAGACGCTCTCGGAACGCGACCGTGAAGCTCAATCTCGACTCCAGGTCGAAAAAGCTCGCGATCAGGTCAACCGACAATACCAGGAAAACCTCGATGCCTTGAACTCTGCTCAGACCGAGTTGACAGCGCTCCAGAACAAGCTGTCAAAAAAGTCTTCCGACTTCAGAGCAGATGCCGCAGCGCTTCAAAAGCGTATTGACTCGCTGGAGAACCGTAGCAAGGAGGATCGGGAAGCCGTCGAGGGTCTGGAGGAAGCTTTTAGAGAAGCTCAGGAGGCTCACGCTCAGCGTGTGGAAGCGTACGAAGACGAGATCCAGGCTGCGGCAGAGCGACAGACGCAAGCGGAAGAGAAGATGGCAGAGATGGCCAGGACCGTCGAACTGCTCAGTCAAGGGGTCGAATCGAGCACGGATGATTGGGGTGGGCTCGGCGGAGAAGCGGCCGGCCAGATGGCCGCCATGATCGGATCGAGCTCTGGGTCAACCTCGGGAGGAAAGACGCTGAAACAGGCGTTGGCAGAGGTAGTCAGGCTTCAAGCAGAGAGCGGGAAGCTCAAGGTGGAGAACGAAAGGCTCGAGGGGTTGTGCAGGAGCGTATTGAGGGATCTCGAAGAGAGGGTGAGTTATTACATTCCCGGTCGATCTTGTTTGCGATCGAAGCTGAAGGTCTGCCACTTCCCAGAAACCCGTTCTCGATCAACAACGCGCCGAATACTTCAGGATGAAGACCAATGCTGATGATCTCGCTCGGCAACTGGCGGAAACAATTCAAGCTAAAGAGGCAGCGGAAGCCGAACTGGTCGAGATCAGGTCTCGATTGAACGATGCCTCGGTCGAAAACAAGACGCTTAAGAGCCAGTCGGCTGATCTCGGACTTCAAGTCAGGGTGTTGACAAGGGAGATCGCTATCAGGGATGACCCCGCACTGGCATACGAGGCCTTTGATCCCATTGGACAAGATCACCCAGAGATTTCTGACATCGACGCCGTGATCACGAACAATCTGACCATGTTTAAGAAGCTACCGCAATTGCTCGAGCAGAACAAGAAGCTGTTACGCATCTCCCGGGAACTCGGCAGGAAGCTGGAAGAGAAGGCTTCGAGCGGGTCGTCAGGTGCCGAAGCAAGTGACAACGATCTCGACAATGCCGCACAGGCGATCGAGAATTTGACCGAGACTGTCAACTCGTTGCGAGCCCAAGTGGTCGACTCCAGGACCCAGTTGGAGCTATCTATCAAGGAGAGGGACATGTACAGCCGCTTGCTCGTTCAGGGCCGAATGCTTGGCATGTCTAGCGAAGCGGTCGACAAGATTGCTTCGGGCCAGCTTGCGATGGGTGGTGTCCAAGGACAAGACGATGTCGTCCGCAATGTCATGTCGGGTATACAGGCCGAGTTCGAGAAGCACCGTGATGAACTCCAGAGGGAAGTCAAGGAGGTTCAAGAGAAGGTCGAGGAGAAAACGAGGGAAGTAGAAGCCGAACGAGAGCGGACGGCATCTGCCCTGGCTTCTTTGCGTCACGAGCAGAGTGAGCCTAGGGCCTGCAGTCAGATCGCGATTGATCGAAGCTAATGTCTGCATCTTAGATCAAAATCTGGCTCTTACGCAGAAGATGGAACAGGAAAAATCGGATCTTACCACTCACCTCAGCACTATCGCGATCAGAGAAGCCGAGATCCTCAACCTTCGTACGGAATTGGCCCGGGTAAGTTCACGTGGTTCAATTGGGCCGGCCCGCTCGAACTGATTGACCACTGCTTTGTATAGGTTACCAACGAGGAGAACCACCTACGAGCGCAGAAAAAGCACTTGCAGACTTTCGTTGACGGCCTCAACGCTCAAAAGGAGATGTTGCAGGTAAGCAATATTGCATTCGCCTCAAGTCGTCATGACGATGTCTTATCATCCGCTTCCAGGCCAACGAATTGGCGTCTGCTGAATCTACGAGCAAATTGCTGCAAGAGAAAGCCGAGCTCTCTCGGGAGATCTCAAGTCGCAAACTCCTCCACGACCAGGAACTTCTCATCGCTCACAATGCCAAGCAGGAAGCGGAGAACGCTTTGACATCCCTCCGGGAGGATCTGTAAGCTGCTTACCCCCTAATTGACATAGAGAGATGCAAATTCACACTGCTGTCCTCCTCTTAGAGAGAAAGCCAGGAACGCTTTGGCCGAACAACGTACTGCCAATCAAACCTTGCTTGTGGGTGACCGAGTTTGCTAGACGTTCTAGACATGGTTGAAGTGATTCTGATATTTCACCTACAGACTTCCTCCAAGTCCCCCGAATTGCAGAAGCGAATCGACGAGCTCGAAACCGAGCTGGCCACCATCACGAAAGAGCGAGACGAAAAGATCGCCAAACTTCAAGAGGAAATCGCCGCTGCACGGGCGGACGTGCAAACCAAGCTGAACATCGGTCTCAAATGGCAGAAGCGAACCAAGGAGTTGATGGCTCAGATCAACGAGACCAAGGAAACGCACACCAAGGCTGTCACCGAGCTACAGACCGAAGTCACTTCGCTCAAAACTCAGATCGAAAGCTTGAACGGTGAAGTCGCCACCGCGAAGCAGAACGTCGCTTCCAAATCAAAAGAGGCGGACGAGGTCAAAGAAGAAGTAGCTCGTCTCAAAGCTGGTCTTGCAGACAAGGAGACAGCCTTAGCTCAAGCAGCGGTCAACGCCAACACTTCTGTGACTCCAGCATCAGAGGTTACCCCTGTTGTCGATGGAGTGATGGCTGAGACCCAGAAAGCCCTGGATCAAGCGAAGCAGCGCATCGGAGAGCTAGAGTCGCAGCTGTCCGCAGCTATTACAACGCGGGATGAGGCGGTAGCGGAGCAACGCCGTCTTCAGTCTGCTGCAACGGCTAATGTGGCGGAAGGACATACACAGGACGCTTTGCGCCAAGACTTGGTATGTCGGCGGGACGTAGACCAGGCAGTGGGCCTAACTGATGAGAGATCTTTATAGGAATCAGCCAAGAAGCAGCACGAGGAGGCTCTTCGAGCTGCCAATGCAAAGACAGTGAGTGAAGTAGTCTTCAAGCATATTCGCTTATCCTGATCGAGTCGGTCTGCAGGTTTCCGCTCACGAAGAGGTGCAACGGCTGTCCCAACGTATCCAAGCTCTGGAAAGCGAGCTATCGGAAACGCAAGCCAAAGTACAAACCTTCAATCAGCCTCCATCTAGCTCGGATGCGTCGGTGGCGCTTGCCGCAAGTGCTGAAGAGCCTGGCGAGATCAAGGACGAAGGGGTAGCGCCCGCAATTGAAGCGGCCGAAACAGGCGGAGAGCCTCAGAAGGCACTAGACGAACTACAAGCTCAATTCGACCGGTACAAGTCAGAGCAGAGTACGAAATACGAGCAAGGTGTTATGAAGGTCAACAGCGCCAATGTGAGTCACCTGAGAACAAAGCTCGATCGTCCGTCAGCTGAGCAGCTCGCGATCATCCTACAGGTCAAGCTAAAGCAGGAAAACCAGCAATGGCGAGGCGTTCGTCAGCACATCGAGACGCTGCAGAAAGAGTTCAAAACCCCGACTCAAGGCGGAAACTTTGATCTCAATACCGCCATCGACGAGATCGTGGAAGTACTCAAGACTGAACGGGACAAAGCCTTGGCTACCGCTACCGAAATTACAGCGGAGAAGGTCAAGTTGGAAGCCGCGTCGGAGGCAGCGAAGGCGGAGGCTGCTGCGATAACTGCCACTAGTACGGAAGTCAAGTCGGAGGACGCCACGAAAGATTCTGCCGACGAGCAGAAAGTTTCGAAAGAGCGAGACGAGCTCCGTCACCAAATCGAAACCTTGACTACACAATGCCGAGCTTCGGAGGAAAAGGCTGCCAAGGCTGCTGTCAAAGCTAGTATGGCCGACAAGTACAAGAAGGATTTGACCGAACTTCGCGCAAAGATCTCTTCTGGACAGCTCGTGGCTTCGACGGGGGCGACGCCTCCCGGCCCTGCAGCAGGCGCACCTACCTTGTCAATCAAGGGTGAGAGCGCGGCGGTTCCGGTCACTACGGCTTCGACGGACGATGCTATCGATCTCGGTGCAGTGGGCGGTACACCTGCGGCTGGACGAGCAGCCAGGGGAGCTCGAGGCACTGCGTCTCGAGGTGCCACCACCAGGGGAGTCCCAAGGGGCACTGCCAGGGGCCGAGGTCGAGGCGCAGCAAACGGTGCAAGGCTTGATGTTCAATCAGTATTAGCAGGCAAGTGTCAGGCAGAGAACGTTATCTGATACACGCGCTAATCGTCTTTGTATGTCTAGCTGTTGAGCAAGGGTTCGCAGCTCCAACTGGCCAAAAACGGCGCTCATCAGAAAATCAAGGCAACCAAACCCAGAGCGAGGACAACAACTCCAAACGACCCAAACTCGACCAGCCATCAGGTTCTGGCACCAACGGAAACCCTCCCCCCTCGTAGAAATTTCGATCGATGTATGCATCCACTTTACGAAGACACAAACGACTTGACATGCGGTGTACGCACCTGTTGTAGCACATGAATCATTTCAAAGGGATTTGGCCGCAACTTGCAGCTTCAGAGATTGTTCTAAGCGCTCTAATCTCTGAGGATGAGTCGACGTATGCAGTAGTGCAATTTGGTAACGCAGCGGTTCTGCCCCGCCCGCCCCATTCTAATTCAAACAACATCGTGCCGCTTCTCATGCACTGAGATGCAATACATGATTCGAATGTTTGCCAACATCGCCTGGCCTGGTCATCGAAGGTGCGTGATGGATTCAATATGTCTCGTTCCCAAAGGTGTTTGCGTGACGGGTCGGGTGGTTTGCCCAATCCCGATTGACCGTTCGACAAGGATCCGAGACAAAAAAAAAACCGAATGGATAGCCTTCCGACCTGGCCCAACTCATGTCGTTCAGACCAGGTAGTATCCCTCCCACATGCTCCTTCTCCAAATGCTCGACATCCTCTTGATCCACGTTCCAACGGGGTATGTCGAAACGCTTAGAGGTTGAGCTTAGTTCGTCGCCAGTGCCTCCTCTTGGCGTTGTACTGGATGGTGGCTGCAAGAGCGGAAAATAAACGGAAATTTCATGTCAATCTATGCGTCTTCTGCATCCAGCACCGATCAGATTTTAGACATACTGTCGGTCTTGAGACTGAAGAGAGACCGAACGAGGGTTAGATGATATTCATCCGGTACTGGGTGTCCATCACGAGACTCACCGGAACCACTGAGGGATGGGTCGGTTCTGCCTGGCGGCCTTGGCCAACTTCTGCTTAACCCTGAAAGTCTTTTGGGAAGGCTATGACGGAGCATGAGCACAGCTCAGATTAGCCCGTGTGAATCTGGCGAGTTCATGCACAGCCCGGCAGTCTTCGAACTTCGCGAGATGAGCGTGTGTGGGGATTTTTTGCTGAGATTGGTCGTGGACGTAGGTCGTGAAGTCGGCATGTTGACCACTAGCTAGCGAGTTGCATCACTGACCATCGGTCGAGTCAGCCCGACACTAATTGCGGGTCACTCGACCGAGATCGCCCATCCGGCTTCCTTGTCTCTATCTTTACAGGTTGTTCCGGTCATCCTTTTCTCCCAGGTCGCAGCATCTCTCAAATGTCGACGAGGCGTATATTCCTTGCAGACTTTTCCCATGGTCCATGGATCCCCACACTCTTGTCGGCCCATCTCCCTTGTTCTGGAAAACGCCGGGCGTCGTCTGACTATAGTAACGACGCTCACCATCTCGACTACTGTTGCTGGTGATCTTGCTGAAGTTGTCGTGAAGAAGAGCGAGTTCCGAACCAGGGATCCGTGCTTCTCAACGTTAGGGGTCTCGACGTCGATAAGGTCGATGAGAGAGAGATTGAAGCCGTGGCTCCAACCCCTCGCGCGTGGAAAATTGCCAACTCGGATTTAACAAATAGAAGCGCAAACGCGTGAGAACGGGCCCAGCGCTTCTAAAAGGGCTCGCGCCAATCCGGGGCTTGGTGTTCATAACAATGAGATGGTAACATCATTGTGCTCATAGTCTCCACAGTCGAATCCTCTCATGTAATTCATGCTATGTGCGTAATACATCGATCAATCTCCTTGACGATGATGTCGTGATAAAATGGTTTTTTGTGTAGTAGAGGACCATTGTGAATCCTGAACCTCGAGTGAAAGCAGCCTTGTTGACCTAGAATCCGAGTCCTGAACAGGGCGGCACAGGCAGAATGCAATGAGCGCACATTCTACATCATTCAGTTCAGCTCGACTCACTCTTGATGATCGCGTCGAGAGTGCTGAGCTTGACTGGCTTGACGAGACTGGCACATCATGATCGCGAGTCATGGTGAGACTCGCACAAGACAAGCCGGCATTAAAGAGCCACTTACTATCCGTCAACCCCGGCAGCAAAGGCTTGCTTCTTGTCATCCGCCGTTGCCCGTCCGCTGAGAGCGAAGATTTTGCATCGCTGCTGTATGACCTTTTCTCCTACCGGTTTCTCGCCCGTCTTGATCGAATCTTCGAGACGACGGTCTGATTCCACTTTGCGAATCGTGCGTGTCGCTTCGATCCCATCCATGACAGGCATTGAAAGGTCCATCAAGATGATACTGATGTATAGTATGGGATTGCTCGTCAGCATCACCCGTTCATATACAGAGGTCCCCTTGCGAGACTCACTCCCAGTATCCAGGAACCGCTTCGGAAAAGGCGTCCACGCTGATCTGACCGTTAACACATCGCTGATATTCGATTTTCTGTCGAGCAAAAGAATCAAAGTAAGTACTTAATCGGCGCGGCGAGCATTGGCAGCTTGCAGTTTCACCAACCTTCTTCCGTAGGTAAGCGCTCAACAGTTCCAGGTTGATGTGATTGTCATCGACTAGCAATATCCTTGGCTTTCGAAGCGCGACCTCTGGTGGGACCGTCGCTTTTTTGAGCATCACAGCCCCATCTGTCACCGATACTGTTGACATTGCCGAACTGGGTGAACCGGGAGCCGACTGATGTTCGTCCGTTCCCGAATCCGAGCCGATGACATGGCTGACCATTGCGTGCAAGGAGGGTCGCGTGTCCTGATAAGTCGTGCTCCGTGGGCTCATCCCTGGTCGTACCAATCGTCTGGTCTGTAGAGGCCCGTCCTCTTCCGAACGTCGCCGAAGCAACATCCCCGGAGCGCTATCGTGCCGTAGTCGATCGAAGAGTCTTCCTTGTGGTCCAGGCAGTTCGTACATGGGCGATCCGATAGTTGCCGTGGACTCGCGGGAGATCTCTGGTCGCCCGAAGCGATCAACGCTACTGGCGAGGCTGCTTGCTGTACTGTAGCCACGCTGGAGATTTGCCGGTCGATCTGCCGAGTTGGAAGCCTGGGAAGGAGACAAAGGTGGGGAAAAGTAATCTGACCTGGTGGACCGGGACGACTCCAGGCTGGTCGGACCGTTGGTCAGAGCCTGAGCGCACGCCCGCAGGGCAGCTTGCAGTCGCTGAGGACCGACAGGCTTGAAGACCATCTGAACAAAGCCTCCAGCCTTTTGGTAGGCCGACATGGTAGCACTTGGGCGTGCCGACCGATTGGTGGAGAGGATCAACACGCCGCGGGAAACGTCATTTTGATCTAATAGCTGTCGCAAAAGTGGTCCCTCTTCATCGGTAATGATTATGTCCCCCCTTTCTCCAGAATCCTCTGGGATCGGCTGGAATGCCCACCATCGTAGATACTGGATGATCAATTCTTGGTTCAACTTGGATCCACGATGTTCTGACTGGAAATTCGTCATCGATACTGAGAAATGCCGTCCGAAGGCGTTCCCCTCGTTCCAATAGCTTGCACCCGAGGAGCTGCCGTTACTGGAGACTGCATCGTCTACCGTGATATCGCCCTCAAGTTCGACGTTGAGTGTGATCTTAATTTCGGTGCCTAGGCCTTCCGCAGACCAAACATCGACCTTCCCGTTGACGCTCTCAGACCGTACGATACTATTGACGATGGCTAGACCCAGACCGGTTCCCGTCTGCAAGGGGTTTTCTTGCGAGAATGGGTGGAAAAGTTGATCTTTTAGGAAGCTTCGAGAAATCCCTTTGCCTGTGTCGATAACGGCCATCTCAACGGGAATCGTTCGACTACCAGGCGTGTGTGGTAGTTCTCGAAGAGTAACTTGGATATAGCCGTCACGAGTGAATTTGAGACTGTTTCCAATAAGATTCATGAGGACTCGGCGAATCCCGCCCTTTTCGCAACGGACCAGCCAGCCGCGCTCCCGGAAACCGACGTCGACCACGGTCTCGACATGGACCTTTTCAACGGGTTGCTGATTGCCAGAGGCTGCACCCGGACTCGGGGGAGAATAGAAGCTCCCGATCTCGGACTGTCCTTGTTGCGCTCGCGCCCGCTGACCGATCCAGCATCCCTCCACCGTTTCTTCAACCAAGTGAGCCAGATCCACTAGACCAGGTTTGATCACATTCTCGATCGTCCCTTTCGCACTCCCGCTCAATTTTGTGAAGTCCAACACATGATTGACGGTTTCGATGAGCGAATTGCCACAGGCTTGAACGGTTGAGAGGAATGATTCCTGGTTTGAATCGAGTTTGGTATCCGAGAGAAGCTCGGCCGCTGCGAGAATACCATGCAGCGGCGTTCGCAGCTCGTGTGAGATGTTGGAGATAAAGTTGCTCTTGGCTTTATCGGCCAATATCATCCGCCGTTTCAGGACGGCTGACAGAATGACGACACCGATGGCGCGTAGGAATTGCAACTCGTACCCTTCGAGGAACTGCTTGGATTTGTTGCACGTGTAAGCGCAGAGCAGAGCGAAGGGATGCTTGTCAATATTGAAAATGGGCACCACTAAGCAGAGTAAGGTCAGCCAAGGGTAACTGATGACGCATCTGATGTTACGAGACTGGACTTACCCATCGCATACTGGATACCTTCAGGCAAGATATGGCGGATCCAGCTCGGCACGACTTGCTCGTAGATTCGCCCCTCCGGATGTTTCGTGAGGAAGTCTGAAAAACGAGCATGTTCGGTACTAGCCGCTGGTCGACTTCTCCCTGGAATGTCTTGATACTTGTTTTCCGCCGCTCCCATAATGTTCCAGGGGGGAAGGGGTCCGAAAGCAGAGGCACGGTCGCCGTACGCATCGGAAGGTACGTGGTGTTCGTCTTCGCTGGTCATTGATCCCATGTCGTACGGATCAGCTTGATATACCATATTCGCTTCGCCTTCCGCGTTCGTCAACTCGACCGATTCGAATTGCGATAAATCGAGCACGACCGCACCATCCAAATCGAGTGTCCTGCAGACGAGTTTGGCAGCCTGTTCGTAGACCTTTTCCATAGTCGTTGTTGAACTCTTGGGATCACTCTCGGCCGCATTGTCCATTTCCAGGCATTCTCGCGTGAATCGTTCCATCTGCGTGACAGAACAGGCAAGATCAGTATGATATTAAAACCGCGGACGGCAGAAGCCGTACGACTCACCGAGGTCTGGATCCGGTCCCTTGCCTTGAGACGAGTCTGAACATTACCGAAAGGGTATGCATCATCAATACAGCTAGTGTTAGTTCCCGAAGCCAAGGCGATACGTACCTTGTCTCGCCAAAGTTCCATTTCCCGGACAACAATGCCAGCGAACTCTTTCAGCGCCATTCTTGAGCGGGGAGGAAATTCTGCGCGAGGTTGGTTGTCGATGATACAGATACTGCCGACGTTGTAGCCCTCGGCAGTGCGCAATGGTGCCCCTGCATAGAAGCGGATGTCTGGCGGACCTGTTACAAATGGGTGATGCTTGAATCGCCAGTCCTTAAGGGTGTCTAGCACGACCATGGGCTCGGCGCTCCTGTTGAGGATCGCAATGCTGTGAGTCAGTACATCCGAAACCCCATCATCCGTTCTGTCTCACTTGGACAATACGACATGACTGCAAAAGCTGTCGCCTCTCTCTGCCCTGCTAGCGCCCAAGCCGAGGTCCACCTTGTGCCAGTTGTAGTCTTCGTCGACGAGCGAGATGAGCACAATGCGAGTGCTGAAGACCAACTTAGCTAATTGTGCGATTCGGTCAAAGTTTGCGTCCTGTGCGGTATGCAGCAATTTGAAGCGGTACAGCGCTTTTCTCCTCTGAAGATCATTCGGCGGGATAGGCGCTCGGAGATATCCTTTCTCGAGGTAATGCTCCTCGAAAGATAAAGCCCGAGACGCACGACGAGAGCGCAGCCCGGCTTGCACGTCTGCACGCCCTTCAAACATGGCGGTGGCTGGCGGAACTTGACGAGATGACGATTGATCGTATGACGCGTGACTCGTTAGACGGGGTTTAGCTGGACCGCTTGGTGTCACGGAATAGCGCTGGTCACCTTCGTCATCGCTGTCCGCCAGCGCACTGCTACTGATAGGTTTTGACCCACTATTGCTATAGCGCGTGATGGTTTGTGTGGACGACGAGCGTGAATTGAGTGATGGAGGGTAGATAGTGTCAGTGCCTTCTGTTGATGTAGGCGGGGTCGCTTCGTATTGTTGCAGGACCGCAGAACCAAAGTAGTCGTTGACGGTGCTCATGCCGTCATTGCGCTGCCAATCGATCGGAGCGGATGCAGGGGGAATGTTCTTCGAAGCCAGGCCATTGTACCGACTGGATCTAGTTTGCGAAATGGGCGGTCCGGATCCCGTGTACGGAGACGGCTCGGCTCTGCTATCTGGGTGATTTTCGTTTGGCGTCGTAGCTGGGCTAGCTGCAATCGTGCTCAAGACTGTTCCCACGACATCTCTCCGGTTTCCGCCCCCATCACCCTTGCTCTCTCGATCAATGCCCGTTGCGTTTAGCTGCGTCCGGCTGTGGGGTCGTAGATACATCGAGGAATCGGAACTGGAGCTGTTCTTGCGCGCCTTTGCTCTATCAGATTCCAGGTTCATCGCGCTAGCCATAGGGTCCAAAAGTTCTCGTTCCGGACTGGGTGCGCCGAGAGGGTGGAACGAGCTGGAGCTATACAGCTGTGAAGCGAGCATAGTTGTGGCCGCGCCAGAGGCGAGGGAGATCGGCCCCGGTCCAGCTCGAGAAAGCTCTCGCTTGGGAGAATCCGAGATTGGGCGGTCCCCAGGAGACGAGAACTCGCGCTTTTCGCTGTTCCACCTTCGCGGTAAGGTAGTCGCGCTCGCGTACCTGTTCATACGCGGAGGACTTGTACCTGTGGTTGTCGAGGGGGCAGACGAACTGCCACTAAAGCTGGCAGTCGTTAACCCTGCTGCGAGACCGCTCAAATCCATCCGATGATTGGAACTGTTCTTGGTGAGAATGTTGGCCAAACCAAACGCGCCGTCGTGCTTGTCCAGCTCGTATTCAGGTGACTCTTTACGGCTTGGAAAGTCCGAACTTTTGGGGACAGAAAAGCTAGCTCCGGGAGAAGATTTGGTAGATGACGACAATGGAGCGAGATTGTGAATCGCTGACATGGGCGGGGCGGGCGTCTGGTCGGGGTCCCAACGGCCTATAGGCCAGATTATCGAATCCGTGCGAGATCAGGCAAGATGAGCTCAATAGCAAGCGTAATACAACCACACTCGACTGACCTGCACTATAAGCCTGCATAAACATGGCCCAGTTTGGTGATGCCTGCTTCCTGGACAGCTCTGCAGGACCCAGCATTTCCCGTGCGCTCTGGTTCATGTACATGCCTAGCGACGCAACGCGATCAGCTTGTCCGAGATGCGGAGAGAAAATACCAGATCCAAAACGACAGTACTCACCGCGATCGTCTGGGCTGAGACTGCCTGCAGACCCTACCAACTTGGTAGGTCCTGTCGGATTATTGTTTGCTCTCCCGTTCGATTCGGATGCACCATTGCGCTGCTCCTTGTCCAACTGTTCACGTACGACCCCCTGGAACTGCTGTACAAACTGATCCAAACATCCCGTCCCAGCCGAATTTAGCGCCGTCGAGGAATTGTTCGTTGGCGTGGCCACATCATCACCCGAGTCCGGCAGACCGCCTCCGTTCTGCTCGAGCCGCCGCAGGCGCTCGTTAAGGGTCTCCACCTGGTCCGGCGTATCGGCAGAGTCCGGGACGAGCGCTTCGATGACGATGCCTGTTGTGTCCGACAAGATCTTGGGTACGTAGCCCTCTCCTTCATCCGTCCCGCTAAAATGGCTCTCGGCGTTCGAAGCCGGTCTCGCAGGAGACATCAACGTGGACGTAGCGATGGCCGCCTTCTTGACGTGATGTTCAAACTGTCGAGCGTATTCGGCAGCCACTTCGTCCTGGACGGGCCATTTTCCCTGAGCCTCGTCGTCTTCATCGGCGGTAAACTCGTCGTCCCCATCCCGACCGCCCGTTCCTACGCTCAGATGACCATCCGTGCTCGGAGTGACAAGACCGTCCCCAAACTGGCTGATTCCCGCAGAAGGCGGTCCGGGTAGAGGTCCCAAGTGCAATGAGGACGCCGTTGAGGTGCGAGACCGGACCGACGTCGCGTTCCCACCCGTCCTATTGATCGCGCTCGGGGTCGTCTGTTTCCCTCGTCGATCCTTGCCACTTCGGTTGAGGTCGAAGTAGCCTTGTCCTTCGGCAGACGGTGTGATTGGACCAGACTCCTGACCGTTCTTCCCACCTTCATTCGGATTGATGGCCGGTATCCCGCTCTTCCTCCTTCCCATCGCCGCAGACGGAGCCGTACTAGGTCTCGTCCGACCGCTCGAACTCTCTTTCCTGGTGTTGACCGGAATTCCCGATCGCAAATTGCTCGAGCGTTGTCGGAGTGGCGATGGAGGCATGATAGGTGTGGTTGTGGTCGCAGGTGCGGCTGCGCTCGGTCCTCCCAGGTTGTGTTTCGATGCGGACGTAGAGGTGCCATCCCGTCGATAGGTCTCCTCCTGTTCGATTTGCCCCTCTTGATCCCCCGTAGATCCCGCCGAATCAGTCTCCCTACTAACAATCCGTTTCTTTGAGGAATGCGAAGGCGTTCCAGGGGGTTGAAACACGTCTACAGGTTTTCCCAATAACCCGGAACTGGACCCGGCCGAAGACGCGCTCGATCGTCTTCCCAGTGCTGATGCTCTTCGTGTTGTGTCGCGATGTCTAAATTCCTCCGATCCTTCTCCTTCCGATCCTACAGGGAACTCTGCAACCCCATGTACGACCTCCGCTTGAGAGTTCTCCAACTCGGTCGCACCCCCTAGCCCCGCGTCCTCCTTGGCCAAGACCGCATGGCGATGTGCAACGGGTGAAGCCGCACCGCAGACGGTTATATGTGAGCTCTGCGGGTCGGTATGTAGGTGATGTAAGAGCGAGTCGGACGAGTGTGGGAAAGGAGGTTGTTGGATCCGCGGGGTGGATGAAGAGGTCGAGGTCGTGTTCGTACCCATCGCAGTCGAAGTCGACATCGACGTCGGGGCCTTGAGCGGCTTATTGTTCATAGAGTGAAGTCGTTCATCTTTCATCGGCTTGCTCGGCTTCTTTGAGCTTGAGGATATTGATGGTGTTGCCATACTGTTCGTCGCGATCTTCTTCGCCGAGGTTTTATCGGTGTCGATCGAGGTCGAGGTAGGCAAGACCGGTGCGTCGTGCGCCCCTGCGGGATCAGCCGTGTCGACCTCCTTGTGCGGTACTCTACTCATTCTGAGCACTTGTAGTTTGCCTCTCTACGCTGACGGGCGATAGACAGGTGGTCGTCGATCGACAAAGCTATACCAAAGGGACGGCGTTTGGCGTTGTATGACCAATCCCTGGCTTCAGCAAGTCGGCCTGGTCATCTGAAACAGGCGAGTCTACGCAGGACTAGAGGACGGAGCTCGTCGTGCGTGATATCTGTGACCCTGGTCCGGTAGCGTAATGATGGGGTCGAAGTCGCTGCTCTCGTTATCGATCCTTGACGAGTCGTGGAACCGGGTTGTCGAGGATGGTTTAGTTGCTGTGAGAGGTGGATCAAGGGTAACTCAGGACGATTTGCAGCCGGGGTCGGCAGGGAACGCGAAGATTTGTTGGGGGGATCGTGGATACTCTTCGATACTATCTAGGTGCAAGACGCAAGACGAAATGCTCGACATCAATTGATATATTGATATCATCGTTGACCTTGGACTGGCAGTTATGGAGTAGCAGATTGACAAGGGCTAGCAAGTCGGTGAACCGCTAGGCTCGCTAGCTGGTCGACCCCTGCACAGCGGGGCAAGGGGGGCCGGTAAAAGGCAGTTATGTGCGCGTGTAACTGCCCAATCCTAACTGCCTCTTAGCGTACCCCAAGCAGGCCCTCAATTAACGGGCGCGTCACAGCTCGCTAGCGCCCGACGCGCTTTTACGTCTCTTGACGCGACGCGCTTATCGCGTTCTAGCACCTACACCCTCGCGTCTCGAGAAGCATGTAATAAACTTACTACTAACTACTACTACGATAGGGACTTTTCACCCAGACACATCTAGACATCTCTCCACGCTTTGACGACCCCCTAACGACTCTCTTACGACTCACCAACGGCCCGGAAAGACGCCAGTTAACGCACCACCCCTAGAACCGTCAAAACCCGTCATCGAGAAGCCAAGAAGCTCAACTGGTAAAAACACGGTCCGAACGGACAATGTCCGGTTCGGGGGAGCAGTCGGAGCGGGGTTCTGTAAGTACTCCTTATCTCCCCATGAACTGCCCCGTTAACTCACTGATGTCAGGGATGGGCACACAAGGACCGGGAGGGGAACAGCGTCGAAGCCTACGCTCCCCGTAAGTTTTACCAGTCTTGTATCCGGCCTCTATCAGGGTGATCGATAGCTAGTTAGCTGATTGTTATCTATTTGCTCTCGTCAGTCAAAAAGAACAAGGGGAAGCAGAGGGAGCAGGCTGTTGGTAAGCTTCTCAACCGCGTCAAGTGCTTCTCAACTGTCAATTAACTGACCGGTATCCCCCGTGTTTGTGGGGAGTGCTTATGTAGACCTGGTGGCCGACGGTATTGATCCTACTCTCGACGACGATGACTTGAGCGATTTGTCGAGCGATGATGAAGATGGTGAGCCAGCCACGCTTATGTCACTTCAACCTGCCTCTAACCGAGCTATAACTGACGAGTTGTGGCGCTCCTTGTTCCGACTTAGAGGTCGCACGCCAACGCCCGGCCGCCCAAACAAGTCGGAGTCCCGAGCTCGAAACTCTCGAGCAGGTAAGTCCTTACTTTCACCACCACAAAGGCCTACTTACCTGACCGTTAACTGCCCGATATAGATTGCTGCTAGAGAGCTTGCCGAGACGAAGGCAGCGGAGGACAGGGAAGCTTTGCGAGCGATTCAAAGAGAGGTGAGTATCGACTATGAGTGTTGCTATGCGTCTCCTAACCCTCCCTTAACTATCTGGTTATGTATTCTTTCAGAACCTCAAACGCAAGGCGACCTTTACCGACCTTCGTGCTGCGACCTACAAAGTCGTACGTAGTCAGCGCCATAACTCCGTATAAACGTGTCACTAAGTAGAGACTTACTGGGCTGTTTCGCGACGTTTGCTAGAACCGAACCGAGACCGTAAGTTAAACCCCCTCTAATCTGGACACTTACACGACAGTTAATCGCCATTTATTCCCTCACAGGACCTTGGGCCTATGAGGGAACCCGGACGTCTAGTCACCAATCATCAAGTGAAAGACGCAGTCAAGGTGCTACCCAGCCGGTTAGCCGCCCGTTATCACGCTGTTCTCGAGAAGCGAAAGGCCTTGCCTCCCGTCGGCCAGAATCCGACGATCAAGAGCCTTGTTCCGGTGATCCATACGCAAACGGCTTTACTGGACGAAATCGTGGCTCTGACAGGGGAGATAGCGAGCAGTTATCAGTGGGTTAGGGCGATGCATATGGTCCAGGATCATCTACGAGCCCAGCTCACAGTCGAGGACGAAAAGCTCGACGAAAGGATCAAGGCTCTCGAAGCCGACGCTGGCGGCTATCCAGCACACCCAGCACCCGCGGCTGCTCCCGCTCCTGCCCAACCGGCCCAAAACACCCCGGTAACCGGCATCACTATGGCCGATTTGAAGACCGCTATCAAGAACGATGAAGGTCTTCGAAAGGTTCTCCGTGGTGTCCTTGTCGGTATGCCCCCGAGCGATGTTCCTCAGGCCTCCGTAGCGGGCCCATCGGGGACCTCTAACCAGGCCGCTACAAGCGCGACATCGCCCACCGGGAAGAGGTCGAGACCCCCGCGAGCGACACACCGAGACGTGCGTTGCAATCACACATTGAGACTGTCACTTAACTGATGTTTAACTGCCCCCTTCCTCCCCCGTCATCAGGCCGGTGTCCATTACGCCGTCAAGAAGCTTATCGGCATGCAGTGTCACTGGGGCAGGCACCTCCGTGACAACCACGACGACGAAGGATATCTGGTCGAGAACGACTGGCCACTCCCCATGGAAGACGGCAGTTTGAAGGCCGATATCGAACTCGCCAACGGTGATGTCGAGGTTTCGGCGTGGCGTCCGGATTGGAAGGCGGTCAAGGTTGGGTCGGCGAAGTAAGTTCCTGTTATCGGCCTTTCAAGTACCTAATAACTATCCAGTAACTGACCGGTTATACGGCATTTAGATGGGCTCCATTCATCGAAGAATGTCTCGCCACCGTCAAGGATGGATGGAGGCCATTGAAGATGGGCGCAATCGACGACGACGACGCGATACGGGCCGCTATCTGCCAGTATTGTGCCACACGAGTGGGCAAACAACCGGCGATTGCGGAGAACGGAGGCAAGCCGTTCGCTGTGTGGCAGCGCCGACGATTTGGGATGGTAGGTCTTTTTTCAGGGCAAAAACAGCGTGGTTATCGAGCAGTTATATGGCAGTTGACTGACTTACCCTTGGTCTGGGTACTTACAGCTTGCCGATCGACGACTGGAGCACTTTGCAAACAGTCCGGCGAACAAGACCGTCAAATCGTCGATTTACACCCTGTTAACCGGGGTGTTATTTGTCCCCTCGCTGCACTGTGCCGACCCTCCCGATACTCGTCGATACCCGGTCCTTCCCCAAACTGGCCCAGATGAGCCCGATATCGAGACCGATGGATGGAAGGTATGGAGGCGTTACTGCTTCGACGGTAACAAGGAGGCTGCCAACAAGTGCGACGAGCTCTGCTACCCGTACTGGTTGTCTGACGAGGTGAGTGCTACGTGATGTCGTAACTCCCTAATCACTGTCAACTAACCCCGCTGTTTGATGTCCGTTTATGGCGACTTAGTATATCGGAGTCGGGGCCTTCCTCGATGCTATCCACTTGGAGAAGTATCGATCCCAAAACTCGTCGAAGCCCCGTTGGGTGGGACCTAGACGGTATTGGCCGGTAAAGAAGCCGGTTACCGACGACTTAAGGGCCAGTTTGAAGGACGACACGACGAAGCCCGACCCCGACGGCAAGGGCTGGATCATCTACCGGTCGATGGTCAACGACGAAGCGGCCCAAGATTGGGAGGCTAACGACCCACTTTTGTGGGCGTTAGTTTACCCCGATCCTCCTATCCCCGTCGAGCACCAAGGGCGCCCGTCGATTGAGACCTTGTCTCAAGCGCAGCACCGCGGTGTGTGGGAGTTATCGAGGACGTTAGTGGCCTGTCAAAAGCCCGACTTGACCGACGAGGAACTCCTCGACCTCGCCAAGACCTACGCCGCCATCGATCAGACCGAGCTCATCGCTGCCGGTGCCGCCAACATCGAGGAGGATCTCGAGGACGAGGAGATCGAGGACTAAACGGGGCCATAACTGGCTAGATTCAAGACGGTTACTAGACCGTCAACGTCAACATGTCTCTCGGGGGACTTTCTACGGCTTTGGACTTACGAAAAAAAGAAGAAAAAAAAGGAAAAAAACGAGGTATATGTATATTAGCAGGTGGGTTATGAGTCGGACATCCGACAGTTACGATAGGCCGAGGTTGCAATTCCGGTCGACGACTTTTTACGAGCAGGGAAACGAGATCGAGTTAATGTCTTTAGATGTCGTATATCTGGGCGGTTACGAGGGTGTTATAGGCCCTCCTTTTTTACTATACCATATAATGTCGGTCCCTGCCTACACACGAGTACATGCTTGGACGGCCCAGATAAGGTGATTTGGGGGATTATTGCGGCCTCCTAACTCCCATGTAGCTGGCCTGACTTCGAGCAGTGTCACGGGCTTCAGCGTGCTCATGACGAAAGGTTCGAGAGGAATTACTTCAGATGGCGCCTTGAAGGTTCTAGCTTCGTAGAGTCGAACATCCACGGCTGGGCTGGTGGCTTGAAAACGGTCGATTAACTGCCTCGTTACATGCTAGTAATAGGTCGCACTCACTGCTGGTAATAAGCCGGAAGCACAGACGGTACACGATGGTCACCAAGAGGTACAGCTCGACGACCCATGCAGACCAGTTTCGTGCTTGTATCGCCCTCGTAACTGACCAGTTGTACGTCATACACAGCTGTCAAAAGCCAGAGACCTCCCCCTGGAGTGGTGTTTGCGTTATGAGTCGTAAACGCCTTCCGAAAACAGAACAATGTGTCCTTGTAAGCGGCCAAGTTAGCGGTCCGATATGAGCCAATTGCACTCGGCCATGATTTGAAAGTCTTGTTTTGGTTGGCTATGCCCCTGTATCTAACTGCCACAGTTCGGAGCGTTATCTGGCGAGGGGAAGGGGGATTAGGGAGCTGTTCTCCTTCAAGATAGTAGTCATGAGAGGGGTCCATCTCGCTAAGCCTTGTCCTGATAGCCAACAGGCTGTGCTTAGGTGCTTCGACGAGTTCCCCATTGAACGGTGTTAACCGCTCGCTATCGGGTGCTGAACGGGCCAGTTGCAGACAGGTTTCAAGCTCCTTGATATCCCTGTTCATCTCGTCGAGTAATCTATTGGCAGCAGCGCCCGAAGACTGATCACTCTCCATAAAAGCCTGGTACTTATCAGCCAGTTGCTGGACAGTTATCCGTTCTGCGTCGGTCGTGGCATCACACAGAAGCTGCGCCTGCAGGAGTGACGACATGGCGGCCTTGTAACGTCCCTGTAACAGGGTGGTTTCGACCTGCTTGCCGTTGGTATTGATGGCCTTGAGAAGTTTGCCCAGGCGTTCGGCTGCAAAGACCCATAGCGAGTAGCTAGGGCCATGTAGCAATATATCGTGCACTAAGTGGCTCAATTGATGCCAGTTACGGGTCCGTTGTATG